GATTATTATTATAAAATTATGATCTTATAAATAACTTTTGCCTGTAAATTACATTTAATTTATTCTAGGCTTTATACATTTCTGTTTTCTTTTTCCAAGGGTGTTGAGCCATCTTTACTTTTTTTTTAATGACAGACAGTCAGATAAACTTTCACACAACATTAATAAAACTATTGCTAATGCAAATTAAGATTTATTATTGGGTTGTCCGGAAAATAATGCAGGATTTTAAGTTTTCATTAAAAAAAATCTATATAAAATATTCTGTTTACGTTTACAGGATTACTCATTTGTATGAATNATGGGAAATTATTTTGATTAAAGAACATTGCTTTAAAGTAACTAGTTTCTTTTTTTTTGTTTAATACCAAAATCCTGCATTATTTTCCGGACAACCCAATACATGTCATACTAAACATTTCCATGATCTAGATACACTTAAAATTTTATACACTTTCACTGTAAGACCAGTTTTAGATTACTGTTGATTGCTTTGTGCTCCCTTTCAATCCACCCATATCGCTCGTCATCTTTTTGGAACGTAGCTCCAGGCTAGGTAGGCTATGAATATTTTTATATATACTACACCGGTGTTTTATATATACTAAACCATCAATACCAATCAATTGTGATGGTTGATCCATAGTGTCCAAAGTTTTTTTTTTTTTTTCTTTAAATAAAACAGTTAATTAAATATTTTTTTGGGCGATCTTGACTAATAAGTTGACTTGACTAGGATGTTTACTAATTTGAGGAGGGTAAACCAGCCCATACTAACCTAATGAGCCTATTAAAGTGTATTTACCGTTAATTAAATAAATATATAGATATATGAATGAATAAATAAATAAATATGCGCTCCATATTTGACAGCCAAGAATTTTCAGGTTTAATGTCTTGAGTGCCTGGAAGCGGTTTTGGTCCTGAACAAGTTTGCTTAAAGTTGGGGGCAACTGTTGATGAAGTGGGCCTTTAGGCCTTTTCTTTCCTTTTCAAAGAATCCACAAGAGAGAATTTTGTGGCGCATTCGAGGCATAAAGGGCTGTTGGTCCTTTTGAATTTAAAGAGGTATGCCAAGAAGTTGCCCCGACCAATCAAGGTTTGCATGGCCCAGAAATTCGGAGATACCCACTTCACTCATGCCCGCTCCTCGATGTTTGGTGCTTCTAGGATCCTTTTGCTCCAACTTTGTAACTTTTGTGACCAAGCTGTACCTTTATCTGTCATAAGGTCGGTAGATATATGCTCTTATATGCAATCGCCAGGGCTTTTGGACTCATTCCCCTTTTGCTTTTGCAATTCCGCTTAATTTGGAGAAGGTGCATCGTGTTGCCTATCTGATTTTGATGACGTGATGAGAGGGGCTAAGGTTTTTTCCAAGCATCTGCATGTATCTCCTCCCTTGACCTCCTTGAAAAATGGGGACCCGTTTAGACTTGGAGGTTTCAGGCTTCCTATTGTCCTCTTCCTTGTGAATGGAATCATTATGGGGGTTAATCCTCCTCTCTTTTTCACCACCTGTCCACCAGACTGAGTGCTTGTTGTATAAGATCCATCACGATGTTCGCATGGCGGCACTTTACCACTATGGCATGGTCATCCGCATAGCCTAGACAATAAACTCCTCGTTTCAACATTTGTAAGAGTTTGTCTACCAGTGTCGTCCGCAGTAGAGGTCAGAGAACACACCCGTGCATCCCCTGGTTGTCTTAACCTGGATGGTCGCTCTGCCAAGTTGGATGTGATTATCCTGTTCCTAGGTCTTCTTCCACCCATTGGCATGCCTTTTCCGAGCCTCCACAGTTTTTAATTGCTATATATAGAGAGGCTGTTGTTGCAATGTTAAAGGCTCCCTCTATATCCTTAAAAAGTGTTAGAGCTATCTCCTTGTCATTTATGGACTTAATTAGGCATTTACACAGGTCATCCAGGGCTCTGAAGATCTCCCTGGCTGGTATACAAATTGTCGCACACGAATGTGGCCCTATACCATCTTTCTAATGTCTTCAACATGAATGACTTACAACTGATAGGTCTGTACGAGTTGGGCTTGTAAATGTTAGGTTGTCCTACTTTTGGTATGTACACTACTCGTATTGCTCACCATCTTCTGGAACGTAGCTCCAAGCTAGGCAGGCTATGATTATTTTTTACTAAGTATGGCATGAGAATCTCTTGACTTTTTGTAGTAGCGCTGGGTATGTTCCATCTATTCCTTGCACCTTATATGGGCTAAACTTCTCAAGTGCCCAGCTTATGGCTTTAGTTGTATTGTGGCTACCACCTCCTTCCACTCTTCTTTTCTTGTTTTTATTTGTTTTGAGCATTCAAGTTGCTTGAATAAAATTGCAAGTACCTTTCTAGTTCAGAACAATCAACTCAATCTTTCCTCTGATGTATTAGGTCATTGACTGTTGCTGCTACAATTCCACTCCCTAGGTTTTTTCTGTGTGCTACGTTAAATCTCCATTGAGCTGTTGTTTTGCATGTTGTGCAGATGTTTTCTCAGATGCCAGTGACCGGTTAAAAGTCCCATCACTCCTCTGAGTCTAGCCCTCTCTGACTGCAGCAGTGAGTTTGCCAGTTTTTGTGAGGGTTGTTTTAACATAAGTTTACTGTGTCTAGTGCTGCTAGTTTATCCACTTCTTATTTTGTTTTATTTGGATCCATTCTGAGATGGAAGATTCTGTATTTGTTTTTGTTATCCCAAGTATAGGTTCAGGCCCTATGTATGGTCTTGAAGATCCTCCTCTGGCCAGTGTATCTGCTTTTTCGTTACCCAAAATTCCTTTGTGCCCTGGCACTCAAGATATCGTCGGGGTGGTTCCCCAAGTTTTGGAGATGTTGGATGCATTCACTGACTAATTGTGATGTGATTTTTTACATGAAAATGCTTTAAGAGCTGCTTGGCTATCAGACCTTATGACAATTTATTTGCCAGTGTAACCTCTTTTAAGATTTTCTAGAGCACAAGTGTTGAAGGCATCTATTTCTGCTTGAAAGAACGAAGTGTATTTCCTTAATGAGTTCGATTGCTCATATTTTGGGCTTGTACAAAAAATCTTTGTTTTACGGCCATCCATATACCATATCATTGTTTCTGATGTTCTCTTGAGTTGTTCATCTCTTTTATAGTCTGTTGAGCTTTATAGCATGTTGTAAAGAATGTTTCAGGGAACATATAGCCAGTCCTCATTTCTAAGAATGTATAGCCAATAGGACATTTTTGGTTTTAATCCCCAAGATTTGCCTAAGGTTCTTCTGTCGTCATAAGCAATATTTCACTTTTTGTTATGGCATGCTGCAGGTGAGGGTTCCAGGTTAACTTCTTATCATAGGTTATTCCATGTTATTTAACTTCATTTTTTAACTGCAGCATGTCATCATGGAAACGTATTTCTATGTTTCTTTCCTTGATGAAAGCAACATGGAAACATATTTCTATGTTTCTTTCCTTGGTGAAAGCAACATGATAACGCATTTCTATGTTTCTTTCCTTGGTGAAAGCAACATGGAAACATATTTCTATGTTTCTTTCCTTGGTGAAAGCAACATGGAAACATATTTCTATGTTTCTTTCCTTGGTGAAAGAAACATGGAAACGTATTTCTGTTTCTTTCCTTGGTGAAAGCAATTAGGGTAGTTTTTGAGGGGTTAACCCCCGTTGTGAACACCATTGTTCCCCCATGTTTAGCACACTTTGGGTGAGCTCTTTTAATGTTGTGTCAAACTTTCCCCTAACTAATATTACAATGTCATCTGCATAGCCTTGGGGATAAATTCCACTTTCATTTATGAATCGATTTCTATCTTCATCCAATTTTGGTAAACACATTATATGTGATTGTTATCATGTCCATCTTGACTCCTTTCTTCATATTGTTTAGTCTAATTACTGTGTGGTCCCTGGAACAGAGCTCGTAAGTGATTAGACATTGTAGTCTAATGAATTGAAATGCATGTTCTTGTTTTGTTGCGTGTGGTCGTATACGATTTTTCTTCCCTAATCTCCCAGCCTACCTATTTTACCTTTTACTAGCCACGGTTCCTGGATAACGACTACATCGCTGTTGTTCTCCTTGGCCACACGACAAAGTGAAAGTGTTTCAGCCTTACCGTGCTGGAGGTTTGCTTGAACCACCCTCAGCATCAGTCTTTACTGCTTTTTTGATGACCTTTAGAGTTATCATTATAAAGCCAAGATACAGTTTTAAGTGGCCCCCAAAGGATACATTATCTATGTCTACCACCAGTGTTTGACTTTTGCTTTCTACTCTCTGGCTGATGACTCTCCATTGCTCGGTATACCTGGGGTTTTGGGATCCCATCAACTGAGAATGGTGGTAGTGTCCATAGTGCCCAGAAGGTCAGGATCTGGCACCCACTTGGCCACCCAAGTGGTTTTTATGATTTCTCCGTAGAGGCCTACCCTAAAGTTGGCCCCTTCCTACGGATGGATGGTAGGTACCGTTGCCACAAACCATTCCTTGACCCTTTGAATCTCACAGGTTATCAGGACAGCCCCTTTTTCAATGCATCTATTGCCAAATTGATGTCCTTTGGAGTTGTTACAGCTCCAAACCTCAGCTAAGCTGGCCCGCTGATCAGCTGTTAACTCGTTGTCCTGGTATTCCTCCAACACTTGTAAAGGTGCTATAAAAACTATACCCCTTAAACTTAATTTTCTGTTTCAAGAAAATATTTATCTGCTTGAGGTGCTATAAAAACAACCTTACTCCTGAGTACGTATATAAAAAAAACATTAAATTATTAACAAATAGCAAACAGAACAAATATGTCTATTCTCATTATGTATATGTTGATAATTATATACAGAAAGATGCTAATAATATTAAATAAAAATATTAATTTATATATACAGGTAACAATTTTGAGTTTAAAAATATATATCCCCTACAAAAAATCTTCTTATCCATTATGGATTAAATGAACATGAGAGGATAAGGAAGTCGCATATATTTTCTTCCAGCTGTTTTTTGTGTCAGTTCATTTCTTTGCCCAAAAGAGATAGCTACATAAAAACAAATCATGATAAATTGGCAGAATGAACATGTTACGGGCAAATAACAATTTAATGCTTTACCTGTTTTAAGAACTGCTTTGCATTGTTTATTGATGAAGCTCCGTATACAACTTTCCTATTTCCAGCACCTGTGCCTGCACCAGATTTGCTCTAAACAAAAAAATATTTTTAACGATAAAATTAGTATTAAAAAAACAGACATGAGCTTTCTAGTGTTATTTAAACAATTAATATTTTGATTCTTAATATTAAACAATGAACACTTACTTTAGCATAATCTACAAGATTTTGATATTCAATGTAATTTCCACCTCCTACCATAAAGACAATAGCTTCATTAATGACAACCTTATTTTTTACAGGTTCTGTAGCCCTTAGCTGCTTTGGATCAAAATATCGATAATCTTCACAACCTTTTGATTCCATTAACTGATCGACAATCCTTGTGACTGGCAAATTCTATAAATAATTTTTTTTTAATATTTTTTCTTTTTTTTTAACAAATGGCTTACATGTTTCTTAAGAACAAGATTTTTCACACCCTCCATAACAAATGAAGATCCTTTTGAAACAAGTTTTGAAAACATACTGACTGTTTTAGTGCCACCCCCTCTATACTGACTTGGAGTAGATGACATCTTTGTGTATGCCCTGGTTGGAAAAAAATTGTTGAAATTTAGTCAATAATATACAATTTTTTTTTAAACTTACTTCCATCGTTTTATATAGTCAAGTGGTTTTAAATCACAACCTGCTCCTTCCAGAGCCATAGCATACCTGTCTAACTCAGCCTAGAATATTCCTATTTAAGTTACAATTTAAAAATAGTACAAACAAACTTTACCTCTGGAATTGAATCAGAATAAATGTAATAAATTAAAAATAGTCTCATTTTATCCTCAGGTGTCCCTGTTTCGCTATCGGTGATTATTTCAATCAAAGGTTTCTCCAAGCCAGAGCCCGCTAGAATTTTCTCTTCATACTCGAACAGAGTGTCAAGCCTTCTCTGTTTTATCACATTTAAAATACCTGAAAAAGGTAATAATCATTTTCAATTAAACTGATGATAGTTAGAATACGATACCTGTCGCAATCGTAGTGTGCATATCAATCAGTCTTTTCTTTTCTATCAACTGCGGTAGAGAGTTAACGGCCGATGTCAGTTTCGCTGTATTATCTGTCATCATAGAGAATGCAGCATCACTCTCACTGTTGATACCCTGAAATAATTATAAAATTATTAATATTCGCATAAATAGTTTAGATTGTGAGATATTGTGTTTGCCTGATTTCAAGGGCTTTATATTCATTATTTTGTTGACCTAGTCCTTTTTATGTTAGCACAAAGTGAAGGCATTTATTGTTTTTATCTGTCTACGTCTTTTATCAAATAAATCCCGGGTTTTTCATTGTTTGTTCTGTATTCAGTTTGCTTTTCATGATTTGAAACATTTTTAATGTAATGAATTGTGTCTTGTCAGTTTTCGACCGTCCAATTTCCCTTCTTTTTTATTTATTTTTTTTTTTTTATCCACCATGGAATAAACTTTATATTTTTCTGATTTTTTTTTAGTTCATCATGAAGATGTTTAAGTTAAGTCTTTCAAGTTGAATAATCACCATTGATGCTTTTAGTCTTTTGACTTCCTCTTCAGATGATCTATATTCTTCTAATTCCTCTTGAATAGCCTCTGCTACAGTAGGAAAAGGACTAAAATAAATAATGCAATTGTATTTTTTCCTGCATTTTAGAATATTTTTAAACTAAAAAAAAAAGGTGAGATACATGACAACATACCTGCCTTTATGTAGTGCCCAAAATTTATCTTTTGGATCAAGATCACAAGCCCGTGATTTTGATGTCAGCCTTCCACCTGGAGAATTAGTATCCTCGTCGATAACAACCCTATTGAGAGAAAGATCTAAAACGTCATGAGCGAGAGCTTGATATGTCCAAGTGTGATGTAACGGTGTTGCCATGTCCAAATTTCTATCAAGCACGATTAACAAAGGCCTCTGAAAACTACACCGTAAAACTTGTAATATAATATTTGGCTTAAGTGAAAATGCTTTTGTTTTTATTTACCTGAATCTCCCGACTTGGGCTGTGTCCATGAGGAAAATGCTGTTGCGAGTATCGCGCAAATTCTCTTTCAATTTTTTGTCCAATTTCTCAGCTACCATTTCTGCTGCATTGCCCCTTGGGCTCCTAATTATTGGTACGGTACCTTTAAATTGAATTTTAAAAATAAACTGATTTTTTTTTTTAACTTTTTCACTTACCAAGTGTAGCAAATACAGAAAATAGGCTATCGACAATAGAATCCATTATAGAATCCATATCTGTATCTTTTATATCACCTCGGTTAATTGCTTTGGGAGGAAAAAATAAATATATTTAATATTTGCCATTACAATACATACAAAAGAGACAGTCTTACCATAATAAGAGATTGCTTCACTATTTTGATGTTTTAAAATAAACATATCATCCTCTAGAGATATAAAGTTCAAATATTGATCAAATACCTGAAAATTTAAATATATAAATATTACATTTTGTCCAGTATTATGATTAGAAATAATTTTCAAGCATAATTTTAACTGACAGTAAAAGTGCGCTTTTTTAATTAAAAACAACCATTTTATAATATTTATGACCCAAGAGATTTGATTAATTAGTAAAGGAATGTAAGAAAAATAAAAATGGAATGCTAGATAGAAAGGAAGTGATAGAGATAAAAAGAAAGATAGGTAGAAAAAATTTGACTTTCAACTAATAATTGTTTTTAAAAAAAACTCATCCACAGATCAAACTATTAAGAATAATTAATTTCATCCACTCCTCTTGTATGTACTTTATGCATATATTTCAGAATGATTATCAAACATAACATAAGAACATGAGAGGAAGTCGTGTACTAACTTTGTGAATATTTGCAAAGCAGTTGGCTTGCAGAGCTACAGCGGCCAAATCCTCCAGCTTCTGCCGCGACAAGGGAGATATGAAATTCAGATGGTAAACGTCGTAAATGTTCTTTTGAAAATCCTGGCCGATTCGGCCCAAATTCTCTTCGGTCGGCATGCAGAAATAAACAGCAGGCACGTCAGGAATCGGATCCCTATCCGAATGAAGATATCTGGAAAAAAATTAAAAATTGATGAGCGATTAAACAACGTTATACTTTTTAAACAAATGTTTTGCCCATTAAATTATTTGAAAACATGTGAAATTAATTTATATATTATCGATTCATTTATTATTATTATTTATTGTTGATTTTTGTGGGATGGAAAAGATAAATGTCATCTTAATAAGAACAAGATGGAGGATGCGTGTAAGGAAATGTGGTTTTCTTCTCTTTTTTTTCTTTTTATTCTTAACATAATATATCACCATGATTGCAAATGTTGATGCTGCAGAAGTTGTAGATATGAGCATCACGCTTGTCTCACAAAAACTGATGGCCTTATTTCACCCTTATTTCACCCCATGGAAATGTTAACCCAAGACAGCCGCTTCATGAGTGAATCTCGTTTTTAGTGGTTAGTGATTAGTAATGGAAATGCAGATTTAAATTTTATTTTAAGAATCGTCTACACTTTTTTTTTTTTAATAATTGATTGTAACATCTCTTCTCTTGTTAAATATTGGGTTGTAAAATAAGTCCATAGGATTTTTTGATGGTAATCAATGAAAATTGTACTTTTTTTTTTTTTTTTTTTTTTTTTTGCGTTATGCGAACTATGCATATTAGCCATGTGACAATTCATATATGTGTGTTCAAATTGGGGGGGGGGTTATTGTGAAAAAAGGGCCAGAGACGACGGTGGGAATCGAACCCACGACCGCGGCGTGAGAGTCTCTCATGCTAACCACCCGGCTACCGCGGTCCCCAAAATTGTACTTGTCAACAAATTTAATCAACAATATATGAACCATTTCATTCCCCTGCCTGTTACCATCTTATGTGTAATTTTTAATTTCCTCCTCCAAGAACTTCTCAAGATTTTGAGCAATGAACTTTTCGATGTGATTTCTGCAGTAATAAATGAAAATTTGAATTTATCTGCAAAACACAAGAGGGATAAAATCAAATTATTTAACAAGCCAATATTTTTCTATGTTTAAATGCTTGCTATTTTGTGTATGCCTATGTACTAATTATACGCTAATAATCTTGAAGCGTCGATAAACTACCTGAAGTTACCAATTTTAAGTTTAAAAAATTTTCTAGATTCTTAAAGGGAGAGAGATAAATGAACAAGGTGTCAGTTAATAAATTGTATGATACCCATTTATCTAGAAAATTTCCAATTTTACATTTAATAAAGATAATTCAGAGCAGTCGATTCATGTGCTGGGAAGCTATCTCAGTAGCTGTTGATAACTAATCTTCCTCTTCTAAGTCCTCGAGTGAATGAATCATCATTGAAACTGATCAATTTTGAAACCAACTTCAGTCACTTTTAAACCAAGTTTGAACTCCCAACTGGGACAAACCATACCTGCTTTTAAATTATTTTGTTTAAATAAGGTTTGGGGTATGTAGTTCTTTCTTTTTAAAAAGATAATTCCTACTTACAGTAAGTTGTTTTCAATTGTCCAGATTTCAAGCCTACAGCTTATCATCAGGTTGAAGGAGCTGTAGGCTCGAAATCCGGATCGTTGAAAATAACTTACTGCAAGTAGGAACAATCTTTTTAAAAAGATTGAACAACACACTAACTACACCATTTATCATTTTTGTGCTGTTCTTTCCTCCTCTCCTCACAACCTAAATAAGTCTATTGTTGGAACCCCCTACAGCTTATAGCCATACCTTGGAAAGTGCACTATTCCTTATAAAACTGAGCACTTTCCTTGGTGCCTAGTCATGGATCTAGTTTGGTATAAGAAATATCCTGAGGTGGTACCATAAATGAGCTAACGCTTTACATCTACTAAGGATATATGCCTCTGGTTGCTCGTGACAAAGCCAGCATGTTTCTGTCTCAGCTTTGCCCATCTTCTTAAGATGGTAGTTAAGAGGGAAGTGGCCGATGTAGAGGCTATAATTGTTTTCAAATCCTCCCTGCTGAGAGAGACGAGTTCCTTCGCCTTGCGTTTTGAGAGATTTTCAAAACTCTCTTAGCTTGCCTCATACCTGGAGTGTTTGTCCAGTGTATGAATTTTTCATTCTCAACCCATTTTTCCTGTTCTAAATTAAGCACAACTTGGGAGTATTTAGTTGTGGTTCAGGTCTTACGGGTAAGGTAGCCACTTTTTTGGCTAGTGGTCAGCCTGTTCATTTCCTTTGAACACTTAACAATGTAAAAAGTAATTCCCATCATACAGAAGGACCACCTGTCTAGTGTAGAAGAACCACTTTACCATACTTTTTCCCAATGAGTAAACATGCTGAACCAGCATTTAGAACTTGTTGAGTCCGTTTTCATTCACAGGTTTGAATAGTTTAACAAACTACAAGTGAAGGTGGATCCAATAAGTGACCCACCGGTTTAACATGACTTCACCGACTTGCTGACCAACACCCAGCATTAACTCTAAAGAGTAAATAAATGAGTAAATTTGCATTACAACCAAACAATCAAGATTAATTGTTAAAAATGACAGGACGTTTTGGAAAAGCATGTCTGTGCTATCTCTCGCCTGTCGGATGTTAAATTTGCAACGGTTGTTTCAGCAAGGTGAGTAGCTGAAAGAAAAGTACTCTGTATTTGCATTTAATCAAATCACTTACACATGAAGTGTGACACCCATTTCCCTGAGTTCTTTGACAGATATGAGAGGAGATATGATGTCCTGCCCATAGCGATCATATATCAAGATTTTCCACACCGGCTCTGGAGCGATGGTCTTCGACTCCGGTTCGTTCAGGTTCAGCATCTGCTTAATGGCTTCTAAATAAAAAACAAGAAAATATTAACTCTAGGATGGTTAAGCATAGAATGGCAAAATTGGGTGAACAATTTGTACACTATGATTAATTTGTGAATTTGGTTCTTGATTAAAATTCAAATAAGCTATGTTTTAAATTGTAGGCAAGAAGTTACCTATCTGTTTGTCTCGTAGACTCGCCATAATATATTTTATTTAATTATTAATGACAATTTCTGAAGTTGACGTGTTCGGAGGTTTCGTTTAGAAAAACATAAGGTTAACGAACATGAATGTCACAGATAGCCGTCAGGGAGAAAGAACAAACTCTTTAATTTCTCCTATGTACTTTTTTAATTAATAATCTAGCTTTTTTTAAATCAATACACAATATAACTAATGTTTACAATATGTCACAGCTGAAATTATTGTTAAAATATTTAAAAAATTATCTTTTAAAATATCAACTCTATTTTGAAATAAACATTTCTGATAGATGTCAGCTTATATAGGGTCAATCTAAAAGAAACTTTGTTTTTGTTTTTTTTAAATGTCAGGCCTTATTAATTAATAAGAAAATGTTGTAAACAATATAACCAATTTTTATTTAAAATGATGCATTGTAATGATGACGTTTGTTGTTGATGTTAAAGCGCAACCTCCCAAGTTGTTATGTGGCTAAACTCAACTCCTCAATTTTAAATTTGACAATTACCATACATATGCCAGGTATGCCACGACGTTGGCAGGTCGGCCGCTTCTTTTGAACGCCTTTCAAGTCCTGTAGGTCTGACGATATTTATCTAACTAATAATTTGCACTTTTACAATATTTTTATGCCATGAAAGTGTATCATACAATTGATCTACATAGAAAACCTTTCCATCAGTTTAGGGTAGACAAGTTTAAAAACATAAAATACAGTTAGATCTGAGAAATAGTCCTCACTGTCTGTCATTTTACATAAAACAACCACCTGTTATACATGCCATACTTTAAAACCTATATCAAATAGATTTATTTGGAAAAAACATCAACAAATATGTAATGCATATTTAAACTAGAAGTGAACCTGTTGGTAATTATATCATGAGTAAGTCGAAGGCAAAAATTTAATTTTTGTCAATTTTCTTTCTTTTTAATCGTGATATATATTTAGAATTTAGTCTTTCAGTTTGAAATAATTACACTTTTTTGATCATATTTGATCAGTTTCATTCTGTATAAAATGCAGTGTATATAAGTGTTGTTCTGGACAGTAAAAAAATAATTCTTATCATACAGAAGGCCAGGAAAAAATCAAAGCATTAAGCTCAAATATCATTAGTTCAAAGATGGTGTTGAACTACAAAACCAAATTAAACTTATTAGGTAGGCAAAACAAAGTCAGCCTCTGGTGGGTCCCAGGACATATGGGAGTAGAAGGCAACGAGAAAGCAGACACCCTTGCAAGGAAAGAAGCTGCTCTACCAATGATAGAGCCCGAGCCCTTCTGAGGCATACGAATTCACACTACCAATACCTCAGACAGAAGGACAATCCAAGAATCTAACAAATTTCAAAAGGAAAGAAGTGACAAAATGTATCTAAGGAAGCAAGAAAAAACTGTGGATCCTAACAGGACACTGCAAGTTAAATGGACATTTAAAGAAGATCGGAATAATCCAAGACGGCACATGCAGATTCTGCAAAGAGGCAGAGGAGACACCAACACACCTATTAACAAACTGTGGTGCTACAGGAGGAAGTGCTTTGGGATGTACAATGTGACAGTAGAAGAGATTCAAGCACTGAAACCGGGCCTAATAATCAAGTTCCTTGATGAAATAGGACTCACCTTCGACAGGCAGAGAACGGGGGATACAATAGCTCTTGATGGGTGCAGTATATTACACCCCGACCAATACATTTACATCTACATCTAGGTAGGAACGAAGGATTAGATAGAGGGTTTAGAAGGATGTGCTTTAATTTTATAGGTGGCCTTCATGCCTCACGCGGTTCAACGCTTAGGACACATCAAGAAAGGCCCTTACATAGTATTATTTGCGCTCGAGGGATGAGGATATGAGGTCCACAACACGAAACACTTGTTGGGTAGTGGAGTGTTGAGGTCGCATGTGCCATAGTACAAGACAGCGTACAGCAATGTAGGTTTAGAAAACCATTTTCTTTATCATGCCAACGTTTTGATCTTTATTACGATCATTGAAATGTTGACATGATAAAGAAAATGGTTTTCTAAACCTACATCACACCAGACTGCACCTTATGATCTCTAAAAAATCATTAATTAACGGTCTCTAAATACCACACATTTCAAAATGTTACTCTTATTTATAAATAAAATTGACATAAAAAAGGCAACGAGATGGTGAAATTGGGGTTTTTATTTTTTTCTATTATTATTATTATAATCTGAATAATTGAAGAATGTGCAGATTTGTAAATACTATTTGCTTTCTTATTTACAAAAGTATTGACAAATCTAACATTGAATGATAGTTATGGAAACAAAGAGTGAGAATAAAAATTAAAAAAAATGCCGATATTAATTAGGGAAGAAGTCAATTTGCCTTTATCAATGGAATCATGGATTCATTTATAAACTCCTTGTAATCTCTTGTACCCGATCAAATTTTATTATGTAGGTTGACGATGTTTGGGAGGAATTTTTGAAGAAATTTAATGTCAGACATGGATGGAATTTAAAAATAGTAGGACACCTGGTTTGGTAGTGGTTGGCAATTCACATTTTATCAATGGAATTACGAATTAATTTATTTTAAATTGTAAACTCCAATCAAATTTAATTATGTATGTTGAGGATTTCAAAAGGAATTTTAAATTTACAAATTTCTATTATATAGAAGAAGCTTGAATGGGAGAGGTGAGATAATTTGACAGAGGTCCTTCAGACATTTTTGTTTGACTTGCTTACAATTAGCTAAAATATATTTTTCATTGTCATAATAAAAATGTATTTTTATTTTGTATGTTTTATTAAAGTGTATAGTTGCTAATTTTTTTAATTTATTTTTATTTTTTAATTATGATTTTTTTTTCAAAATATAAGTTTAAAAATGTACAAAACAATGGGTTTTTCTTGATTATTTTATCTTAAACTATTAGTATCACCAATAGTAAAATTAAAGAAATTTCAAAAATTAATTGTACAATCAAAAATATAAGTTTTATATATATAATGCTCAAATCATAAAACAGTAAATTGTCGATTACAAGCCACTCAAGAAAGTATCCATTGTTATATTGACTCTTTTTTTAATATATACAGAACCTACTTTAATAACATTTCATAATATTGTTTTTAGGAGACAGATAAACACAATTACACAATGGCATAAATATAAAATATAAAAAACAATAACAAGACCACTCCCCCATGTCTTCTAATGCACAACGTATCTCCATCACAGTCTTGGCACTGGGGACTGGAGTCTTGTTCGGTGCCATAGGGGTTTATATTTATGAATCCGTCACAAAGAAAAATAAATGTGAAAAACTTAAGCAATCATTGAAGGAGCTTAAGGAGGAGCTGAAAGAATTGAGGTTTGTAGTATGGATTTTATTTTGCTTTGCCATTGTGTTATTTGTTACATTGTTAGGAAGGTCCAAAAGAGCAGAGCTTCTTTGACTGAAGCCATTGGCACATCACCTAGTGTTATTGATGGAGAAGAAGACGAATTTTTTGACTTTTCTAACTCAGATGATGATTTGTAAGTATAATTGTTATTAAAAAAAAGAGTAACTTGAAATGTTTAAAGTGTTTTTATATATATGTTTTTATAATTTGCTTAAAATACGGATAGGATTATAATAATGTAGTACTTTTTTAGAATATTCATGGGCAATGAACAATAGGTGCCTTTTTTTGTCTCATGTCTTCCCCTTAGACAAAAAAGTAGTAAAAATAGTATAAAAGGAATATGATTCCGTTCAATTACATGGAAAACGAGATCTGTCTTTAGAAATAATATATTGATTTGTAGAGAATTCTTCCACTCTAATGAAGAAAAATAGTTTTAGTGAAAGTTAACACTAAAATCATTGTAATCTAATCGAAATTATCATTGCACATTTAAACACTGGATTGGTAAATTTTCGCTATGAGATAAAAGGTTTCAGTGCTATAGTATTTGTTTGGAAAGTTCACAGCCAATTCTTGGATGACAGCTGGTTTTCAATATTGGCCACCTACTACTCACATGAGGATTGTTTTAAGTAGTAAGTAAAGTAAATCTTGTCGTACAAGACTGTCGTACAACCACTACACATAGGTTGTTGTGTACAAGGGTCAGATTACTTTACAAAACATTTTACAAATAATTCTCAAAGTAAATTTTAAGGACAATGCCAGGATTCACAAAACCATTAATGTGGCAAATGCAATAATTCGATGTCCTTACAATTCTGCCACCATAATCGTCAGGATGTATAAACCCATTCTGATCCAAATTTACCCCTTTAACAAAACATTTTCCGCTATAAGTATGGTAGTCTGGCTGTTTAAACTTTGATGATTTTTGTAATAAAAGAGTGTAAAATGTACATAGACAGAGTCGGTTTCAGCATAACATAAATTCATTTATTTAACTTTTCTTTAAATTTTGTACTATAATGTACATTTCATAAAGTTATAAACTACTTGAATGAACTAATTTTCTTGTTCCCTCAATCTATACACTTAAAATATGTTTGGATGAATTTTAAATGTTTTATGCAATACAGAAATTCAGAAGACCTGTCAACAAATTTCAAATACATAGACATGGTGCTAAAAGACTTAGAAGGAGATAAAATAGAAGTCCTTCATACTTTACTGGAGCTGTATGATAAGGTAAAGTACAAAAAACAATTAGTGATTTTCTATTTTTTCTAACAACTCATTAAGATGTGTGTTTATTTTGTAAGGATGATAAAAACTGTCAAATTTTATGGAGATTAGCCATGGCCTGCTATCAGATATCGCTGCAGAGGGAAGGCAACGCAAAAAAAGATTATATAAATAAAGGTAAATAAATAATTCAAGAATTATAAACAGTATATTTTAATTATTTTTAACATTTTTTTCATGTTGAAAATTCTTCTTTTGAGTTGGTTATTAAAAATGACTGTTTATAGGTATAGAATATGCTAGAAAAAGCCTTGCTCTTGATTCTTCAATTTCGGAAGTTCACAAATGGTATGCCATTTGTGTTGGTGCGAGGGCAGAATGGCAAGGGACTAGGGATAAAATAAGAGACGGTTTAGAGTTTCAAAATCATGTCTTAAAAGCTTTAGAAATAACGCCAAATGACCCAACTCTCTACCACCTTTTAGGTCGATTTCAATATGAGGTAAATTTTCTATCATTTTAAAAATTTTGTGGTATACATTATTTAAAAAAATGAAATTAAAGTTTTGTATGTCTAAAAAAATTTAATCTGTGAACTTCTGGTGAGTATGATTTTGAATTGTTTGTATTAATGTTCATATAGCCCTGTTAGCTACAATGTAGAAAGTTCAGCAAACAAACTTGCTTTAGTTTCATCTTTTCATCTCATTTTTCAGTCTTACACTTTATAACTATACAAATCATATTGAATTTCTGTTGTCTTACAGGTTGCAGGGTTACCTTGGCTACAACGCAAAGCTGTTGAAGCCATTTATGGGCCAATTCCACAATCAACATACGCAGAGGCGATTTCATCTTTGACCAAGGCCGATGAATTGGCATTACGCCCTTGGAAAGAAAACAAACTTTTCATTGCAAAGTGCTTTATTGAACTTGGGGCAGACTCTGTCGCATTAGAGTGGCTTGAAAAAGCTCAGATGGCACCAGCAGAAAATATAGAAGTATATAAATAATCAATAATCTTTTAGGTTAATATAAACTAATTGATTATTTTTTGTTTTATTCAAGGAGAGGAAGATTGAAGAAGAAATCCAGATCTTAATTAAAAAATACCAAACATAGTGAAGTAAAGTCTTAAAATTAAAACCTACAGACATTAAATCTTTGGTCTGTTGTTTGTGTAAATAATCAAATTTCATTGTAGACTAATGTGAACAAACATTATTTTATTGACTAAGTTACTTTTACTTGAATAAATATGTGATAGTTATAGAAATTGTAATAATCTCAATACACCACCCATCCCCATCCTTTTTATTCATATTTTTAATGTTAAACATCTAAATGCATGCGTTTTTATTCATTCTGCACAAATGTATTTCATTTTTATAGTTAATCATAGTTTTATAGTTACAAACATTACCAGTTTATTTTAATCAATTTAATGTTCACTATTAGAGAAAAGACAAATTGACGATGACAAGATATTGGCTATGCATAGAAACTAAATTTTTTTAAAGACTTTTTTTTAGTTAGTCCTTGCTGAGCAATTGTTTAAAGTGACATCTCCCCGTGGCCACTTGAAGTTCTCCAAGAATGCAAACAATTACACATAATTTGTATGTGGGGCAAAAAAGAGGAATTGGAAAAAATTGTAGGTCGAGATGAAGAGTTGGTGCCTCGGGGTTACCAAAGTCATGATAACTCAAGCAGTTAAGCAGCAGTGTTTTCAGCCATATGTCGTGGGTTCAAGTCCTGCTCATGACCCTAGCTTTTTCATCACAACTACACTATTTATATAACAATTTTAAATCACTTCCTTCATTAGCTTTGAAAATATGGCCTGGAAGACTATATAGACTGACACCGAGCTAAAGTTCCAAAAGAAAAGTTCACAGGAGGTTTTTAGAAAGATTTGATGTCATATTGTACAAATTTTTATGTCAAACATATTGACATTGTGAATTCAATAAGAATTTGCTCATGAGATGTTTAAGATTTAGTACAGTTTTTTAATGTCTTTTAACATGACATTCAAAAGCTGATGAAACGGTGGTCAGTTTAATCAAATATAGATAATTATTATTAGTTTTTTTACTATTTACCCAGTTTTTTAATACAATGCAAAGTAGGCTGAGATGAAAAATTAGGGTGGATGTCATGAGTATGAGTCTACTCATGACACTACTTTTCATATCAGCCCACTTTACATTAAAAATATAGATATACAAGGTAATGTATTGCGCGAAAGATATAACATTTTTAATTATAAAAATAATTAAACAAGTTTTCAAATTTGGTACATCTTTGTCAGAATATCAAACTGTCTCTCTAGCTGTACATCGCGTTTACATAAATAATGTAATATATGTTATATTGTTATAAAATGCAAGCAAGTAATTTTTTTTATTTTTTCTGTAGATCACATTTTTATTACTAAACATATTTATTATTATTTTCATTATTATATACATGGCAATGTTTTTAGAAGGTTAAAGCTGGCTAGGTTTCAGTTTCGTGTATACGTTATGAAAAATCTTTTTAAAGTAATTATTTTATTTTATCAGTAAATTATTACGCTATTTTAACAAAATGGTAGTTTTCGTTAGAGCTGGACCAGCAGAAATTTTGCGAAGTGCTCAGAAAGACAAAGCGTTGATTAACGAAATTCAAAAAATGTTTGAAGATGTTGCTCTGGAATTTGGAGGTAAATTTTTGTCAAAATCCCTTTTAAATAAATAAAAAGTAAATGACTTAAACTTAAATACTTAACTTACTCAGCAAATATAAGCACTTGCTATACCTCTCAACGACAACCTGCCATGGTGTTTATTATAATTATGTGTATATTGTCTACATTAGTTACAGATAATTAGGAGCTATTGTAGTCAAAATAACAGTAAATAATGCTTTGTTTAATTATTTTATTTACTTTTGTACTGGTTAATTCCATTTGCACAAAAAGTAGCATTTAGTCCTTCCATTCTGCAACGCATAAACATCGCTCAGTTAATCTCTTTCCTACATTGATTTCATTTGATATTCTTATTCTTAAACTTTTGTCAATAGCTCCAGCCAGGTTTGAACAAGTATAATAGTGTCAGGGTCATAACATTATTAAAAAAAAGGATACAGGCAGCGCAAAGTCGCCAGGAGACAGTGTAAATCACTCTACAACAGGAGGGATTCTTCGGCGCTTCAGAGAAACAATGTGTTATACTTGAAGGTCAGGACAAGTTTGACCTACTTTGGTCTACTGCAGTTTAAGAAAACCAGAAGTATTTATTTTAGTAGTGGTCAACCATGGATGTACACCGGCTAGAGACGATTGTCATATTACACTACTTTATTGTCATTTAACAGCTTCCTTGTTAGGTAGTCTCTAGATATCGTAAATCAGTTTCTCTATTAGTAAAGAGACATCGAGTAAAAAGGCAATATTTGCAAATCAGCGACACTTGAACAACAATCTTCATCTTCATAGATAAGTCCCAATTTGGTTTGTGGCAACCAGATGACAAGGGCTGTGTTTGGAGAATGCTTTGATTCATGTACCATGCTTGAGTCACCTTTTCAAAGACAGTTAGTTATGATATGAGATGAATCAACTGAACTGGTTATCATAAAAATGGAGCTTTGGCTTTGAGAACGTTATTCTAGAAGTTATGATCCCATTCAGTCCATTTATTGGAGACAACTTCGTGTTAATGCATAAAAATGCTCGAGCACATGTAGCTCAGGTTGTCATCCTTTACTTGGAGAGTGTAAGGATTACCACAATGAATTAACCAGCATGATCTCTTGGCATGAATCCCATAGAAAAGTTATGGGATATGATAAAGAGATCAGTCGAACATCATTCATCACTTACAAGCGTTGAACAACTTCAATTTGCACTTTTTGAAGAATGTGATTGTTTTACAATTTGTCTCAAAATTTGGTCACTTTTTTTACTTGATGCCTAGAAGAATTAAGGCCCTTCACGAGGACAAGGGATGGTAATATGCATTAAGAGCAAAACTAGGTCATAAATTGTTAGTTAAACTTTCATCTATCACTATTCTTTCAAGCTATCATAAATTAATATTTTTTATTGAAATCCATGAATTTCGATCTTGTTTAATTTGGTTTACATTAAAAGAGTATGTTGTAATTAATATAGCGATAAAATACTTGATTTGAAATAAACAATAAAATACAAAGGTCTTTTTTTAGTGTATAAATGGCAGATTACTCAGAGCATAATTACTACTGGTATTAGCAATTGTTATACTGCATGTTTGTTGTGTTTTAGGACCAAGATTTTCCATGAAGTATAAACGTCTCATATCAGGATTTAGTAGTATGTTCTATTACTACAATACTACCATGAGTGGCCTTCAGACTATTGGAGAGGAGTACACAGGCATAGTACAAGTCAACAGCACATTACGATCCATCCCACGATATTTTGTAATTAATTATCATGAAACAGTTTTGATATTTTAATGTTAATCTGTTCATCTATTGCAGAATAGATTTTTAATGTCATTGTTTGAATCATTCGGCATGCTGATGGTGTTGGTATGCTGCAAGAATGTGGAAAAATATATTAAGGAAAATAATGACATATTACCAGAGGCAAAAGGGCGATTGCTGAAGATGTTGTTAATTTTTAAAAGTTTGTTACCGCACATTGATACTATCCACAAGGCGTACTTTTTCTGTAATTGGGGCACATACCATCTAAGCCAGAGACTGACTGGTATTCACTATGTAAATCATATTTTTTCTTTTTTTTTAACTGAGTAATTATTACAAAAATATATATATTTACAGATATTATCCCGATTTTGGCTTAAAGATAGACAGTCGATTCCAGCTTTTAGAGTATTAGGAGGAATCACAATGATCCAGTTGCTCATAACAAGCACAATCGCTATTATGAAGAATTACAATGTTAAGTTGCCAGCAGGAGAAAGTCAAATGGTGCAAGCTAAAAATTTATCTGAACATAGAAAATGCGCAATGTGTTTAAGCACATACCAGAATCCGTCATGTACACCATGTGGGCATATATTTTGTTGGAACTGCATTTTAGAATGGCTCCAGTCCGAAAACCAATGCCCCATATGTAGGGAACCAACAGTTCCCTCTAGAATCGTCTGTTTAAAAAATTACTTTTAAACTATAACTGTGACCTGACCAAAAACTGTGATATGCTGTTAAAAGCTTGTTTTTTACTAGCTTGTTTGTAATATTTTATGAAGAAATAAATATTTTTAATTTAAAAAACTTGAAAACATTTCTTGTAATTAATCAATTTATAAAATACAATTTTTAAACACTTTCTCCTCTTCAACAGCACTGATCAATAAATTCACTACTCATAAAAAATACACAACACCTACAAATTTAGATATTTTCTAGTTCTGTATTAATATTTATTATTATTAATCATACCTTTATTAATAACTGTTTACCAATAAACAAAGTTCAGTTTTTCTTGGTTCGTTTAAATGTTCCTTTCAGTCAGTTTTTACCATTTGTTAGCCCCTGGTAATAATTTCTCTCTATTGTCTGTACTCTGTTTAACTTTACCAGAATTATATGGGATTTATGTGCTTTACACTAACAACATTGATGTCCAAAAAGCAAAAGTGTGTAAGTAAAAGACATATAATGATGAAAAAATAAAATAATAGCTGCATTGGGGATACTACATTTACTGGTAATAAAAAAAAGGAAACAAAACAGATGTGGAAAAATGAGAACATTTTGAGAGCTGTTTTCAGTTATAAAAGTTTTTTGTTTCTGATAAAATTGATACATTTTGAAACCTAAGCTTTTTATTGTTCTAATTTAAAAATTAATATTCAAACAAAACATATATGTATTAATTATTTTTACATCATGATAAACTTCATAACAATTAAACAGTTTAATTCAGTACAATAAATAATATACTTTCCTAAAGGTAGATTGGGGATGACCTTTAAAGTATATTTAAACTGAGAAGGCTGATCAAACACCAAAGAAAACAATAAATAATTATAATTTTAATCTATGGTCATTAGCACTTGCTTTCTCATCTCAACCAAGATCTTGGATTAAAATTATAATTAATTTAAATAATTAATACAGTCAATTTAGACTACCAAATGCATTTAAAGATTAATACAATAAACAACATTAAAATGACAAGAATAAAAGTACATTATAAAACTTTACTCAATTAACTGTACACAATTTTTTGAAAATGAAAAATGGTGTATAATTAATTGATTATATGTAAGTTACGCCTGCACGAAACCACTAATGCAGCAACAAACGATTCTTCCCATATACAAATTCCGAGAATAGATTATAAGCATAAAATGTAGATTGTATTGTATGACCCCTTTCTTTCGCAGATCCTCTCGGGACTCCGAACAGTACAGACACTTTAAATTAGAACCCTTGTGTAAAGTTGTAGTTTATATTGAATAAACCTTATTTTTAAAAAATTAGTTTNAGTTACGCCTGCACGAAACCACTAATGCAGCAACAAACGATTCTTCCCATATACAAATTCCGAGAATAGATTATAAGCATAAAATGTAGATTGTATTGTATGACCCCTTTCTTTCGCAGATCCTCTCGGGACTCCGAACAGTACAGACACTTTAAATTAGAACCCTTGTGTAAAGTTGTAGTTTATATTGAATAAACCTTATTTTTAAAAAATTAGTTTCTTACATCGAAACCATAACTTGTATAACTAAGAATAACTTGATAATAAAAAATAATAAAATTTGGTATTGTAATGATCACATCACAGTTCAAGTCTAGAAAAAATATATATTTATAATAATATGTACATGATTCCAATATATCACATGTGTACATTCGTAAGTAATTCATTAACATTCACAGATTTTTTCTCAGATTTATAAAAAAAATGTACATTACTTTTCTTAATTGATGTTTTATTGATTAAATAACAATATTTTTAAAATAAATATATTTTCTTAACACATATAACAATTGATAAAATATAAATACTTTTTTTTAATAACAGTAAACTATTATTATAATCACAGGTCAAATTAATAATTACTTCATCAAATCACATTGTAAATTTTTTAAAAAATTATATGAATTTAATATGTAACTGTATGTGTGTATAATAATAATAGTAAATTTAAGTGTAAAATATATAGGTCGTTTGCAAGGAATGTTAAGTCGGGCAATTTAATATATTTTAGAACACCGGAGTTAATTCATTCCGATTATTACACACTTAAATGTTGAGTTCAAATTTCTGAGCATTAGTGGTTATATAAACTGAGTAATTATCATTGCTCTTAATTAACATTAACAATTACGTGATTTGTAGATGATTACTTGCCAAGCTTTTGGCTTTTTGCCTCAGGGCTTATAAAGATCAAGCAATGCAAGTAGTCGTATTTTGTTTTTTTTCTTCATACCCTGACCAGAAACCAGATCTTCCAATCACGTATTTATCATGGTCGATCAACTTAACAATTAACCAAATTATCTGCATTGTGATTGATTTCGGCCTCATTTGGGTTAAGTAGGTCTTCATCAACATCTTCCCTCTTACAATGTTGAATTGTTATGATCAATCTGTAAATTAAGTATTGAAATAAAGGTCAGGATTCATTATTGTTTGTAAATAACTATGTCAATAATAATAATAATAATAATAATAATAACAACAATACTTTAAAACGAAGAAAAATCAAAACATTTTAATAATCACAATACTTACATTAGACATAGTGTAATTAGAAGCCAACATGAAGCTGATAAGAAACTTAAATGCTGAGGTTTGTCATTAATTACTGAGTCATAAACAGCAGTGTAACAAACAAAAGAAATGAGTGGGGCTATTGCCTCGATAATGGACACAATTGAAAATATTTTACCTGAAATTTATAGGTCATGAACATCAGCATTATGTACTATTTTAATAATTTCGATTTACCCATGTCCTGAGCAGGAAATATCCTCGACACCTCTACTTTCATTGCAGGGCTAAATATCACCTTTAGAACACCTAAATTTCCAGCCAAGTAAAAGTCCAAATTTGAGTGCGATAAGCCGAGGCATATTGAAGAATAACAGCCCATGACACCGATCAACAAAGCTACCCATAATTCTCGGACACGAAGAACTTTTGTGAATAGCCACATCACCAGTAGTGATGCCACAACTTTAAAATATAATTATAATACATTATTAAATTTTAATAAAACTACTGTTTAAGTAATTAAATATATACTTGATGAAGCGCACAACGATGCTGAATAAAAGTTATAATCGTCCATTGACCAATTTAAAACTTTTCTTAAAATCAAATACTGAAAATTAGAATCACCTGAAACATATTAAGACCATTGAAAACAACTAAACTAAATGAAAGTTATATTTTTATTACCTAAAACCACACTAAGTTCAATTGTTATTACAAAACAAATAATGCCAAAAATCAACAAGCCGTAAAATTCTCTATTAACGAAAACAACTTTTACCATTTGCTTTATACTGTCAAAAGAGAATATTTGAAGGAGGCTTGGTGTTTCGTCATCACACTGGAAAAAACACTGCTTAGTAACAATTTATAATAAGTTTTTTGAAGTTTATTAATTACCGCAACAAAAGTAACAGTTTCAGGAATGCATAGTATAACATAATACAAGACCAGCAAAGTAAAACCAGCTGCTATGACATAAATTACTGATGTATATGTATCGTCTGATGAGCATAGCCACAACAGCAGAGGTGATATTAAATATCCAAGTAAAACGGCAAGAACATAAGATGTTGAAAGATATGTCATTCTAAAAATAAATCAAATTTTACTTTTAAACAGCTTTGAAAGAAAATAAAATAAATTTTCTGTGATAACTAATAACACACCTAAGACCTCTGTTGGATTCTGTTGTGATGTCAGTAACATAGGAAAAAACTGCTGCAAACAACACTACTAAACCTCCCGACAGCATGGGTATTAATGAAATAACCAATAAATAGATAGGAGATGCCGTTGTTATTTTTGCAAAAATAAGCCAAGCTATATAATAACAGCTATAACCTTTAAAAAGAAAAAAAAAAGAATTACAAGAGAACTTTGCAACTAGCCTTTCTGGCTTTATTACCACATAGAGGTAGCACGAGGAAAGATTTTCTTCCATGTGTGTCCATCCATGGTCCAATAAAAAAAGAAAGAAATATACCAACCACAGAATCAAGGATAGATTTGACTAGCATAAGATTTGCCACATACACCTGTAAACCGTTTTCAACTAAATGTTCTTTCTCGTCAGAACACTGTTCCGCAGTATAGTTAAAGGTAATTAAGCATGTTTTCTGTAGCAGAATTTTCATTGATAGCGCATCTAAATATAAATAAACAAAATTGATAAGTTCAATTTCAATATTTATCTATTCATGTTCACCTGATAAGGATGAGGAGAAGAATAAACAAAATAAAATCGGTTCAACTGTGATAAAAGAATAATTAAAAAAGGTCCCTGTCATGCCACTGCTATTGGTACTACCACTGTTACTCTCGTTCACACTTATACCTTCATCGTTATCTGAGTTGTCAGGCATATTTCTAGATTTTCCTTTAACTGTATAGGTAACTAAAATGAAAGAGTGCAGAATATTGTCATCTATCAAATTTGAATTATTTACATGACATACATACAAATTAAATTATTCTTTAAAGCTATTATAAATAGATTTTTTTTAAAAGAATTTATTCGTAAAATGGATGTCCTTTTAAGCTTCCAAGGCAAAAAACTGCAATGATTTAATGATTTATCCCCTGTTTTATAGTGCCTTGATTATTAACGTCACCTGAAAAAAGAGTAAAATTAACAAGGCAAAATATAAAACACCATTTATAGTGAATGCATTTCTGATTATATTCATTCTTAATTCATTATCATTAGAACGAATAGTTGGTAACACGATTGTTTATATTGGATGTTACATTATCTGAAATGTCAGGATCAGGCTGTCATAAGTGTAAAGCTGATTTTGCAAATATCAAAAACAAATCAAACAAAGCCGGTAGCCATATTACAGTAAAACTTTTCAATGGAAAGACACAGAACTCACAACTATATAAACCAGTCTTAGCACACGTTACAAATAGTTTTAAAATAAGTTAAAAATAGATGTTAGAAATAAGGCTGTAAATCTGACGCCCATATGGTAGGGAGCAAAGGGATTTCCTGCAAACCTGGAAGTCATCGGAACATGATAAAATTAATAATCTGTCCACTAAATAACCAAAGTCAAGGAGTTATTTAGTTTAAGAAGGTTGTCACAGACACAGTTCGTCCATTGTCATAATCAGCTGGGTGGGTGTAATACTTCACAGGATGTCTATCGACATGAGATCAGTAGGCTATGAAAACCACTGAGAATTACGAATTATTGTGTGGCCACTCTTGCAAGAAGGAAATTGAATATCTGGCCCAATATATTTTGCTTTTCCTTTCCTCCCCTACCCTGGTTGGGAAATCAGTATAAAAGGGATGATCTGAAAATTCAAATTCAAACTCGAACACAGTCAACTGGACCCAGAAGCAGCAAGAAGATCTCATCCTCAGAGTTGTGGTCATTAGGGAAGTACACTTCGTTCTTTCAAGCAGAAATACATGCCATCAATGCTTGTGCCCTGGAAAATCTTAAAAGAGGTTACACTGGCAAAACATTTTCATAAGATCTGATAGCCAAGCAGCCATTAAAGCATTAACATGTAAAATAATCTCATCAAAATTAGTCAGTGCATCCAAATTCTCCAAAACCTGGGGAAACACAACAACCCGATGATATATTGGATGCCTGGGCACAGAAGAATTTTGGTTAATGAGACAGACTGGCCAGAGGAGGATCTGCAAGACTATACATAGGCCCCGAACCTCCTGTTTTTGGACTAAATATAGAATCCTCCATCGCAGAATGGATCCAAACAAAACAAAAGGAGAAGTGGATAAACTCTAGCGGCACTAGACATAGTAAACTTATTATGAAACAACCCTCACCAAAACTGGCCAACTCATTGCTGCAACTGGAGAGGGCTAAACTCAGAGGAGTGATATGACTTTTAACCGGCCACTGGCATCTGAGAAAATATCTAGACAACATGCGAAGCAACTGTTCAATTTCGATTTAACATAGCACACAGAAAAAAATCTAGAGAATGAAATTGTAACAGCAACAGTTAATACATCTAAGAAGAAGGATTGAGTCTATTGCACTGAACTAAGGAACTAGGAATAAGCCGGAAGGCTGCATTGCCTGGGGAGTACAAACCTCGTTTCCTAGTATCCTTATCACCATACCATACCAGAGTTGTGGCTGGGTTGTCTTGATTATTTGTCGCTCAGTTTGTTTAGTACAATATTAAGACAGGCATATTGATGAATATATTTCTCTGATTTATTGTGCCAACCTTACCTTACCCCTCACAAAAAGTAGTTAAGCATGCTATATATTCTATTATTGCTAGCGCTAAACATCAGGGCAGGCTTACACTTACTTCACATCTAGGATTCCTAACTGCAACGCAATGGCACTTCTGAACAATTCCACACAAAAACTGATCAAGTGCAAACGCTAAATCTCATCACATTGCTTACAAACAAGGATAATAAGCGCAACATCGCTAACTGTTTTTAAAAAATAAATAAAAATTTTAAAAAATTGTGTGCGAAGTCAGAAGCGTGAAGCCTTCCTTAAAGTTGGGTAAACCAACAGCAAAGGACTAAGTTAACACTAACAGAAATTCAATTTCCGAATACACATTTAACAATGAAATAAACAATAGATCAATGGACATTAAAAATTAAATGACCGATGCTTTAAATAAACATTAAATAACATGCAATAAATTAAGAGAAGTACAAAAAAAAAGCTCTGAAGTAGAAAACATTGCTATTTACCAGACTAAAATTGGAAAATATAACAGTTGGAAAGTTCTGTCTGTGAAAAAGTAAAGAATGAACAACAATAATTGGTAAGAACTCAACAGCACATACATTATTTAATCAATTTCATGACTTTTATCTTACTTCAATTAGTTTGATAATTTTATTTGGTATGATTCACGAATGGAAATTGACAACGAAACCCTGTCAAACTGTTTCGATTTTAGTATATTCAATTTTCATTTAAAAATAAAAGTACTCACAGACATGGAAAAATGATGAAGTTACAAACTTATGACCTTGTAAAAATCTGAAGGTCTAGATAACGAATTATTAGTTATCAACAAATACATACTTTGCCAATGACACTTCTATTTTCTGTACAGTTTTCAAATTTTAAACATTTCAACAACATATACAACATTCAACTCCCTAGTTGTATACACTGTGAAGTGTGAACCTCGTCGAATCTTAAAACGTATTACCGTCGATATAGCAATTACGTAATAATCCCTACAAAATTGCTAAGTTTTGACCCAAAATCAAATTTAAAAATCATTGGATAAAACATCACAAACGATTGCGATAGGCGATGAACTTAGTGATATCAAACGACCAACTGGTACTTATCATTTGAGTTCCTTGATTTGTATATGTCATGTCTCTTCGCGGTTTAAAATTTTTCAAAAATTATATTAACAAATTAGTCTAGGATGATGATTAATTTTCCTCTAAAGAAAAAAATGTATTTATTTATTTACAGGCAAAACCTATTAAAAATAAGTACAATTATAAAACATAAATAGGTAATTAAAGCTGATCTAGAATAACAAAACAGACATGACCAAAGCCCTAAGTAACAACAGGTTGACATAATACTTAGATTGCCAAAACATTTGATAAAGTCATAAAGATTGATTGTCTCATCCGAATACTCGACATCTTTGGTCGGTTCTCTCCACATCTAGTTAAGCCCTTATTTGCACAATAGATATCAAATTGTGAAACTTAACTTTACAAAAAATAGCAGTCTTGTGTGGTGTACCTCATAGGTCGTTACTCAGCCCATTCCTTTTCAATGTATTTATGAATGATTTCCCTCTTTGCTGACAACCTGATGGTCTATACTGCTATCACTTCTATTCATGATGTTCCTCCAATAAATCTACAAAAAATGTCTACACTTTTGTCCTTTTTTTAATTTTATTAATTTATTTTTATTTTATTTATTTATTTTTTTAATTTTTTTATTTTATTTTTTTTGTTAAAACGTTAATTTTAAATTAACGATATTGATTGATTTATGTTTAGTGGTCTAATTGACCATATTAATTATTTCAATTAATTATTCTTTTTTATGAAGTCACGATAGCTCAAGAGGTGAGAGAAGCGGCATATTGAGCTGAAGGTCGTGGGTTCGAAACCTGCTCGTGACACTAAATTTTTCATCTCAACAAACTTTACATAAAAAGAACAATTAATTGAAATAATTAGCTATATTGTTAAGCATATATATTTTAATTGAGATTAGTATGAAAAAAGTATTTTGACCCCTTTTTTGCGAACTCAATGAGTAATTGAATGTTAAGCTCTCCTCTATGATAGAAATTATTTTACTTTTTTTATAGTTCTATTATAGTTATATATTAATAGGTAAAGGCTATTTCATTTCATATAACACAATTTGCATTTATTAAAGAACTTATTAACTTATTTTTTAAGGTGCTGCCGAGTGCTCATCGGTCTTGGGAGTCCCTCCCCAGATTTTGAGCTTAAAGGATCTCCAGTGAGCTTAGAGGTGTCTATAATGATTAGACAACGACCCCTAATCGATAAAGCCCTATGCTCAATGTTCAATTTAAAAGCATCCACGGAGTTCCTTTCTTTCCTAGTCTGGGGCTATCACTGTGCTATTCATCACACTCATGGAGCCAGTTCTGCTGACTTATATAAATTTAATGACCAATATGGTCACAGCCTTCAAAAAGAAGAAAAGAAAAAATATATAAAACTCTAAAACAGTTATCAAGCACTTTGAGTCAATCAAAACATAGCAACTTGTATAATTTGTTTATAAATTTGTTAAAACCCTTATATGAATAGCTACTAAGTATTTTTGTATAGTAAAACTATATAAAACATGTTTAATCCATTAAAAAATACAGTGAGAAAAACAGATTTTCAAATTTTGTCTTATTTATACAAAATTAAACAATAACAAAAAACATCTGAACATATTAGTAATACAATGAACTAGAAACAACTCATTCAACTTTACTTTTAAAACAAGACATGGCTAATGAAGTAACATTTGCACAGCTTCACCAGAAGTACTGTGACCTCAAGGATTATTCAAAAAAGCAAGGAGTATCGCAGCAACTGAAGTCGTACTGGGACATCAGTTTAATTAGATTAAATTGTGACAGTATTATAAATGATATCGAAACGAAGATGAAAACCGCTGAATCAGAATCTGATGTTTGGCATCGACTTCTGGCGATGAAAGGTGTCATACTCAATTTTCAAGTTGACTTCCTCCTCCTGTTTGAAAATTTTGGACTCGCTATGGACATATTGATAGAAAACTTTAAAAATATTCACCCTTATTCAAAAAGCAATTACGTCTCTTTTGTATCTTTGCAAACAATACATAAAATCGCTTCTATATGTAAAATGAACGACGATTTGTGTAGCGCACAAGAGATTCTTGAAACAGCAGTTGATATTTATGAAAGCTCAATAGATGAAGGCTATTGCGAAAATGAAGAGCTGTTTTCACCAGATGAAACGGTTTGGCCACGGTTCAATCTGGCTTGTCAATTTGATAACACTTACATCTTCATCTTGGAAATGCTGAAAATAATCCACGATTCAAAAAAGAATTATGTCGGCAGCGTTGTCTTACAGCATCACATATTAAAAATACAATTAAAACGTGGCGATGAAAGTTTGTTCATTTGGCTACAGAATTTATTAAGATTATCAAATAAATTAACACATTTGCAATTTTATAGGTAATATAAAAAAATAAAAACTGCCTTGAAAAATGTACTAATAATTGAATTTGTATTTTTACAGATGTGCAAGGCATCATTTGTCAGTAGCTTCTTACAAATTGGAATCACTAAAAAAGTCATTTGGAGGAAAACAAGTAGAAAATGGGTAATGAATGGTTAATTTTAATCAATAACAATTTTTTTAACCCATAAAATTGATCTAAACAAATGCAAATTCCTCCTGATAAATTTTATATTCACATGCAGTTTGAATAAGTTTTACAATCCTTTATATAGTTGTAATTAAATTTAATTGCTCAAGTGGTTAAGTTTCACCTAATTAATGTGTGAAAAAGAAATTATGTCACCCTATTTTTTTCATTATTTCCATAACTTTAAGGACGGAGAAACCTTTAAAGCCAATTCAGAACAAAGTTTAATTTAAAATAATAATTTATCTAATTCTGAAAAATAATTTATTAATTATTATCATGTTTCAAATTTGTAATTCATAAGTGAAACTTAAATGTTTTTGCTTTTACTACTACTATAAACAGGAAACATGTCGCAAATCTCTTTGATGGTTTAGAAGCCAATCTTGCCTTGGTATGGATAAAATACGCCCTCTCAATGTTTGTCAGTTCAGAAAAAAAATATCTAGAAATTTACTACATCAAGAAAACTCAAAAATCACACAGTGAAGGAAAAGGTGGTAAATTATTTAAAGTAAAGTTAGTTTATTAAAAGTTTAAAGACAAGTAGCTGAATGTATAACTCTGACAATAGATGAATCCCAAAGGACAGATATGACATTGGGTAAAACTGATGAAAAGATCGAGGCTCTCAAATTCCAGTTGGATGTGTCTAGCATAGAAAATTTAGTTACATGTGAAATAATCAGAACAACAAATCAGGCCAAAGATTTGTTTGAATTTGTTATTGAGTGGTTTAATAGGGCAAAGGAGTATTATGAATTTAATGAATTTCCATCTGAGCACATTTCTTTGATGATGGATTTTTCAGAGCTTCATAAATCCTTGGCATTTTTTGAACCTAAATCACCCGAGTAAGATTTTTTTTTTTTTTTTACTTTATACATCCTAACATTTTTTCCCCATGATTTCATCTTACACAGGAGATATATTTTGTTTCAAAAACGCCAGTCGATATTGAACATAATAAAAAATCTATCGGCTCAACTAGACCCGATTGCTTTTGTCGACACCAACGTAGAAATAATGAAAGAACTCGCACAAGTTCATCTCGACCTTCTTCATTCTGATTTGGAAATGCTAAAAGAGATAAAGACGTTTGCAATGGACCAACTCAAGAATAATCCTACTAAAAGCCAACAGTTAGAGAAGCATATTGATAGTAGCATTGATCTGTTTGAAAATCAACTCAACGTTTTGGAAACATATGATGCTGAAAGTAAACCAACATTTCAATTCTGACACAAAGTGCAATAAAGATAGAATATATATTGTGTAACCACTTGTAACAAATGAAGTCAAATGTCTAATTATATATTCTTAAAGAAATTTATATTATTTCATTGTTTTGTAATAATAGTAAAAATGTACAAATATATATACATACTTTCATAAAAGGTGGCTGCTTGGTTAAGGTGTTGACAAGATGTTTCATCACTTTAAATTAAGGATTCTATGTAAAACAAAGCTAAAGTTAATTACAAGCCAAACATAGGGAACTGTGGTGGCTAAGTGGTTAGGATGGCCGCTAGCGGTTCTGGGTTCAAATCTTGTTACAGACCATGAGTTTTTAATTGAGAATAGTATGAAAGAAGCATCAAGTCCACAACAGGTAAAGAGTAGTTGAACGTTAAGCCCTCTCATACTACAAGAATTATTTTTTTTTTTTACAAACCAAATATATACTCAAAGATGAAAAAAATCGGACGTTTGTTTTTTGTTGATTATTTCAAACTATTTGTATTTTCAACATCATATTAATTATGACATACTTATTTTTCATATTTATTATTTCAACAAAACACTGAAAAATCATTTAGGGATAGAATAGTGTTAGCTAAATTTTAATCTATTACTAAATGATTTTCTGGTATTTTGGTGAATTTTCTTTTAAACCATCATAATTAAATATTTTTTATTAAAAAAATCATGAATTTCTGATCTTGTTTAATTTGGTTTATTTAAAAATAAGTGTTATAATTAATATTATAATAAAAATACATACATATATTTTGGAATAACAAAATATGAGTTCCCTCCTTTTTTTAAACTAATTTATTTATTTATTTTTTCTGCCTTTGAGTATATATGCTTTTGAATTTGACACATGCTGATTTTAAAATGAGAGATGAATAAAACACTAACTTTTAATTAAAAATAATTTATTATAATATTAACTTGTTATGTACAGCATTTTTTTTTATTATTATCATCATCCAAATAATCAATGCCATTTAAAATATTGAAGGCAGCCGTAATTATTACATATACAACTGAAATTCTCACAACTCATTCCTCAATAAAGTTGAATATCACACATTCAATTCGTTAAATTAGAATAGGTTGTAAAACATAAAATTAGCACCTTGACTTTTGACAATAGCAAAAATGACATTCATCATAAAAAGAAAAAAAATAGAAGCAATGTCAAGATTAACAGAGTCAACTAATTTATGAACTAATCCTCGTAATGACCACTTATAAATATTGGTGTTTTCTCTAGTGCTGGTTTTTTCTCTCTCAAAATTATGTTTTACCACTACATTAATTTATAACTTAAATTGGTTTGTATAGCAACGTGGTAACATACTTTTTCCTATAACGATGTGTTGCACTCAAAACCATGACACCATCCTTGATTGAAAGAGCATAAAGGTGATTAAGCATGACGTGATTCGGTTCAGGGAGAAGAGTAGGTTCACACTGTAAATTTTTTTTTTCAAAAATTTATTTTAAAACACCTTATAGAAATAGAATAATATTAAGTATCTCACTGATATGGGAGTGTCCCGGTTTAAAATGACTTGAAGAAGGTGGGGTGGAAGCACTGGCGGACCTGCAGGTTTTTCCCATGGCCTCATCGGTGGTATCTCTTGCCCGTAATTACCTGAAAATTATGACAAATATTTTTAATTCAGCACAAAAAAGTAAATTGTGGTAAATTTGTTACCTGGTTGAGTGTGATTTGCACTTTCGCTATCCATAGCTAATGCTTGGAACACCTCAAAATCTGTGTTTTTAACGGCTATCAAGTTATTCCTTGAGCCCATTCCATTTTCAACTATTTTCTAAAATATTTTACAGCATTATTTTATTATTTAGGTCATTACAAAAAATCTATTTTTAAAAAATTGTCATAAGTATTCAGTTTTTAACATGTTTTGTGCCATATTATTTTTAGATACACTCCAAAATTATTGTTGTAAAGTAATGCAATATTATTATTATTATTAAATCCATTATATTTAATGGTCTAGTGACCAAATTACTTCTTTCAATTAATTAATCTTTTTATGTAAAGTTTATGGCTGAAATGGTGTCATGATAGTTCAAGTGGTCAGAGCAGCGGCGTACTGAGCCGAAGGTCGTGGGTTCGAATCCCACTCGTGGCAGTAACTTTTTCATTTCAACCAAAAACCTCACATAAAAATATTAATTATTATTATTGTGAGAACTGTTATTTCTGAAAACTCTGAGCAAAAATTGCAATGGCAGTACATTATTTAAATGAGATTTGTTGTCCTTATTTTATGAGTCCCAATTTTGAATATTCCTGCTGCACTTGATAAGGTTTTTTTTTAAGTTTTACACTGTGTATAATTGTTTGATGAGCAATCACATACTTTTAGACATAGCCCACGAGACACAATATCTGAGCTAGAAAGCCTTAAAGAAGCCCAAAAACTCTGCATAACAACTGGATGTATGCCACAGAAAAGGTTGACGTATTTAAAGAGACAAATTGTAATAAACTTACCAATGAAGGGTCATGTTTCCATTCCCCATCAACATAAAATTTATACTGATGCTCACCCTCAGGCAGATCTATGATTGTAACAAAATCTCCATGGCTGTAAAAAAAATCAGAGTAATAAATTTCTATTTGACTGTAATGTAGTAAAATTGTTATTTTGAGGAAGGTAATTTGTGAAAAAAATCCATTCTATTATTCAAGAAATCATGCTTTTACATCAGTTCCTCTGTTTTTAAAATCATCATTAAACAGAAGTGTTCCTATTGCCAAGCTATGAGTGAACAGGAAGGGGGTAAGGAACACACGTTTTACATGGGAATGTTCCAGATTGAAACTAAAAACTAAAGTGCCAGGTGTTTGTATAGATTGTGAGACTTCCTAAAACATTAATGTTTGCAAGAAAGTAAAATCTAATAGTGATCTGTCATTCATAGAATACTGAGTTATCTTTTTGCTGTTCGCATCTAAGAGGCTTTTTCATTAAAAAATTTACAAGTGTTTGTTTATTAGAAGTTGTTTTCTTAGTTCAGAAAATGGAGGATCCAGGGGTAAAACAATGAGGGGTCCAATAGCATAAATTTTAAAGGAAACAACTTCGTCCCTCAGGCATCTTCTACATTTTAACGTTTCGAGTACCTTCAAATTCACAAAATTAAATCCTCAAAACATAATAAAACTATATTGCCCCCTTGAACAATTTTAGCTTTAATATCAATACACTTACACAGGGGGGAAAAATGCAAGTTTTTTCAGCTCCGACAATTTGGGGGAGTAGGTGAATTATTCTTGAGATTTATATGTGTACATGACTATTTCTTTTTGTTGAAGTGTTTGCTGGAGTATTTTGTTGCTCTGCTTGATCAGGATCAGGGTGGGGTCTGATTTACAAAATCGCCTTATATCTTCAAATAATCTTCAGAGCAATTTTTCTCTGATTACTTCATAATTTTTGAACATTAAACTTTTGTCTAGTACAGATCCCTATACAGGTACAGCATTAAAACAGAAGGATTGCTCCTTCATAAATCATTTCCAGAGAACCCAGTCCCCGTATACCTTCACACATCGAGAAATCATGTTTATTAGTTGCCATGTCTTTTCACATATTCTTTCCCCATGTAATTTCCAGGATAATTTTGTGTCCAGCCACACGCTCAATAGCTTCAATTCTTCAACCTGTGGAATCAGCTCACCCCTCATGTACATTGACACATTTGTCCTTTTTCATTTCATATGTAGAACTTGAAATTTGCTGGGGTTGAATTCTATTTTATTTTCTACTGACCATTTTTTCACAATGTACTCTTTTGAAATCCTTCCAAAGTCATATTTGTCCTGCGTAGCAACCACATCAACTGGTCATTCACAAATGCGATGACCTCGACTCCAATAATTCCAACAAGGAAAGTCCAATCTGAGAAGCATGTCTTATAAGCTAGTTCAAAAACCCTGGCCCACTATATCCGTCATAATTTTAAGTTTTTGTTTATAATTTTTTGATTTCGGGAGGAGCAGTCAAGAATGAGATAGTTTTTCAACACCTTTTTCACTTTTCTGCCGATGTTTTGACCTTTATTCGGGTCATCTTCATGGCATGAAATGTGGTGCTATTTTAGTGGGTGTTGTGTGAAAGTGTAAAAGGCAAAAAAATGGGGGGAAAAGGTGTTTTTCTAAACTCCTCATACTTGACCGCACCTCACAAACCCGACAAATTATTAAACAACCGGTCATTAAAAAACCCAGTTTTGTTTATAATCGCCATTATTTACGGCAGTTTGTTTTGTCTGCTGAGACCTTTGTAGGTTGAGACAAATGAGTATTTCTGGGTTATTTTTTTAAAGGTTTTTTTGTTTTGTGTTTATAAATGTTTTTAGTGATGTGCTGTGATTATTTATGTTAGGTGTTTAATTTACAGGAATAATCCCACAATTATTAGTACAAGGTTAGTAGTGAAGCTACATAAGTATGTGTTTCCATAAAAGTAATCTTAATACTATATATTAATCTATATCACAGTTTGGTAATCGACACAAGAGAGACATCAAATTTTTAGTTATGAAAGCTTACTATTAATTACATTTTTTGTAGTTTATTAAAACTTTCATGGAACCAATCAAAATTTAAGTTTTAAGTGATTTGTTAATGTGCTGATGCATTGGGCCTGAATTGTGTCTTTCTTATCATCCGTTTTAGGTGATTTTTTATAGCATAGTTTACATCTGCGTTCAATTTAGCAGTGGGAAATCTGATTTGATAAAGGGTATCGTAAATTGAGTCCCAGTGATAAGAGATTTTGAATTGGAGGAATATTGTTGACCTGGCGTTCCTCACTACTTCAACCATTTATTGAATCACCGGTCACTAAGCACACACATTTAAAGTACAGATTAGTGTGTGGTGTTTAGTTTAGTGACCATTAATTAATGATTATTTGGAGATCGTGAGATGCGGTCTGGTGGGACGTAGGTACAGAAAAACATTTTCTTTATCGTGCGAGTTTCAATCTTTATTGAGATCTCTTCAGGGCTCAAAGTATTTGTTTTCTGTGTAGATGTGTCATTATTGTGTCGTGTTGAGAGTGCTAACTCTCACTCTACAGCACTCTCAACACGACACAATAATGACATCTACACAGAAAACAAATACTTTGAACCCTGAAGATGATCTCAATAAAGATCGAAACATTGGCAAGATAAAGAAAATGTTTTCCTGAACCTAAGCCAGACCAGACCGCATCTCATGATCTCTCCAAATAATCAGTAGAGATTAGGTTGAAGTTTAAGGTTGAACTTGAAAGAAACAGAGGTTGAGTTGAAATACAGACTGCTTTAATTGTTAGCATTGATATATTACCTTTTGACCATCGGAATGGTCTTCCAGTTAGAAAAAGTACCGCTGATGAGGACATTTTTGCCTCCTCCGTCCCATTTGAAAACTGTAGGAAATACTTTATTGTCATTGACCTGTGTACCTTCGGACACAGTGTTTGATCTTTGGCGAGGAATGTTGAAGGCACCTCCTTCCTGATGAAAACAAAAAGAAAAGAATTCAATTTAATATAAATTTTCGAAGATGAAAACACTCACGGAATTCGGTGTCCCGTCCTTGGCGAATTCGTCGTCGTCTTCGTGGGAGCTTTGGTACACCAAATTCGGTTCGGTTTTTTTGTCGAAGACGAAAGCTTGTTCGTCTTTACAAGGTGAATGAGGCACGTGAAGTTCGCCACCTTTCTGGTGTCTGTCCCTTCCTCCGGCGCTTCCAGCATTTCCCATCTTTACATTTGTGAAAAAGAAAAAATTTTCAGACAAACTTAAAACGCCCGTAGATCCAGAGCCGAATCGACGGCATAACAAGCTATTTCCGTTTCGAACCAATTAATCAAATTCTTCAAATGTTTACATGCTTGTCAAAACATAGATTTTTCAACTTGGTACGTTTATGGAGTTGAAAACAGCTGACCGGTCACTGTTGTCAACGTGACAAGACGTCATTCCCCAGCCCCAGCTAACTCTTGGTTAACACTATCTAGCGAAAATTACAAATTTCCCTAAATAAACCCTAAAAATATTATTTTCCAAAGTTTACAGTTTAATTGAAATTATAATCATCACTCCTTACTCAATTATGTTGGTCGTTGTATTCTTTATATTATATTTTATATCTTGTTATATTTTCTATATTTAAATATTTTTATAAATTGCATTTATTCCATAAAATATATATAATATTATTATTATTATTAATAAATATTATTAAGCGTCTTGGCTATCATTTCAACACGAGAGGTCAAAGACAACGTTGATAAAGAAAACAAACTCGTAAACTTCCTGATAATAATCACATAAGTAGTTTGGACTTATTTTAAGAAATAAAGTATACGTATTTATTATATGAGCTGTGCGAAGAGAATTCAAAGTATGTTTAAACCGTTTCATCTCCGAAAAGTGAGTTGTAATTTAACAATTTCGTTTAAATGTAAAAAAAAATGCCACACAAAATATTGCAGTAGTGTTGACTCTATCTTAGACATCGTCCTTAAAAAGAATGAGCAAGTATTACAAGTAATAAATTATTAATTAATTAATGACATTTGTGATCGGCCTGGAATTGTTTTCACATCAGAAGCCAAATCTACTAATGTTACATTGTTTAACTTTCACTGTTACAAAAATTTGCTTTTTATGTCCGGCACACTCCTAAAAAGCTTTTGTTTGATCTTCATAAATGTTATTGCATTTATTTTTTCAACAAAAAAAGTCCTTTTCTGAAACGGTATTCCATATCACATTCCGTTGGTGGTGGCCCTCTAAAGGAGGTCTACTTGGTTACTGTTTCAGCGGTGGTGTTTAATAAGAAGTGTACCTTTGAGGATCATTAATCATACATGATCAATAGGACAACTTGGGTTTCATTAAACGTATGACATCTGACTTTATAAGTGTTCTAGTTTGGTTTATTCTCTGGTTAGGATTATTCTTGAATACAGTGATTTGATTCATTTATATTTTAGTGGTCAATTGACCAAGTTATTTCTTTCAATTAATTATTTTTTTATGTAAGGTTAAGATAATGGCAAAAAGAGGGAAAATTGGATTGGTTGTAGGTTGAGATGGAGAGTTGGTGTCCAAGAGGATCGAAGTCACAATAGCTCAAGTGGTAGAGCAGCTGCGTTTAGCCAAAGGCCGTGGGTTCGAATCCCGTTTGTGACATTGACTTTTTTATTTCAACCAAGACCTTACATAAAAAGGTTGAATAATTAATTGAAAGACAGTGATTTAATTTGGTCTCCTTATTACAAAACTCATTCAAATGATCTACAAATAATTCAGAGAAAAGCTACTAAATACCTAATTAAATCTAGTTTTAACAAGTCACATTGATTATGTACTCCTTGGTCACTCGGCGTCATGTTGCTTTTTCGCTATCAGGCTGAAAGATTTCAAATGGTTTTATTTATACTCAAGAAATTCTATCACAACTCAGCTTAAGTATTATTGTACTATAGAACACTGTGCCACGGAGATAAAAAGGCTGGATATTGTCAATAGATGAATAACCATATACTCGGACAACCATGCATCACTAAAGGCAGTTACTTCATCGGCGGTGAAATCCAGAGTTGTTTGATACTGCATTAGAGCGAGTGACTGAACTGTTTTACATTTCCGCTTACAGAACCAATCTTTCACCCATGAAATGTGTTTATAGAGCCTGCCCGTTCTTTGAATGTCATGCTGATCAATTTTTTGACAGTCAAGTGGTCTTTAGAAGAAAGATTTTTGAGTTTTTAACGAATAATATGGATATCTCTCGTACTGCTGTGATTTGTAATGTTTAATTTCCCTTTTTTTATTTATATGTGTTTTTGATTGTTCTCATGTTGGTTTACTTTTTATAAACTGCTGTCACCTATTTTTTATTATTTTTTTATTATTATTATTAATTTTTTTAAAAATTATATTTTGACTGTTCTTCTTTGGGGTTCCTGTTTGAACTATGTAATAAATCAATAAACTTGACACTGACTCCTAAAGATCAGTAGAGATAGCACTCAATAGTGGTCTGGCCCATGCATGAAAAATTACAATGAAAAATAAAACAAAGCAAATTTCAAGAGCATATACAGGTTTAACATACATATTTTGAGTCTGTGAACATTCCTGATCGTGCCATCCTACAGTTTAGATGATGGATCTGTAAAGTATCTTGCATGCGGTGGTTGTTACCGACCTCTTGATTAGGAAACAACTGTACAGTCGTTGATGTTAAATAGTTCAACAGGAAAACTGCAGTATCAACAGTCCGATTAATCTCTTTGAGAGAGAGTTTTTAACCAACTTAGGTACCATATGCATATACAATTACAGGCAAAGTACTGTGTATTTGTATAGTATGCAGAGAAAGGGTACTTCCCTTTGCTCCCCATAAAAGACATGCCACTTAATATGTAAGTAATGAACACAACCGTGACTTTCTCTGTTTCCTGTTTTGCTTTTTGTGAGCTATAATCATGCAAAGTTGTTGCATAAACACTCAAATACAAAAACTAGACACTTGTATTTATTTGTTTATTTTCCATAACAACTAGGTAAGAAGATTAATAATTGACTTAAAATGTAAACACAACATTATTGAGTGGTATTAATTTTTCGCTCTTTAGATTAAAAATAAATAAAACAAGTTCAATTTAATCTTTTCCAGAGCCAAATTGTCAAGTGGGGGTTATTTGGTTTTTTAAATAGTTTCCTTTGATGAAATAAATTTAAGTTAATTTTTTTTCTTATAAGCATGATTTTAAATCAAAAACCACTTCACCCAGGCAAATGCAGCTAACGATGGACGTAGCGTCCGTTACATAGCCAAGTCCTTAGTGGTTGAAATATAACAAGTTTAATATTTCATCAGGCAGGACCAATAAAACAATCCAAACTGTCAATAAAACTATCTGTTAATCTTACTCTACTTAATTTAACAATTCAATTCAACAATTTAACAATGTCCCATTTTAGCTTTTTTGTTCTTTTTTTAAGGCATGCAGAACGTTACAACTATTGAGACACAACCACGCCAGGAGCTTGTGTTATTCTATTCATGACCCGCCGTACCTTGACAGTTTGAAACCGAAGATCCCCCAGTATAATCCAGTCAACATTCAAATAAAAGGCTACGATTATGCTTTAGTTGAAAGTTATCAGAAATTGGCTAACAAAATAGCTTCATCATTAGATTTAAATATTTCAGATGCGTAAGTTTTTGAGTATTTGTTATATTTTAAACTGAGTTAACTTAACTTATCAATATTTTAAGGTGGGCAACTCCAGCGACGAAAGCCAAAATACAAAAATTCAAACCAAATGGAACAGTTATCGATAAAGAATATATATTGACGACATACGAAAGAAACATACAGGTATTTTTAAATGTTCAATATGTCACATTAAACAAAAGTTATTTGTCCAGCTTTATTACAGATTGAAGAGCTCTCTTCAACAGTGGCTCCCATTTTGATAGAACTTCTGCAATGTGCTCTCCCTCAAGGCATTTCCTTTCATCTCCACCTACATGAAGAGGAAGACGATGTCAAACGCTATGTCCCAGATATGGAACTGTCCGAGCTAAAAACCCAATTGGAAGAATTGGGAGGACCAGTTAAAAAGAAATAATAGTAAAAAGTAAATTGTGGTAATTACTTCATATTTAATTTTGTAAATAAATAGTTAAACAAACAAGTCTTTTAAATTTGTATTGAACAATAATAATATTAATGAATTAACATGTACAAAAACTAACTTTAAAGTAGTCATTGATCACTACGTGTGCTAAAAAAATAAATTATAATTCCAATGGTTGTATAAATTTTAAATTTTAATTAATTTGAACATTTGTGGAAGGATTTTTTTTTTAAATTTTTTAAATGTTTTTATTTGTTGCCTACACACAGTAGAACATATTACAAATGAGATAATATATATTTTATCACAGTCACAGCACTAACTCTAATGCCAGCGTTGCACCCGGATATACCATGAGAAACCAGTGAATGCACCAAAACACTCAATGTGAAGGATTAAGGGGCAAGGAGGTCTCGAGTCCATCATCAATCCATTATCCTAATGTGTAAATAGGGCTTGAATAGTAAGATTAGGATGGATTGAAAGGATGGCATGATAGAATCGGGAGCGGATTTGTTTAATGAAAAAAAGAATGAGGTTATTGTAGATTCTTAATTCACTACTTTCGTGGTCCGCTTGACCAATTAATACATGACAATTAATTAAGGTTTTTAGTTGAGATGAAAAAAAGTTAATGGCACAAGAGGGATTCGAACCCACGACCTTCGGCTCGTAAGGTGGGGTTGAGATGGGGAGTTGATGTCCGAGTGGATCGAGTCACGAGAGCTCAGGTGGTAGAGCAGCGGCGTATCTAGCCGAAGGTCGTGAGTTCGAATCCCTCTCGTGCCATTAACTTTTTTTCATCTCAACAAAAAACCTTAATTAATTGTCATGTATTAATTGGTCAAGCGGACCACGAAAGTAGTGAATTAATGATTTAAAAATGAAGTACACTTCACTAAAGCTCTCCGACGCCATTTCAATTGTCGTCGAGAATCCAAACCGATTACACGACATTTGGAAAATGGCAAAAGGAGGGAAAACTCATATGGTGGGGTTGAGAGGGGGAGTTGATGTCCGAGTGGATCGAGGTCACGATAGCTCAGTTGGTAGAGCAGCTGAAGTACACTTCACTAAAGCTCTCCGACACCATTTCAATTGTCGTCGAGAATCCAAACCGATTACACGACATTTGGACATTTTTTCATCTCAACTAAAAACCTTAATTAATTGTTATTGTGGATAGTGAGGTTAGTGATGTGGTAAAGAGCTTTGACATTGTCTTTGAAAATTTGATTGGAAGGATTAGATGTGCTGATGGCAGATCCCCACAGTTCCATTCCATTTGTCCAACATGGTCACAGTAAAGTCTCAAATAAAGTTAGTTTAGTTTTGACGGTCAAGATGGATTTTAGCCCTAGAAGCCTTCATAGTTTTCCAAATCTATTAAGTTTAGGTGGGGATTCCACATCAGTCTGCTGTCTAGGTAAAGTCCTACATATTTGACTTTAATGGAAGTTGGTATCTCTGTGTTGTTGATGTACACATTTCTCCAGTCTTCGATAAGCTCATGGTGTTGTTGGATCTTGGAAGTAGCTTGGATAGAATACTAGTTAGAGGACAAAATTGCAGTATCATCCGCATCGGTGTAGATGATATGTAGGAGGGACCAAAAGTGCTCTTATGGGATGCTGACTATCAGTGATTTCCGAGAACTTGATGCCACACATCAGAAGCAAAGGTCGGTTAGGTAGGATTTCAGGTGACAATAAGGAGTTGGTTGGAACCGTTCAAGTTTATAAAGCATGCCTGGGTGCCAGACCCATCAAATGCTTGTGGTATATCTGAGAACGCATCCAATCAATACTCTTGGTTCTCTCAAGCCAAAGAAATGGTGTCAACAACTCCAAAATTTGGTGAGTTGGAGAATGAGAGGTTGGATTGAGGGGTTGATTTTATGAATATCTAAGATTAAGTGCTTTAAAAGGAGTCAAGTATTTTGGAGATTGCAGGAAAAAACTCATGAATCTGTAAATGTGACACAAGACATGTGGTATTTACCGAATCCTGAACATTTGCCAAGTCATGAGATGCTCGACTTGGCACTTGTCAAATAGAGTGCCTATGTGTAGACATGCCGGGTCTGTACAACCAGCCAGTTTGTGCGGAAACAGCGTATTTGCCAAGTGATGTGTGAATCCTCAACGTACTACCAATTGTGATGGACAACAATGAAACTGTCTTTGCTGCACCTGCGGTTACTGTTTATTTTAGTAGGTTAAAAACTCAGTCACTGTTGCACTATTGCCCCTTCTTACTTTCAAACCATTTCCACGCATCAAAAACCTTGTTCCAATTTTTGATTAGGAAGAGAAACGTTCCAAATTATTTGTTCAGCTTGGTACAGATCGAGGAACTCCAAGACTTATATTGGACCAATCCATACCGAACCGAATGTTCTTTCATTAGTACATCTATTCTAGTTAAAAATCGTTTATTATTGAAATATAAATAGAAATGTTGAATAATGAGTACAGCGAATAACTGAGCACCCTTCCACACTAGTCGGGATTCGGTGAATCCCGCATGTCTGGAGCCACCTTTAGATGTATGTCAGCTTAAGAATTAAGAATAACGAGTGAAGTATGAATGTGAATGGTTAGAGCAGTATTTAGTCAAAGGTCGTGAGTTCGAATCCTGTTTGTGACACTAACTTTTTCATTTCACTCAAGACCTTATATAAAGAGTCAAAGAGACTAATTAACTAATACTCAGTTAGCTTTTTCACCTCAACAAAGACCTTAAATAACAATTCTATTTAATTTACATAACATTTAATTTACATTACATTATGACTCTAAATACAAGACTTAATTCTGAATTAAATTAATTAAATCCAATTGTTTTTATATAGTCACTTTCATACTTAAAGATTAGAAATAGCGTAATAAAGACATTTTATACAATTTAAAATGACTTTCAGAGTTTTGAATGTATGACTAGAGCTGCCAACGATTGTCACATGTGTTGTCTATTTTCATCGCGAAAAAGTAAGTGTTTTGTTCACTTTGAAGTAATTCATTTTTATAAAGTCTTTTGTATATAAAGTATATAAATAATTTTTGTTTTATATGAAGTTTTTAAAAAAATCTAGACGTGGCCGCGTGCTGCTCCCTGCCTCAGTTGCAGAAAATAACGCTCTACAGAAGCCAGTCTTCGAGGGCGGTTATGTGTGAATCCAGGTCAAAGATTATGTCAGCACTTGCATCCGCCGACGACGTTTTTGATTTTAGCTCTCGTTAGGAAGGTTCCGAAAAATATGGCCGCCTTTCTTTATTAAAAAAAAAGCATGTAATTCGTTAAATTCCAAACTAAAATAGTGACAATAAAATAGTTATCGATCAATTATTAGATATCGGGTAAAACAAGCGCGAGGGGTCGTTGATTTAGATTAAGATGAGTGTGGACGCTTACGGGCCGAGTTCGCAGACGTTGACTTTTCTGGACACAGAGGAAAACGACATAATCGGAGCCGACACTCAAGGGTCACAGTATGATTTCACGGATTTTACACTACCCTCACAAAGCCAGACTCAGCCGTCGCAGTTGGACGTCGGAGCCGGTCAAATCCAGGTGAAATGCATAAATTAAAAAAAAAAAAAATTAAAAATCAATTTCCATCCTTGCCAATACATTTTAAAAGTTTGTTAAGGTTATCTTGACCAAGACTTCTTATCAGAAAAGCTACGTCTTATGGTTTTTCCCGTTAATACATCTACAACTATTAAACTACGCCTAATACCAATTACGGACCAATTTGCCGTTTCAGCAACGATTCCGTCTCAGCATGATAGCAAGTTGCTAGATCATATTATTCCTCTTGGCAAAAACTCGGTTTTCCGTTTTAATAGAACGTCTATTTTGGACAAATGAAGTCACAAGCCATACTTGGGCTTATCATCTGGTTTACGCTACGAAGTGCGATGATGAACATATCATACGTTATCACCTCGCGCGATAAACGATCAATTTTGAAGTTTAAAATTCAAAATTTCGCCGTTATGGAACGTTAATTAAACATTAGGTTAGAAGAAAATTCAACCGACCTAATTCAATTCGTGTGGGCGTATTGTAATAAAAGTCAGCAAACACCTGATAATTAGGATAATTTTATATTTTAAAAAACTTTTTATTTTATTTTATGCCACTGTATAAATAAGCACTAAACACCATTTAAATGTTTTGTGATATTTCATGTACAGGTCTGCAGGGTGATAAACGTGTAGGGTCATAGTCAGTCATTTTGATTCGCCTGCTTTCTCTACTCTTTCCGCCATTGTCAGTCATTGGCTTTAGTGCTAAAAACAATTTCACATTTTCTAAATTTATAAAAAGATTGGCAAAATAAAACAAAGACTAAATACAAAAAAGTCCTGATGAGTGTTGGGGAGGGGGTCGAACCCCAAAACCCAGGACAATGGAATTTATTATGTTTTAATTGACAGGTGAATTGAGAAGTCGCATATGCAAATATCACTTTTATTATATGTATCTAATGGAAAAAACTTTGATGGAACAGTTTTTGTTTTAATCGTTAAACATTTCCAAAAGGTCAAATTGAAAAACAGTTTCTAGAGTTATGTTATTGAAGCGATATTAAAGGCCTACCGCCTGTGACTCCAATTTGATTCCAAAAACCTAACACCCTACCACAAGCTTTGAATACAGGGGTTTTCTAGAAGAGTTGTGTCGTTCTGGAACGATATATAAACAATATAAAGGGTGTATTTGTATTAAATGTAAACAGACTTGGAGTTTCACATGTACAAGATAAGAGAGGGTGTTCTTCGAATCAGAAGTGACTTGCTATGTGAAATATATACCTGTTTGGTGTACATATAAGGAGACCCATGATATAATGAAAGATTGATTGTATATCAAAATGTTGCCTATAAACATAAAGCCTTCTACGATAGAAAATATGCTCAACTGTTTTTTTATTTTTGCATAACGAGCGCCCACACAGTCACTTTCCGTCCAGAAGGTGCCCATGAGTTTTTGTTGTACAACTTATACGCAGTCTTGCCAGTACAGCCTGTTCCATTTTCAACCGGTTCTCCAGGTACCAGATGTCTTTCTTAACCTGCCATAGTTTGGCAGGGTTATTTTTATTTTTACGAGACAAATGATTTTTCCATTTTACTTTTACTGTATTGGAAATTAGAAAACGTTGGGTCTTCTGGCAGCTTATTTAGACGTCCTTTCTGTTTCTTTGTTTTTGGCTCTCCCTGTGTAACCTTCCCAAATGGATTATTAAAACTCAATTCTTACAAAATAGAGGTTTTTTTGCATCTTAATAAAGCATTTGTAAGATATAAAAGGAAAAGTACAGTTATGTTAAATTTTCTTATCTTAGATTCTTATATTATCTTAATTCTTAGACTTCACAAAAAATTCAGCAACTGTCCTATGTATTTTAAATTTAATAGTGTACATTAGAGCAGTTTGAGACTGAATATGGATTTTATTAGTTATGAATTGGTTTTTGAACTTTGTTACATAGTGATAACATCCAATAAATTAAGTCTGGTGCACAAGATAAAAAGACACTTTATGGCGATTTTCTTGTAAAACTGTTTAGGTTTTATACACCCAAAATGTATTACATTTCTTTTATAACATGACATTTACAAAATCAAAATTTCAATTTTTTTTTTTTAAACCTAGGTCAATGGGAAACTCAACATAGACATTGATGGTGTGGTATCTGCCACAGCACAGAAGCTAGGAGAACTTCAGTTTGAGGAGGAGGAGGAAGATGCCTTTTACAATAAAGTAATTTTTTCTTTCAATTCTTTTTATTGAATAAATTAATTGTACAAGTTGAGAAAATGTGTTTTTTGTTGTAGGAATTGCCTCTTTACGCTTGTAAATACTGCGGAATCCATGATCCTAGTTGTGTTGTTATGTGTAATGTCTGTAAAAAATGGTTTTGTAATGGTCGTGGGAATACATCAGGATCCCACATAATCAACCATCTTGTTAGGGCAAAGCATAAGGTAAAAATGTTTAGTTTACTTGATTGAATTATTATTTTTTATGTTTATTTTTTAAATCTAGGAAGTAACTCTTCACAAGGATGGACCACTAGGTGAAACTATATTAGAATGCTATTCTTGTGGTGTAAGGAATGTTTTTGTGTTGGGATTTATTCCGGCAAAGGCAGATTCGGTTGTGGTGCTCTTATGCCGCCAACCTTGTGCAGCGCAAAACTCCTTGAAAGATATGAACTGGTTTGTATATTAAAAAATTTACTTTCATCCTAAAAGTAAGGTTTTTTAAATATATTTTTTCCTTTGCAGGGATCAAGAGCAGTGGAAACCGTTAATTTCTGACAGGTGCTTTTTATCATGGCTCGTTAAAGTTCCTGCAGAGCAGGATCAATTACGAGCGAGACAGGTCAATGGAACTCAGATAGCCAAAATGGAAGAACTTTGGAGAGACAACGCAGATGCAACATTTTCAGACCTTGAAAAGCCAGGTGTTGATGAAGAACCTCAGCAAGTCCTTTTAAGGTAAATAAATGTTGGATTAATAAAGTTCAATAAAGATGATTGAACAAAAGTAATGATTATTTATGAAGAGTCGGCTTCTTTGAAGTGAAAGGGACCGACAATGGAAAAAAAGACAAACCAACAAACCATTGCCCCTTTTCTCCATTGTCGGTCCCTTTCACCTCAAAGAAGCCGACGCATAGAAAAATGAATTTCTTCCCTACTTCCTTCCCCACTCCTTCAAAATCAAACATGTATAAACAAAAAATATTAATATCTCACTAACACAATAGTGACACTTCTACACAGAAAACACACTTTGAGTGAGTACAAATACTTTGATTAAATATAAAATTTCTATATTGCATACACCATTGTATAAATTCATATAGTCATATCTTATATGAATTAATATAATTTAATCAATGGTTTATAAATCCCAGACCCTGAAGATGATCTCAATAAAGATGGAAACATTGGCATGTTAAAGAAAAGGTTTTTCTAAACCTACACACACCAGACCACATCTCATGATTTCTAAATAATGATTTAACAAATTTGAACATAAATATGGTGGTATGCTAATAATTCACAAACTAGGATGAGAGCCGATTAACCCACTGGTTCATCATATCTTTATCATAATATTTTTACAATAAATATTTATTATATTATTGTAACATGTTCATCCTGATCTCCTTGTTATATAAATATTTATTCAAAAAGTTTAGAGTTACATTTAAATAATTTTTCTGAAAAACAAAAACATTAGACATGCTAGATACGTTTATAATTCATCAAGGAATTATTTACTGCTTTATGACTTTTATTGTTCAAAGAAATCAATTAATTTATGAATAAATGTTTGATTTATAGGTATGAAGATGGTTATCAATATCAAAACAAATGGTTAGAACATTTTTGGCCCTCTTGTCAAACTGGAAGCTGATTACGACAAAAGATTGAAAGAATCCCAGACTCAAGAGAATGTTGAAGTCAGATGGGATGTGGGGCTTAACAAGAAGATCATTGCATATTTTACCCTAGCAAAATCTGATGGAGATATGAAATTAATGCACGGAGACGAATTGAGATTGCGTTATTTGGGTGAAATGCACAAAGCTTGGTCTGGAGTCGGCCATGTCATAAAGATTCCAGACAATTATGGGGAAGAAGTGGGAATTGAATTGAAATCGACTGTAGGAGCTCCGACCGATTGCACATCAAATTTTGTTGTCGACTTCATATGGAAAAGCACAAGCTTTGATAGGTAAATCTTATAATTTAATATTACAAACATTATTATTATATTAATGACTTTAATTTTTGTGTAGAATGCAGTTCGCTCTGAGGAAATTTGCTGTAGACGATGTCTCAGTCTCTGCTTACATTTACCATCGGTTGCTGGGCCATGATGTTGAAGATATGCTTTTTAGAGTGCATTTACCAAAACATTTCTCAGCCCCTAATCTTCCCGATCTTAATCGATCACAAGTATATATAATTTGAATAAATACAACGTAAAATCCTCGCTCTAAAATTTATTTTTTATTTTTAAAGGTTTATGCAGTTAAGCATACGCTTCAAAGGCCGCTTTCCTTGATCCAAGGTCCTCCAGGTACAGGAAAGACAGTAACCTCTGCCACCATAGTGTTTCAGCTTGTTAAACAAAACGGCGGCCCTGTGCTAGTATGTGCTCCATCAAATATTGCTGTCGACCAATTAACTGAAAAAATCCATAGAACGGGATTGAAGGTATGAATTTTTAATTAGGAAGCGAATTTAATTGGGTTCAGTAACTTACATTGATCACAATTTGCAATTCAGGTTGTCAGAGTTTGTGCAAAGTCTCGGGAGGCGATAGATTCACCGGTGTCTTTTCTAGCCCTTCATAATCAAATTCGTAAAATGGACTGGTAAGCATATTAATATAATTAAATTTAATTTATATAATTATTGTGAGTGCAATATTTATCATCTTGTGTCTAATCATAAGTTACAGAATCATCAGAAATTTTTAAAAATTGTACTTTAGGGTATGCTTAAAACCTGTCTATGTATTTCAAATTGTAGACATTTTTTTTATCATTAAATTATAATAATAATAAATTAATTTTTAAACTGGGGAAGAATAGTTGTACAGAATAGTCTTTGAGACAATATGCATTTTATGTGTAAAATTTGTTTAGATATTTAAAATAATAAAATATTGTAGCAATACAGAACTTCAGAAGCTGCAGCAGCTGAAGGATGAGACTGGAGAATTATCTTCTGTTGATGAAAAGAGATATCGAATGTTGAAAAAATCTTCTGAAAAAGAGCTCCTCGATGCTGCTGATGTCATTTGTTGTACTTGTGTCGGAGCAGGGGATCCAAGGTTAATAAGGCTCAAGTTTCATTCAATCCTTATTGATGAGAGTATGCAAGCGACAGAACCAGAATGTATGGTACCAGTTATTCTTGGGGCTAAACAGGTAAATATTTAGTACTTTATATACATTTTTTGTTCTTAAATAATCCTTGTTATGTTTAATAACATTTGATGTTTGTTTGAAAGTTAATTTTAGTCGGAGATCACTGCCAATTAGGGCCTGTAGTCATGTGCAAAAAAGCTTCACGTGCTGGGTTGTCTCAGTCATTATTTGAGAGGCTAGTTGTTCTTGGTATACGACCTTTTAGGTTAGAAGTACAATACCGTATGCACCCTGAGCTCTCAAGGTTTCCTTCTAATTTCTTTTATGAGGGATCTCTACAGAATGGTGTCAGTGCAGGTAAACTTCCAAGCCACTTACATTAATTTCACAGATTTTAATAATTTTTTGTATTTATTTTAGATGAAAGAAAACTGTCAAAAGTTGAATTTCCTTGGCCTGTACCTGACAAACCCATGCTGTTTTATGTGACACAAGGTCAGGAGGAAATCGCCGGATCTGGAACCTCATATTTAAACAGGACTGAAGCTTCGAATGTCGAGAAAATGACGACTAGGTTTCTTAGAGCTGGAGTCAAGCCAGAGCAGATAGGAGTTATAACACCTTACGAAGGCCAAAGAGCTTATCTTGTAAGTTTAAAAAAATAAATAAAATCATCACCAGTTATAAACTTATAGGAGAAATTAAATAACAATTCTTGTCTTTTAGGTGCAATACATGCAGTATCAAGGAGCACTTCACTCAAAACTTTACCAAGAAATTGAAGTTGCCAGTGTTGATGCTTTTCAGGGTAGAGAAAAAGATTTAATAATTATGTCTTGTGTGAGATCGAATGAACATCAAGGTATCGGCTTTCTAAATGACCCTAGGAGATTAAATGTAGCTCTAACAAGAGCTAAATATGGCATTATTATTGTTGGAAATCCAAAAGTACTTTCCAAGGTAAATATTCAACTTTCAATAATTATTTAAGAGAGAGGATCCAACAAGTTTTGTTTTTTCATTTTATTAATGTTTACTTATTGCACACCTACAAGAAAATTGACACAACTATCTATAAAAACTGTCTTGATCCATCTATATTGTCTTTCATTTGACCAAGACTAAAAATTCTACCTGACTGCCCTTAAAAACTACGCCTTTTTGAGTTGTGTCACTTTTCTTGCATATTTTGGCTCTCAGTATTTTAAGTTAGGTCGTTTGCTCTAACAATGATGGTGGTTAATGAATGACTGTAAGGGTATTCATTTTTTTGAGATAGTAGGGGATAGGGACAGGGATAAAAGAGGCGGCCACAAAGCCTTCACCTGAATTGATCTATTGTGCTCCCTCCCCTGTTTTTTATAAGTCACTGGCCACTTCAGGTTATTAATTGGCCTCCATAGCTTTTCCAGTGATTCTTTAGTGTAGGATCTTGCTTGCGGCTTTTCTTGTCGTAGTTGCAAGAACCTGCACCTAAATAGACCTTCACAGAAACTAAAATATGTCTGCTCCTCCTCTTCTTGGTTGTCCCTGCAGTGTTTCTTCTGTTTGTATTCCTATCTGCTGGGACATGTGCTTTCTTATGTGGCAATGTCTTATCAGGAGTCCAACCAGAATCCTGGTTCGGTTGTGGTTGCCTTCCAGTAATTATTTATAAGTTTTGCGGATTGTCCTTCTACGAATCTCTTTGCATAGCTTCATGCTTGTGGAATTGTTCTACCTGGTTTCGGCTCATTAAGGATTCATGTTAAGATGTATCCTTAAGATGTTTTATGGCAGGGTGCTAAGCCACAGTACTGGGTAGCCTTTTATACCATGGCTATCTTGACTTGTGCCAAGGCCCCCTCGTAGGATACCTCCTTCTTGGTGGGTCTTGGCTTTTTTGGCCCCTGCTTTTAGGGGGTGCTGTCTTAGTAATTGGATTACTATAAAATAATGTAGAAGTTGAAACAAACATTGCTACATTGCAAATCTTCAATCAGTTGTAAAGTGGGGGAAAAAAACAATGCATGAGAATGGTTGGAAGGTCCGCTCGGTTTGATTCACATCTGCGCTGACTCGCTGTAGCATGACATTGAGTAAAGAATCCCATTTAAGATGTGATTTAAAAAATACTAAAATACAACACACTGGATTCGAGATTCATTGTCGCAGAGCGTCCCAAACTCAAGAAAATGAATCCCAGTGTGTACTAGGCTTAAGAGTCCACCTACAGTTGTCTTTTTTTCTCACACACCCGAAAACTTAAAAAAAAAGCCTGTTTTTATAATTTTTTGACCTAGGTCACTTTTCTTGTGGGTGCGATAGGTTGGATCCTCTTTCAATAAAATGTATTTTGTATAATATAAACTATAAGTCTTATGTGTTTTATTATTCATTTAGCAACCTTTATGGAATCACTTATTGAATTTTTACAAAGAGCAGAAAGTGCTTGTAGAAGGTCCTCTAAATAATTTGAAGGAATCACAAATTCAGTTTTCAAAGCCAAAGCAAATAGTCAACACTGCCAATCCTGGAACGCATTTTATGTCGACTACAGTTTATGATGCCCGTGAAGCAATGGTGCCCGGTAGTATCTATGACAGAAGTAGTGGTTCAAATAATCCTTCACATTATTATCCTAGGCCACCAGGTAGTCATATGGCATTTATACTTTTGTTGACAATATTTTACTAAATAATACTTTTTAGCCGGTAGTGGGATGGACTTGTTCTCTAGACCTCATGACCCTATTAGTTATATATCTGCAGACCGAGCTCAAGCAGCAATATCTAACATGCCTGTTCCACTGGGAATGTTTATGAACATGACTCATGTCCCTCCACGTTTCTACAATCAGCACCAACAAGCACTCCAAGGTTGGGGTTTTTATTTATTTAATTTTTTAAATATTAATTATGGTTTAATGTTGTACTTCTTTTCTTTTAATTTCACAGCAAGGCAAAATCAAAGAGGCGGAAGGTTAGGAAGTGGACGTGTTCGTAACAAGGGAATTAACGTTAAGAATAAATTAGCTGCTCTTAGCCAAAGCAATAGTCAGGATATTACTCAGCCTTACAGCCAAGGAATTACTCAGGCCATGTCTCAGGTAAATATTTTTTTAATATTTTACACAAAGCTCTATCGTTATCTAGTTATAAATATTGTTATAAATAAAGACCTAATTCTTATGCAATTATCTTTTTATTAATAATTTGAATCATGGAAAGGATGTTCTTATGTCATGATTATTTTGCATGAAATTCCACATGTTTATGGTTTACGGGACGTAATTGCATTTTATCCAACTTCAAATTTTTATTATTTTTATATGTGAAAATACATAATTTTTATGGATTAACTGTGTTGAGTAAACAAATTGAGGGTAAAATCTTATTTATAATGCGTTTCATCAAAGTTTTCAACTTCCGATGCCTAGAAGTTTCCAAGTAAATATTTTCGGTTTTTCGGTTTGATATCCACTGATCCGCTCTGCTCCATCACTTGTGTATTTCTCTTTTCTTTTCTTTTTTTCTCAGTTTTTCTTTGGTTTGGAAGCAAAACAAAACCACATTATTATTTTTAATTTTTTAATTTAAATAGTATCCATTAAGGTTGTTATACCTAAAGTGGAAAAAGTGGTGGCTACAGGACTACCCGGAACCGAAGACCGATGGTAAATTTGTCTTGATTGACCAGGTCTTTTTTGAAACACATTCTGTATTACAAGAGGTATGACTTGAGAGGGGGAAAAGATGATATATCTGATGTTGGATTACAATGAAATAAATAATTTGTTGTACTTGGTATTATTTGTTTATAATTTAAAGTTGATTGTATATGAAGAAGTTTATTTAATTATTAGGTAAATAAAATGGTTAATATGTTAAACAAGATTTTTTACCGTATTACACTATTTATTGTGGGGGAGGGGGCATCAGCGGCTTTAATGGTTTAGGTAGTTAATACCTTTTTTTTGTACATTTTGAGATTTTTATTGCACATTTTAAAGGTTTCTACTCCACGAAATTCCGGTTTTTAGCTGTGAATATTTAAAACTGACTAGCCTTTTTTTCCTTCAGGGTATGTCTCAACCTGGACTTAGTTTATCTCAAGCTGGCTTATCCCAAGCGGAACTTTCTCAAGAGTCGTATTTGGTGGGTGAGTTTCCATCTCAAGTAGATGGTCTTCTTTCTCAAGATTCGACATACCAAGGCGAGAGGTCGTCTTTCTACACTCCACCAAATCCTCATTTTTCGCAGGTAAATCATCCGTCTTTATTATTATTATTATTTTAAATAATATGTTTATAATTTGTATTTCATTGTTCTAGCCTTATTGAGAAACCTCATGAGTATGGGATGTACACAAAAACAGCAAGAAAGCAACATGGCTGCTGTTGAAACATTGGGCACTGAGCCCTGAGCAACAAGGCGCTAAGCGTTCTACGAGGAGGAGATATAAAATCATAAATACTGGAAAGAAAATCTGTCCAAACGGTCACTTCTAGAAAGCACTGGGAAGTGCAGATAAACCACCTCATTTTACAAACACTGTTGGAGTTTTGTTGTAACAACTAGCTAATTTTTGTTTTTATTCTGAAAAATCCATTATAAATCATATTTTTAAATCACATTAAAAGCCATATTTACACTCATTGATTGAGTATCTGAATTAAATCTGTACGTTATTTTCTCTTATATGAAAGTTAGGTGGTGTATAGCCAGCTTTTGTGCTAAATATCAAGAAGCACCCATTTTCAACACGATTAGTATTTGCATTATCTTTTAATATTATTAATTGTTCCTCATTAAGCAAATACATGTTTGTTTTGCAACATTATTTTTCAGAACCACTTGTCAGTTTTTGTTATTTATATATGCAATTTATTTGAGGAATCTTGTTTGTTATGTCAAATGAAATAAAAGAAAGAATTATTTTGTTAGAGAATATATTATAAAGAAATGTTACATATTTTTGTACACTTGTGATTTTTTTTAATTATCTTTTTTTATTATTATTATTATATTCATAATTAAGTTTGCATTGCAAACAATAAAAAGTAGGAAACAGAACATAGCCGCTGCGTGCTTAACAACAGAAGTGAACCACCCAGAAACAAATCTATTTAACAAGTGGAGTAAGAAGTAGTCGATTCATTGGCTTTTTCACAAATTAATGTTATAAAATTTTGTTTTTCTTAAATATTATAAAAGGAAAGGATAGAAGGAGGGAGCGAAAGCTAGCAAGAGGGAGAAAGTTTACTTAAATAAAGCATATTATTCAAGCTAGAATAGTTGCATTCTTCTAAAAAGTTCTAAATATATAATTTTTCCACAATTTTATCTTCTTTCTTTAATTATAAATAGTTAAATATATGACTAAAATCATTATCTAAAACAACGAACTATCCACGTTTCAACGATTTAAACAGTATATAACAAATATTTGAGTTGTTTATCCTACCCTTGTTGATCACAGGTTTCAGTTGTCTATTGAGATTTTTCAAAATTTGTTTTGTGAAACTTTATAATATATTGATTTAAAAATAATATCTTATTATTTTTCTCACATTTTTATTTGAATCGCCAGGCAAAAGTTTATTATAATTTAAAATTTAAACATGTTTAACTTCAGAAATAATTGATCTATTTTTCACATATTGTCAATCTATTATTTACATTAACACCCAATATTCTTGCCCTTGTACTTAAGAAAATTATGATAAAATGAATAGAAGAAAAGTATAATAAAAGTTTATTTTCAAAAAGCTTTTTTTTATTCCAACTATAGGTAAACATTTTTATCAATTAAATACCTTATATCAAATATTTTCTTAATAGCACACGTATTTTGTTATTAAAAAAAATGGGGGTGCAGGTGGCAGAAATGGTCAAGGCATTGATATGGCGTTTATCAATAAGAAAAGGCCAAAAATAAGATAAGTGACTGCTCACAAAATGTTTCAGACGTCCATTCAACTTTCCCCAGCTCAAGTTTAATAAAGCTGACCTTTTCCTTGTATATGAGATTTTACATTAACCAAACTGTTGTTGCATTGGACCATACTTTTATGAATAATGTTAACTTGAATTGTATTGATTGCTGGTTGTCATATCTTGAAATTCTATGTTTGGTGAGATTAATAAATGAACACTGAAGATTGCCTTTATAGCTCAAAATGTCTGTCTCTCAATAAATTAAACTACACATGATACAGAATACACATGGTTTCTTTCAATATTTATTATAACGTATCTGAAAGGTCTTGGTTGAGATGAAAAAATTAGTATCATGAGCGGGATTTAAATGCACAATAGCTCAAGTGGTTAGAGCAGCAGTGTATTTAGCAGATCGTGGGTTCGAATCCTGCTTGTGACACTAACTTTTTCATCCGAACCAAGACCTTAGATAAAAAGTATAATTAATTGACTTAATTCAGAAAATGTTTTTCTGAAACCTACATCACACCAGACCGCATCTCACGATTTCTGAATAATTATCGATTAACGGTCACTAATCACCACACAATATAAATTAAGTCAATTAATTATACTTTTTATCTAAGGTCTTGATTCGGATGGAAAAGTGTCACAAGCAGGATTCGAACCCACGATCTGCTAAATACACTGCTGCTTTAACCACTTGAGCTATTGTGCATAGCTCTGCATTTCTGAATAATTAATTTATATTTTTTGTCTTCTAGAGCTTTCTCTATAATATCAATTAATAAGAGGATCTATGGTGGAGTGCTTGATACTGCTAGTTGCTATTTACTGAGCCCTTCTGTATAAGAATAAATAATCACTATAATTTAATATTGGCAAAACTATCAAATTAAATTATAAAAACTTTGCCATGTTTATAAAAAGTAAAGAAAAACATTTACTATGTATGTAAGAATAAATTGATTTGTTTGAATTATGTAATCAATGAAATAATGTCAGATTTGGTCATCCTCATAGCAGTATTGCATCTTAAAATTCAGTTATTTTTGTTATTCTGTTTCTTGGATTCTAAAAAAATATGTATATGCAAAATAATAAAGTCACTTTTCTTATTTCTAGGTCGAGTCGTTAGCATGTACTGTGAACACAAATCTATGTTGGAACAGTTTTTGATTCCAAAAACCTGTTGCCCCTGATGATGGCCTTATAAAGGCAGTAAGCTTGGCAAGTAATTGCAGTGTCTTTTTTTTTACCAAACACCAGAGCCATATCATACTACTTGATAATTCCGCATAATCATATTTAGAAATAATTAATTTTTTTGTGTAAGGTATTGGTTGAAATGAAAAATTTACTGTCACGAGCGGGATTCGAACCAACGACCTTCGGCTTACATAAAAACAACACACGACCTTACATAAAAAGATGAATTAATCGAATGAAGTTATTTGGACAATCAGACCATGAAATATTATGGATTAAGAAATAATGTTTTATAGAATTTCCATAAGTTTGAAAATATCTGTCCTAAGCTGTACAATTCGTATTTCCCGGTAAATATTTTGCCTGAGGTATCATCACAGTATAAATTTCCGTTTGATCAACATTTGCTGATTTTGACGCGCCTCATAGCATTAAATGTTTTATTGTATTACGATATAAAAACTTGGCTAAATTTTGATTTTTTTTAACTAGATCAAATTCGACGGATCGGTGTTATTAGTCATTCCGTTCAAATACATAAAAATTGTTGCTTTCTCGATGGCGGTGATGTGTTGATAAGTCATTGTGATGTGAATGAGAACATCAAAGACTGCTTATGACAATTAACTCTAAATTAACTAATGTCGGCATAAGCAATTTGTAACGAAGTTATTATTTTAAATATTTAAGTTTGTGATTCTTTTAAGTAATAAGTTTTACGTTCCGTTTTTCTCTTTGTGCTGTAACTCGTAAAATGAGAAAAAAAAGTGAATGTTAACCACAAGGCTTAGTGTAAAAACTGTGAGCTATGTTCGTTTTAATAATTAATAAGCGTGAGGATGTATTAATTAACTTTGTTGGTGTTTGAGAGGTATACGAGGGTTTTATAAAGTTGCGATTACAATATCCTACTTTTTTAAGTTTTTTTTTAGGTTCGAATAGTCAAGTGATTTGTATTTGTCGACATTTTACCCTTCGCATACTCACCATTATTGTTTCTAAACAATGAAATCAAATCTGAACGGACTGGGTAACTTTTCTTCCTTCTTTCCGGTGACGAATCTTTCTTTTAACGGCTGTAATTATTCGTAAAAAAGACGAAAATTTTATCGATATTATAAGCGGATCGTCAATTCTTCGCGATGTCGATCACCGATATTTTACTTGGGCCAGTAAGATTTCACTGTTTTAATAGGTCGAAGGGTTTCTGATCGGCCCTAGTATAATGTGAACACAGATGTATTACCTAAGTTGTAGCCAGTTACAACGAATTCCGATAAAAACGAAAGCGATGGAAACGGAAAATAACAGATATATTGTACAAGTATTTGTTGGAGCACTTTCCCAGCATTATGAAGCGCTCTCAGTCGAAGCGAGTAAGCAGACGACCGCTGAAGAGATTGTTAGCTGCATCGCCGAAAGGCTGTCTCTCACGACTGGAGGTGGTTTCGAATTGGCTGAAGTCGTCGGTGACACATTGGAGCGGGAGTGCAAGGAGAGGAGACTTGGCTCTGCGGAATGTCCAGTCGCCCTCATGCTTCTTTGGCCGAAGGCGAATCCCCAAGAAGAATATTATAGGTATAACTCTTTATTTATTATGTTTATTTCAAAATTAACATTAAATATAATAGCACTTTTTTGTTTTAGTATTTAATCTTATCTTAAAGTACTTATTCAAATATTTTTAGCAAAATCAAGATCAATCATAATCACTTAGTGACATCAGTTACCAAAACTTTACAAATTTTCTTCATTGACTATAATCACAATTAAACTGTCGTTCTGATTATGTTTCCGCAACCTTATGATAACTTATAAAATATCAGGTTTTGTCAAATAGCACAGTTTACATGGAATAATAATAATAATTTTTGTGAAATTTTCTCCTGTTGTCTGCAGGGTGATAAATCTATTGTTTGATAGTTATCTATCATCCTGGTCTGCCTATCCTTGCTGATGTTTATTAATTTAGATGCATTTTGGAGTTTTGCCATCTTCAGTGTTGAGTTTGGGTGATTTCTGTTAAAAAATGGGTTACCACAGAAATCACCATAACTAACACTGAAGATGGCAAAATTCATCTGAATTAACACAAATCAAAGAGGTAATTATCAAACAATAATAATTTTTAAATAAATTCAATGACGATACCTGTGTATATATTAACAAAAACATGTTAGATGGTCTCTTTTCTTTTCATTATATGCAAATTATAATATTAGGATGAGTGATGATTGCTTACAATGTAAACAAAAATAAAAAAATAAATAAATAAAGTTATCAGTTGGAAATAAAAAAAGTTCTACCAAAAAAGTAGTGATTCTCAAAAAAATTTAAACAAATTATTATATTTGTTGGTTACCTAGCAGTGATCCTATCCTAGCTGTTTTTCAGACGTGTTTTGGCATTTCGCCATCTTCATTGTTCCTTCCCTTTTTTATTTTATTTTGTTTGATATTGCTTTAAAGTTTTTAAGCAGTATTTAATGTATGGTCATTGTTTTTCTACATAACTCTTTAAAGTGTTAAATATATTGACCAGTTGTTTTACTTGTGAATAATCTGGATGTCAGTTATGGCCTGGATGAAAGAGCAAATTAAATTGCTACTGCCAAGCTTTCTTTCAACCTATCAGGGCAAAACAATCTTAAAGAAGTCTACAAATTGACATAATTAAGTTTTAATAGATGGTTTCAAAAATTTCTTTGTGGACAGACTCAGTACACTTCAGTGTTACAGTCCTTGGCAATGTTGGAACTGAGTCAGCCAACAAAAAAATTTGAAACCATCTATTAAAAATTTAATTATGTCAATTTTTAGACAGCTTCTTTTACCATGATGATGACCTTAAAATAGGTCAAAAGCTTGGCATTAGCAATTGAATTTGTTCTTACATCCAGACCATACCGAGATCCAGATTATACGTGCATAACACTTTACACTGTTTGCTCCAATTATTTACAATTAAAAATCCACAGGCTATACCGGGATTCACACCAGGACCTCTAGCATGGCAGCATATACGAGTCGGAAACACTATTTGGCCACTGCTGTCCCTGCATTAAAAAACATTGTTTTGTCTCTAATTAATGGTTTTATTAGTTTTAAATAAATCATATATTCATAGGTGAAAGATTCAAAGGAACTCCTTGTTCTTAGAAATATATTTAAAAAAATACAGTTAGATAGTACTTAAAACATATCCGATTATGGGCAGATGGTAAGAATAGACGAAAAGGCCAGGCAGATAAATTATGTTGGATCCTTTTTTTTCCCCTCTCAGTAATAAAAGAAATGATTTAAATATTTCTGAATAACAAAAATCTACTTTCTACCTATGTAGTTCAGAATCTCTGAAGCAGGGTATCTGACCTTTTTAGTGATCAGTGGAAACAAACAAAACTAAAAAACATTGTATATATTTGCCATTAGAACATGTTTGTAATATGTTAAAACAGTAAAATGAAACAACAAGCGGGTGATAAGAACATCCTTTCATCTTATCAGTTGACATTGTAAACGAAATAAATACGATTTAATTTTTCATATTGTTTTGTTTATATTATTCTCATTTCATATATCCTTAAATAAGAATAACTAATAATTCTATTCAATCCTACATTGTTATTATGACTAAAACTATTTTAACAAATGGTTTTACTTAAAACATAATAATGTTAAATATTGAATTTTTATTGTGATATATTATTATAGGTTAATCAAAGTATATTTTGGAGGGACGGTGGTAGCCGAGTGGTTAGCATGAATGACTCTAATTTCATCAACCTCATGGTTGTGGGTGCGATTCTCACTGTTGTCCCTAGAATTTTATTTATTTAATCGCTCTGGAAGTACTCTCACTAATATGAAAGTCATAAGGAAATTGGGGGGGGGGGGCTGAGTCAGTCTGATGTGTGTTTGAGTGATCTTGAAACCTGCTAGAGCAGATGAGTACAGTAAGTGACTCAGTCACTCAGTGCCAGTTGAACGTAAATCCACTCACAGACTTAACTTTACAAGTGTATTTATTACACATGTTATTTGCACATTTAATTCTTTTGTCTTTTGCTCATCTTAAGATTCTTTAATTGTTGATTGTCCTAGATTATACTAGTCTTTTTATTTGTTTGTCAGATGTGAATTAGCATATGTTGTCGTCATCTTCAGTATGTGTTGTTTTGTCAATTATTAACCAAAAACAATGAAATTTTTTTCTCTTTGAGGTCTGCAGGGTGATAAACCTATAGTTTTGTTGTTTCCAATGATCGATTGATTCCAATAGATCCTGTTTTGGTTTATCAGTTCTATTTCGACTTCTTGCCATCTGCAGTAGTGGGTCTATCCAAAACGGAAGATAGGGAGACAAAAATGATTGATTATTGACTAATATTAAATATATGTAGAAAATCTTAATTCTGATAGTCAAAGCAAGACGATTGAAATTATATTATGCCACTTACGGTCGTTAGCAAATGGGTAATATAACAGGAGTATTGTAAATTATCTATTGGTAATAGTGCTTACTATTTTTTTTTTTTTAAGTGTCCAAAGTTTAATAGATTCTTAACAGTTAATAAAATGAATGGCTAGTTGTAACACTAACATTAATTTCTTGTGTTTCTGTTTTTCAGGTTTTATTTGAGAGAGAAACTGAACGAAACCTTATGGGCTGATGGTTTTACAATGGACCCCCAATTAATTAAAGATTATTTTTGCCGATTTTTGTATCAGCCGGCCGATAGAGAATATCCAGATTTATGCCAACTGCCTGATTTAAATGAACAGACGCTACTCGACAATCTCAGAGCAAGATTTAAAGCTGAGCATATCTACACTTATGTTGGTTCCATTCTTATCGCAGTTAACCCATTTAAGGTGGTTTATCAAACTATTTATTTTCTATTTTCTGTTGTTATTGAAACAATGATTGTAATTACTTTAAATTTCCAGTTTTATCCGATATACAACCCAAAATATGTTAAACTCTACCAGAACCGGAGAATGGGACCAGAACTTCCTCCGCATATTTTTGCGGTGGCCGATTCAGCTTATCACTGTATGCTGAGGAACAAAAGGAATCAGTGTATTGTTATAAGCGGTGAAAGTGGAAGTGGCAAAACAGAAAGCACCAATTTCCTTCTTCATCATTTAACCGCTCTTAGTCAAAAAGGCAGTCACGGTAGTGGCGTTGAACAGACTATTTTGAGCGCTGGCCCTGTATTAGAGGCTTTCGGAAATGCAAAAACTGCTCATAACAACAATTCAAGTAGATTTGGCAAATTCATTCAAGTTAACTACAGAGAGAATGGCATGGTTCATGGGTGGGTTTTTATTATCAGTTATGATAATGTCAGATATTTCATGCATGAGCTTTTCTTTTTTTTTTTATTAAAGTCTCACAAACAATTTTTCTTTTATTGTGAGCACAAAAGTAACACATTTAAAGTCAAATGCAATAAGGGGTGTCGGTGGCCATAACAGTTAAGGTGTTTCACAGTGCTCATCACTGTAAGGTAAAGTTCCCGGGTTTGAATCCAGCAGCCCTGAGTTTAAACCCAGCTTACTTAAATTTTTTTTTTCCTCCTTTCCCAAAAACACCGGCACCCTAAGATGGGAATATTATTGGTATTATAAAATTGGTATTATTCCATTCTTACTTCAAAATATTTCTGAACTGAATAATTAATAAGGGTACATTTTATTTTGTCTACCAGAGAAAGTTTGATTTCTCAATTATAATAATTAATGAATTTTTTATTATCTTTTATAGAGCTGTTGTGCAAAAATATCTCCTAGAAAAATCACGAATCTGTTCACAAGGTAGAAATGAAAGAAATTATCATGTATTTTACTATCTTCTTGCTGGTGCAAGTGATACAGATAAGCAACAACTTCATCTTCGTTCTGTAGACTACTATAATTATTTGAACAGAGTAATATTTTCAATTTATAAAATAAGCTTACTAATTGATAAATGTTTGCATATTATAAATTTAATTGTCTTTTCAGAGTGGCTGTTATGTTTTGGATAATGTTGACGAAGCCCATGAATTTTCAAGGCTGAAGCAATCAATGGAAATGGTCGGCTTTACTCCGGAAAAGCAGAGGCGATTATTTGCAGTTCTCTCAGCTGTTCTTTTGTTGGGTATATAGACTTTTCAAAATAATAGATTTAAAAATTATATAGGTACATTTAAAAACTGTCCATTATAGGTAATGTAGAATTTCAATTAAGAAAAGCAGCTTACCACCATGATGAAGCTGTAGCAGTAAAAAATCCTGAAATAGTTTTGCTAATATCCGAATTGCTTCGAGTCAAACAAGAAACATTATTAGCTGCTCTCACAGCAAAAAGGGCCCGAGCTTCTGGTGAAACCCTTGTTATTAATTACAAGTTGCATGAGGTGTGTACATGGCATAAATTGCAGAATCACCTCAGTGGTTGAAAATAAAATTGTCTTTCAGGCAATTGCTGCTAGAGATGCCATGGCGAAATGTCTTTACGGTGCTCTTTTTGACTGGATTGTGCTTCAGGTCAATCATGCTCTTCTTTCAAAAAAAGACACACTGAGAGAACACCAAGGAAATTCAATTGGAGTTTTGGACATATTTGGATTTGAGGATTTTGGAGTGTGTAATAGGTGAGCTACAATTATTTCTTCGAAAACAATTTAAAATCCTCTCTCTCTTATTTATTGTTTTTGCTTTTACAGTTTTGAACAATTTTGCATAAATTACGCGAATGAACATCTTCAGTATTATTTCAATCAGCATGTGTTCAAATACGAACAAGAAGAATATCGAAAAGAAGGAATAAAATGGAGGGATATTGGATTTTCCGATAATTCAGCTTGTCTATCTCTTATCGAAGGAAAGCCCAATGGATTGTTGTGTGTTTTGGATGACCAATGCAAGTAAGTCAACATTTAAAATTATAATCACAATTTTCAATTATCAATTGTTTATTAAGTACAAATACATAAAAAATAGGTAAAATGGCAAATAAAATTTTATTTGGATTAATAAAAAAAATTGTTGAGTTGCCTTCATATGATTTGGATGGTTTGATGCAGTATTTGTATCCATTTACAATTTTGATTGTTGCCAATTAGTCAAACTAGAAAACTAGAAACTCTGGAATACTAACATAAAGTACATCACATTAATTATCAACTTGTATATTAAATGTTCCTTTTTTCACTTATATGTAAGTTTATATTATTATTTAGGAAATAATATTAATTTTTAAACCTTAGTATTGCAAATTGCCAGTAAAATAATTTAAATCTGAATCAAGTTAATGAAAAAAATTTTAGTCTCAAGGAGAACAGAATTTAATTAATTTTTTTCTTTAAGCTTTCCGGGAGCTTCAAATGAAACCCTTTTACAAAAATTTAATTCTGTGCATAAGGAAAATCCATTCTATGAAATGCCTCAGAAAAAAGAAGGAGCGTTTATTGTGAAACATTACGCTGGGAAAGTTAAATATCAGGTGATTTCTTACGTTAGTGTTTGTGATTAAATTTGAAATAAACATTTTTGTTTAAAATTTAATCAGGTTGTTGAAATGAGAGAGAAGAATTTGGACTTGATGAGGCAAGAAATAGTTGGCGTTCTGAAAAACTCCAATATGGCATTTGTAAGGGAACTTGTCGGAGCTGATCCAGTCGCAGTTTTCAGATGGGCAATTGTGAGGGCATTTTTCCGTGGTTATTTTGCTTTCCACGAAGCAGGAAGAAAGCATCGACTTTCAAGAGGTATTTTTAATGTTTATATCTAACTTTTAAATATTATTAGGTAAAAATAATTTATTTGACAGAAGGGAGCAAACCAAGTTCATTCCATACAAGATATCGAAATCACACCCCCAATGACACTATTTTGAGGTGAGAGTTTTTTTAAATGCCTTTTTTGTTGCATATTTATTATTATTACTACTAATCCAGATATGAGTTTGCTGCTAGTGAGAAAGTCTTTTGTAGATTCCGTTAGGATTTTAAAGAATTGTTAAACTTCTTTAATGTGATCAATTTATTAAAACAGTAACTTTTGATACTTTAGCATTCATAATTTCAAGTTATTAAGATTAAATTTGGGCAAATTCAAATGCCTGTCATTAGTTTCATTCAGAAGCTGTAGTTAATGACCTGACAAAGAATGTATTTGTCTAGCCAACTTGTGACCATGTCTGCAGTAAATCTAACAGTTAACAGGATTGCGTAAGTTTAAATAGACAGTTAATTTGAAACTTTTGATGTTTGCTGTCTATGTGTTTTTCTGCATGAATTTACCGTTTATTTATCCTTTATAAATCATTCTAAAGCTATAGTTTTTTTGTATTCATTTCCCCTTAATTTTCTCTTATAAATTTCTTCTTACAGAAATGTACGCTTTACATTGATTAAATTTAATGTAAAAATTACAATTTAATAAGGGATTAAATATTGTCCTCATAATCTTAATTTACATACTGACAGGTCTGTCACAATTATCGAATATTATTTAATAGATGTTTACTTGCATGTTAAGGTTAGATGTATGCTGTTACTTTATAATGTAAAATACAAGAGCATGTCAGTTTTTGGAACAAGATACTGCTAACACATTAAGTACATCTGTTAAAAGGATGGAAAGTCATAAAAACTAGAAAATTCTGACATATTTTTGATATTTGCTGGCACTGGAAATGAGAATTAAATAAGATTATGTATAAGTAAGCCTTGTAAACAAGCCTATTGTGAGCAGAACTATTTGAAAATTAATCAGTACTTTATTTTTTGTATCATAGTATGAAAAATACAAATGACAATTTTTTATGTTAAATTATTTATTGGAATTGTACATTTTTATATGTGTTGGGTTATTTTTCTGTGAAGCAATTATGCAAGAAAATATTATTTTCCTGATAGGTTTAAGTTAATTCACATAAATAAGCTTTAGTTTGATATAAATATATGCTTTTAAGAGAACTTCGTGATTTTTGTTTTGTTTATAGCCAACTTATTTCTTATAGGATTTAATACAGAGTAAGTTGCCTACTAACTTGCAAACAGTACATTAGTCTACTCAATGTTCTTGTAAAGTTAGGAAATTCAGAGAACTCTAATAACCAAAGTGAATGTTTAGATTCAATCCACGATATGGTAACATGAAGAATTTCATCCCAAAACAACAGTTGCAAAATGAAAAGGAGGAACAACCTTATAATCAATTGATACTTTTCAACAACGATGGCCCAGCTAAAAATTTACAACGAAATAAAAACAACGACGTTAAGGAGAATATCTGTGATAAACCGATATTACATAAAGTTCTATGCCCTGATGAAGCTAGGGTTTTTGAAAGAGCAACCCAAATCTTGGCGTATGTAATACAGTTTAATTTTAAAGGTGAAGGGCTTTTGGATAATATTTAAGGAAAACCAACAAAACAAGCTGTTATAGAAATGAATATTTCACATATAATACCAGTTATTAAATGAGTGTTTCTTATCACCTCACTGGCATGCTTTTGTAATTAGCTTTGTGGCATGATTAACATATGTATCCTTTAATTGTTTAATCTAAGCTCTTTCTTCAGTAGTACCTTAAAATTTTTAATTTTTATTATCAAGCTGACGAAATATTCACAAATATTATTTTAATAAACACCTGTACGCTTTAAACCTTAGATGCTATTATAATCACCATTGCAGTAAACCAACTTTTTTCATTACTTTTTAGCTTATTTTTTATATTTTGTATCCTATTTTTATTTGCACTATTTATCATAGTGGACATTTTTGTTCTACTTCCAGGGTAGGAAAGTTATGCAATGCAAATTTTATTATAAAAAATATGAATATAATGGTTTTATGTAGGAATTATTTTGTAGTAATGTTTTTTTTTTTTGTTTTTTTTTAATTTGAGGAAACAGATAAAACAAACTTTGTAATAATGTAAAATTTTATATCAGGTACAAAAAACAGAAAAACATACAAATACAACACTCACAAAGAACAAACTGACACCCAAGTCATTGGAAAAGTTTCTAATTATATTCAGTTTATAATAACATTTTTCCTTTAGAAAATGGAAAAATGATTGGTCATTGTAATAATTTAATGGACTGACAGCCTAACAGCAAGTGTAGGAGAACTTCACATGCTATAATAAATTGATCTAATTGGTTTTTTTTTTTTTTTTTTTTTTTTGGTGTAAAGCCAGCCATCTAAATTTTGCATTTTTTAGTATACACCTTGGGGCACTAAATTTCATATTTGTAAAATTTATTTTCTGATTGAAAACATAATGTGCAATAAAATAACAAATTACTTTACAATATGTTGGGATTTCCTTTTAACATTTTTTCTTGATAAATAAATATTCAACTTTAATTACAACCATTTATAACTAAATTATTTTCTATTATTTTTGATACTTTATCAGAGGTCAAATTTTGGACTGCAAATTAATCAAGTTTCGTTATGATTTTAGGAAAAATAAGTCTTTCAGACCTAGGGAAAGAGGCAAAAAGGGTTTAAAAAACCTCCAAAGTGTCAAAACTTTAGCAGGAAGAACACAATCATTAGGACAAATGGGGAAAGCTAGAAAGCAACCGATGACTGTAACCGCTCAATTTCAACAGTCTCTTTTGAGCTTAATGGACACTTTGAATCAAGCAAACCCCTTCTTTATTCGGTGTATTAAAAGTAACAGTAACAAGGTAATAAATTTATTGCATTTTTTGTGCTTCGACAAAACAAGATATAGCAATTTATGCAAAATTTTAGGTACCAAATTCGTTTGATGAAGATACAGTTCAAAGGCAACTTAGGTATACAGGGATGTTGGAGACAGTCAGAATTCGGCAAGCAGGGTATAACGTTCGTCTAACGTATGATGAATTTATTCAACTTTATAGAATACTTTTACCAAAGGGACTTCTTAGGTTTGTATAATTATTGTTTAAATCTCTCTATCTCTACACTATTATTTTTTATTTATGCTTTTTTTTTTTTTAAGTTCCCAAGCTGACGTCAGAAATTTTCTTTTAACTCTGAACCTTAACCGGGATAATTATCAAGTTGGAAGTAGTAAAATATTCATGAGAGAGTGTGAAAAGGTGAAATTAGATTATAGACTCCATCAGCAAATTATGGCAAGTATCGTGAGGATCCAACAATGGTTTAGGGCAATCCTGGAAAGATCAAGATTTTTGAGGCTTAAATCAGCAGTCATAACAATCCAAGTAATGATTTTGCATATTATTTTGTTTTATTGTTACAAAATAAAATTTTAAAAAAACTTTTTCAGGCATTTTGGAGAATGGTAATGGTCCAACAACACAAGAGGCAGCTGCAATTGGCAGCAGTACACATTCAAAGGGCATGGCGTTCTTATTCTCAGTCTTCTTGGTTGAGGAAACTTAAAAGGGGCATTGTCATATTTCAAGCTCATGCTAAAGGTTATTTAATACGATCTAACATCGAAAATGTATGTTCAGCTTTTTAGCATTACTTCAGAATCCCTTTAATCTTATAATTACTCAACTTATTTTCATAGATGAAAGTAACACGAATTAGAAAGGAGGCTGAAATTAGATCAGCTGAAGAATCATCAAAGAAATCCGCTAAAGTTCCTGTTGAATTATCAGTTGTCGAGTGAGTTTTTTTATATTCAAATAAATAATAATCAATTGTTAAAGAATGATGATTTATAAAAAGCACTTGGTTGAACTTTAACCCTTAATGATCGCAATTCATAATTCAATTATGAAAAACCAACAAATTTATCTAGAATATCATTAATTTGTACTGCATTTTCACTGATTTTACTTTTCTAAATTTATCAAAATCAAACTAATCTGTAATTTTAGGGCTAGTGATAAAAAAGATCAAGCTAGTTTGTATAAACACCTGGAATGCTCTCAAGTCAAATTGCAGCAAGTCGAACTTTCTCCAAAAGAACCAGAGCACAGAACTATTTGGTAATGTTATCCCTGGTTTCTTAAACAATGAACTGTAACTCCATTCACTCCTACTAGTTCTTCATTTAACAAATACGTTTTTTTTTTTTTTAATCTTAAAATTCTCATTTATTAAAAAGAAGTGATACAACTCAAACCTATCAACTGATTTTAATGCATCAAGAGAATAATTAATACCATCAAAGTGTGTAAATGTATTACTTTATATTTGCAAATTTCATGAAATTCAGTCAATCCGTATTTACAAACAAAAAATAAAGAAGGACAAAAAATCAATATTAATTTATTTTTTTATTTTAGCATCGGAGATCCAAATAAGGAAATTTTGGGAATAGATTTAAAGAAAAGAACATCGAGTAGAAAGCCAGTATTATCTGAAATTAAAAATTATTCCGAGGAGCCTGTTCGAGAAGTTGGTAAGTAATCTATCAACATTTTTTTGTAACTATTTTCTTCAAAGTGAAATGTAAAACAAATGACAAAACATCAAATATTGTGTTAATATAGCAAACCTTGTTATTTTGAAGTATCCTCTTACTGCCGATACTATAAACATAACACTTAAAAATGCCAACACAAAATTTTAAAGAAAGAACCCAAACGTATACCACATGTTTTTTTGCTTAGATTTCATAGAGTGTGAATTTCTAAGATGCATTCGATGCTCCGCTTCACCATCTGGACAGCTCACATTTAGCTCCGACAAAATTTTTTGCGTTGTCGGACATCATCTTGCTTGGGAGCCCTCTTCTAGCAACAAATCGGCCCAAGCATGCGAGAAATGCCTGAGTCGATAACTGCGAGACCACCTCAATATGCACGGCCTTAGTCGACAAACAAGCAAATATAGGCTTTGCCCAGAGCAGCTTTGCGTCGTAGAGATTCCCATATCTGGAATGGACCGGCAAAATCTACTCCCGTATTCAGAAATGCTCTACTTGTTCAAAACGTGAGATGGGCAAATCCCCCATGAGAGGCGCACTGGGTCCAATTCTCAGACGGTGGCAGCGAATGCAGCAGTGAACACGAATTCGTACAAGCCATCACGTGTTGAGAACCCAGAATCTTTGCCGCAGTAACGCTAGTAATAGTTGAGGCCCAGCGTGAGCGTGGACCCTATGGAGATGGTCGATCCACAGCGTGGAGAGGTGGGATTTGTTGGGCAGTAGTATTGGATGCTTCATTTCTTTGCTCACAGGGGCATTAGCTAAGTGTCCGCCCACCTTGAGAATACCCAGAAAATCTACAAAGGGATTTAGAGATTTTCACTCTATCGAATTTTTCCAAAAGTGATACTGCTGCACTGATCTCGTCAATACATGAAGGGTTTCATTGATTTCTCTTAATGTCAAGAAGCCAGAGGTCCGTTGCTCTGTTTCAGCTCGCAAGTTCGTAATGAAATGACGTATGTAGGCAACGACTCTAAGCATCCGTGAGTACGATGAAAATCGCTCCAGTAAGGTCTCAATCGTGCCTACCTCATTGGTGGTCAAGAGAATGGTTTGAGGCTTGACTTCCGGAAAGTCAGGTCCACTTTCCAGCCAAGTATTCAGAGGCCACTCTTCTTTCGGTTGCTTCATCCAATCTGGATCTGTCCACCACGACATCTGACTTGTAAAATTACCCGGATCTGTTCCACGTGACGCCAAATCTGCCGCATTGTCCTCCGATCGTACGTGAAACCACCAGTCGAGCGATGAGTTCTCCAATATCTTCGCGACTATTGGCAACGAATGTCTTTAAGCGATGCAGAGGATACTGAAGCCATGCCAGAACAGTGGATGAATCAGTGAGTAGAATGATTTCGTCTACTTTTATGTCTTCGAAGAAGTCAGCCAGGGATTTCACGGCATTCACCAGCAGCAATGCGGCGCAGAGTTTCAGTCGCAGGATGGTAAGCGGCTTCAGCGGAGCCAGGCGGGTTTTTGCAAACAGCAGATTCGTAGTGGCGTCCTTAAAGGAGGCATCAATGCGAAGGTACAAGACTGCCGCATATCCCAAAGATGAGACGTCAGTAAATCAGAAAATGGTGGTATGTGTACGATTCGTTGGAACTATGCATCGTGGCAGATTTGTGGAACTCAAGGTTGGCAGATCCTTGCAAAATTGTGTCCACTCTATACCAACCTGCACCGGAACCTGCTCATCCCAACCAACCTCATGTTCCCAAAGGTGCTGTAATATCCTTTTTGCTTTGAATATTATTGGTGCCATGAGTCCAAGGGGATCGTACATCCTCACAATGGTCGACATGATTCTTCTTTTCGTCAGTACGGGTTCTCTCATTTGGATTCGGTAAGACAGGTAATTGTTCTTCGGTTCCCACTGCATTCCCAAAACCTTAACACAGTCGTATCTTCTAAGTTGGATAACGGAACAGACGGCATAGATGAATGAGCCGTTGCATCACCCAGCAGATCAGGAGCGGTGCTGTACCAGCTTTAAGGTGAAGCCTCCTTTCCGCAGCAGAAGGATCAGTTCCTGCTGAAGCATTCGTGCTTCTTCAATCATATCCGATCCTGTCATCGACATACGTATGCTTCAATAATGCCTTTTTTGCCAAAGGAAAACAATCACCTTCATCCTTTATTAGTTGCCTTAACACGCATAGAGCGAGGAAGGGTGAACAGGACAGGTCAAACGGTAATCGATGAAATTCGTATTCCTGAATTTCTTCAGCAGGATCGAACCTATAAAAGAGGTGCTGGAATCTCCGATCTTCCTCTGCGATAAGGATTTGTAAATACATTTGAGTGATGTCTGATGTCATAGCGAATTTTTAGAATGTCATCAGAATGTCCTGCATTTCTTTTTGCAATTTTGGCCCAGTCATTAGTTGGTCGTTTAGTGAGCCATTGGATGTCGCGTGGGAGGCGTCGAAAATGATGCGTAGTTTCGTCGTCGAACCATCCTTTAACACGCTATGATGAGGAAGAAAGTAAAGTCCGTCACAGCAGGCAGCAGACACAAATCCCTGTTTTATGTAATCATGGAACACCTGATTGTATTCGGTCTTTAGATCCGCATCCCGTAAAAGGTGTTCCAATTGAAATCGATCGTGTGCACTTTGTTTGGAATCGACCAGGCTAGCAGGCGTGGATTGGAAAGGTAGTCTGACGACGTATCTGCCGTTCTCCTGTCGCGAATGCGTTTTGACAAAATGCTCCTCACAGCGATCGTCTGACGGGTCATCTCTAGGGACATCCATAATTTCTTCGACGCTCCAGAAGCGAGACATCAACGTCTGCATATCATCATTTTCGGATCGGGCGGTTACAAGTAATGAAGCCTGTTTCAGAGAATATGGAAGGTTGACCCTTCCAAGCATGACCCAGCCAAACACTGTCTTAAGTCCGTTTGGGAGTCCATCGGATAACTTTCTGACATCTCCCAAGAGTAAATAACTTGAGCCGCGGATCCCTTCAGACAGGATTTCAAATAATGAAATTTTTGCACCTCCATTAACTCTACATTTGTATGTATTACACATACATATCCTTGAAAGGAGTCCATTTTGACAAATCATCGACAAAGATAGGCAGATCCAGGCTGGGCAGTTTCAGATGGACCAAATGTCCTGCGGACTGATTGGAACACAAAGTCGTGTTGCGTGACAGACTATCTCTCTTTATTGACAAGGTACTACATTCATAGTACTCAGTTTGCACCTTAGCCTTCAATGTCGTGAATTCATCATAAGGCATTTTATCCTTTCTCATCTGTTTCCGTATTTCAGCGATCATTGAAACAAACTTCTCAAATGCGCTATTGAGTTGGGAAACACGGGCTTCGAAGATCGGTAATTCATCGGTGTTTTCCTGCAAGCTCTTTCTGATGTCCAATCCAATGTTCTGTGAATAGGCAAGTTCGGAGATTTCGTCCTTCATGCTTTCGATATCCGGATTTTGATTATCCGATCTTTTAGGCATGTTGGTTGTAAAACAGCGTCAAAAGCAAAGAAAATCAGAACATATGTTGAGGCTAGCTTGTGTAAATGCCAATGGGAGAAAAGTAGAAATATCTTGAGAAGCATGAGGAGACAAGGAAGATCAGATATCCGGCCCGGAGGACCAAAATGTGTTGGAAGAAGGGGCTATCCTTAATTGGCAGCAATGCTCCTTACCTTTGCTAGTTTGCCGGAACCTGTTCCTTCACGTTGACTCCCTTATAGAATCAGGACGCGATATGAAGAAAGATAGATTAAATTAAATTAATATGATATACATACATTGTACGATAAAGTTAATTTAATTTACATAAGTTGAACAATAAAGTGACCTGGCCAGGGTCAATAGATTAAAGAGAATAGTGACAGACTTATTACGGAAAATTAATCAAACTATACAAAAAACTTGGTTTTAAATGTTTTTCACAGTAGTTAACAATTAAGAGAACAAACACTTCAAATTAAAGTCTTATTAGAAGACGTGAGTAGCCGAAAGGAAAGATCTGACCTGTGAACAGCAAAATGATGTGTGGCGAAGAATTGCAGGCGACGTGATTCCACAGCGATGAGCAGGTGAAGAGAAAACAAAACTTTGTAATCCGGCGGGGTACTCGTAAATTGTAACTTAGATTACAAATCGAGATCAAAAAAAGAATTAAACAAACGCGTTCGTCCACTCTCCAATACTAACTCGCCAGCTGGACCCCGAGACCTTTTTTTCTTGTTTTTTTCTCCATGGATATTTGAGCAAATAAACAAAATTAAAAAAAAAAAATGAATAAAATTCTTTCCGGCGTAAACAGATGGGGATGTCGCTCGACTGGACATATGAGAAGTGATGGTGAATATATACTTGCAGCCACTCGTTCTGGAAGCACTTTTCTGGGGACGAGTCAAAGGCCCGTACAGACGAGGCGAACTCGGTGTTTACACAAACTCAGTAATAGATATAGTTGAACTTGAAATCTTGAACAAAAAAAGAAGACTTCTGTGGCTATCATCAGTAGCTAAAAATCTTAAAGCTACAGCTAGGCGGACTTTAGCTGGTATCGGCATTCTCCATTTAGTTTTTCTGTTGTTAATTAGTGGTTTAATTTTGCACAATATGTACTCAAAATCAATTTGTAATATTCTTCAAAAGTTTGCAAAATCTCCACAGTCCTCATAGAGTATTTCTATAAACATGTTTTCCATACTTGGTTCTGTTGAGATGACATGCTATCATCCACCATCATCTTTAGCGATTTTTTTTTTTACTTTTTTTTTTTTTTTTTTTTTTTTTTTTTTTTTTTTTTTTTTTTTTTTTTTTTTTTTTTTTTTTTTTTTTTTTTTACTTTTTCTGCAATTAGTTGTAAATAGCTGTCAACACTTAACAAATGAACAAATGAAATTTTATTGACAGTTTACATTTTTTAGGAGTTGGAAAGAAAAATGATAGCTCAATTCATAGTGATGGAGAAATGGATGTGGATCCTTGGAAAGAAAGTTTGCCATCTAAAGCCAATATTCCTCCTCCTCCAAGATTGCCAAGGCGAAGGGACCTAGTTTGCCGTAGCATCGGTGATGAACAGCCTAAACCTTTACCTGAAAAGCCATCTAAACTACCACTGTAACTACTTTTAAATAAACTATTATTATTATCATTAATTATTGTATACTAGGTTAAATAAGAAGTTTTACTTTCAGTGGAAATCTCGATTTGAAACGCAGAAACAGTGATCCAGCAGCACAATCTGAAGCAACTGGTGAGGTTAAACACACTCCTCCTCAGCATTCGCCTTCAGCAGATCTATTAGAATGGAAAGGAACAACGATGTTTACCATAGCAGGTCATAGTTTTAGGAAAATAAATCGCTTTACCAAAGATGACAGGTGTTCATCATGTAATCACCCTATGGATGCATTTTTTACTCAAGGACACAAGTGTTCTGGTTTGTAAATTAAAAAATAAATTCTTAGAAAATTAAAAAAAAAATTCCCTTTGTTTTATTAACAGAGTGCAAACAACTATTTCACACCAAGTGCATACAAAATGGAGGTGTACTCAGGCTTCCTTGTCATTCGTATTCGAGCAGTGCAAGGAAAGGAAAACAATCACGTAAATCATCGAGAGTACAACAGTCTGAAAAACATCAGGTCGCCTCCAACAGTTCATCCCAAGCCAAATTCAGCCTGCAAGGAACATCAGAGTTCACTGACAGCACGGACAAAATTATTTCTGGTATAAAGGAACTACAACAAATGCAAAATTTCATTACAAAAAAGGTACTCAATTTAGTTTTAAATTAGCTTTATGTGATTAATATATTCAAACCTGATTATTTTGCTTTTTAGATCTATAAAATAGAATCAACAGAGGGAGAAAGACCTTCCAAAGCTGATATGGTGTTTAAACAAGCTTTAAAAGAATTCAAGGACAACCTTATAGCAACATATAGCATAGTCAATAAGCAAGGACCAGTAGCATTGAATATAAAATATAAAGACTTGATTGCTAACTTTTCACATGTATGTTTGTTTAAAAAAATAGCATTTTATGTATTTTCTCATATATTCAAACAACCAAAAGCAAGATTTTAAAATTCCACACAAAATAATGTAAATTATTCCAATTAATTTTTTTTATTTTTTTAATCTAAGGTTTAACATGGTCAATTATGACCATTAAGGAAATATGGAATAATTTAATGTAAATCTTACAATCTTAATATAATTCTTACATGATGAAATTAAAAAAAAAAATGTTTCCAAAACCCTCCTACTTTTATAAAGAGCATATTGTACCACGCACATGAACCCTTCATTTCATAATTACAGGTAATGGATACTGTAAGGCAACAGGAGGACATGAGAGCAGAGGATTTCCCTGTGACCATGGGGGTCAACGCTTTCAGAGGATTTATGAATGAATTTATGGCGAAAACAAGAATGGAGCAAGAGAAACCAAGGAAGTTGAAAAGGAAAAAAGAAAAAAAGCGAAAGACAGAAGATCCCATCAACCACGCTGGGCACAATTTTGTGCTAACAATTATTAACATCCCGACTGCTTGTGAAATTTGCAATTCTTTTTTCATGTGGCCTTTAGAAAGAGGCTTGGTATGCCAGAGTAAGTGTTGACGAATTTATACACCAGATGCAGTTGTTGAATTGTATTGGCTGTTTCAGATTGCAAACTCACTTGTCATAAAAAGTGTTACATAAAAGTCATAGTGATGTGTAGTAAAGAAGTGACTGTACCTAAACAGTGCCCTCATCCAGTCTTCGGAGTTCCTCTTTATCAATTGACAACCGGAGAAGAAAAAATACCAGTCGTTGTCGATCGACTTATCACAACCATTGAAATGTATGGTCTTTATACAGAAGGCATTTATAGAAAATCAGGAGTAAGTTTTTAATGTAGCACTACTAAGTGTGATTCTTTTCAATTATTCAGCACAAATTTGATCCTTTTTTTTTTCTTTTTATAGGTAAGCTCAAAAGTGAAAGAATTGAAAACTATAATGGAAGAGAGGGAAATTGAAAAAATCCAGTTTGAACAATACCAGGTTAATTTCTTTTCAAATTTATTTATATATATTTCATAAACATTTAAATCAAAGCTCAGTTATCAAAAGTTACCACACAACACATTAAACAATATATTTTTTACTCTTCTTTTTTGGTTGTTGACTTGAAAAGGAACCCAAGAAATACAACACATTAGGTTGTACTATCTGGGTCAAGTACTGAAGAAACAATGTTAGTAATGATTTAAATTGATTTATAATTTTTATGTAAAGTGTGACTGAGATGAAAACAAATCAATCTAAATAATTACTTTAGTTAAATAGGACGAATTAAAATAAATATAAATTATTAATGATCTTAAGGTTTTTCGTAATACAAAAACAAAATATATTTCCAAATATATTTGTAATTTATTTTTTCTCAGTCTTATGTACATAATAATGGACTCATTATGCATTCTTCAAGTTAATATTGATTCATGTCAAAACGACACAGGCAAGAATCGGCAGGCGGGAGATGATCAACCTATTAAAATTTCATCTATCACAAACCTCACCACATTGTTTCATCATTTCCACATACAAAAATTTGTATTGTTTCAATTTAATAATTTTAAAATGTATTATTAGGTTCATGTTTTGGCAAGTGTTTTGAAGAGCTTTTTGAGAGAAATGCCAGAACCTCTACTTACTTTTGACTGTTACGAAGATTTTTTAAGAGCTGCAAATCTAACTGAGGACAGAGTGTCAACAATGTTCACCATTTTGAAAAAGCTGCCATCTCTCAATTTTGATTTGATGGAAAGATTGATATTTCACTTAGCAAGGTATTCACCTTTTTGTTTTATATTTCATTCATTATAACAAAATTTTATTTGTCTCGTTTAATTATAGAGTGGCACTTCATGAAGATGTCAATAGAATGAGTTCAAACGCTTTGGCAATAGTTTTTGCCCCTTGTATTCTCAGGACTAACAAAGTAGTACCAGCGCAAGATTCGCTACATGATATAAGTAGACAAACAGCTTGCATTGAGGTCATAATATCTGAACAGTTGCGTAAAGTTCGTTCAACACTGGCTGATATTGATACATTGGACACTGCATGCCATACGGCGACATACCGTTTGTCATCTATTCGTAGTTCAAAGGTAGTGGTTGGCCCATTTTGTAATGTGAATCCTAATAATTGATAATTCTAAATCCCCTTACTTATCTCAGATATTTACACCTGAGGAGTTAGTTATTTCAAAGCCTGATGATGAAGAAGCCTTATTAATGGGCAAGATTGAAGAAATCCAAAAAGAAAAGGCGTTGTTAACATCAACACTACCATCCTTGACACGGTCACCTAGTGATGATGATCTCCTGTCGACAGATGATGGCAGCTTAGATGACGTTGACACATCTATTCGTAAGTATCTATTTTCTAGATTAGGCTCAGTTTGGCCCATTAAAATAAATATTTAAATAAAATGTACTGTATAGGGGGTTGGTGTCTTAACGTAGTCTTAACTATAGTATGTGTGTCAAAAGTGGTTGGCCAAGTATTGGTCATCTAAACAAAATTTAAGTCTTGTGACAGTCATAATCAACAAAAATCACACAGTATGGAAAATAGCTGGAGTTTGAAACAACCCAACAAAAACCTAACCATAAAAAAAAGGACCAAGTTCCAGATCCCCTCTAAAAAATGAGCCTATCAATATCTACACTGTGGCCAATTCCTTTATTTTTTTTAGTCCGTAACCTGAGTGACCTTAAAATAATGTGCCAAAATATAAAGTTACACTCCCTCCCAAAACAGCAAAAAAGACAATATGACACCACAAGAATAGCACCACACTTTATTTAAGTATAAAAAACTTGGTTCAAAATTTATATTTCCATCTTTATTATATTTTTCCAATCAACATGTTTTTTAATTCACCCAGGCCCTGACGATGACCTGAGTAAAGGTCGAAATGTCAGCAAAAAATAAAAAAGGTGTTTTTCTAAACTACCTCGTTCTTGACTGCTCCTCACGAATCCAACAAATTATAAGACCTACCTTTTTATCAAATTTCACAGTTTACCTATACGGGAAGTGCCTTTTAATTTGCAATTTTCAGATTTTTAATTATTCAGAAATCGTGAGATGCGGTCTGGTGTGATGTAGGTTTCAGAAAAACATTTTCTTTATCGTGCCAATGTTTCGATCTTTATTGAGATCATCTTCAGGGCTCAAAGTGTTTGTCTTCTGTGTAATTGTGCCATTCTTGCGTGTCGTGTTGAGAGTGTTGTTTCAGATTTTTTCTTTTACTTACTATATAAACCATAACATTTTTACTGAATTTCACGTTTCTAGCTCGGGAAGTACCTTACAATTTTGATGATCATCGAGTCAGTCAAAACTAAAAGGCAAATTTCAAAAAGGCTTATTGCTCAAATTTTTACAATGTCCTAAGCGACCTAGGTTTAATTTATGTTATACATTTCAAAAGCCTATTTTAAGAGAAAACAGAGATCTGAGGGTGAGAAAAACCGGGTAAATTGGTTCATGTAAAGATAAAGATGGCGGCTTGCTGGAACTAGGCCAGCGCAGTGCCATGCGCTCAGATATCCATACAATCATTAAAAACCATAAGCACAAGCTGAGATTTGTTTCAAACTTCAATGTTTAGGTGTCACATACATTGACTGAAACCAATTTGATTGCTCGCATTTGTGATTTGCTGTGACATCATTAAGAATATGTCTCAATCTTAAAGCGAATGACTACTGGAAAGAAAAATTGGGTCCCATATGATAATTTAGAACCACAGTAAACAACCTCAAAAACAAGATTACCCTAAGATTCAACTGTCTATTGCTCACATTTAACGAGACTAGCTAGTGTGATTAGCTCAAACAGTTCAGAATTGGCAAGTTGTATGTCCTCCCGACATATCATTAATGACCTGAAATGAAAGACTTGTTTGGGATGTTTATCTGCATCATCCATATTGGGGCTTAGTGTTTTCGTATTACCACTTGATCTGGTCGTTGCAGAATTCTGTAAGGCTTAGTACACATGGAACCCTTGGACAAGAGCAATTTTACAATGGAAATCGAAGAAGTATGTCTGTGGTGTTATTTTCTCTATCGCTGCTAAACTAAGAAGACGCGACAAAAGGAAGTGTCGAGTCCAACCTATTTGCACAAATAGTATGTTTGTTACTCCCTACCCAAAATTACATGATTATGAACCAAAAATTTTCAATTATTGTAGAATTTCAATTAACTGTTGACGATTTTGTTTTGCATTTGATTAAGGGCGATATTTCATCAAGACATCAGTGTGTGAGGGATTCCGTCTTGCCCAAAAAAACCTGCCATAAACATTGATAATGTTGATATTGTAAAACAAGAGGGTTTCAACTTTTAAAAATACATTGGAGAACAAGTTAAAAGCTCAGGCGTTAGACAAGTTTAAAAAAGCTCCAGAACTTCCATATCATGCTGCAATGCTGAACTGCTTGATGGTAAAACCACCTTTAAATCACTGGAATGTGAAGAACATGGTGGTTGTTGAGATATAGTCATGTAGACATTTGTGATGGTTATGATAGGTATGAGGGATCTACAATAAATATAATAATCACTGCACTCCACATTCCACAGGTCTTTTTTCAATTTTGTCGGTCAAGAGATCGGTGTCAACAAGTTACATTTCCATCGTAATGATAAAAAAAATAATCTGTAGTGAAACGCGTGTAGTGAGGAGAATCTTGAATCGCACGTTACCATGTACATACTTCGAACTTCAGTATTTCATTTGTAAACACTCGTTTCAAAACTATTCATGTGTACTAGTCCTAAGTGTAAATGCTTTGTTGATGAAGAGGCTGTCAAAAAACATCTGGATCAGTTTTTCACCTGTAAACATCAGGAGTTTTATGAATACAGCGTAACGGTAAACAGATGGCTAGAGATCATTGATAAAAAGGGTCGATATTTAATTGACCAGAATATACTATTATGATTATTAAATAAAATGTGTCTAATTGCAATCACAACACAAAAACAAAGAAATATTTGCCAACAATATAGGTAAAAGGAAAAAGAAATCAATCACTTGATATCGCATTTTACTTATACACGTTTATTTTCTGGTTACCTGCTGAATATTTAAAATTATTACCTGAAACCTAGGTACCTACCTAGGTTTAGTTCGAAGTTTTCTGTGAAATTTCATTTAACAGGAATATGTTTTTCTAGCGCAACCTCTCTCGAGGCACCGTGTGGTCCACAAACATAAAAAAAGAGGTTCTGAAAGTTCATCTACATTTTACACTGCTGACGGAGATGAAGATCAAATCATGGTGTAAATATTCAAAATATTTTTTAAAACAAATTCCATTTTTACTGTTTGTTATGTAAGGAGAGAGTGAATGCAGATGCCTAGCTACATTAATGAAATGTTCTTCCGAAGAGTCTCTAGGTTTATTAATTTTAAAACAAATATTTTTGTATATAAATAATAAGTTTATGAAAACCTGACTGAACAAATCTTAATTGTTATTCTGAGTCAGAAACGAGTTGCATTTTAAATGAAGAATGAAAAATCAAATTTTACTTAGATAATTAATATTTTTAGTTAAATTGATAATCGAATCTCTGAGTGGAGGTCCTCACCCGCAAAGAAAAAAAAAAAAAAAAAAAAAAAAAACATCAAGTATTTAAATTTGCATTTACTACCATTTACTTCTTTTTTATTTTATAAAATGTGATATCTTTTAATGCGGTTCTAGTCTTCTTGACCTGTAAATGTAAGTAGTTATTGACTGCTGTATTACAAGTAGTTATTTAAAGAATATAACCGCGTTACCAGTGGTTTTTGTTTTTATATCCTTAAAAAAACTTTTGCATTGTAAAAAAAAAGTGAGACAATTTTTATAGCAAATTCATCTTCAAATATTTTTATTGGCGTAAAGGAAAATATATTATTTTTTATTTGAGGAAAAATTTACTATATCTACGTATAAATATTTGTTACAATATTGTAATTAAAAGATTATTTCTGTTGCATGTATATAGGATTGTATATATGATCAACAATGATCATGATGATAAATTGTATATATGATTTTATATATACATATAACACAAGTTATATTGTTGAAAACGAGTTTTAAAAAATTGTTAGCTTCTTGTTTCTGGTTGTTATCAACATTAATATCTAAATTTCAAGTATATTTTTTAATAATAATGAGTCTATTTGTTTTTATTCTCTAAATAAACTACTTATCTCTTAAAGTTTTAAGAGATTAAATATTATTAATTTTTTTACATTATCAGGTAGGTAGAATGTTTTGTCTCTGTTCATAGTTTATTAATATGTCCTGACAAAGATTTCTAATAGCTTTTGTAAATTGGATTTGTTCTATATGTTAAACCCTGTAATCTTATTCCTAAATAACAAGCCAACAGTGTACCAAATAATCATTTAACTGTTTGAAACCGACAGTTTTTGGTGTCATTATTAAAATAAAGTTTTGATTTATTAAACGTTGACTGCATAACTTATTTGTATATTAGACTAAGAAACACTTTATTGGTGCTGTGTGTAATTTTCATATGTTTTATTGATATGACCAATTAAGTAGTTAAGTTTAAAATGTATAAATTTATTTTTCATCTTTAAAACAAACAAAAAAACAAAAAAAAATTAAAAACCCTTGCAGGTTTCAAAATGGGTATTTTAAGAAACAAAATAAGTGATCATTTATCAAACTTGTTTATATTTTTTATATTATATACAAAAAAAATTTAAAATATAGAGAAGAGCAGAACGTGAATGTTCAATTTGAAAATTTTATTACTTTTCTTACCTTGGATGAAATCGTGTTTTATCGGTTACATATGATTATTAAACAATTGCCCAAAGGGTAACATGTTAAATTTATTATATTTTAAATAATTTTTATACTTCTTCAATGCAAAGAAGGATTGATTAATAAATATAGTAAAATAAAACCACATAATGTAGTACTTTCGCTAATTTGTATTATTTTTATTACCCATCTATTCTTAGTTTGTAACTTTTAATATTAAAACAAATATTTGTTGGAAAACATTATAAAAATATATTTTTTAAAATTTTTTATTAATATATATAAGGAAAATAAATATATTAGAGATAACACATGTGTAACCGATACAAACATGGTGTATTTCTACACATAAAGAGTAACAACATTAAAAAATACAAATTTCTATAAAATATAAGGTGTCTTCCATTTAGTTCCTTCCTCTTTCTCCTTGTTTTTTGTATACTGTGTAAATAGAGAAATATATAAACAATAAATTATTATATATAAAAAATATGGTACTTTGTAAATAAATTGAACTACCTTACTATGTGTATATAGCATTTAAACAAATATTGATTTTACACATACACATATATGGAGTGATGTGATATGAAAATTCACTCTCAATTTTGTTAAAACCATATACAATTTAAAAGTGTCGATGGTTTTATTTCATACTAAACATTGTTTCCATTTTCCATGATTACTGCCTCTTTTTTTACTATTATATAAAAGAAAATTAAGTTATTTTAAACAATATTGCTCAATATCAATATAAATATATTTAAATGTACTTCAAATTACTACCATATTTTAATTTTTTTATTTTAGTAGAAAATATACATATATTTTCCCATATGACAAAATGACATATTTTATAAATAATCATAGAAATACATATTTTATATAACAAGTTGTAATCGAAAAAATTTCTGTAATTCTAAGAAATAGCATAATCTGGAATATTTGTACTTGCATACATGTGGCACTAAATAATTATCATACGTTTATATTAATCCATATTTTATGAAAACAGTTGTTTGTTTCATACTTCGGTTTTATTGTTTGAGGAAAATAAATGTTATAGAAATTGACAAACTTAAGCACGCATATAAGCATAAGCCTAAACATTGTAAATAATAATATATATTTTCTTTATTTTGTATGTACAATAGTGTTGATTCCTTCACTATGTGAAAAATAAGTTTAGTTGACATTTATTTTAGACTTTATTTAATTTTTTTTAAGAGATACATAAAAACACAACAGAAAACTGAATTTTCATTTAATATTTTAAATGCTTACTAATAAAAATAAACCTAAATGTTGTAAATTCATAAGTTTTTAAAAAATATTAATAACTAACAACAAAAAAGAGCAAATTTAGTGTCATTAAAAATAATTGTAAATTTTTTGTATTACTTGAAAATTAATTCATATGTCAATAATTTGTCCATTCTTCTTGTACAATTAAGCTCAAATCACACTGAAAATTTGTCATTAAAAATTAAAACAACTTTCAATTATTATTATATATTATTTAAGTTTTGCTATAAAATAATGCTTATAAGTGTTACCAACACTTAAGGTCAATTATAGATAATGCTAGTGTGATTTTACATCAACTATTGATAAGTGGACTGACAGGTTAATTAAAAATTAAACAATTGTTAACATTCCAGTTGAAATTTTGGCAATATTTTTTCCTAAATGTCTAAATACATTCTTCTATGAAACTAGGTAGCTATTATTTGTATATTGATAATGATATATTTTATATATGAATATTGTCAAAACAACGTAGGCTATATCTATATTAATGTTGATGTTGAAATTCTAATCGATTTGATGTAATAAGACTAAACATTGATGTTAAATTTTAAAAAGCACAAAGACTAAAAGTTGGAGAAAGAATTCCTTTATGCTAGTCTATACTCAAATGTATATTTCATGAAGGGATGTCATTTAATTTTAAATCTTGTGTTAAAGTTTTTCAATAACATAAAAACTAATTTTGTTATTAATCCAATTCCATGTTATGCTTATTGTTTTGATTCTAATTTATCAGTAAACAATTGTACAATTCACTTTTAATTTCAAAGCTTTATTTTATAAATTTGTTTACAATTTATGTATAATTGAACTTAATAGCCATTCCAAGGTTCTAAGGATGAAACCAGTATATTAGAAATAATTGAATATCGAAGATAAAATAAGTTCCCTAAACCAAAATTGAAAAGGATAAATATATTTTTTCCCCAAATCCAAGTATAATTAAATAAATAATATACATTTGTAAAAATAAATGTACCTTATTTTGGTTGACCTTTAAAGAAAGATGAACAGTTAGTGGTTTCCATTTATTTGGAAATACTCAGGAACATATCAGATAGGTCTAATTATTTCTGTAAATGTTCTGCTAAATACCCTAATAAACTTTATTTGTAAAATGGTTTTTATTACTACACTTATGAAATCCTGAAATTCAACACCATGAGTCTTTTATCTTCGGTGGGGTTCAATTTTTACCTCTATCCAATTGAAAGTATTTAATATTAAATAACTAGCTGAACAGTGACAAGGAAAAGAACTGGCTCATAAAATTTTACTTGCTTATATCTTTTATTTTTTTAATAAAAATCCAACATGATCTTAAAAATTATCCAATTTACATTACATTCTAATAACACATTTAGATAACAAAACCAATATTAATCTAATAGGTTGTAAAAACTAAAATAATGTTTATCAGTAAGGAGTTTTGATTATTTATTTTTAAATGAAGCTCATATGAGCCATTACGTATATCATTAACTTAACATTGAAATTCACCTCAAAGTTGTGGAAATGATACAAATATATAAAATATTATAATAACATTTGTAATAAGCCCTATTTGGAATGAAATAGCCCTCGCTGGCTGTTTCACGACATAAACTGTATAGACCACTGTGTGTAGAAATCGGCCAATTGTGTAGAGCCGGAACATCATTAAGGCAAATATTACGTTTGGATCCGATGCTACAAATATGAGGCCTGTGATCATGAAGATCGGGATATTTTCCATATCATTTAGGTGGGCTCTAAAAAATAAATGATAATTTCTATATGAGATGATAATAGTGGTGATGCGCATATGTTTTTAAACGTTCTTGTGCATTTTTATTGTCAATTCATTTTAATATTTAATAAAATTAAAATAATGACAAAAGAAGTGTATTATGTACTTATAATACATAAAATAAAAGAGTATTCTTAATAGTGCATGCTATCTGGTTATGGAATCATTGTATTACCACAGTGTATGGTATATTAAATGTCTAATAAATATTTACTTTATATATGTTTACAAACTATTTTACATAGTTTAAACAATATTTTGCATAAGTTTCTTGAATAAATTGAAGTGCACCAACCTTTTTAAGTATTTTTTAATTTTTAATTAAGCAATTCAGGGCTTAGCTCATCAACAGACCTCCAGGGAGCGTGGAGGATAAATTTTGCTATATATAGCATTAATAATTGTAACTTAATTGTATGTAACTATAAAATTTGTAATAAAAACAAAGAACACACAGCAGGATTATCAAAAATTAATAACCAAAATGTTAATCACTTTGTAGACCTCAACACAATATTTTACAGGGAAGGTGCAAATACAATTTTTTCCAATTTCTTTTGATTCATGGTAGTTAGTTTAAGGGGAAACACGGATTATTATGACAGAATGACAAAAAATATATTAAATTTTAAAATTAACGACCTACCAAGAAAAAATAAACAAATATTGTTGTATTGAATTCGTGATGAGATGCGAGAATCGCCCACTTTGGGTTAAGGTCCAGAGTTAGACCTCAGCCTTTTCCAACCCTTCACTGAAGTAAGGCTCCAAGGGCTGTCAGCTAAACACACTCACACTCACTCATTCTTAAATATATTAGTTACATACCATTCACTCTTAGTACACACACAAAAAAACAAGATTTATATCATTGCTATATATAGTAAAATAGCCTTGTTTCTTCCAAAAATCGGAACAGAGGACCCAAATAAATTAAGTCTAAAGTCAATTAAAGCTTTTTATCATAAGGGGAAAAACCAACGTTTGATTTCTGATGTAGATTTTTATTATTCATTATTTTATTGGCAATAAAATATTTAGGACTGAAATGGCCTGAGTTTGCCAGTGTATTTTCAATTTTGATGGGCAAAATTTTAATTTTACAGTTCTTAATTTTAAAATATAATGATTTCATAATCAATATTAGTTTAATATAAAATTTAATTATTTTGTGTATGAATGTTATAATATTAATATCTCTATTTAAATTATTAGAATTGCGAGACCTCCTAGGAGGCCTCTGGCCTCCCCCTGATAGATCAGGGGGAGTCACCCACCTTGGTGCATAAGCAACTCCGAGGTTGATTAAAATTATTAATTACAAAATTTAATTAATTTATGTATTGAGCATAAATAATGAAATGTTATAATTTTAATATTTAAATTATTAATTATAAAATTTAAATATCGGTATATGTATATATATATATATATATACACACATACACACACACACGCACGCGCGCGCGCACACACACACGCACGTACATAATGTATATTATATATACATACATATCACATGTACATAATGTATATATATATATATATATATATATATATATATATATATATATATATACATTATGTACATGTGATATGTATGTATATATAATATACATTATGTACGTGCGTGCGTGTGCGCGCGCGTGCGTGCGTGCGTGTGTGTATTTACGATTATAATAAAGATCGTCTAGATATACATGTATAAAAGCCCATTTGTAAGGACCGCTGCATTCGAACCCGGGACCTTCACCCTGCAGTGAAGAGCGTCGTGACAACGCCTAGCCGTTGCGACCACCGACGCCCCCTCTGATCCGTTTATTCTTGCTAGTTTTATCTGCCAGACGCATTTCTTCGTCTTCAGTGGTTTGATATGTGTCATTTTATCAATATCGTGGCCGATTTCACAATTGAGATCGATCACCGAAGTCGGTGAAATTGTGAATATCGTCAGACAGACCAAATCATGGAGAATGGGATAATTTCGGTTTTATTTACTTTTTATATAATTAATAAACTTTTTGACGTGAACGGCGTTTTCAACTATATTCAGATCTTTTTTATTTAAATTAATTTACAAGCAGTGTTACACAATTTGAGTTTCAAATTAATAATGGACGAAATTATTTTGTGATCTTTTACGGAAATTATTCCTACAAAATTTTGTGAGAAAAGTCACGTGGAATGCGAGGGAAATGCAATTTAAGGGTACAAGTGCTTTCTTTAAAGATGGAACTGTCGTGTATTAAAACATGTTCGATATACGTAATAAAAAAAAGCAATAAGCATCATAATCAATACTGCACAACAAGCTACGTATTAATATATTTGAGGGCGTTAAGGAAAAATACTCTGTGTACATGCGTTAGGGAATTTAAAAAGGTTGTGACTTTTAATCAATAAATCAATAAACCTTCCTTAATATAATTTAACGAACGATTTGAATATATAAATTATAAAAGTTAAATTATTGGTATTGCACAAGACGAACGACGAGATTCATTTTTACCAGCTAAAAATAAAGCAGTATTCTTGCATCTGAACATCCTCATGTACCAAATCGAGCACGACATATAAGAAATATAGTAAATTAATCGTGACTGTCTCAGGACGATTACAACCCATATATAATTGATTACTGTATTAGCTTGTGATTTTTTCCTTTTTTATTGGAGGACAATTGAGACAAGAAAAGCATAGATTTCCGTTTATTAGACCTCGGCTCACCTACGAATCCTCTCAACATCTTCATCAGGAACAAGCTTGACTTCAGTACCAGCTTGAGCGGCGTCTTCGGGGTTCACGAAGGCCTGAAAACGTTTTAATAAAAATTTACATTTTCTAGTAGTTACTTTTTTTTCGGTACTAATATGAAATGGCGGAGATCGACCAAATTCAAATGGAATAATACTGTCTTTTTACCAGCTCAGTGAAACAATAAATTTTTCATTGATACAAACAAAAATGTCTGTCCTTGGTAACAGCAGAAAATATAGCATGGAAACTATTCAGATATATTTGATTCGCCTAATTTCGCTGTTTTTGCCTGAAAGGTTTCGTCTTTTCGACATCTTCAGTTGCTGCTTTGTGTGTTCCTTCATTTTTTTTTATACATCCATGCAAAATTTTGTTGAGGGTTGAAGTGGTTTTGCTGTGGAACTCCATCATCCAGGGATATAAATTGTAATTTGACCGAAACGGTCAGGAATAGGCATGCCCAAACGTAAATACTAACAAGCTATATTTTTTGTGACCAGAATTTTTGTTTAACTGACGTATATAAAAACAAGTAAATTATCATTTTTTCACTAAGCAGAATGGTGAAAATGGAAAAAATAAATTGCACAAATATGTACTTAGTAGTTATTATTGACCGTATTAATTATTTTCATTAATTATACTTTTTATCTAAGGTCTTGGTTGAGATGAAAAAGCTAGCCGAAAGTTGTGGGTTCGAATCCGGTTGTGACAGTAGCTTTTTCATCTCAACCAAGACTTTAGATAAAAAGTATAATTAATGAAAATAAATTATACACTTTAATCATTTGATCATTGTTAATACATACGTATTACAACTACGCGTATTTATGAAGCAAATAAAAAAGCACTTTTGGTGACTCTTCTACATCACCTTTTTCCTAAATCTTTGATAACCGGTTAGTAGAGCTAGTAACAGCATCTTGAAAGCTAGCAGTGCACTGTAGAAGGCGTAGCCTGCGAAGACCGGATTTTCCGTTGTGAAGAGTGACATGGCTTCTTTTAGACTGGAGCTTTGATGGTGGCCGTCATCGATCTGATCGACAGTCCATAATAATTGATATACCTCTTGTTGATTTAATGCCCTACTTGGACTTTGACGTTCGGTCATTGGTAAAAAGGGAAAATGACCCCGACGGGTTCATTAAACTTAAAGCCACTTTTGCAAGTCAAGGCGAATTTATAGGTCGTGATACGTCTGGTTAGCAGTCGAACTTTTAACTAACTTTTCGTTCGGCCATTTTTTTTGTCATTTTTCGGAAATTTTCTACAAGTTTCATTTTGAAACGAAGTGATAAAGTTGCATCATGGAATCAATTTATTTTAAATAACAACCTTCGATTTTTTTGTTTTTGCATAAATTCATGTCTTAAGTCAGATCCTAAATTAAGTTAATTAACTACTTAGTGGGAAATTTGAAAAAATTTCTGGCTGGTTGTGTATAGTTAGGATGTTTTGTAAAATTCACGTTTTGCAATAGTTTTCTTGACTGTATTTGGCATTTTATCTCATTTTTATACTTGAGAAAATTATTTATAACATATAGTCGGTTCAATTTGACATGCTTTACATTGATCGTAAATCGTGGCTGTTGTTCCTCTTTCAAACTAAGTTTAACTTCGTTGAGGAACCTTGGACCTCCAGAAGTATGTAAAGAATGAAGAAACTGTTTATTTCGAAATGTTACATTACTTGATGTAGTATTTATTAAGAATATTCCGCGTAGACTTCTAGATATTGTGTCCCCATGTTTTGTTATTGTGACGATTTCTTCTTTGGGAAAGCTGGCTAAATATTGATTTAGTTCAACTATCCAGGTTACATAGTTGTTGTCTAAATTGATACTAGTGTATCGGCAGGATGTTGTGTCTCCTGTTAATACGATTTCTTTCTTGTAGTTGTTCTCTTCAAGATTAATCGATTGCATTGAGCATACAGATATTGATTGAAATTTTTTACAATTATTGTCTAAAGGTTCAATTTCATTTGAATTCGCTCTTGGTTTCAGAAAATATTTTACATTTGGAACAATTGTTATAAAATTAGAGTTATGTGTTGTTGGTACTGGAATTAGTTTATATAAATCATACATTTGTTTTCTTATTAAGGGTAATTGTAAAAGATAAATAATTTGATTGTTTACAATTTTACATTGCACACTAATTAAATTTTCTAATTCAAAAATGTTCCTTAAACTTACTTCAAGTGATAATTGATCCTCATAATAAGTGGAAATTCTAGTAATTTCCTTAAACAATTTGTGAGGAGATGTAATACTAGGGTGTAAAGTCTGGAGTTTACAAAATGTTAATGAGTTTTCTATATCCTGTACTATATTTAATAGTATTTCGTAGGTGATATGTAATAAATTTGTTGTATCTCTTAATTTCTCTAATTCAACATAATTGTTTAATTTTTTATTTACTGCTAAAATTTTTGATTTTAGTTCGGCTGTATTTTCTTCAACTACTGTTAATGATTTATTAAATTCCTCAATGAGTTCATTGATTATTGAATATTGCAAATTTATTTGTTTTTCAAAATTAATTTGACTACCTTTTAGATTTTCAATATCTTTATTAAATTGAGCTCCATCGTAAGAATCTAGATTACCTGTAATAAATTTTATGATGGATCCTAATCCATTGATCAATTGTTTGTTCACGAATGTGGAATCATTATCTATGGTGTCAGGCCAATTTAAGATTTCTCTTTCAGGAGAATCTAAAATTGAATTCGCAAGGTTTTCCTCCCTTAGCTCTGGAAATTCTTCATAGAATTCATCTAGCAGGGTATCTATTTCTTCATCATCAACCTTGGAATTATTGGGATATTTACCTTTTACTCTGGCCATATTTATTTGGACTCTGGACAAGGCATCCGCGTTTTGGTTCAATTTACCTTTTTTATAAATGATCTCATAATCGTATTCCTCCAGTTTTAGAAGCCATCTTGTCAGTTTCGAGTTTGGCTCTTTAAGGGAAAATAGCCATTGCAAAGGTTTGTGATCACTAAATATTTTAAATTTTCTGCCATACAAGTAAGGCCGGAAATATTTAGTACTCCAAACAATTGCAAGCAATTCCTTTTCTATGGTGGAATACTTTGATTCTGTTTCATTTAAAGTTCTACTAGCGTAAGCAATTGGTAAATCCGCTCCATTAAAATTTTGGCTAACGATGGCACCAATTGCTACATTGCTCGCATCTGTTGTTAGGTTAAATTGTTTTTCAAAATCTGGATACTTTAATATTGGATCATTAGATAATATGTTTTTACAGGTTTCAAAACTTTCGACGTATTCTAGATTTTTTATGTCGATTTTACTATCCTTTTTTAAAAATTTTGTCATAGGTTTTGTCAACTGCGCAAAATTTTTGATGAACTTTCTATAGTATCCTAACAGTCCGAGGAAGCTTTTTCTTTCTTTTTGCGTTCTGGGTAAGGGGTAATTTTTTATGGCATATATTTTATCTGGATTTGGTTTCACTCCATTCGGTGTCACCAAATGCCCTAAATATGCTACCTAGAATCTGCTACGAAGAAATTCTGTTTTATCAGGTTGGATTTTGAAGTTATATTTTCTCAACCTATCAAAAACTAATTTTAACCTTGAAATATGCTCTTCTAAACTTGTACTGAATACTATGATGTCATCTAAATAACATAAACATATTTCATTATTTATCCCCCTCAGAATATTGATCATTACTCGCTGAAAGGTGGGCGGGCTATTTTTTAGGCTGAACAGCATCCTTAAAAATTCATAATGACCAGTTTCTGTAGAGAAGGCTGTTTTTTCAGTGCTTTCCGGACTCATCTCTATTTGATGGAATCCGGAAGCTAGATCTAAAGAGGTAAAATATTGGGACCTGCCTAATTTATCTAATATATCATTAATATTTAGGAGAGGGAATTTATCATCAATTTTTTTAAAATTTAAATTTCGGAAGTCAATCATTTATTTTAATCCCAGTTTTACAGAATTATTTTTCCATTCTCCTTCTTATATTCATTGCTTTTAGTTCAAAAAATGTTTGTTGTGATTGAGAAATTACATGAAATCAGGTAGAATAAATTATTATTAAAATTAGTAAAGACAGCATTGCATACACTACAAATAATTTACATTTTTTTAAAAATAAAAGATCGATTTATTCATTGTAGCAAATGTCTTTTTTAATCCCCTGTGACCTTCTAGATCCAATCCCTTTTTGGATAATGAGTTCATAAATTAATAGAAAAAAAGTGAATTGTTTATTGAAAATGTAATAATACCTTTTTCTTTATCTGGAGAATAACAGTTACTTTCCAATCTGAAAAACAAAATTGGAGAGTAAACAAATTAGAAACTTAACAATTATGATACATTTAACCCATATTGGTTACAACTTTTTATGAAAAATCAGGGATAAAGCGAATTTGAAAAAAAATTACATAAACAACAAGCTTACGAGAAATATATCCCCTTCATCAAGACTTTGGAACTATTTCTAATGAGATACACAACAGGTGGTCAATCTTGTCCATTATGCTAAGATAAACTCGTAAATTCATTATGATTGAAGCCATTTTTTAAATTTGCCTTAGCCCTGATTTTTTAAAATATATAATGAAAGGTTGATATCAATCGCTTCATATATATTCATTATTACCATTATTTTCATTAAATTTAAGAGTAAGCAGTACTTAAATTCTTCAACAACAGTAAAGTTATTTTTTCTTTTGCTTGATCGGCACCTAAACAAGTAAAAAATTTAACAAACTTAAAAACATATATATACTGTGCACCACTTACTTTTTTGGTGAATATACTTGTGACTTTTTCTTCTCGGTTCTAATTAAAAGAACAAAAATTCTATTATTTTGTTTGTTTTTAATTTTAACTACATCATTGACATTTAGTTAATCTTTTGTTTTTTGTCTCAGTTGCTTCTTCAAAAATTGAAGACGCCTCTTCCTTTATTAATTTTAAAGAGTTAACAGTAGCAATGTTTTGTTCAGGACTTGGTTCGAAAGTAATGGACTTTCTTTTAGAGGATTTTAAATTCTGTGAGAAATCTGTTCTTTTGCCACTGTTTTCACAATTATTATTATCTGATGTGGAATACTGCCTCTATCAATGTCAATTTAAATTAAAAATTGCGCTGTAAATATGATATTAAACAGTGAACACAACTTTCTACGGTCGATTGGAACTGATTGGAACTTCTCAAAAAATAACCTTTATCAAAGAATTTTCTGCCTTGAGTTCGCCTAGACTGGATAATTAACATGCATATTAACAAATTGTGAAAAATTGTTGTGAGATCTCCAAGATGATAGTTTGATCCTGATCTGCTTATGCTCAATGGCAAAATATCGCATCTGACAGACAAAACCAGTGAGAATAGGCAGGCCAGGATGTTTGGAACTGTAAAGTTACAACATTTAAAATTTGTCTCTTAGGTCTTACTTACTATATTGGGAGATTTAATTTCAGCACTAGGACTGAGGATAGCTTGATGTCTAGAATGCAATTTAACCACTTGGCTATCTATAAATGTTTGATCATTACCACAAATATAATTCTCAAACCGTATTAGTGATGTATTTTTAACAATCATACTTTTCTTTCTGGCATACATTTCTTGAGGATTAGACTTAAATGGTTTACCAGTCGCTAAAGGGTTAAAGGGCATCTGACTTTCAGGCTTTGTTACCATATCTGTAATTTATTTTTAATTATTATTTCCTTTTAATTTTTGATTGGCTTCTTTTTACTCACTTAATTGACTTCTTAAATTTCCTATTGATGAAATATCTTCTGATAAAGAAAAAATGCATTTATTATACATATTTAAAAACAAGTGAAAGTAAATTAATAAGGATGAAAATTTTTACCAAACTTTTTAAAGTGTTCTGCAAAATATTGATAACTTTGTTGCAGATTCACAGAAATGTCTCTGTCTGAGGTGAGAGTTTTGTTCAGATCTGTGAGCAGGTTTTGAAATACCTGCTTGAGCTCATTGTACAGTGAAATTGTAAAGATCAGTGTAAACATTAAATCTATCATTTCCTTTGTAATATTGAAATTTTCCTTTTGGGCTTGTAAAAGCGCCAGTTCTTGTTGAGCTATTTTATTGGTAAGCTTTTTGTTCATTTCGAGCCACTTCTGGTGTGCTTGTTAAATCAAATAGTTATAAATTAAATTGGGTTTTATCATTGCTTTCTTTAAATTTACCTTCTAAATTTCCAAAATGGCAAATCATTATTCTCACCCCCTTTTTTCACTGGCTTTGGCCTGCATAACAAAGAAAAATACATTGAAAATGTGAGTAGATGATATATATTCCAGAATATCTATAAATATAAATGTTTATCAGTTAAAACATTCTCCTTTGACCAAAAACTTCATAATTTTAACATTTTAAACTAACTTTTTGTGAAGTCAATATTTTCTTTGAAATTTAATATAGGATCAGAGCCTGTGCACTGTTAAAAACCAATTGAGAATTAAATCTTTCTAACATTATTGTCATAACGTGCCTGTGGCAGGATTATCGTTTGGACTTTGAGCTTGTGCCAGTGCCAAACAGTCACAATGCTTAGTAGCAAAACCATATTTATAAGATTAAAAAAAATTATAATGAACATTCACAAAGATAATGTAATATTATCAACATTCCTCTTTGTTTGAAATTTTTCCTGAGTTACTCAAGTATTGATATCTTGAGGCTGACATGAATCCACAGAACTAAATTCACCAACTTCCAAGAATTTTGTTTTCCGTGAATTATTCTATAAAATGATGAGATAGTTATTGTAAGCTACTCAAAATTGATGTATAACTGCAACACAACCAAAGGCTAGGTCACAACTAAAATAGACAATTAATTCAATTTTTTCATTGTTAAAAAGTTACTTGATGGTGATGATAGAGATGGATGCTAGGAAACAGTATTTGTGCTCCCCAGAAACTGCAGCCTTCCGGCTTATTTCTTCCTAGTACCCTAGTTCAGTGCTTTCGACTCAATCCTTCTCAAAAGTATTAGGCCATTTTAAAAGTTACTTAAGATAAACATAAAAAATATACTGGAGTAAATTCATGATAAATATTAAAATCGTAATTTAATTTCTGCTATAAGACAGACAATACGACAAGGTTGATTTTCATTAAACTACCTCTCTTTCTAATAATAATTAACTGAAGATCAATAAAAGTAGATTCAATTTTCTTTGGCAATCAATGAAAATCAATGTTTTTTGTTGGTTACTTTGTTTAATACTAAACATTGCAGGAAAGACAACTTTGTTTATTTTATTAATATTATTGGCAATGATTTACAAAGTTCCTAAATCACATTTTCTACTACTACTGACCTAATGCCATTAAATGCCTTTTACTTGCCTAATCAATACGAGGAAAAAAACTATTTTTGAAAGTCATATAAAATTTAAGTGCCATTACCAAAACACAGTATCCAGCCAATATGACCTACTTGTTAATTATTCTTCAAGGCAGACAAATTGGAGCTTTTATTTTAACTATGCAAACTTTTTCACTTTTCAATATTCACATTCCAAGCCAATTATTTTTTGATTTTCAAAATACACTGTTCCATTTCACCAGCATTAAAAAGAAGAAGATACATTTAACAATTAAATTGTAAAAGAGAATCAATGCATCTCAAAACAAGTCTGGACAATAAAAACAAAATATTTGTATTTAATAAAATTTTAACAAATGCCTCTTCATTCTAGATAGCACATTTCAACAGAAAACTTGTTTTTTTGGTTAGTTCAACCTGTTTGAAAAACAAAATTACACAAAAATGAGCAAAATTTAGTTTTGGAAAGGGATGATGGGAAGGAAAGATCTGTTTTATATCTGATATTGCATTTTCTGACATTTCGGCTTTCTTGGAGATGGATGAGGATGAATGGAAAGGCTCTTTAGGATAATTGAACAGAAGAATCAAGAAATTTTAATTTTAGCTGCAATTGTTATTTAAATTTATTTGAGTAAATTTTGAAATATTAATGTTGAAGTATTATTATATATTATTGTTTAGGTAAATTCAAAATGTTTTTGGAAGACTCCTTTCGCCTACCTGTTTTGTGTTAGAAGATATAAACGATCCCCAAAAAATAAGAAAGGCACACATAATGCAACTTAAAGCATATAGTCAACCTAGAATAAATTAAGCTATATTTTAATCCTTAACTGTTTATTGAAAGTTACAAAAATTAGTCTCTTTAAAGTTTCATTTTGTTGTTAATTTGATTTATAAAATAAGTACAAAATCACGCTCTTAAGAGTTAAAAAACAGAATAAATAAAAAGAAACAAGAAAATAATAAATTTGGCAATTATAAAATTTAATAATAGAAGCTAATTTTAATTACTATAAAACAGGATTTTTTGTATAAGCCATGTCTGCCCCTCCATGTTCCAAATGCTATCCTCTTGATCAAAACCTACTCACTACTTTGATGAACAGAAGACATATAATTCCAAATCATAGCAAGAATTCAGTCATTATGGACTTGGCTATATTTGAATGAAATTGAACTTTATGGCTACATCCTTTGATCAACCAAGAAAGATGCATAGCCTCAAGACTACTTCACACCATCGCAGAAAATGGTTCAAGGGCAGAATATTGGGGTCTGGAATAATAATGGATCCAGTGTGCATTTCTAAAATTTTAGTCTATGAATCTGCATCAGCGCTCAGCAATAAACCCAGTACAAATCCCACCATTCTTATGCTAAAAATATCCCATATTGTAGGTGTATTTGTAGATAATCACACTCGATTTTAATATCATAAGTACATATTTTGCGTGAGGTGTAATTTTTTTTTAAATTTTAATCATGCAAAATTAACTGATTTACATATAGATGTTCGTTTTGCCTAATGTACTGGACTTTAGAAAACAACTGAAATGTACAAATAGATGCGACACACGAATACTTCGGACCTTCTGACTGATTTACTTAAGTCAAAGCCAGAAAAGGAATATTTTACCCTCTGGATACAATTATAATACTGAATCCAGCCAATCTGGAATGTTTCTCTATTCTTGCTAATGCTATCTTATATCCAACTGGATTTTTATATTTTTACAGTTTTGCAATTGGTACAAATATTTGGTTTGAACATGTTCAAACTTGATGCTGGAATTACTTGAAATGCATTTTCAGTTTTGGCGCGATATTTCTGTTTTTCGATATAATAAATATCGATCATTTTGTTTCAATAATATTGGTTTTATTATAATAATTGTTAATTATTACATAATAATTATATTATTAATTCATATGGTGTTAGGCAGATATTTCATGGCTGATTTTGTTTTCCGTTGAATCCATGTGTATATATTATATTATAAAATGTATTGTCGGCACAATTATCTATATTTTTAGTATCGTAAACAAAAATTATTAGTTTAGTCAAAAATATGTATTTTTTTAGTATGAGATGTATCAGCCCAACGTTATATTGTGACAGGCATCGAGTCCGTAATATCGATTCAAGTGTTGCAAAATGCGGACATGTGAAGAAACAATTCGTTATAAACTTATAACAGCGGTACTCCGGAGTCAGGAGTTCAGGACCTCAGGGGCTCAGGAGTCAGGAGTCAGGAGTATATCAGACAGCATACTGCGTACGTAAGTGCATACCGCATACCAGAAAAAAGAAATCCACAGGTTTACTTAAAAACTTCATCTTGCCTTTTTTTTTGTTTAGGTTGATTCGTTGAGTTTCAGTAATGAGTGAAATGGCTCTTTGCTCTGAGGAAGGGGTAAATAAATCTTAACTTTGTATTATTTTCTGTAAATTGAAATGTGTAATGTTGCTTTCTGAGTTAACTGGTGTAATTGCTAAAAAAGACAGGAAACTGGACAGCTGTACTATTTTTATAATATTGTTTCTAAGAATAATAGATTTATGCAATTTATTGTGTTCTTGGCTCGGTTGAAAAACTGAATGTACTGGGTATAAGAGATAAAGTGATCATTACAATAATCTGATCAATGTTCAGATCTCTGACAAAACACAGTGTAATACTTTTGCACCATAAGTGCGTTGAAAGGCTAGATTCGTGCTAGCATGGGAAAGCAAGTAGAAAGTATGGACTTAAGCTTATGTCTGATTGCAGTTAAATTCACTAATTTCGTGGTCCGCTTGACCAATTAATATATTACAATTAATTAAGGTTTTTAGTTGAGATAAAAAAGTCAATGGCACGAGCAGGATTCGAACCCATGATCTTTGGCTAGATACGCCGTTGCTCTACCACTTGAGCTATCGTGACCTCGATTCACTCGGACACTAACTTCCCATTTCAACTCCACCAACTCTGATTACAGTGTAAACGATTTCAACAATTTTAAATTATTTTTTATATTTGTGATAAAAATATTGTCTAGGGTTTTCCTTCTGTGAAGTTTTCAATGATAAATCAAAATCTTTCTAAAAAAAAAGCTTTACATAAATTAGTAACATTATTAATATTTATTATTAGTCCATACTGGTAAACTCTAAATCGATATGTTAAACTTTAAGTACTTAAGGAAAGAATTATGATCTCATTTTTGTTAAAATTGTTTTAAGTTGAGATCTCACCCGGCCAATGACGGATGTAGGATGTGATTTAGGGTCGCCAAAGTCTTGATCAAAGAGAAGATAGTTGTCGCAATGTACGACGATTGTTTCGTACTGTCATTTAAAGCTTCTTTGATAGATAGTCAACTCTAAAGGGTCCGTGTGACCAGGGTGAGCTCTAATCCAAAATCAGGGTCTGTAGTACTGGAGAGGCATCGAGTAGAAAGGCAATATTTGCAAATCAACAACGCTGGAACATGGGGGTGCTGTTGTCTCATAGTTGAGTGCCAGTTTGGCTTGTGGTAACCAGATGACAAGGACATTGTATAGAGAATGCTTTGCTTCATGTGCCATGTGTAAGTCACAGTCTTTTCAAGAGTCAGTTATGTTAAGGGGTGGAATCAGCATGCCCATACTGAACTGATTGTCATACAGAATGTATCTTTGATTGCACTAAAGTTGAGGAAGTTCTTCTGGAAGCTGTGGTCCCATTCACTCCATTTATCGGGGACGACTTCTTGTTCATGCATGATAATGCTCAGCAACATAGAGCTAAAGTTGTCACCCTTTCTTTGGAGTTTGAAAGGATTACCACAATGAATTGGCCAGGACTTTCTCCTTATATGAATCCTATAGAACATGATGAAGAGACACATTAAACATCATTTGCCATCTCCAACAAGCGTTGAACAGCTTCAAACCACTCTCGTTGAAAAATGTGAGACTTAAGGCCCTCTGCTAGGTTAGAGGATGTAACACGTGCTATTAAGAACAAGACTAGGTAATAAATTGTCAGTTAAATTTTAATCTCTTTTTTTCTTTGATTGTATTTAAAACATTTATAATATTATTTGTAGTTCCAACAGATGGTGTCAATTCTAATCCGTACAGAAAATAAACTAGATTTACTAGATTTTGAAGTTTTAAAAATGCTGTGAGCGAACTCAGTACGGATTTCTTTCATGCTAATAAAGTAATAAGACATATTTGATCAATGTGCCATTTTGACTTAATCGTATTGAACCTAGGTTAGAATTAGTGTTAAGTTAACATATGCACTGAAACCAAGTTTTTAAAAATAAAATTTAAAAAATCATTCTATCAAATTCACAGAATCCAAATGTTTCGTGTATGTATGCACTTCAATACCAGTTCTTAAGAGATCTAATTTTATAATAATAATTAAAACGTCTAGGTTCCTTTTCTTTACTGATTCCTATTCATCCATGGCAGTTGGTATTTTATTTTAATTTATTGAAGAACTTAAGTATTTTTTCTCTTTATTAAAATGATTTTGGCTAATTCCAATAACCCCTCTTCAATTGACAAGGTTTGTAATATAAGGTGAAACTCATAACATCTGAAGGGGATTGTAGTTAGTCCGAAATGCATTTATTGCAATGAAGATTTAAAAAAATACTTGAGTTCTTCAATAAAATAACACCAATCCCATGGAACAATTTAAAAATTAAAAAATGGCATTTCCTGCTTGTTTAAACTAAATGCTTTTAAAAGTTAAAACATTAAAAACACAACCACTTTTACAGGTTGAAAATCTCTAATAATAATAAAAACGCGATTTTCATTGAATTCCAATAGTTTTTTTTTAATTTTTTTTTTTTTTAATTTTAATAATTCCATATCTTGAAATTGTATGCATGGAATGCTGAAGATGGGATTTATAACCCAAAACATCCATCTCTAAATATATTAAACTACCACGGAATACCTGATTTCTTTCAACCTTAAATTTTTTTTCTTTATTCAGAGTGATGATGGTGTCTGGGACGATACCCTTCTTATCAAAGCCTATTCCAAGGCCATAAATGCATCAGAAGAAAGGGTTAGTTTTTAAAAGTATTTTTTGAATTTAATAAATGTTTAAATAATAAAACCCAAATTTATCATTTTGAATAACTAGGTCCATGCCCGAAAAGCAAAGGAAAAATCAGTAAATAATTCATCCTCATCTTCAAAACATACAAATGATTCTTCTTCTGCAGAGGTAAATTAACAAACCAAAAATGTGCCAGTTTATACATTTTTAAAATATTATTTTAGAATGAAAGGTTTTGGAAAGTTGGAATGCCATGTCGCGCTGTTTATTCAGTGGATGGTAAGGAATATGAAGCCACCGTAGAAGAGCTTAATTATGAAAATGGGACTTGTACCGTTGTTTACGTAGGTCAGTTTTAATATTATATTTAATGAAAGAAATATTTTTCTCATCGTTATTCTTTTGCAGGATATGAGAATGTAGAAGAAGTAGATATACATAGTTTAAAGATGTCGAGTGGAGAGAAAGCCAGAAAATTACAGGATCAAGTTAAAAATAATTTTAAGGAAGGTGTAAGTATATAAATCAGTAAACTAAAAAAAAAAGTTAAATAAAATAAAGCACAAATTGTATATATTTGTCTATATTTTCAGTCGAAACTGATAAAACCAAATTCAAAACGTTTTGGCGTATGTATATATAAGTAGTATTTCCAGTGTAAATAATACATGATTTTATTAGTTGTTCTTTTTGAATACAGTTCATTCCTCCACCTCCTACCATACCAATCCTCGATGGGATGCCGATGGACGAATCCGATGCTTTCTCTGCTATGCTAATGTCTTGGTATATGAGTGGTTATCATACAGGTGATTACAACATCTACATATCACAATATTGTTTTATTAATTTATTTTTTTGCCATAGGTTATTACCATGGTCTGAAAGATAGAGATGCTAGAAGAAATTCCCATCATCAAAGCAGCTGATCGCAACATTACTAAGATGTGTATAAGACTGAAATTAATATTGTTAAAAATAATTTATTCCTTTTTCTAACATATAAAGTATGAAAGGAAATAAATTTATTTTAAAGGGAAAATCTTTTGTACATTGTTATTCAGTACCAATTGTATGTTAAACAGCATTCTGTTGTCGTTTTTTTTTTTTTTAATTCTGTAGAAAATAGTTTTTAAAAAATAAAATGTACTTACATCAAATCATAGGATTTCGCTACATTAACAAAGGTTGATTAGAAAGATGTTTTTAAATTGTTTATTCATTTAGTCTGAAACATGGTTTAATATATGCATGCCACATTTTATTGATACATATTTATATTCCTAACGTTTTTCATCCACTTTCATGGCATGCTTCCAGCATCTCTTCAGATTCCTTTGATTATATATTTGCTGCATTCACAGGAATGTGAAACAAATAATCTTTAAAGATTTTCTCGTGTCAGACATGACCGAAAACTTTAACTTTGTTGATGAATCTTGCAGGTAACCAATTTTATTCTTGGAAAATTATTTATTATTTTCCTATGCTTATAAAACGAAATTTATTTCTAAGAATCCATGTCACATTTGTACTTAAGCAAATCTCTAACAATATACTATAACAACATTCCTATCCCCCAACTGCATATTCTACCTTGGGTTCCACCTAGACTGATGAGGAATCAGTATATACGACTAAAACAATGACCTAAACAGATGCTATAGTCCACTCTACAAACTTACAGGATGACAATCTTATGACGAAAAACAAACACTATTTACAAAACACTACTACTACCGATTTGGACATACTTAATAGAATTGTGTGGAACCACTTTTTAAAATCCAATTCTTTCAATCTAAAGTCCTCATATTACATATAAATAATCTGTACTATGTCTCCAATACTACCATCAACTACGACTATAAAATCCCATTTATCCAGAATATAATCCCCAAAAATTTACCAAGTTTGACAGTAATCTCCTATCAACCCAATTGACTCGCCCAATTCTTGTCCATCAGAACCCATTGGTACAATCCCATAAGGCGTCATAATAAGAAACAACCTGGCGACCTCCTTTCTGAGGAGTAGGCAGTGAAGTGAAGTGGAAGAATAATATTGATTATTTATTCCCCTCAATTTAAATAGCTGTAAATATATCTGACGGTTAATTAATGATTGTGGTGAAGATCATGAGATGTGGTCTGGCGTGACGTAGGTTTAGAAAAATTTTTCTTTATAGTGCCGTTTCAATCTTTGTTGAGATCATCTTCAGGTCCTGGGATTTACAAACATTGTTTAAATTATACAAATACGTGTAAGATGTGAAAAAATGAATTTCTATCATTACATAAATTAATTTTTTCACATCTTACATGTATTTGTATAATTTAAACAATATTTGTAAATCCCAGGCCCTGAAGATGATCTCTATAAAGATAGAAACGTTGGCACGATAAAGAAAATCTCTAAACCTACATCACACCAAACTGCATCCCATGATCTCCAGATAATAATTGTAAATATATCTATGTTCATCAAATTGCATATACTAGCAAACAATCGTTGCTGACTCCTCTCAGGATATTTTCAGATGATAAATATTGTTTCACATTACATAATGTATATATTCGTACAGAAGGTACTACATAATTTACAAAAAAATTATACTCGTAATAAAATTTAAGATATGTACGTGTAAGGGGGTTTAAAGCCATATTTGGACCTTTAAAAAAACTAAAGAACATTGGTCCAATGATCAGCTAAAGGCAGTCCTAACGTTGAGTAAAGAAAACATAAATTTACGATTTTACTTCAATAAAAGGTTTATAGTTTGCAACAAGTGTTTAAGCAATTTAAATAATTGATAAATTAATAAGCAAGTAATAAAATAACGTTATTATGGTAGTTTTTCTTGTCCAATATCCAATAATTGACTCTGAAAAATTTGTCGATTCATCTTACACCGAATGATAGAAGTTTTTTAAAACATATTTCAACAATTTACAATCTTTAAACTTGGAAAAAGAAAATCGAGGTATGTTTTGTTTTATGATAGCAAAGAAAAAGTGGACACGATTAAAGGTTTCGAGGGAATATTTTTTTGTTTTAATGGTCAAAAAGTTGGTTAACCTTGTGAATAACACGTAAAGAAGGAAAAGTGTAAAGGCGAGACAACAACCTGAACGCATTCCTCTCTCTATTTGACCGTTGGTTTTCTTTAGAAAATCTACCATCCAGACCTGAGGATTATGTCCTCGAACGGGAACCAAGGAGGCCCGAACCAGGATCCGCCTTTGGCCCTGCCCCAACCCAGACAGCCGAGGAATCTTCAGGATCTGCTGAGATTCGCCGTCGAATCTAACGATGGTAATGCAGCTGCTAACAGCCGAGAACCACCTCGGGCCAGTCTCGACCCTGAAGTTAGTTGACTTTCACTACTATCAATGGTTCATAAATAATATAAAAAACATGAAATTAAACATTAATTTTCAACGTGTCATTTATTATAAGTTAAATTGTAATTGTTCCAGAGTAGAGAGTTTATATCGAATGCGCTACGAGCACTATCAGTGGATGTGACAAAAGAACTTCTTGATGCGATCAATGTGCTCAAGACGCTGGAAAAGTACGACCAGGATCCTTTAGTATATGAGAATGCCTTTGTGACAATTACCGACCACATTGACAACATCGATGCTGCCAATGGTAAAATATTTTGTGATATCTCTTGATGAACATTTAGCTCGGTCATTTCCAGTCATTTTGGTCTGCCTGATTTTGCCCCTCAGATGAATTTTGACCTTTCACTATCATCAGTGTTAGGTTTACAGATTTGGGTTATAGCAGGAAAAACTGGGGATCAGACCGGAAACCCTGCTTCGGATGTACGCCATGATGGTGAGACCTATTCTCACATATAGCGCCATACCCTGGGCCAATGAAGCCGAACAAATAACAAAATGAAAAGAACCTATGAAAATACAGACTTACATGCATCTGTATAACAAGAGCAATGAGCACATGTCTCACAGCTTGTTTGGAGATGATAATGGGATTAATCACCCTCCAGCACATGAGGACAGCACAGAAAACTATTAGTAGTACTTATCAAAGAGAAACCTAGGAATAAAACTGAAATAGCAACATCTAATGAAAGACCATCCGATACCCATGACCCCAAGAGACGACATGAATAGGATGTTTGAGTTTAACCAAAATTTCCAAATAAAAAAGTAGTAGTACCAAAAAGGAATGGGAAAGCGAGAACAACACCCCTTTTAAGAATGGCACCATCTACTGGTACACACACGGATCTAGAATGCTGGAATGTATGGGGGCAGGAATATTGGAACCAAATACTCAGAATCCATGGGAAATACACCAGTATCTTCCAAGCTGAGGTCTATGCAATTAAAAGATGTACCCAATTCAATCTGAACAAAGGGTACAAAAACAAGAATGTAGCTGTCATGTCAGATAGCCAAGCAAGTTCAAACATCATTAGCTTAAAGATGGTGCTGAATTGCAAAACCAAACTAAACAAATTAGGTATGCAACAAAGTCAGCCTATGCTGGGTGGCCAGGACATGTGGGCATAGAGGCAACAAGAAAGCGGACGCCCTTGCAAGAAGAGGGGCTGCTATACCGCTGATAGGACCCGAGCCCTTCTGTGACAAGAGTACATACATCAATGAGCACCTCAGACAGAATTTTAAAAAGAAAATAAGGGAACAATGGAACTAACTCATTGGACACGAACAATCTTAAGAACCTCCTAACAAACTTTGTTAGGAAAGAGGTAACTGATTGTATTAAAGGAAGAGGAAAAACTGAATCTTAATAGGACACTGCAAACTAAATGAAGAAGATTGGCTTAAACCAACATGACACGTGCAGATTCTGCAAAGAAGCAAAGGAGACAACAATACACTTACTAACAAACCATGGTGCTACACTTGCTCGCAGGAGAAAGATTTTTGGAACATACAACCATAGACGACATTCAACCACTGAAACCGGCCCTACTAAGTTCTTTGTAGTAGGGCTTATTGGTGTGCTTTAAGCACAGAACGGGGGATACAATAGCTCTTCAAGGTCGCAGTGTAATGTGCACCCTGACTATTATATCTATCTATCATTATCTATTGGGTTGTCCGGAAAATAATGCAGGATTTTAAGTTTTCATTAAAAAAAATCTATATAAAATATTCTGTTTACGTTTACAGGATAATCCCCTTCCAAATGATATTGTTTGTTTACCTCTGTAGCATTCCGCTACTTGGAAATAATTCAGTCATCCTTATAATGTCAAAGCGAGAATTTCGTACGATTTTCTTTTACGAGTTTAAACTCGGCCGAAGCGGAGCCCAAACGGCTAGGAACATTAACCAAGTCTGGGGCGAGGGTTGTGTTAATGAGTGCACTGTGCAAAGGTGGTTTAAAAAATTTCGGGAGGGAGATTTCAGCCTTGAAGATGAAGAAGGTCGTGGAAGGCCTTCCTCTCTTAATGATGATGTTCTGCGATCAGTGGTGGAAGAAAACCCCAAAACAACTGTTCGAGAACTTGCAGAGCAACTCAAAGTCAGTAAAACGACCGTCGCTGACCACCTCAAGGCGATTGGAAAAGTGAAAAAACTCGAAAATTGGGTTCCACACTCATTAAACGATCGCCAAAAAATCAGCGCTTTGATGTTTGTGCATCACTTCTTTGTCGAAACAAAAATGACCCATTTCTGGCCAGAATTGTTACATGTGACGAAAAGTGGATTCTCTACGATAACACTAGACGTTCTGGACAGTGGCTCGACAAAGGAGAAGCTCCAAAGCCCCCAACTCATCAAAAAAAGGTAATGGTTACGGTATGGTGGGCTTCATTTGGTTTAATACACTACAGCTTCTTAAATCCTGGCGAAACCATCAATGCTGAATCATACTGTAACCAAATTAATACCATGCATCAGAAATTGGCAGTAATGAAGCCCTCTTTGGTCAATCGGAAAGGGCCCATTTTGTTGCATGACAACGCTCGACCACATGTGTCACGTGTAACGTCACAAAAATTATTGGAGCTTGGCTATGAAACTTTGCCTCACCCACCCTACTCTCCGGACCTCTCGCCTACTGACTACCATTTTTTTAGACACCTGGACCACTACTTACAACACATAATATTCAAAAATCAAACGGAACTGGAAAATGCATTTATTGACTTTATCAATTCTAAAAATTCTGAATTCTACTCAGACGGAATTAATAAGTTACCAACACGTTGGGAGAAATGTATTGAGAGTATGGGAAATTATTTTGATTAAAGAACATTGCTTTAAAGTAACTAGTTTCTTTTTTTTTGTTTAATACCAAAATCCTGCATTATTTTCCGGACAACCCAATACAAAATAAACCTGTGTGGATAAGCTTACTAAAATTATTGTAAACAACCAAGCTATAAAATATTCATTGTTAATTGGGTGACTTGACATTTGTTATCAGCTTGATTGGTGCTCGCTTCATTTTTTCCCCTTCCATATCACATCCATTGGGACAATAAATTGCCTTGCGAATTTTGGAAAATCAAAGAGTACTGTTAGCAGCATCCAGTTGCTCTTCCAAATGGCTAATTGGGTATTGCTCATTCCATTTGGTGGAAAAAGCCCCCACAGATGTTTCAGCAGCATCCACCATGGGGCGTCGTAAATGTTTCATAGATCTGCTTCAGCTGCCTTGTCTTGTCTTCTTTTCTCTTGAACAAATTTGACAACGCTTGCAAGTATTGGTAATGCTTAGTGTGTTGGCCATTGTGTTACATGAAGTTTCTTTTACTTCATTATGGTCAAGAAGTTCTTGAAAATGGAACGTTATGGTTCGAGACAAGTGAGAGGAACCAGCAAATGTTTTTTTCATCTGGTCATCCACTAGCTCTTTTCCCAGATAACATAGGCATTTTTGGCAGGGTAGTTTATCCAAATAAATGAGTTTGGCATAATAAAATAACATAAAAAGGTCATCTTCTAGAGCCCTTTTGTATTTTACATTACACACATTTAGTCAAGTCTACACCTATTTTATGGTAGTTGTAATGAGTATTAATTTCAATCCCCCCCTCAATTTTGTCACACTACATCTGAATGAATACTCAAAATAAAAATAACTTTTTCTTTTTATTCTGGAGCACATAAGAAACTATAGTACTCCTTTGGAAACCTTAATCATTGGTTGGTGGAAAATGGTTCCCTGTGCTTTATTTATTTTAATTTGTTTGGGATTTTCCGCTTGTTTTTATTGTTATTTTATTTTATTTTTTTTGTCTAGTTGAAAATGCTTTGAACACTGAAAAATACGAGGTGAATGCTATCATCTGCTGTTCTTGTTAGCCACGGTTATGCTTGGTCCGTATCCCCCGTGTATAACAAGAGTTTACTGTATGTTGATTGACTGACCAGGTTTACAATAAGGAAAATCATGAAAATATGGATAGAAAACAAATAGTTTTATTTGTTACCAAGCTATTCATTAATTAAATGGAGCTAAAAAAGAGATGCATCAGTTTTTTATTTGTATTTATTTTTTTTTACTAATTTGTAATCGAAAAAGAATTTGTTCTCTAACAAAACAGGTGTGGTGTGCTTCATGGAAATGTATATGAATGCAAACTAATAAATTTTACATTTTTATAACTATACAAGTGTCATTCATTACCATTTATAACAGGTCCAAGCATTTTAGAAGACATACAAATTATTTAACAATTAGAATTTGATGCTAAGCAAAAAAAAAAAAAAAAAATAGAGACAATAAAGCGGGCAAACTTGCTAAAAAATTAATAAGATGTTTCTGAGGTCTCACCAGCCTAATTAAACATTATTTTTTATAATTATATCAAAGAAAAGACCTCATAAATTGTACTTTGTCTATATTGGCAGCTTGTTAATTCCACACAACAGAAATAATTTTTAATACTACTGACAAGCTTCTTCAAAGGACACAATTTACATTCAGAAAAAAATCTTCGGTTTAACTTTTATTACCAAAGACTGTGTGTACCAAAAACCATCTCTCGTTTTGTTAACTTGAAATAGTTCTCCTGACCTGAACTAGTATTAATTTAATTTAATTTATTCTATCTTTTCAATTCCAAGTGCCATACAAAACGCCATTCAGCTATATCTGCTAAATTTTCAGATTTTGTAAAGTTGGGTGGGTTTGACATTGCAACCAGTTGTTTAAGTACAAGACATGCCGAGGTGCGATGGAGAATGGCTGATGTTCTGGCTCAGTGCGCCCAAAACAATCCATTTTGCCAGCTTGAAGCGCTTAAAAGAGGATTTCTCCCTATTGTTCTGAAAATGACAGACAGTGATCGCGATGAAAAATGCAAGATCAAAGCGTTTTTTGCTGCTTCGAGTAAGTATCATGGTTGTTATTGCATAAATGTGATGTGTATGATTCTTTGGAGTAAAATTTAAGTTGACTTCTACAGGATTTATAAAATATCTTTCTTTTTGTAGACATTGTAAGAACTTGCGAGCCAGCTTTGGAAGAATTTATCAAAGTAGACGGGTTTTCTGTTGTACTAAGAGCTATGGAAAGTAATATAGAAAGGTTAGAAAACAAAGCTACGTTTTTTCTCTCGGCTATATTATCAGAAAACTCAAAGTTAGTTGGTGAGTTAATATTATTTTATTGCTTTAATAAAATCTAATGTCCAGTTATAACCATAGCCATTCATTTAATTTACAGCTGAATTAATCGGAAAAGGGTTTATAGAGCAGTTAATAAATATGATTAAAAAGGAACACAGCCCCAAACATGAACATATGGTTTCTGCATTGTTGACAATAACAAAAAATAGTACCACAGCTGAAAATGAATGTAGAAGGCAAGAACTAAATTTACTTCCTCATTTGACAAAAATATTAAACACATATGGCCATGAAGACACATTCAAGGTAATTGTATTCAATTTTGAAACTTTTTTTATAGAAAAATTATTTTTTCATCCAATGGATTTTTCTAGGAGGAAATCAACTATATAAAAGATTTGATTCTTCTAGTTTTCCCTGAAGATCCAGATGTGGAGAGGTAAAAATTAACAAAAGAAAAAAAATTAAAAAATATGAATACAATTAATAAATGTTAAATGGAAAATTATTTTGCCTTCATAAAACAAACTTTTGGCAATGTTATAAAACGATAAAATATTTTTTTCTTTTTAGACCTCGTAAGGGTTATTATTTTACTGATTATTTTCTTCAAATAAATGATACGTTGTAAGTAGTTTTTATTCATTATCCCTATTGCTTAAATCAAAAGAAAGAGTAACATTTTCATCAAGAGTGTTTAAAAAGTATTAAACACAATTACAATAATTTAGTTTTTACATGAACAGTATTTAAAAAATGTACAGAATAAAATGATGACCAGCTTTATTAATAATTAAATAGATTAAAAAAACAACCTGATGATATACACATGCACAGAAAACATTTAAATATGGAACTATAAATCACAAATATTTTTTTAAATTCCTTTTTCTAAAGCTTCCAGTTCTACTCTACACAGAGATCAAATTTGTCAACTTGCTGACACTGTGAATTAAACTCTTTTATCCATTTTTCCATTGCAGGATCCTAAAAACAACAAAACATATATATAAATAAAACTCTACAATAATATACTCTTTTTTTCTATTGAATTCTTATATTAACATGGGTGTGGTGTTTGGTAGATACCAGACCACATTTCACCACGATCTCCAAATAATTTTATATTAACCTTTTTTAAAATGAAATATACATACATATAAACATAATTTAATTTTTTTACTTTAGTGTTTGTATTGATTTCTATAATACATACATACTTTATCTTATTATTACAACGCCATTTGTTTTAAAATATAACAAGTATATCAAGAGTTATGTATATATTCATAAATAAAATAACATATTTTGGATGTTTTTTTCTTAAATTTTTTGTCACTTTTTAAAATTCTTTTAGTCTTAATTTTTTGCGGGTTCACTTTATAAATTATAAATGTCTTCTTTTTTTTCTTTAATAACTACTAACACACAGTAGGCCACTCATGATAGTTTATTAATTTAGTCTTTAATTTAATTACAATCTATTGTCATTTTAATCTTAAGTTAGTTAATCTGTAATTGTATATTATTAAGCATATGCTGGTTTCTAGTATCCCACTAACTATGTATTTATGTAGATATTAAATGAAGATACCACAGCAATCTGCCATAAATTTCATTCCTGAGTACTGAGAGCGTAATTTTACAAAGTAAAAACACATTTTTAGCATTATTTTTAACATATAATTAGATTATTTATGGGGGGGGGGGAGACTGACACATGTAACAGATTGCTGCTGAGCTGAAAGTGTATATAGTTTGTGCTTATAATGTTTTGAAAAAGATGTTTTATACAGCAGATATGTTAAAAAATGCATTTATTACTAGTCATTTAATGTAAAAGACTATTTCTGCACACTCAGGTCAAAACAGAATAAGTTAAAAAAATTCAGGATTGTAATTTTAAAATTTTGACCAATGGAAAATTCAATTTTTGTAGTAACATTTTTATTGTGATCAAACTTAATGCAGTTGAAAATAGGTTTCTTAAGTTTATTCAACCTTTTCAGGATGGATTTTCAGATGCTAAAATGCATTCTACTGCCTATTCCCTTGGGCACTGTGTCCCCCAGCCTGATTTATTTTGCATTATATATCAAATTTCAAAGCGTTCGCTTTCAACACTCCTTTTATGTTACACCAATTCCTTTCAAAATTTGACAGTACATTCCTCGGATATTATACTTTACAACATAAGTAAGTAAATGTAAGGAGTAAAAAGTTTCATTTAGTTGAAAATTTATTTGATTCAAAAATATGTCATTTGGTGTTGAAAATCAGTTTGATTTTAAATAATAATAATAAATATTTATTGAAGAATAAAATGATAAGGATGAGCCTATACTCATGTTGAGACTGTTGCTAGTCTGACTCCATTATTATTATTATTATTAGCCATACAAGCCTATGGGAAATATTTAAATTATGGAACAAAAATTCAGAATTCTAATTTAAAAAAATTTTTATATGTAATTTAAAATGGGATTTTTGCATACATTTGGCCTTCCAAATTAAGAATTTTAAAAGGATAAATTAAAGCTTGGATGGCAATAGGATAAATTAGTTAAGTGAATGTTTGGAGTCAGAGCTTTATAGCACTCACAAGGGATATAGCTAAATTAAGATAGAAGGTTTGGGATGTTAGGGCATGAAATGACAGCCGTTAAAACGCCATTAAAAATTATAATAATAATAAATATTTATTACTGATTTATTTAACTCAACTCTGCACATGGATGTAAAACTAAAACTGTGGCCACTTGGCAGCAAAAGGCAAAAAAATCAGAAAGACTAGGGTAGAGGTATGGAAGGGTAGAGAAAAGGGCAGTGGTGAGAGGTAGACTGAAGTAGGACATTCCCAATGTGACACAGATATAGTGGCCGAATGGTTTTTTTAATAAAAAGGAATATGACATAATTTCACGAAAGTGTGTGAGATAGAGAGAGAAGCCAAATTATGAACAAAAGGAGGTCACAAATTCACTGCAGAGGCATCTGCTAACAAATTGGATCACTCAACAATCTCAGCCCAACAGAGAGACAAGCACCTAAAAGGGAAAACCTCGAGTACGAGAAAACTCGACACTAGTCCCAAATACTTTTTGGTATTTATCACACTATGCACTGACAGTTAACTAGTTCTTTAACACAAATTTATCACACCTGCCGATTATCAATGCACAATTTTTGTAGTATAGGCAATTATAGGCTTACTAATAGGCAGTTAAAAATGGGAGATGTCAAGTTGTATTAAAAATCATAAATGCACTAATTCACTAGTTACCAATAAAACAAATGATAGTATTTTTTTTCTTGTTGCATAGTACATGTTTAAAATAAAATGGAAATTATCCCATTTTGTCAAAATTTGACTTATCCAGTTTTGTTTCAAGGGTGCCGATTTTTATACAGTATTTTTTGTTTCCAGTAATATGTTTCTTGTGTGCATAGAATATATATGTTTTTTTTCTGTTTTTATATACATAAATACGTAACAGGTTCTTTCGACAATTTAGACAAAAGTTTAAGTACTAAAAGAACAAATCTTTATGACTCCATATGAGGAAGAAAACTATTCTTCTTAGGCTTCCAATTGTTTTACATAGATTAGTTTTTTATTTTATTTATTTTTTATGAGTGTATTTCAACTATGAGATTATATGCAATCTCAGGGTGTCAGTGTTTTTGGAAAAAAAAGCCCATTTGTAAGTATGTCAGGTTCGAATGAAGGGCTGCTGAAATTCAAACCTTTATTGTACAGTAATAAATGTTGTGCAAATGCCTTAACCATTGCATCCACCAACACCCCTACTTTATTTTTAAAGCATTCCTTCTTTAAAGATAAATTTATCATAGAAAAGAAAGTCAGTTATTCAGTATCCATTTGTTTTTAAGCTGAGAAAATAATTCTTTCTAATTTTTCAGAACTTCTGTATCAGGCTTAAGTGTAAAGATATCTGTCATGAAGTGTTATTAAATATTAAAAATCTTACTTGTTTTTCATTTGGTTTCCCCTGTTTCTTTCCTCCTTTCTTTTTATACGATTTAGGCTTTTTTTCTTCCTCCTCATCCTCATCTGATAACTCTTCATCGTCGTGTTCTATTTTTCCACAAATTATAATTTTTTTCCTCTTTGGCCTCATCTGTCTTTCGTACGAACGTCTAGGCAGCTAGAAAAATTTTTGCAATTTACACACTTGTTAAGCGTTTAACACTGTGCCAAACTTTTTTTACCTTTATCATGTTTGATTCCTCAGCTTGTTGTTTTGGGTCAAACACACTTTTAGGATGTTGAACTTCTTCAGTCAATAATATTGAAGTATCCTCAGGAATACGTGAAGTTGTCATCAATTCTTCTGTTTCCTCTTTGCTGGATGGTTCTACAGTTGTATCTGGTTCATTCAACTCAAACCTAAGCCTTTTTATGACTTCTTTAGTCGGCACTGTCTCTCTATCAATACAGGCATTCTTATGTACAATAAATTCACACTCAGGATTCCTTACTGATAAATCTAAGGTCTCTTTTAAACTAATTTCAGGTTCGTCAAAGCCAAAACAATTAGATGTGTTGAACCGCTTCGGATCAATAAGTACGGTGGTGCAGGTTTCGTCTTCGTGATATTTAACTGGGGTGATGTCGCTAAAATGATGTACTGTTGAAGCATCTAAACTATTGTGAATGGGTGTGGAGTGAGATTTATCAGGAAGTTCTCGATCGGGACTAGGCTCCATGACGCAAGGTATATATTTCGGTGTCGATGAGATACAAGTAGGCCTCGGAGAACCCCCAGGGATCGGAGAACATCCTTGCAAGGACGCCGGAGACAAGGCTAAATGATGTAAAGTACTTTTATTCGGTGTGATTTTATCAAAAACTTGAATAAATGGATTGACATGCCTACTGGGAGTGCTGCAATTTCTCGTCTTTGGTTCTTCTGGGACATTTTCATTTTTGTCACTCAGGACCTTTCTCAGTGCTCGTTTTACAACTGGAACATCTTGATTTTTGCGCACTTTCGGTTTTGCTTTTTTGTTTTCCTTCGCCTTCCGGTCGTCGTCTTCTAACTCTATTTTCTCGCTGTTCGTCAATGTTTTTTTATGTTTTATATGAGCATTTAAGAGCACCTTTCTTTCTGCTTTGCTTATGAGGTTCGCTTCCGTGTTTCCCTTTTTCGACCTGATCTTTTTTACCTTTAACACTTTTCTTTTCTTCTTACGACCTCCGACTTCGTTCTCGTCCACCTCGTTGAAGGCGTAAATGTCCCCCTCTGTCTTCTTCTCCTTCGGAGAAATTGATTTCGACAGCTTCTTCATCCTTGGAATGCCGTTTTTACAATTTTACATTAAATTAAAAATCAATAAAACAAATATCCAGTGTTTACGTTTCAGTCCAGTTTGCCCCCACTTTATGAGTTTATGCTACAAAACCGTTGGATCACTTGGAAGTTGGATCTCGTTTTCCATTATCGATATCAACAATCGATGAAGACCTTTTTAGGACATCCACATCCTTTTCGTGTCCTTGTGACTTGGGACTTGGGAGATGTTGGTAGATGGTACTCATGTTTAACTTGTTTTAGAAACATTTTGCGATATGATCACCTCTACCACACCCGTCTACCCTCCCTAGTAATTATATATTTCTAACAAAAAATTCAGATAGCAGCCATCAAAGCACTAAGTGCAAAAATCATTACTTCAAAGATGATGCTGAACTGAAAACTAAACTAAATTTAGTTTGCAAAATAAATTCACCCTATGCCGGGTCCCAGGACATGTGGGAGTAGAGGGCAACGAGACGCCCTTGTGAGGAAAGAATTTGCTATACAGCTGAAAGGTCCTGAGCCCTTCTGCAGTATAGGGATTCACACTATCAATGAATATCTTAGACAAAATAACAATACAAAAATGAAATAGTGGTCCACTCATTGGACATAAACAATCCAAGAACCTTCTAGCATAGCCCACAGAACCAAGTTGGGAAGATTTGCATGGCAAAAGCAATGAAACAACAAAGGTAAAAGGTAAAGCATATGTGTCAGTCCAGTCACCATAGTTTCCAAGCGCTAGTTCTCAACTCTTACAAAAAGGCTACTAAGTACTAACTGCAATAATCAGAATACAATTGGGCTACAATAGTCTCACTAGGTATGCAATAAACTCCAGCATATGAATGCAATGGCGAGAATGGGCAGATACCGGTCATGATCTACTGTCTTGTACACTTTGGAGGGAAAAATTCATACCCCTAAAAACTGTAGTGAATAATAGCATCCACCTACCCACAAGGTGCAGGATCTTGCTGGGCAGGGAGGAGAACAAAAACAATAGTCAAAGCCATGGGTATATTTACAAATAAAAACAATATAGAAATTTTATAAAATCAAAATAGTAATAACATGAAATGAATATTAAATAAAAGTGAAATAAAATACATAAAAAAAGAAGAAGAGAGACATGGCTATATACCTAAATGGGCAAGCCACAAAAAAACTAAAATTTTGGAAAGAAGGAAAACGGAATTCATTAAAAAAAAAGCTGGGGAATACAGGATTCTTAACACTGCAGGCTGAAGAAGATTGGTATAACATAACATGTGCAGTGTATGTAAAGAAGCAGAAGACCTACTAACAGACATACCTACTAACTATGGTGTCACATTTACCTGCAGGAGGAAGTATTTTGGGATGTACAACATTACTGCATAAGAAATTGAACCACTGAAACCGGGCCTTGATGAACTAGGACTCACCGGTGTTATGCACATAATGGGGGATACAATAGCACTTAAAGGGCACAGTGTATTACTCACCCAAATTATATATGTACAACACCAAAAAATGTCTATCACAACACCAAAAAAAAAAACTATTTTCTTTTATTTTTAGACAAGTTTGAGTAATGCTGGCATACAGACCTAAATAGTGTAAAGAACTATTAGAAATAATTGAGCTGGAATAAGTATATTAATTTGCTGGATAGAAAGGATAGTTCTATCCAAATTTCAGGCATTAAATAGATAGCTGCTAAAACCTTTTTGTGACTAGAACTATCCTTTCCAACCAGAGAGTAGCACCCATCTGGGGCTTTGGGTGTCAGACAGTCTGGGCTGGATTGGGGGTGCCTTGTCGACCCAACCCATCCTTGATAAAGCCCTGCACTGAACTGCTTAAAAGGATTGAATTATTTATCCTTACTAACTTTAAAAAAAACTTAATATAGATTGCTGTCCCTTCCTTAATCAACAACTCTCCTATTAACTTTTCTAAAGTTAAAAATCTCCAATCGGAGCCCTATTTACAATGATATATGCTTTCTCTATATTAAATTTCTTACAAACAAGTTTTGGGGAAAAAAATTGAATTATTGCGTACACAAGAATATTGAAAGAAAGTAACAATATTTTTAACTACTTCATATAGCCTATTTTCTCATTAGATTTTGATGTTTTTACTTAAGAGAGGAGTGTATTTCCTTCGTGATTACTCATAGTTTCCCTCCATTTCAGTCAATTCACTTCTTAAGCAGGATTTGAACTTAATTTGTCCAGAATTGTATAAGGAATTCACAGACGGTTCAGTTATTAATAATGAAACTGGGTGTGCATTGTACAGCCCTCAACTTTCTCATGGAGTAACTTTCAAACTACATTCACTGTGTAATATATTTTCAGCTGAACTTTACAGGATACTTAAAGCATTAGAATATATTCTCAATAGTGAACACGAAATAACCAATGTTGTAATTATCTCAGATTCCAGAAGTGCATTACTATCCATACAAAATTTCCGTTTCTCGAAAATCTCAAATCATCTCCTGATTCACATAATTGAACGTCTCAGCCAATTGGAAAAATCAAGAAATGTTTCAGTTTACCTTTTCTGGGTTAAAGGGCACTCCAGAATTCGACATATTGAAACTGTCGATAGATGGCAAAAGATGCACTACAAAGAGAAATCATCGAAAAACTAAGAAATCACCAGGGGCACACCTGATCACCCAACCCCTTCTGAATAACTTACCAAGGAAAACACTTGTACAGCTCACCCAAATATTTAATGCCATGCTCAGGACCACTTATTTTCTCTCCAAGTGGAAGCTTGCCCACATAGTGATGATCTCCAAGCCACACAAGGACAAATCAAATCCGGAAAATTATCGGCCAATAAGTTTACTTAGCATTGTTGCTAAAACTTTTGAACGGCTAATTCTCCCAACCCTCATGAAATACCTGAAGCCAGATCATCAATTTGGTTTCTGAGAAGGACACTCCTGCCCACAACAGCTCCAGAGGGTAATTGACAACATCCTCGTTGCCTTCGAACATATAAAAGTCACGCTGGGGTTATTTCTTGATACAGAGAAATCTTTCAACATAGTATGGCATATAGGACTATTAGCAAAAATAAAAGACAGCCTACTGGACACCTACTATCGACTTATCCTTTCCTACCTGTCGGAAAGAACTTTCTGTGTCAAAGTACAGGATAGCATTTCTGACCCAAAGCCCATATTTTCTGGTGTCCCGCAAGGCAGCATTGTGGGGCCTCTCCTCTATTTGGTGAGTGTGAGTGATCTCTCATCCCAAATCATGATGGGATTACAGATTACAGTCAAGACAGCACTTTTTGCTGATGATGTGGCTATATTGAGCACAGGGGAAACTAGCAAAGTTAAACCCAGATAAATCAAATTAGTCCAGTTCACTTATCTGAAAAAAGCCAATGAACAACAACTGGTACTAAATAATAAGAATATCAGTGAATCGACACACACAAAATATCTGGGTGTTACTCTTGACCGGAGGCTGACTTGGCATCAACACATAAGTGATGTGCTAAAGAGATCACGATGCAGACTAATTGACCTCAAACCAATACTTAAGAGCCCAACTATCAGTCTGAGCAACAAAAGACTAATATATATGTCCCTCATTCGACCCATATGGCTATATGGCTCTGGTGTTTGGGCCTCAGCGTCGAACAGCCAAATTAAGAGAATCCAGACATTTCAAAACAGGGCCTTACGGATTTTAACTGGAGCCCCCTGGTATGTGCGAAATACCACACTGTACCGAGACCTGGACCTTCCTCTAGTGGACCATGCACTGAGAGACAGCTACTGGAAGATGTTTAGCAAGTTCCAGCCCCCCACACAAACACAGAAATCCAAGGAATACCGGACCACCTACCTCCTGCACGTCCACACCGCAGACTCAAGTTACACCGATATGATAACTAACTATAATTAACTGTGATAAACTGTGATTAAATTAGATTAAATCATGTATAAATAATTAATGGGGGGAGCTGCTGAACTTAAAGATCCAAGAACTGTTTGATGTCGTTAAACATTATGCCACAACTATAAGGTACTATGTACAAAAGTTTAAATAAAGTTATATTAAAAAAAAAATCTTTAGTACCGATCCTCGTTTAAACAAAAATCCATGGTATAAAGGAGGTAATTTTACCAAGAGATTGCTGTAATATTATCCGGATCCGAACTAATCACGGCATATGTGGTTTATATCTAACCATCCCTAACCATCCCTAAAAAAACCATCCAAGACTGACCTCTGCGAAACTTGTAATTTGGTTGATGACCTATAGCACGTAATAATGATCTGTTCCAGTTTTGCAAAAGAACGGGGGAATTTATTTAATGCATTATATCAAATGCAGTCAATTGAAAAGCCGTTTAATTATAAAATGTTATTATACTCACAAAATATTGAAATTTATAGAGCAATCTTAAGTTTTATTTATAAATGTAATATATTAATTTAACCGGAAAAACATAAATAATTACATCCTCACAGTATAATAGTTTCTTGGGTTAAGCACCTTTTGTCTCCACTGACATCCTTCTCTGCCTCCAGGGACGCCGAACCTGGTGTGGTGGGGTTAGGGGTCAGGAAAGATGTGGAGGATAGATAGGATAAAAGAGCAGTTGACTAATAGCAAAAGCTAAGGTTTAAAAAAAAAGTTAAAAATCTCGGCATTATTTTCAACTTACATGGCATGACCATGAGAGCTCTATTATTAAGGTCTACTCAATTCTTTCTATGCCTTTACTTTTTCACTCCACAGAAAACTATAGCCCCTAACAATTCCTTTATTCTCTTATTGTAGTGCTATTTTTTTCTCTTCCTAATTTGCTTCTTCAGGAAGTATGTTCTGCTTCCTCAATGGCTTGTTTCATTTACATGATTCTGAGTTTTTAAAATCGACATGAATCATCTTCTTTTATTCCCTATTCCTTTTCATTCTCCCATTTCCTTTTATCTTCTTTCACTTCTAGCTTTCATTTCTTAACGTGGTTTCTTTAGAAGAAGATAAGCTAAGAAAAAATATATTATGATTTTGTATGTTTTATTATTATTGCTATTGCTACTATTATTTAGTAATATAAAACTAAATTTATTTGTAAGATGTGTACATTTAAGAAGGCTTGTACCTTTAAAATAAATAAATTAATCATAAGAGATCCATGGATCTCTCAGGTCATGATGTTCCATTCTTTCCCTACCTTGGGCTGCCTCTGATCCATGGTCTGTGAAGGTTTGGCTCTTATAGGGCCTTGCCTGTGCCGCTTAGTCTCTAGTCTTATTAATGGTCAAAAGGATAAGGCCAAATAAGAATAGATAAATAAAATTAATAATAAAAGTTTTCCCTAATATTCAGTAGTTATCTCCATATGTTATTTAGATTTCAGGTGTTAATTCTATTGAAATAGAACTTGATAAATTTATTTCATATTATTTATTAATTGTGAATCACTCAAAGTAGGCATAAATAATGGAAATTGATATAAACATTACAGCAAATACAAAAATATGAAAATTAATTTGTAAAAATGAACTTGAAGACAAACCGACGATGAACCTGATGTCTGTATCAATTCGCTGATACACAGTGGATAAATTGAATTCACCACAGAATGGCCCCCAAGCCACAATGCCGTAAACATGCCCAAGGCAGTAGAGAGGTCCTCCGGAATCTGCTTTACAAACATCACTAATCCCGGAGTCTACAGCACATATCTGCTTTCTATTATTCAATTCCTTCGGTAAGATTATTGCACAGCTTTCCAGGCTAAGGAGATTCACTTCTGCGTAAAGCAAGTTTATGGAAGGATTTTTGTATATACCTTTACTACTGATTTTAGTCATCCCCCAACCAACACCATAACACTTGACTTCCTTTTTCATTAAATCATTCAATCTCTCTTCAAGGAGTTTAGGGTCGGTTGAAAATATTGGCATCGGTTTCAACCATGGTGTCCAATTGAACTGTTGGGTAACTCGAAGTAACGCTAAATCATAGGATGATCCAGGAAATATATTTTCGCATTTACTGTGAATAATCGCGTATTGTATAAATCGTATCTGTCCTCCTTTACCCGGAATACGATTGATGTTACCAGCAACGACAACAAGCCAACTAAGTTCATATGGTGTAATTTCTTCACTTTTGAGATCAACAACGCAGTGGCAAGCCGTCAGAATGAACCATCGTGTAACAACGTTTCCTCCGCACTTTTGACCGAAATGTTCTTTCCTCATGATACTTACAAGAAACGGAAACTGTCCAGGCAATGCCGGGCCTCCATTGATGACTTTACTCCTCTTTCCAAAATTTTTTGGATTACTATTTTGAAATCTTGTAAATAAAATAATCACGACAAAAAGTACTCTTGTGTGTAATAGATTTAGCATGTTTTAATCTTAATCATAAATTTCTACTTTTTTACATGTAAAACTTTATGATTCATATGTTTTATATGTAACTTGATTTTATTTATTTATAGAAAAATTGACTTTTTAGCAGATCAAAATTTTTAAAATCTCCAATAAATTGTGATTATCTTGTGCATGCTTTTTTAGTTAGCTTTGTAGTTGCTACTTGACTTTTCCAATTGTTATGAGGCTTTTACATAACCTATGGAGAAAGGAAAGGAACTTTTTTACTCAGCGTACTAAGAAAATAATTTATTTGTTATAAAATATGAAATTCTCCCAATCAAAATAAAAAAACAGATTTTCAACTTCAATTATCAAATACTGTAAAAGCATTATAAAATAAGTCTTAATTAAAATTCTACAATTGATGCAAATGGTATAATTGATTATTGAGTTTCATATTGGTTTGACTAAGCTAAATTTTCTAAATTTATCTCTCATGAGGACCAATATGGAATTTAAAATTAGAAATAGACATTTGCATAATGTCCTTTTTTTAAACGTAAAAAATTGAGTTATGGGAAGCATTGTATTATTAACATACATCTGATAGTCGGTCAATCCTTATGATGCTGCAATTTAAATATTAAATATAAAATGTTATCTTTTTATTTAATGAGCAGTAGTATGTATCACAAGTTAATTTAATCTGAAATGGAGTATAAATTTTTAAAGTCAATCCGTCAACAGTAAACTGCAATTAAAAAAAAAGAAAAAAAAAAGTAAAATATGTGCTAAAATCTATACCATATAAATAAATTATGTGCAGTCTGCAGAACAACTAATCAATAGTATTGTATTCAGTCATGTTATAATCAGTAAATTTCTGTTGGATCCTAATATCACAATTGAGTTCAGCATTTCAATAGAAATTCATGGGAAACAAAAAATATTCTTTTAAAAACGTGTATTGTCTGGCATTTTGACAAAATAAGCAATTTTGTCACCAGGGACTTTGTAAGAATGAAGCCATCTTGAACCTTTTCTTAGGCTTCCATCAATTCCATCTTTCCAGACACCAGCGGGCAAATAGACTTCTCTTTCAAAAGTGCCTTTACTCAAAATCGGCGCCACTATGAGTTCATCCCCAACCGAAAATTCATCTACTACCAGATGGCATGCTGAATCAGAAGGATCCAGCATCCACAGAGGACGAATCAATGGCACACCTGTATTCAGAGCTTCTAAAATCAATTTATTAAGAAGTGGATTGACCTGTAAAAAAAAAAATATATATATATATATATATATATACATATATTATGTTAAATATTTTCAGTACAAAGTCAATTACTTACTGTTTGCAACCTTAAAGCAGTTAGAACTTTGGCTTGTTCAAGCACCTGATTATCAGAGACATAATCACTTGGAAGATGAGAATATCTGATCACAGGCAAGAATGTTGCCAACTGAAGCCAGCGTATATATAATTCTTTGTTGGGAAGATGTGAATCTGATACTTTATGATCTCCAATTCCCAGCCCACGAAATGTAATATTAGATCCATCTTAAATTATATGTTTTTATTTAACAAGAATTGAACAATAACAGTTACTGAAATAAATTGTTCTTATACATAGTTTATGGTTTTAATTTATTGTTTTATTTGAATTTAATTATATTACCTTGATCATATGATGGTAGGTAGTCTCCACCTACCGGGCCAGGCATTAAAAATGGATATCCGACGATTCCGTATGTGAGTATTGTTGGGATAATCACTTGCAATGATTCCCAGGTTGATGAAAGAGTAGGTAAAGAAACAAAAACTGGCGCAGGTGGCCGTGATATCGCCCCCGAAACACCAAGCACTCTTATTCTATTGCTCATTTTGTTTGTAAAAAGTGTCTTGTAGAGATCTGGGTTTGTCAAATTTTGTTTTAACTGATAATATTGTGGCATATCATATGCAGTCCCTGAACAGATTTATTTAAATCTTATTTAAATATAAATATGATTAATTTAATTCTACAATGTACCCATGTCAAGGTAAAATGAGTCAACTTTGTATTTCTCCAACAAATCTGTTAGCTGTGCGTGCATCCATGGTATTGTTTCATTGTTTGTAACATCAAGCATCCCGGCACTCGAAACTGATTTATACCGTGTTAAAGCTGGTACTTTTCTTAATTGTTCTGATCCTCTTTCTGTAATCTATAAATGAAAATAAAAACAATTTTTTTTTTGAAAATATAAAAACTTGTTTACTGAAATTTGATCAGGGATGTCAATATAGTACATAAAATTTCATGAATGTCTGTTTATGTTTTTAAGTAAGTATGAGTTTTTATGTTTAAGCTAGTTCGGTTATTTACCAGCAATCCCTTTTCAACAGCAACTGCAAAATTCTTACTTTCAGTTGATATAAAAGGTTGGATTGTAAGAGCTATACGAAAACCTCTTCTATGAATAATATCAATTGTCTCTTCCATAGTAGGGAAACGTTCCTTATCTAGAGTCAAATCCCCAACATGCACTTGCCAATGTTCGTTCAACAAAACATATCCTGTTATATTTTTCCAAATTCAAATTTTTATTGATATTTGTATTTAACCGTTAGTTTGATTAATCTACCTTGTCGTAAAAAGCCAAGATCATTAACTGAGTCGGTATAATTCGCAATAGCCGATTGTGTCAAAAGAAGTTTGTCTCTTGGCGCAATTTGCCAAACAGGCTCGTAAACAAGTGAGTTTATTGCTTCAGCGTCAGACTTTGTCAATCCATCCCATAGAGATTTCTCTGATAAGAATGAGTGGAGAAGTTTCATATTACTCGAAGTGCACACAGAATAGTTTAATTTAGGTAATCCTTTGTGTGTTACATATGCAAAATCATCTTGCCTTGCCTAGAATTTATTTAAATTGCAATTGATTCTTCTTGACGTAATATATTATTTTTAAAACAACCTGGAGGCAGAGACGTGTTTCTCTTTCAGCATTAATTGAAACATAAAGTGGAGTTTCTGAATCGACAGAAATCGCAACACCCCGAGAATTTATGAAATATCGCTTCAACACACTTCCCCATCTGTGTCTGCCAATATGACCAGTCACAAATGCAGACATTTCCACTTGTCCAAGTTCAACTGGCCAAGCCATCCCCAATGTTCTTCCACCTCCATACCTGTACAATTATATAATATTTTGTATAAAAATGTACAAAACCATCTAGATTAATATTATTAATTTTTACCAATGACCGTGTTGTTTGCCGTTCTCAAAACAGTCAGTAAGCTGGGTGTTTGGGTGAAGACTTTCCCACGTAAACCTGTAACATCTAAAATCACCTTTTTGTCCCTTGATCTCCATTTGACTGTAACTCAAATAAAGCCTTGCTCGATGCATCCATTCCAAGCACACTATGTCCTTTTTCTGGTCTTGAGGCAAGCACTGGTGAACTCTGTCATCTCCTCGTAAATCTACTCCTAAATAACCTAATGCAATTTCTACACCTATAATTTACAACCGTGTACACTGTTTGTCCCCTACATTAAAATTTACACATATTTATGAAATTATTTTACCTTCGTTATTATACAAACGCACAATTCGTTCCTCCTTATTAAAGCGTATCTTTTCAAAATATGCTCTCTAAAAACCAGCAATTAATAAATACACACACAACATTAAAAATTTATTAGCACAACATTAGCAAGTTGTTATAACTTACTTGCAACACTTGCTGATGATAAAATATATGTGCAAAAGTAACTAGAAACACTATTGCAAAAAATAACATAGTTACGAAGACTCTCAATTTATATTCTTTTGGTTTTTTTCTTCGTTTTAAAGCTCTTGGGAACGTCATCTGTAATATTTAATAAACAATTTTCAGTTTCATTGTAGCACGCAGTCTTGTTAAATCCTAGGATTCATGTTAATTGCCATCACAAAACAGAGAGGAAAAAGAAAATGTGTCAATGAGAGGGAGGGGCTCTCTCATTGTGATCTCTTAGAAATTATAATTTATAATTACTCCATTAATTCAAATGAGCTCAATAATTCAACACAGGCACATAAAAAATTGTTTTATTACTAACCAGAAGTTTCTCCTTAAGAAGGCTTGATATAGAATTAACTGATGTTATGGAATTTCCAGGAGAATGATCATCTAAGTCGGTAATATCACTTCTATTATCATCTACATCTGTCTTTGACAATGAGTGAAGTCCTGGCATGACTGATTTTTTTCGGGCATTTCTTCCAGGTGTAAGTGGTAATCTAGTGTAAAAAAAAATTAATTATAAGACTTAAAAGATGAATCTGAGCATCAAAATATAGAAAATGTTATTCAATTTTTGTTTTTTGGTAAATTAATAACTTACTAACTTTCGAGCTTCCATCTCTGGTATACTGCTTTCAGCATCGGATATACCTCCATCGCTGAAAGTGTCACTTGTTTCGTAACCATCGTGCCTTGCACTTTCAGGGGTTAGCTAAAATAATTAAACAAGTCAGATTGATGTCTTAGAATATGTACAAAATGAAAATATGAAAAATGTAAAAACATTTGAGATTCAGATTCCTTGTAAATACTAGGAAAGAAAAAATAAAAATATTTTTTACTTTGTTTATTATCATTAGTAATTGTAAAATTTACAATTGTTCAAATTAACAAGTATCAGCTTTTTCTGTTATTATTAATACAATAGTTTTGAAAAAATATTTACTATATAAAACAATACGCTTTTGAAATAGCTGCACCAACAGAAGGTTCTAAAATTAAAACAATCTTAGTAACAATATTATCTTTACAAAAATACTATTACAGTTATCATATTATGCAATCCACATCACATAATGTACAATCCAATTATAATAACACTCTTTAAATAATTAAAAACAATACAATGAATTAATATCCAATAAAAACAAAATTTATATAGAAGTTGTAAACTCTTTTAAATATGGTAATATAATGGTTTTCATAATTATTCAACTTTATTTATTTTAATGATATCTTTTTATTTTATCTATACTATGCATTCTACAAATACAAAGTGTCAATTCAAATTTTATACATATCTAAGTATAAACTACTTAATATAAATAGTATAAAATAAAATACTAGTATAAAATACAATACTATTTTACTAATTCTGCTAACTTAATTTTATAATATGTAATTTAAGATTTTCTCCATTCAATAATTTTTTTTTATATTCAAATATTTCTAGAGAAAATTTATTGTTGCATTGACAGTTTCATAAAAAAAACTGTGTATAATCAATTTCGATGTTATCAAGAGATAGTTTAAAATTTTGTATTGAGTTGAAATCTAAAAGCAATTATATTGTTTAAATATATTAGTTTACAATTAATGGGTAAATTGATAATTATGTCACAACCTATTATGTCAGTTTTGCTTGTTTGGATGTTCAGTGTGAAAATTTGTCAATATCAATCTTTCATAAATTCTATAAAATGTGAAGAGTTGTGTCTAAAGAATCGCATTTTTTTTTTTTTTTTTTTTTTTTTTTTTTTTTTTTTTTTTTTTTTTTTTTTTTTTTTTTTTTTTTTTTTTTTTAAATGTGAATGCACTATCATTTTAATTATTTTCAGATTTTAACATTTTGTCTGTTAGGCAAGCTATAGTCATTAAACTTTCTTTAAGTTCATTACGAATAGATTTTAGTGATAATTAAATTACTTGTTAGATGTTAGCACCACCCAGAACTTTTAATTCTGGGCTACTCCTTATTCCCATATTTATTAGTTATTTATTAAAATATCATATATATAGTTGTATTGAAAAGTTTTCAAAAGGATTGACTAGCAAGGGGGAGACCTATTGGATTACGTAAATTAATAATAAGAAAAATATTTCCGCACCTTCCTTGGCTCTGACCTTTTAGGGCAAGGTCTAAGGAAGCTGTTAAGTACAGTTAGAACCACTAATTTTGCATACAATAGGAACTAGTTTAGTGGCCATGGTCTACTGGTATGGGGTCTCCCTTAAGTACGGCAGGGAGTGGGATTAAGGGAGTTTAAAAAAATTACATTTATAGTAAGCAGAACATTTTGAATAGTTTCCATCCCATTAGATCTCAAAAAACTAAAAGATTAGTGAATATTCTTTGGTTTTAGTAGGTTTAAAGTTTAAACTGGCCGCAACGGTTTAGGGTTGACACCTTCGCACTTATCACTGTAAGGTAAAGGTTTTGGTTTTGAATCTAGCGACCCTGCATTCAAACCCGACATACTTACAAAGGGCTTTTTGAAGGAAAAAAAGGTTAAACCCAAGAATCCGATATTGCATATATTACACTGCATGTCTAAAAAGCACTATGCCAACAGTCCATTCCAGAATAGTTTTTAAGCATTATTTTAGAATTTTATAATAGTTCATAGTCAAAAGCTATAATATTAGTTGAAATGTGTGTATCACCAAATATTGAAATGCCAAATATTAAATCTAAGTTGAAACCCAGGAAATAGTGGATATACCCAGGATTGCAGCTCTAGGAAAATAGTGAGTTTCTAAGAGAAATTTTATAATTTGCGTCATTTAAAATATTAAGTTAATCAATAATTATTAAAACTGATTATTCTTTAACAGTGTAAGGGCTAAGTGATCAATTACGCATAATTAAATACAGTTGATTATACTTCATATAATTTTGAAATAATAATCTTGGATGATTTTTATTGACCGAACTAATTATTCAAAGTGAATCAGCCTGGAATTTTTTTTATATCAATTTTTAAGGCAAAAATGTTATTCAATTAGCACTTTCGAACAAAATAGTAAAAAAGAAATGTTAATTTTCTCGAAGAGGAGATAAATAAGAGCGTTAACTTACATGCAAATAGATTTTAATCATAATATTGTAGTAAAAAACAAAGCATATCGCAAAAAATAGTCAAAAACGCAAGAGAGAAAAATATACTATATTTGGCGAACTGCAATGGTTTTCGAACTCTAATAACTTAACAACAGGAAGCACAAACCACAATTCAAACTTATTATTTAATCAATTCCACCATCTGAACCGAAAACAGAACAGCCTTTATCTGGCTGAATCGCGTTTACTGAACCATCATAAATTAAACGAAGCTGGTTTTAAATAATAAATTTACCATTTTAGAGTAGATTAAAAACTATATTGACTGACGGTAGCTAAACTGGAAAGGTAGAAAGAGAGAGAAAAACATTTTTCCCGAGGTTGAGTTGCCCAACCGGTGCTTCAACCGACAAAAACCAAGACTGGAGAATTTAACTGAAGATTATATGAACCGTCTCCCATTTTTCGTTGTTTTCTTACAAAACAAGACGACAAACAAAGAGGGGGGGGTCAATGACGAGTTAACTATCTTGTCATAATATTATCTTAAGTTACAATTATTTGTCAATGAAACGGCAACAATATACACTTATTTACTATCTAGACTGATGTCCCACGACGATAGATTTCCACAAGTTTTCCTTAAGTTTTGTTTAAACATTGGTTATTTTAAGATAACATAAATAATATAAAATAAGTCAAAATTGTCATTTTGGACATTATCAACCATAAGTTTTTTTTGCAAATTGTTTCTTAGCCAATAGGACTATAAAATTCATATTCATCCCCGAAGATATTAATGTTTTTGACCGTGTAAAATTTATTACAAAAATGATGGATTTCTTCAATAAATTAACACCAATTTCCATGGATGAATAGGAAACCAGTAAAGGAAAGAAACCTAGAATTCATTAAAAGTTATTTGCTTGATTGATTTTAAATCCATCTTGGATATATAATTTTTTTTTAAACTAAACAAATATATTTTTTTATGGAGTAGTTTCCCTGTTAACTACTCTCGCTGTCTGTTGTGTGTGTGATTCGTCGTCCAAACTTGAAACATATTTTCAATTTTTTTTTAATCATTTCGTTAGAATTATCTAGCCTTAAGTTTATTTATAACTAGCTTTTTTTATATAATGAAAAAAAATTTTTTTTGATGGAGTAGTTTTCTTGTTAACTACGCTGTCTGTTGTGCGTGTGATCGTCGTCCAAACTTGAATCATATTTTCAAAAATTTTTTTCCCCATTTCGTTAGAATTATCTAGCCTTAAGTTTATTTATAACTAGCTTTTTTACACTATGTAATATATAAATATATTGGATAATAGACTGGATTATTTTTGTACAAATTGAATCCACTGTTCTTATAAGAAAACGTCTTAATATAAATGGACCAAATAACCGGCTGATAACATAAGTAATATAAAATAAGTCAAAATTGCCATTTCTGTAAAATCTATTTTACGCAATCTCAAAAGAGTGGACGTATATCAACCATAAGTTCTTTTTCAAATTGTTTCTTAGCCAATAGGACTATAAAATTGATATTCAGCCCCGAAGATATTCATTAATGTTTTTGATCGTGTAAAAATTATTACAAAAATGATGGAGTTGGAAAATTTTGGCGTTACTAAAATGAACAAATATACGCTTTATGATATGTTCGGTCGTCAAGGATAATTTTAGCATAATGGGAGCTTTTATCATAATCAGCAAAATTACCACAAAAAAACCACTTGCTGTTAACAGTGAAACTACACCTCATAAAATACACCCAAAGACAATAAAAACGGACACTCGTATTTTGTTGTTCATTTCAAACTATATGTATTTTATTATGGTTTAATTGTTGTGAAACAGCCTTTCTCAAAATATGATATTCCCCTAGGCATTGATGATAATAAATGTACTATTATTATTCTACTTGATTTTTCCAATGCATTCGCCTCCGTAAATCATAATTTGGCCTATTTGGAATTGACGCACTTTTTTTTCTACTGCTACTAATCTCATCTCTTGCTATCTGTCTGACTGAACTCAGAGATTAAAGCTTCAAATTCTATCTTCTCTTCTCACTCAATTTCATCTGGTTACCCCAAAGCTGTATTCTTGGACCTCTTCTCTTTTCCATGTTTATAAATGATCTTCCATTAGTTCTTAATGTCGCCCGATTTCATCTTTACGTCGATGACAATCAGACTTACATTCATTGTCCAACAAGCAAATCTCTGAAGCTATCTCTCTGCTCAACCGTGGTCTTCATTCTCTCAACCATTGGTCAAGAAATAAAGGCATTGCTTTAAACCCTAACAAATCCCAGTCCTTGTTAATTTTCAATAACCCCATTTATACAGATTGCCCGTTCTTGTATGAACGACTCTCCTATTAATTTTTGTTACAAAGTTAAAAATCTCGGCGTTATTTTGAACTCCAAGCTTACTTGACAACCATGTGAGCTGTGTTATTAAAAAGATCTACTCGAGCCTACATTTTCTTCGACGCTTAGCTTTTTCACTCTACAGAAAACTAGAGTTCTCCTTATTAAATCCCAAATAATTTCTTTATTCTCTTACTGTAGGCGCTATTTTTCCAGTCGTAGACACTCAATCTGTTCATAGCCTTCAAATTGCCTATCATTCGTTCATTAGAAATTGTTATGATCGTAAAATAAGGGATAATATTTCTTCCCATCTTAACCTCTTCACCAACCTTAACATTTTAACCGCTTATAAACTCAATTTTAATATATATTTATTTAAATTTAAATAATATAATGTCCTGAATATCTATAGACTTTTTTCCCAAATTCTTTATCCAAACGCACCAATCATATCCCAAGCCCACACTCTTCTAAAACTTTAGCATTATCCTTTAGAATTGCCAAGACCATGGAATTTCCTTCCCTGGGAAGTTCGTTCTGCTTCCTCGATGGGTTTCAGATCCGTGACATTTGTTTCTTTTTCTTCCATCTTCCTTTTCTTTTTCCCGTTTCCTTATATAATGTTCTGAATATATATCAACTTTTTTCCCACATTCCTTATCCAAACGCACCAATCATATCCCAAGCCAACACTACATGTCATTTCTTCCCCTCTTCCTTTTCTTTTTCCCGTTTCCTTTTTTCTCTTTCTGATTTTCTTTCATAATGTGGTTTCATCATTCGATTATAAATAATTAATATTTTAAAGACTATATTATTGTCATTATTGTTTTGTATATTTTATTATGTTTTATTATTATTATTTTTCTTTTTTGTTGACAGGAGTATCCGACAGCTTGGTCATTTCAGCCCCGAAGCAGTAACAAAATACGGCTTCCCACTCTATGCACAATCACACCAATAAATAGGTTGTGTGTATGATTTGGGCTGATGGCGGAAATTTTATAAAAATACCCCATCGATCCCAATTTAGATTAGTTCATTATAGGGAATAGGCAAAGGAATATCGAGTACTTCATATACCAAGCAGTATGAGTATGATCAATGTATATAGGTATAGGCGATGGAGAAACTACTTCGCCATCAGCCCAGCTCCATTCACACCAATAAATACATTCACTTATACAACTTGTTTATTCTATTTTTATTTTTTTGTGGATTAAGACATTCAAAATAAAAAATAATCTTTAAATAATAACAAACGTAACTTCTATCAGGAGAAAGAACTAACAATAGACATTTGTAAGGGTTTAACATCATAAACGTAAGTGTAAAGGTACTTTATCAACATCTTAACATGACAATCATTGTACTTAATTGAGAAAAAACATTACAGTTTAATATTTTAGCCCAAGTTTTTTATTAATATTATTTTACTATGTTTATAAACTAAATTTATTTCTAATATGTGTACATGTAAGTTGGCTTAAAGTCCTATTTGTATCTTTAAAATAAAAAATAAAATAAAAACAGACAAGTAGGTTTATAAAGGAAGGTGAAAAGTAAATAATGTAATGTCCTCCGTATGTCCGAGTAATATGACTTTTGCATTCAACGTGACGGCCTTTTTATAATTTTATTAACTAGTTGTCGATAAAACTTTTAATTTTCATACTATTATTGATCAAATTGAGTGTTGGTTAATTATTACAAATTCAGCGACGTTGTGTGGAATTTGACAAATTGCCGGTCTGAATTGGTGCACTATTGCGGCAAATTTCGGTCAAAAGTAAAAGATGCCAGCATTTTTGTTTTATCATTATTTCAGTTTTGTCTGATATTTAATAATTTATAAATATAGAGTTTTCGGATTAGATACTAGCTATATTTAAGTGCATGGAAATGACGGTGAAATTGAATAACTGTATAAAACCAAGATTGTTTTACTTTTTTCATACTAAGCAGGCCTTCTTATTTCCATTTCAAAATTGAAAAAACGGCCAAATAAACCGAAATTCCTTCTTACCTGAGGATCGTATTCGACCGGTTCCATGTTGTTAAGCCCGGCTGGCAAGGATATCGAGTTCCTCCTGTTGAGCAGCCCCAGCTGCTGCTTCTGTTGAATGTCCTCGTCCTGGAACAGGATAGATCACATCTGGGAACGGGAGCAGCGCAGACCCAGCGGTCATGCTAATAAACCATTTCCTTAATCTAACTTATTCACCCATCCAATACCGTGATCCCTTTAAGTTAATTTGCAACTTTTTGTTTTGAAATTTCCCCCTAAATAATTTATACGAATTTCTCTTTATTCGTTATTATTTCATACCTGTTTTTATACCTGCAAACTTAAACTTTTAAAAATACAATTATCCATCAAGGTTTTTCCTTTTCAACAGATCAATTTGTATTTCCTTAATACAAGTTTATAAATTAGGTAAATTTAGCCTAGGACGTATCAAATTTAATTGTTTTTGATTATAATAATAAAAAAGAAATGTGCAAACATTTTTGTTCTGCTGGTTTAATTTTTGGGTAAAACAGAAAAAATCGATTATTTGCCAGTTTAAACCGATATCGTTTGCCAATATTTATTTAGCGATGTGAAAAACAATTAACAATATGCAAACATCTCTAATAATATTCATTAAAAAAAAGAAAAGTTATTTTCAAAAAATTTCTCATTCTCAGTTTGAAGTTCAAATATGGCATATCGAATCAATCAGTATTTTCTTTTTAAAAAAATGTACAAGACATAAATTATTTACCGTTTGGTTCATTTTTAGGGGGGGGGGAGAACAAATTAGTTATTTAAGATCCAATTTTTAGGCAATATGCAGGGTGTCCAATAATAACCAAATTTATTTCAAGTAACGTTGAAAATTAGGTAAATTTAGCCTAGGACGTATCAAATTTAATTGTTTTTGATTATAATAATAAAAAAGAAATGTGCAAACATTTTTGTTCTGTGGTTTCTAATATTAACAGTCAAACGATTCACTTCATACAGCAGAATTATATAATTAATTTTAACCCCAGTCTCTTTATAAGGCGTAAATAATCTTTATGCTGACTGAAAGAAAGCAAACTTTAAACGTAAATATTTTTCAGATTCGTCATATTGATTGTTTCGACATTGAACAAATGTCAATTAGAACAATTGTTTTGCCTTGATGATGACTTTAAAATAGGTCGAAAATTTGGCAGTAACAATTGAATTTGTTTTTTTCATCCAGATCATACAAATATCCGTATTATTCCTGAGAAATAAATTGGTCGATACAACTAAACTTTAAACCAATTAGATTGTCAGGTCTTTACTAAACCCCACTTTTCTAACGCATTTTACGTCTACGTTGAATTAAAACTAATTAAAAAAATCGTAAAATATTTTTTTTGAATCATTCAACAGGTCATTTACACAGGTGTGTTCAGTTTAATTAAACAATTTACTTGATAATATAACAAGTCTTTCATAATTTGTACACCACGTTTTTGTATAATGTATAACACAGTTTTTATGTATGAAATAAAAGAATTATTGGGTAAGCAATGATTTGTATAATTTGATAGTTGGTAAATCATGGGTTTTGGTGGTACTTGGGCAATATTTTTATATAAATTTAAAACCAAAAAAAAATTATTCCCATGTTAAATTTTGTCACGATTTTATTATCGAACGGCTAAGGCTTAAACGCGATAATTTGGCAAATGGTAGATTTATTTATGGATCGGGAAAATTAAATTCAAGTGGGAAAAATCCAAAAATTTCACTTTTTGTCACTTCACCCGGGAAGCATCAAAGACAAAACCGACGTAAATTTTATTTTCAAAATTCATGTTTTAACTTTTGACGTTTGGTCGTTTTGAATGTCCAGCTTTCGATACAAGGACGCTTCCGTTCAATGAACGGCGCAATTCCTGTTTGCTTTTTTTCTCTATTTTTAGTTCTATGTTTAAAATCTAGACCCGTAGCTACATTTTTTATGTTGTTAATTGTTTAACACCCCTTACAATTAATCCGTTATAATTAATAACTCAGTCATTTAATTTTTTTTCGGTTTTGGTGAAAATACCCAAACAAAAGTTAAATAAAAAATTGTACAGTCTGAACAAGTTTTAATTCGAACGTTTACGGAGATTAAGATAAGAGTGTATTTAAACAGAGGCATATTAACAAGGATTGTAAATATTCACTTAAGAATCCCCCAAGGTCTTCAAAGCTTGAACCATGTTCGCTCGAAACAAAACGGACCCCGTCCTCGTTTCTCGTTCTAATTGTTAATTTTCGAAAAGGCGTGCACATGTCGATTTTTCACTACAATGGCATAATTGTTTTTAGTACATTGTTATCTTCTTTTTTTTTAATAATAATTTTATAAGTACAGGGATTAAATACAAGGATTATTTCATTGATAACACTCAACATAAGCAAATTAGCGATAAAATATTTCCAATCGAACTGTTTCAACAACTAGAACAATTCAAACTTACCATCGTTTTCCATAAATGAGTGCAAGAGAGTGGAGAGTAGTCTGAGCTAAATGTCACAGATGTGGACTGCCGTGTAATTAACAAACTGAGGAAACGCCAACCTCCATTTGGGCATCCCTAATTTATATTACAAAAACATCTCACTTAAGATAAAGACATACTCGACCGTCTACTAATAACTACTTTTACACTTTTATTGAACACATATAGAAAAATTCGATAAAGAATAAATATTACAAATAACAATATAAAAAAAATACCCTTATAAATCACAATTTATTTAAATAAGTACACAGTATTTCTTCATTTTTTATATTTATTACAAACATATATATTTTTAAAAAAAATCAATAGAAAACCAATATTTCCTAAATAAAACAAATTAGATTTACTAAGTTTTAGTTCTCTTCACTATTCCACTTAAAAATATCCCCCTTTTTATTCTAATGATATATTTAATAAATTTATTTTATAAATTGCTTCTTTTTTAAATTATTATAATTGATCATGAAATTGTTGAAGAACTGTTTTTTTATATTTTTTATATTTATTTATTTTAATAAGGGTTTGCAACAGCATCAGACCTTGGGGTGTCGGTGTTTTTGAAAATAGCAAAAGCATGTTGGGTTTATACGCAGGGTCGCTGGATTCGAACCTTTACCTTACAACGATGAGCCCTGTGACAACGTCTTAACCGTTGCTGCCACCAACACCCCTCGAACTAAAATTAACATTATAAAAATATCCGAATTCCAAAATCTTTTCAAAGACAGAAATTTCTATTATTGTCAAAAATCCTTTGAAATATCTGCATTGTAATTCCTTAGATAATGTAACATTCTTGAAATTCTTATATCATTAATTCCATCAAGTATGAAATAAAAAGAGAGTTACAAACTTAAAAAGTATAAAAATAATGTGTAATAAAACATAATATACTTATTTTATTTTAATTATACAGTAGAACTTTTCTAATCGAGCTAAAGGATGCAGAGCCGTTTTGGAATACACCATTTTTTGATAATTTATGAAGGCACTTGGCACGGGGTGAAAGGTGTAAAAACCACAATTTCCAATTAAAACTGAATGATCCATGTATTTTACATACAAATATGAAGTACAGTGTACTGTAGCTGAAATGTAAACCAGAGAAAAAGAGCTTCAATATTTTTTTTAATGATTAACTAGCTTCATCGTCTTGCGGTTCTGAACTTTACAATTGTATTCATGAGGTTTAGATTTAGATTTTATCCACTGTTGGTATCCCAAGACCATAAATAGCGTGCACATTTTGCAATAACAAACCCCATTCTTACATACCTTTTTTTACGGTTTAGTTAAAAAGAATTTTACTGTACATGTTTATGTATAGGGGCATATATTCCAAGCTAGTTTGGATAACTGCGACGATAGTCTCTTTGCTGGATAACAATAAGTTCTTTTTTCATTTCACAAAAAATTCCCTATCGAAAGGAAATAAAGAACTAAGCGTGCTTATCTTAAAGCTACACAAGGGCAAGATCAGTTGAATAACTTGAAGAAAATAAGGCATACTTCTAGAAAAAGGGATTTTTTTAAAATCCCATTGAAATTTCCAGAGGAGAATGGTGTTATATTCAAATGAATTGTTCTATTGTTTTACTAAATAATGTACAGTTTTAATCAATATCTTTTTTTATTAAGCATTAAAAAAGTAGGATCATTCCTTAAAATTTTCTATTTGTTATAATTTTTAATTAATTAAATTTTCAATTATCCCTTTTTTTCTAAAGTTGTTCTTGTGATTACATATTAGAAATCTATGGTCAGGTTATTTCATTAAATTAAGGTTTTTAGTTGAGATAAAATTAATTATAAAATTATTTGGTCAAGCAGACCACGAAAAATAGTGAATTATTTCATTAAGTTATTCTAATTGTTCAGCCTCTAACACATACAGTTTTAAACCTAGATACAGTCAAACTCATACTCAATAAAAAATTAATGATTTCCTATTTGTACTCGATATTCCTCCATCACTCTTTACAATTTTTTTTCTAAATAATCTAATTGAGAGTAAATGGGGTACTACTGTTCAACTATCGGCCTTCTCACACTAAATATTCTCCCTAATAAATACATTCACCCTCAATCTCCCCAAAAGGGAACACAAAATGAGAAATCTATTAATACTGTTTACAATAAAACAGTGATATTTCCTCCAAAAATCAAGACCCAAATACTTGTTGCAGTGCTCAAGCATAATTCTCTTATCAGGCGGTATTCCAATACGTTTTCTATAAGAAGCCAAGGAATGGCGCCTTTCAATTAAGCAGGACATGCCGAGCAACATTTTTTTCATACATACCCAGATGCAGGCTACGTCCAAAAGTGTCCATGTGTCAGCCTCACACAGCCTATTCTTAATCGGGTGAAGATGATCCCTCTTCTACTTTTCAGATCTTCCGAGGGCCACCATCGGTTGTGATATTGATACATCAGATTTTCTCTGCTGATCCACCCACTGACTCTGCCATTTCCTTTCGATCATAGTTGTTATTGCAATTTTAGCATTTTGGTGATCAGGTTTATTGGTTCACATGTCCCAACTCCCAACCTTAGTACACTGAACTGCAGATGTGTTAGGCAGAGACCACATCGTTGAAACACCCCAAGCTTATGCCAAATTGCAATTCTGAGTAAGCAATATAGTAAGGCGGGAGATGAAATTTTGACATAATGTGAATTTCAAAAGAAAGAAAGATTTAGAGGTAAGATTTGATTGATTTAAAAATATTTTTATTGAATAAGGCATATTTTATCAATACAATTTTAAGAATATTGCACTGAAGTTTACATAATCTTTTAGATTTGCATAAATATACGTTTTATCGCAACATTGCAAAATAAAACATAGTAGTATTATTAATGTGAGTGAACTATTTAATATACTGGATTTATTCAAAAATCCAATAGCCTTTTAAACAATGATGTTTACCTTGTTATAAGAAATGAATAGTGCATTTATACAAATATTACAAATCGTATAATATGTTGATTATTTTTCAATGATAAATTAATCATATAACAATAGTTTCTCTAAACAATGATTAAATTGTAGTTAGTTAAGTTTTATTAATTGATTGATTATATTAATGCAAAAGCTTCACAACATTTTTTTTTTCCAATATGCAAAACATCACTTTAAAGCATGCAGTAATATCTACTCAGATCGTCAATTAAATTTTGTGAAATTCCGATATTGTATATTTCGTTTGTAATTTTTGAATGTCACCACACTAGGTTTAAAACAATTTATGGCACTACTGGAATTATCTATATCTGATAATATTTATTTAACAAAAACAATTTCATATACTTTAACAATATAAACGCCATTGGAAATGCTTAAGTTAATCAAATTCGACATATACCATTTTGCTCCCCATTTTTTGTCAGAACTTAAGTGAAACACTAGAAGGTACAAATTTACATTTTAATCTAAATCGTTTGGCCCATTAATCTTAAGTACAAGTGTTTCTAGTTGAGATTTTATGTGCAAAGTAATGTATTTTAACCGTAGATATCGACTTACTGAAAAGAAAGATGAAATTAAACTGGACAAATTGTCAAAATCCTACAGTGATGTACAAAACACAGAAATAACATTGAAACAAATGAAAGATGGAAAATATTGATCAACTTTACGCAATGCACTAAAGTGGAAATGTGTATATATTCAAAAATTTCTTGTTCTAAAATCTTTTTGCTTAAACCATTGACACGATTAGACAGTTCTACTATATTCACAAATCTATTACAAAATTATATCTGAAATGTTACGAACAAAATAGTAATTTTTTCCAATAAAAATTTGTTTTCCATACATGTACAGCAATAAAGTGATGATTCAATGTATTTTGCTATGTACAATAAATTTGCTTTAGTTAAATATTATTGTGGGTTCTAAGAGATTAATATTGATTATTTTAATTGAAAAAAAATTATAATAATAAAGCAATCGAATAGAAAAACCGACTATATAACTTTATACATAATGAGCAAAGCACTATTAATATGATGCCAATAAGAATTATATATATGCGAATGTTGACATATATAACAATACAACAAATAATGGACGGCACCACATTATACAGAATAACCCATATATGTTGTATATAATAACTTCAAATATATTGTACTATTAAATTATTTGTAATATATTAAATCATAAAAATGCAATAGAAAATAAATAATATAATAATATTTACTAAATTTAAAAAATACACAGCCGAAGTCCTAAACATATCTTTTATATTATGAATATCCAATAATGCTTTTAACAATGTAATATACGTTAACTTCTAAACAACATCGAACATTGTCTATTTCCACTATATTTAATCAATTAGACAAGAGAGAACAAAATATATTCTAAATTGGTCTACGTACTTTTAATTTAAGTTTCAGTTTAACAAAAATTTCCTACTGATTTCTAAACGAATTATCAATTTCCTGGTTCAGTTTAACAGAAAAATAAATTTCAATTGGAATGTGAACTATTTGTAATTTTTAAGTACAAAAATATGTCAATTAACTTTTTTAAACTTTATGACTGAAACTCTGTTTAATCTGCCATAGGAAGAACCTTATAAAAATACTGTATTCAAACTAGGTTTAAAAGCGTCAATACAATAAATAGAATCTCAGGGAACAATCGAAACAATCAACTACTAATTATTTTTGTGATTTGAATGGAATGTTTAAAGTGTCAGAATTAATTCTCATTATAATTTAGCCATTCTCAAATGGCTATTTAGCTAACAACAACACTAATTGTAATTGTATTCGTGTTCCTTTCCCTACTTCTTAACAATACTACAATTTATCGGAAATCTTATATAAATGAGAATGTTTAATTATTTTTTATATTTACAGTGGCCTTTATTACATTAACTATGGCATTATCATTCACCGGTATCTGCCCATTTCCTTTCTTCCTGTATTCTTTCGAAGCAATCAAACATAAATGAGAACTGCAAGCAAAAATTTGTTTTGTCAACTAAAGATCAAAATCCAAGGTTAAATTATAAACAAAAATTAAATAATAATAATTACGTAAGGTGTAAGAATTTTAACCCATCGCAAATTTTTCTCTCCTTTCTGATATTGGAATGAAAATGACATTCCCTCTTCATCAATTTCCCATTGTTTTATTGTTTGCCATGGAAACTCTATAACTTGGCCCTGAAACATAAAGAAATATTATATTGAAAAATTAATTAATTCTTAGAGAATAAACAATACATAAAAGCAGAAAAGAAAATGAATGATATACACAATTAAAGCAGTTTAATCTAAGCCTTATGAACCTGCACCTTGCTATTGGACGGTTATTCTCATTTGTTTAATCTTTAAAAAAAACATTAAATAATAATTTTAAAATTTACCTCAATTGTGCCATCATTTTTACAGGCATGAAGTTTGAAAGAAGAGAAACCAATAGCTGCAATGACATGTCCTTCTTTCCTACTGTCACATCCACAGTGAGGGAATACAACTTCTCCATATCCGGGTAATTCTCTCGCCAAGTTCAAGTACTAGACACAGACGAATGGGAAAAATTTTAATTATAGAATTTACAATCGATGCAATAAAACACTGACTTCGTGTTTTCTCGAAGCGTCTTGTAAAGCTTTCAGCTGGTACAGCCTATCGCTGGGGTGAACATGGCCCCTGTCCACTGCATCAACAGCCAACCAAAATAAGTAAAAGACTGCCAAATCATCATTAGACAATGTTAATTCAGTTGCAGGTGAAAAAAGCCATCTTCGCACACACAAACAAGTTGAACTTGCAGTACTATAATTCTGGATGTAAATGCTATGTGGGTATTCGTTGGGTTGCAACTTCCTTTCTGGTTAAAACAAACCAAAATTTATTTACATTATCATAAATAAAAAATAAAAATTTCATAAGCCTACCAAAATTATACTCGACAATTTCAAAGAGGTAAAAATACTTAGAGGTATTGTTTGATATGTGTATTCTATCAACAACTGTATAGTAAACATCGTTAGCTGTTGAATTCTTTTTAACAGTCACAGTCAAAATCTCTCGGTCAGGCAACAATATTTTTAAGTCCACCGGAGAAATGTTTCCCTATTGAAAAACAAAATTTTAATGTAAATTAAAAAAATCTTGGAACCAAAATTTTATAACCAAACCTGCTGGTCCTCAGTATCAGTTAGAAATTTATGCATAATATCACTTTCAGCTATTACCCTGACAGCACAGACTTTTTCTAAATATAATTCAAGACCCCTTCTTCTTTGGTCTACTTGCTGACCACTTAAACTAGAACGAACACATCTTGTAAAAAGTGGATGGCTGATGTTGATTAATGCAATTATCAACACACTTACGCAAATGGCCACTTTCCTGGAAGTTTAGGGAAACTGAAGCCGACAAATTCTTTTTTTAGAGTATTGTGTAGATTGGAAAATTCCCTATACCTTCTCGAACACAAATGCCTTCCAGCCATATAAATATTGAAGACCTAGAAAACAAAAACATTAAACAATTGTCCTTATTATTTATTTTTTTTGTCATTTTAAAATTGTCAACTAACAGCAAATTTTTCTCCATCCCTCTCCAGGTAATGATAGTCAGGAATAGAAATAGGTAAGGACCTTTTTTCGCTATAATCAATATAATTATAACTAGTTTGGTCTTCACTTGGTTCCAGTCTTTCGGCTTCCTATATCACATGGCAAGAAAAATAATTAAATCTAATTGAAACTTAAATTAAATTGTAATTAAATGAAGGTACCTGTGGAGTAACAGAAATAACAGTTAATGACAAAACATCTCCACCAGATTTAATCAGATCTACCACCTGTTTATGAGTCGCCCCTTCAACATTGACGTTATTTCTGAAAAAATAATTTAATAATTATAGCTCACATTTATTCTTTCATTGCTGTAATATGACACTGTCAACATTTATAAACTTCTTTTGTTATGTTAATTAAATCTCATTTGCTATGAAAATTAGAACAATAATAATGTTTTACAATGCTTGTTTATTTTGATGAAACTAACAATTGTTGTTTTTCTTGTGAAAATATTTTGTGAAAAACAAGGTCAAAGACAACCAAATTTTTCAGAATTAGTTGATATATAGGCCTTTTTTCCTTTCTTTCATACATAAAATTTAAATATAGTTCATTTTGTCACAATAAATAATTGTATACTTGGAATTCAGTAAATAACAAGATAAAACAAATTTTGACAGAAAAAAATTAGTAATACTCGTAAAACAATTTTTCTTCTAACCATAACTCAAAATGCTCTAAATTAACTATATTTCTAGGTGGAGAGTCGTTATGGAAAAAATGTCAAACTGATTTATAAAATGAACCAGAATGACTCCAGCTTTAAGTGATAATCGTAAAACCAGATTCAGACAAATTGCCAACTATTCGCTATTTAACTGTTTCTATTCCTTTCAATTATTAACGTTACGAATAATATTATTACTAATACATATTTTTAAGGAAATATATGTTTAAAATATTATTACATATTATACAAATTGTTTTAAAATGAAAGTATAACATGAGAAACTAATTCTAACTTATTTTAAACTAATTTTCATCGATATAAAATAATGAATTTTCTGTGAACAGTAGCTCCTACAAATTTACAAAATAAGAAAGCATAACCCTATCCAGACTACCAGTGATAAAGAAATAAGAGATTAGAAATGTAGATACTTTTCTAAATGCAACTTGTCTTTCCTACAAATTATAAACATAATAAATGTTACTGAATATAGAATTAATGGTAGAAACTTAAAAAAGATATTTGATATAGGTGGAATTGTTAATTGCTAAGATGTCTGTCTTCACCACAATCCAGGTTTTTTTTTTAAATGAAATGAAATATTTTGGGGTAAGAATAGGTCAAATTCAGATCTGAATTGAACACCAAATTGGACCATACAATGAGATAAGGAGAAGGAAATTTAGTACATTCCAAACCTCAATTTTTGTTTTAAATTTCATAAACATGAAATAAAATACCTTGGGATGAAAAAATGTCAAGAAAAGGCAAGATGAGCTCGATTAAATGTATAAATGGTACAGCAAAATCAATTTTCTTTCCTAACAGAAGACTGTGCCAATAGAACAAAAACTTTTTCAAAATATTGATGATTTTAACTACTTAATTTAAACCAAACCAGTAAGAATAGGCAGATCAAAATGATCAGAAACGACCAAAATACAGGTTCATCACCTGTAAGACTCCACTGAAAATCTCACTGGGAATATTACTAACTAGCTAAGTTTAGGAAGTATAATAATCTTAATAAATTGTACATGTGGAACCCATGGTCTCCAGATAAATACTCTGACACTCTGACATTGAGCCACCATGATTTCAGCCCCCGAGAGCGCATCTCCTCATCTCCACCTAAATATTACTAAATTTACTACTTAAAATACAATTACTAAATTATACAACTCATTTATTTGTCATTATATAAAACTATATGGGAAAGGTAGATATCAATGTAATTTGAACATTACTTAATTACAAATTTATTGGTGCGTCTATGATTTTCATTTCTACATTTTAAGGTATGATATATTATAAACAATTAAAATTGAGATGAAAAAATGTGTCATGGATGGGAATCAAACTCAGGGTCTTCAGACTTGTATTCTGATGATATGTCATTAAATTAAATTATAAACCTCGTTACGATTATAGAACATAATTGGTGTTATTTAAAATTTGCCGAATTAGTACAAGCAAGTTGCATACTGATAAGATAATTATTCATCAGTTACAATCTCAATACACAATGGCTTGATATTAATCACACAAATATCTTTGAAAAATTATTTTGAAAGTAAAATTGGTATTTAAATATTTAATGCTAAGGTTGAAAGAAACCAGGCATTCCGTAGTTGTATTAAATAAATTAAACTGCCACGGAATACCTGGTTTCTTTCAACCTTAATTCTATCTCACTGTGGACTCAACTATGAATTAAATTATAAGCAATCAAGAGTTATAGAGAGGCTTTCAGTCTGCTTTACATAAATCACCCATCCATGTCAAATTGCATGACATCCTTAATTTTTTCACATCTTATTTTATATATTACCAACCCCATGGTTCATATCTTCTCTATTGCTAGGTTGAAAAATTCCAAGTTCTCCGTGACTTAATACATCACTTGTAGTTGTAAATACCAAATAAATGTAATTAAAAAAAATATATGGATCAGCACAATATCCTTAAAAAATTCATTAGTTTACATTGTCAACACCACACGTTAAACTCAAGCAGACAATTTATGTTTACATTGTAACAATAAAGCCACAAATAGTTCAGGATTGTTGTGTTAAAACATGTTTATAGGGAGACTCAGCATACTACCATTACCATGTATTAGCCACGTCATGCTTGATATTAATCACAATAAAATATCATCACCCTCATTATAGGTTTTAAGAAATCATTGAAAAATTCTTTTAGACCCATGAGAAAAAGACCCACTGGGTTTTTGAAATGTAAACCAAAATTGGAATTAGTGTAGATGCACTTAGAACCCTATTTAAGAGCTGTTGGAAAAACATTTCAGCGTGAGGGAAAAAATATTGAAATTAATATTGCTCCAATCCATTATAATACCCACATATGTATTTATATAATNACACACACATATATACATATATATATATATATATGTGTGTGTGTGTGTGTGTGTGTGTGTGTCGCCGCGCGCGCGCATATAATTTATTAACTATATATGCTTTTTTATTTGTTTACTATATTTATAAATTCTTTTTTTTTTTCATTTTACAACGCTGATTTTTCACATAAAAATAAATAGATAAAATAATGCTGTAAAATCCAATAAAAATTTTGAAATCATATTTAATATAAGCATGTTTATTTATTATAAGGGGGTCCGTGATAGCCAAGAGGTTAAAGCGTCAGACTTTTGGCTAGTTGATCCCATGGGCATGGATTCGATTCCCACCCTCTGGATTTTTTTCTTACACATACGGGAGCGGTGACTGCAATGAAAGTTCACGGCACTTCTCAATGGAAGGTCTGAGGCAGGATGGGATATCAGCAACCCTGAATTTGGTGAAAACAAATTTCTTCGATAGACGAACACCAGCAAACAACTTTCACACATGTGACATTTGCAAACACCCAAAGTTCAATAATTTGTAAAGCTGTAGTGCTCAAGAACTCCTCCAGTTTCTGGTATACACATTAAAAATATTAAAAAATATATTTTGTTCATATTTTCCCTTATTAAACTTTTTTTAAAGCTTTGTCGATGAAAATATAATAATAATAATAATACTATTTAAAAAAAAGACTGGGTCACCAACGAACTGCCTTGTACACATATTTCCTTTGAGAGCTTTGCCTGTAGAGGGTTAAATTATATAATTCAATAATATCAGAGACCATTAAAAATGTATGACATAAAATGTTCTGGATTAGTACAAGCAAATTGCATATAAGTTATATATCTCAATATATAATGGCCTCACATCAATCCCCTAATCAAATATGTTTGAAAGTTTGTGGTGTTTAGTGATCATTAGTTAATGATTATTTGGAGATCATGAGGTGCAGTCTGGTGTGACGGAGATTTTAGAAAAACATTTTCTTTAACCTGCCAACATTTTGATTTTTATTGAGATCATCTTCAGATATCTTCCCTGAAGATGATCTCAATAAAGATCAAAATGTTGGCACGATAAAGAAAATGTTTTTCTAAACCTATGTCACACCAGACTGCATCTCACGATCTCCAAATAATAATTATGTTTGAAAAATTTTGTGACCTTTGAGAAAATTGTTGTTTAAATGTTAAATTCAATACTTATCAAAGAACACTATAAATGGCGGTTCTTAAAATTGATGTTTGACCATTTACAAGCGCCTTTGTATCAAGCATGTTATAGGAAAAACAAGGTTTTCAATATGCTCAACATAAATCTCACCATGTTAAATTGCATAAAATCATTAATTTTGTTAGAAAGAAGACTACTTACTACCTAGGTTTCACGAAAATATAATATCCACCCAGGAAGGATGTTGAAAAAGTGTTTTAAGAAATATGAATTGCTGCGATTTGATATTTTTTGGATCAGTACTACTGAATTTTAAAAAAATTCATTAGTTTACATTGTCAACACCACATACCGAAAACAAGCAGACAATTTATATTTACACTGTGTTAATAAAGCCAAAAAAACAGTACAGGATCTGCATGCCAACTTTCTGTTAAAAAAAAAGTTTATAAGTAGGCTCAGCGGATTACAATTACAAGTATTAGCCATTATGCTAGATCTAATTATAACAAAATATCATTCTCATAATGAGTTTAAAATCTTTTGAAAAAAAATTCCATAAGACCTGTAAGAAAAAATTGGTGTTTGAACATTAAATTAAAGAATTCAATAATATTACGGACTACTGGAAATGTTATGAATTGAAATTTTCTGAATCAGTAAAAGCAAGTGACAAATTGATAAGATAATTATTCATCAGATCTCTTGCCAACACTGCACTAAACTCAACCAGACGATTAATACATAAACTGCATTAATACATGTAGTTTAGTTTTTTAAAAGATGTTTATTGAAAGAAAAAAAAACAATATTGTGAAAAACAATGTTTAAGAATGGTTGTTGATTGATAAGATTGAAAGGTAAGAGTCTGGTAAGAAAGAGAAATAGAGTCCTTACACTTCCAATATCCTGTCTCCTTTCCTGATTCCTGCTTTCTCGGCTGCTCCTCCTTCAAGAACGGCGCTTACGTGTTGCAAGGGGGCGTAGAGCTCTCCGTTGATGCTCCTGAGCTGTCCGCCTTCGCTCACTTGGCCCCTGACGTTGAAGCCGAATCCGGTCTCCGTCTTGTAGATCTGCACCACCCTCGGCCCGGCCTGTGAGCTCCGGACGCCTCCGAAGTGCTCGTTGGTCCTCGGGCCTCCTTCGACGTCGGTCATCGCTCTAGAGGACAATCAACCCTCTGGTCACAGAGAATCCGACCCGGTCAGCGAATCATCCGCGACGGGCCTTTCAGCGAACCCGGCCAGATAGAATTCAAACGCGGAATCACCTTCGAGATTCTCCCAAAGATGTAGATGTCAACTGGGATACGATTTAGCAGGAACTGCAAATGTGGTGGGGCTGACGATCCGGGGTAGTGTCTGATAAAAAAGTAATTTGCCTTGAGATCGTTTGGCATGACGTTGCCGATCGTCATCACCTGGGCTCGTTAGTTATTATTGTTTCTAATTTAAAAACAAATTCACTATTTAAATCACCAAAAAATTTTAAAAAAATTGTGGATTTAAAAAACTTATGTTTAAGGTAATAAAAGTTTCACTCAATTAAATTAACTAGAACTTCATAATAAGGGATTTGAAAAGAATATAATATGGCGCTATGGCCAACTCACTCCCCCCCTATACGATAGTGAGAGTGGTTTGTACCTTGAGTAATTTGTGTCAGAATGGGTGTACCCTCAGTAATACTTCATTAACTGTGAAAAAGCTCTAATTTGTTGCATTTATTTTTTCATAATAGTTTAAAAATAAGTTTTGTCAGTTATTTTTTTTTTACATACGTACTCTAGGCTTTACTTACTCTCCATTTACTTAATCTAGGCATATCCGATTTCATTTTTTTCTTAAAAACATGGGCTTGGTATTTAAAATGGCTCTGTTTCTTGTGCCATTCCTGTTATTTATTCAAGCGGGTAAATGAAATAGGACAGAGTCTTTTAATCCGGGCTGTTGTGTTGTATTGTTTTAATCCTTTGTTTATAGTTGTGTCTCAAAGGACGCCGACTATATCCCATATAACTCAGGAGCAGATCAAAGACATCGGTGGTGTCGTCGATTTGAAATGCAGCGTTCAATACGCTCAGGATTACCCAGTGCTCTGGATCAAACTCAGCCCGGGGAGGGTTTTGGACAATCTGCCCATCTCTACGACCAGCTCCCTCATCATCAGAGATAGCCGTTTTTCCATCAGGCACGACAAATCCAGTTCCACTTATACTCTACAGGTAGAAAATTATTCATATCTTTCCACTTGATAAAATACAAAATCAGACAATATGGCATAAGACCAGATTTTAAAATGCTTATTTCGCTTTATTTTTTCAAGTTTTATATACTTTGATGTGTTAAGTTTCTAAGTGTGGCCATATTTCATCCTTACCAAAGCTAGCTTTATTCAACTTAAACACAGTGAGTCATAATCATTATATGAATTATCAAATTGTACTACCGTACACTCAGTTTCTGTCACTGTCTGAATGATAAACTGAAGTAACTGCACAATACTCGACAGCAAAATTTACGGTCTTTGATTGGAGACTCCTCCACTCAAGGTTTCTACTCACGAAGCTAAATAACCAAAGGAGCCGTGATTAAGGCTATGAAAACTAATAAAAATATTGAAGCTAGATAATGAGCCATAACCCATATGAGAAGGATCACAATAGGTTTGTCTGAAGAAATCTAATACAGTAATCCCTTCACTTTCGCGGGTGTTTGGTTCCAGAACACTACTGTGAATGTTAAATCTGCGAATGTTGAGTCTATTTTCCTATGATATAAGGAGGATTATGTTCCATGACGCCATAAATTGAGGTACAAATCAGAACTTATTCAGAACAGTATTCAAAATAAACGAAATAGAAGACATAACAGAGTTTGAATAGGTTAATTGTTTTCATTGTTTGTATTTTTGATGTGCAAGGAAAGAAATTACAATTAATTTTTCGCTGTTTTTACCGAATAATTAATTTCTTTAAGAATTTCCACATAAGGATTTGAAGCGGCCTCAGCATCCCTTTTAAACTTAAACTTTGATTTAAAGAGGGTCGGAATCCATTGCGATTGGATCGGAAGTTGGTCAGTTTTTTCCGTTTCGGAAGAGGAGGCATTTTGCAACATAACTTCCACAAGAGAAGAAAGAAAAAAAAGTATGTTGAAAGCAAGCAAGTTTTCTGAGAATCAATTAGAGCCTTCAATCCATTTTTTAAACAATTATTTTCTTATCTTATTTTTTCCACGAATAAAGACATTGGACTTCCACAAATGTCAAAAGTGCAGGTTTAAGGATTAGGCATCTTTCATACCATGCGGTTTGGTTGATTCAACTAAGTTGCCCGGTTGACTCTCAACTAGTTTACTGCTGTGTGAAGACTCAGTTTCATACCAGGCAACTTGTGGAATCAATCTCAATTCCCAACAGGAGGTCAGTACAATGTTAGAACCTGAGGATGCAGGAGACCTTCTGCTTGCTCTTCTGCAAAAAGAGAAGCACAAAAGGTAAAGAAAAATATGGGTTTATCCATTGTTATAAAATTGGGAAATGGGTGCTTTCTCTCAAATACTGTTGTGCTACTTCCCTCCAAGCTTCGCTTCTTTTAATTGTATCACTACACTCCTCACACCTCATGTACCATATCACGGGACTAATACGAATATTTCAATGAACTGCTCCACATTGAATCGTGCAATTGCAACACGTGAAGGACGAATGGCAGTGTCTTTTGAGTTGAATCAACCAACTCACTTGTGCCTGCTGGCCACCCGCCTGGGCGGAAGAGTTGACTGCGTGTGAAAGAGTTGGGGTGATAACCAAACATTTTGCTACCACTCCTTGAAATCCGTCTGGTCAGCTAGTTGCCTTGTCTGAAAGAGGCTTTACTGTACTTAGATCTGCCCAGTCTACTAACATTCAGCTACATTAGTTGAATGAAAATCTAAGTTTTGAAAAATCTTATTGTGCTACTTTTCAGATTTCAACTCTATCAGAGGCAGGGTCCAAAAAAGGCTGCTGCTTGATGCTATTTTTGTTGTCACCCATGCCCAAATACTTTTCTTGGCACCATCACAACATCTTCAAGGAGAAAAAACTGATTGTGTGGGACCCTTTATTTAGTTCTGTTAAGAAACCTGATATTCTAGTTCTCCCTCTTATACATTTTTAGACCCCAATTTGTACATTCTATAAAACTGGATTGTCTGTGTTCTGTGAGAAATCAGACTTGAGTAGTCCTTCCATTTTGTCATTTATATGGAAAATTTCATGAAAAAGATTTTTTTCCCTCTCTTCCTGCCATCAATGGAGTCATATCAACCTCCTATGCACTCTTAGAATCGATGGGGGTACCTGATATTCTGCCATTTACACAAACAAACCAATGTGTATGTACACAATGTAGAGCTACTCAGTAGTTGTATATAAAATTTTAATTTTGTATTTAAAATTTTTTTAAATGTTTTTTTCTTCTCATTACTTCGCTACGGCTGCACACGTTTAGTTTAAACAGTCATTCAGATTTAAGTTACTAATCTGATAGTTCAAGAATTGGACGCAAAAAAAACGGTTGTTGACTTTTGTTTGGACATTAAGAAGTACATTGACATTAAGACTCTGTTAACCATTCATTACCAATTCAAAAGTAATCTAAAATTGGCGTGGAACTGCTTGTAATCTTTTTAAATCAAAGAGCTCAGAAAATCTTGCTGTAGTAAACTATTATTAGTTAAATGTGAGATACCACAGGGGACAGTTTTAGGTCCAATTTTTCTCTTATTTCCATTAATGATTTATTAAAAATGAACATTTTTGGGGAAAATCTTTAGTAATGCTTTGCCAGTTTTTGTAGTTATTCAGCAAAAATTTTAAATAAATTTTACAAATTAATTTTTGTGTTACGTTCTTGATTCAATAAGACAGCCCAACTCTGCATTCTGTTTATTAGGAACAAAGCCCCAGATGTCTTGATCGAATTTGAATGCAACTGAACAGGTGCCTTTTTATAATAAAATTTAATTCAAGTGTTAAAACAATTTATTAATTACACAAGAAAATAACAATTAAAACTTTTAAAATTTAAATAAACAGTAATGTCATGCAAACTGATTGCCAGGCAATTTGGAATAAGGGTGGAAGGGTACTGAGTACTCACTATTTACAGTCAATCCGCTGTGGACCGAAGCACTTTTTTTTTAGGGATTCCAACACTTTTTAAACTCTTTTTATGATCTCAGACTTCTTTCTGTGTCTTATCTACACAGAATTGACTCTTTCACTTGTCAACTGACTGTCTCTACCCTAATCGTGGAGATCCACTTTTATTTTCACTCTAGGACTAATCATGAAATTTAAATCACAACATTGTCACTATGAAATAAATTGAAATGTGACATTTGTATATAAAAAATTGGCTTGTACAAAATTCTCTGTTTTTAAATATAGAAAAGCTAATGTTATATCCTTTTCATTAAAAAACATGCGATATTTAAACGAACATGAAAGTATTAGTTTAGGTGATTTCTCAGAAATTCCGAAACGTGTAAGAACAAACAAATATCGGCGAGGATAGGCAGCCTGGAATAATAGGTATATATATATACATATATATATATATATATATATATATATATATATATATATATATTTCAAGTCCTCACTCATAAATATTATTATATATACACACTTATATATATTCATATATATCACTCCAATACCACAGGAGGAAATCTCACAATTAAACATAAAATATTTTACATTCATGCAGAAATATGTTAAATTGTTCCTGCAAACTTCTTTGTAACTAAAGTTAAATACTTAGGTGTAATACCGGTCCAATATTTAAACTTTAATTTTCATATATCAAAACATTGGTAATTCCAATAAACACAAGGCTGAACTATTGCCATGATTTACCAAAAACAAATACAGCTAAATACTATACTTTTCTTATAATGGGATACTTAAGTTTTCCTTATTTTTTTCCCTAAATTAATATTAATATTTACTTGTTTTATTATACTAAAAACACATTGTTAATTGTACAAATAATACTTTCAGGCACGAGTATTTATACTAATGGAAAGCAGGCTGAATAACAAATTGTTTGACTTTGAATTAAAAAACTGTTATCTTTTGTTTTCCATAATTATTATATTATTATTATTTTTCCTTTGGTTTGTTATACCATTATATTTTTAAGTACAAAATATTTAATTTAGATAATATGAAATAAACAGAGATAATTTGTAATCAATTTTTAGATTAAAGATATACAAGAGACAGATGCTGGTATATACCAGTGCCAAGTGATTATTGCTATCAATAACAAAATAACTGCAGAAGTTTTGCTTCAAGTACGCCGTCCACCTGTTATATCTGATAATTCTACTCGTTCCCGTGTAGTTAGTGAAGGACAAAAGGTCGAACTAGCATGTTATGCCAGTGGTTACCCCGCACCAACCATATCTTGGAAAAAAGAAAACAATGCTATTTTACCAACTGGTGGAGCAAGATTCAAGTATTAAAAGGATATTGAAATGAATCTAAATCATTATCTAATATGTACTTTTATTAGGGGGAATGTCCTTACAATTCGGTCTGTCAAAAAAGAAGACAGAGGCACATATTATTGTGTCGCCGAAAACGGCGTTGGAAAGGGAACAAGGAGAAATATCGCTGTTGAAGTAGAATTTAGACCTGTTATCACTGTTCCAAAGCCTAGATTAGGGCAAGCGCTGCAGTACGACATGGATCTTGAGTGCCACGTAGAAGCTTATCCTCCTCCAGCGATAGTTTGGATCAAAGATGAAGTACAATTATCAAATAATCAACACTACAGGTAAAGTCATTGTAATTTTTATTTATTTATAAGTAAATAAAATTCTCATCATTCTGTTTGTAGTATTTCACACTTTGCCAATGCTGATGAATTCACCGATACGACTCTAAGAGTAATTACAATTGAAAAACGTCAGTACGGAACTTATATTTGTAAGGCAATTAATAAATTGGGAAGTGCTGAAGCAAAAATGGAATTAGTCGGTAATGTTTAAATTTTAATAACTTAATCTATTTTTTTCTCTTTTTAATTGTGTTAATTAATTTATTTAAATATATAAGTAAAAAGTGCTCTTTGCAAGGTAAGTTTTACACAAATTAGTATAAATAGAAATGCAAAACTTGCTTGTATGACTAGCTCATGCATTAAAATTCTGAAAAATACAAGTGCATGTTTCATGTTATTATGTATTTATTTTTATTATTGTATAAGACCAAAATTATTTAGTGCAAAAATAGTAATAAAAAAATGCGGAGATTGTGAGATGCGGTTATAATTAACGGTCACTAAATACTACACACTGGTAATAAATTAAGGCCACCGTAACAATCAAAATCTAGATCGTACTCAAAATGTCAAACCAAAATGATTCAATAACGAATTTTTAGTAAGAAATTTAAATGCAATAATCAAAAATAAATTATTCTTTGAGCAACTTTCCTTGTGTACACACACCTTAGGCTTTAAGAATAATGATGAATCATAATTTGAAATTTAGTTTTGAGTCCTAAGCCATTGTTCGACAAAATGTTTGGGTAAGTAAAAAAAAAGAATGTGAACTGATTTTCTAAATATTGTTTTGTTATTAGAGTGCTTGATAAATGAAGCAACTAATTGCACGTGCTTGCGTTTTCCTAGATCCTAGCGTTTGTATGTTACAGAATCTTCAATCCCTGTGTGCCCTCCTGCATGTGGTCTAGCTCAATACAGCGGATCAACAAAAACCACCAGTACTCCATGGTACCTTGCTACGCCAATTTTTCTTTTCTTCTTCAGGTCAGTTTGAATTTATCATGATTTTTGTTTGTTTGTTTATTGTGCTTGTGGTTGTATACTAACCACTTTTAATATTTTTGTACAACCATCAACTCTTGATTTAAAATAATTGTGTAAAATTTTTCTTTTCTTTTATAGAAATGTCTATGCCTGATGTTAATTATCCAGGTCTTCTGTCAAATTCAGTAAACAACAGGAATTTCCAAGCAGTTGTATTGGTGTTAAATGTATTTAGTATTTTAATATCATAAATTTTTCAATCAAAAATGAAATCATGAGTATGAAATGTTTGGAAGCAAAATGGAACAATTTATTGGTTAAATTTTAGAATCATTACCTCATGAAATTAACATAATGTTCATCAAGCTATAGTTGAAATGTATTGCAAAATCACTGGTAATACTTTGCACATTCATAAAACTTCAGAGGATTTTACTTATTTACCGACACTTTTTTTGGAGAGAGAAAAAAATACTCATTAACGAAATTGAATCCATCCATACATGCTAGTTGTAATGTAACAAAGTCACATTGTGTATATTGTTTATACATATCACTAAAATAATATATGGGCTTATCTGTGTGTATAGTCTTGTCATGTCTTGTACGTGTATTTATAGATTTATATTTTTTACATTTTTATAAAATTTGTACACTTTTCCTTTAGATAGCAATGAAATAAAATAAAAAATACATATTGCTTTCATTATATTTTATATTTTTAGATGTGTATTCTATTTGTATAATTTATTTATAATCATTTTTAAAATTTTCATTAAAATCATATTAAATTTTTGTTCAATCAAATTTCATTGTTTTTGAAGTCATTTAGGTATTTTAATTACGTTAAGCGCTGTTTGACAATAAATACATTATTTTCAATAATCCCTTGTGACTTTAGAAAGCTCACGTGCACACATATTTATTTTTATTTTCTGTAGTCCTTGTGATTTGTATTTTTAATTGAAAAATCATAATTTAATTTTTTGAAAGTATTTCAATTGTAGTTACAAATCATGCACCTTAATGAAAGTGATGTCTTCCATAAATAAACACAAATTCATAAAATAAGAGACATTTAAAAATAATTAATAAAATATCTGAAATGAACACCTCTTTACCTACGTTTTTCTTATTCTAGATCGCTTTCATTTTGCCAAAGAATTTTGTTTTGTATTTGTTCAATCAGCAGTTGATTGTCTTTGTTAATATGACTACTCCATATCTACGAGAATTAAATATTTTTTAGAGATTTAAGACATGCTTTGGTTGTTGTTAGTGATGATATGTAATTTGTTCAATTGTTTTGTATTTGTTCAATCGGCAGTTGATTGTCTTTTTTAATATATCTACTCCATATCTACAAGAATTAAATATTTTTAGCAATTTAAGACATACTTTGGTTATTGTTAGTGATTATGTATTATTATGTAATTTATTTCTTTTCAAAAGGAACAAGGCATATTATTTGCTTTAGTCTGTTTTATTTTAAGACTTTGTGAAGAATTAATGTGTTTAAATTAATATGATCTTGTATATTTTCAAGAAGTTCAACATGAAAGACTGTAAAAATAATGATCTTGAATTTTATCTTTTCACAATTATGTACAATTCTTTGTATTTATAATTCTAAATTTAGAAATAAATAAAAATTAACATTTGAGTTTCTTTATTTTCCTTGCAGATGATTTTATTACATATTAACATTATATTATTTAGAAATCGTGAGATGCATTCTGGTATAATGTGTGTTTAGAAAAACATTTTCTTTAAAGTGCCAACGTTTTGATCTTTATTGACATCATCTTCAGGGCTGGGATTTATGAACATTGTTATAATTATACAAATACATGTAAGATGTGAAAATGAATTTATACAATGATGTACACAATATGAAAATTTTTGGTTTAATCAAAGTATTTGTACTAACTCAAAGTGTGTTTTTTTGTGTAGATATATAAGATATGTGTCGTGTTGAAAGTGTTAGTGAGATGTTAATGTTTTTTTGTTTGTATATGTTGGGTTTTGAGAAGTGGGGAAGAAAATAGGGAAAATTTAAACAATGTTTGTAAATCCCAGGCCCTTAATGTGATCTCAATAAAGATCGAAACGTTGGCACGATAAAGAAAATGTTTTTCTAAACCCACATCACACCAGACCGCATCTCATGATCTCTAATCATTAATTTATAGTCACTAAACACTACATATGAACATTATAGGTGGATATAATTAAATGTGAACAGAAAACATACTAGGGTAATTTACTGATGTTTAACTTTTTGTGGATGTCCCTAAGCTAAAAGAACCACCGTTTATTAAAATTGGACAACATTAGGTTTTTATTGTTTAAGTTAAAAAAAGTTTTTGAATGGATATGTTCCTTCAACCAGAAATCTAGTGTGTACAAGATACAATTCAGAACTGTATAATAAATAAAAAAATATTTGCATGCATATCAAGTAAGTTTAAAAAAAAATTATATTAAACCATTTATTTAAATTAATTATACTTTTCGTTTCAACTAGGAGTTTAAAAAAGCTAAGACTAAAATATTACAAAATAAATTCTTTATAATATTTTATATAAGTAAATAGGTATTAACAAAATGTGTAACTATATAAATATTTTGGACTGTTTATTAGATTCAATTATTTACTTAAGAGTAGATTTTTTTATTTTTAAGCCCTTTAACAGAGCTTTTTAAGATATATCGATACCTTGAAATATCGAGTGTACAGGTATCGATGTATGCTTGGCATCCTTTGACTGGTTTGTACGATTTACACGGTCGTGAGTCGGTCTGTTGTTTATTGTATTGTTTACGATTGTTAGAAAGTCAACTGTAAGTTAGCAAGCATTACATACGTTATTTGCATATTTTTATTCCTTACGTCTTATATATCTAGTACTATTAAAAAAGTCGTAGCTTTTAAGTCGAATACGAACAATCGTTTCAGTTTTGAACTGCGTATGTATATACATACTTTTATGTTTGGAAATCGAATAGGGAAGCTCACAACAGGCATCTTTAAATCGTGAAGAGGATTAGAAAATTACTGTGTAAGATATACTTATTGTTAATTTTAATTTCATTTAGGTATAACTTTCTTTATTAATATATTAACCTATTTATCAATGAAACTGTCGTACTGTTCATAGTTTTTTTTAAAGTTATTTAATTAAGAATTACCTTTTTTTTATATAAACTGTACGTCATGTTTGTTTGCTGTTCTACAGATTGAATCCCTGAGAAAAACAGTAGTATTTCGACCATTCAGTTTTGTTTACATATTTTCTTTTTGGATTTCCTTTGGTTTTTGTTGATCCTTTTAGTCATTTTTAGGTTTTTTTGGCCAAAACATTGATATAACAAGGTCGATTGTGACCCTTTTTAGTACTTTAGGAAAACAATGCATTAACCAGGGCTGATGATGGACTATGGAGTTTACTGAGGTCTGACGGATATGTCCGTCTCAGGCTTTGCAGTACTGCAATCTAAACGGATAAGCCTTGAAAATCAAGTCTAAAGTATTTCTATGAACCTTACTTCTCTTACCAAAAACTCTTGAAATAGTTAGGTTTCAATTTGCACATAAGCATGCGGTTTGGAGTTTGGAAGACTGTTTTTTCAAAATAATTGAGATTATGTTAATTCATTTTTTTGGAATGGATGGTCTACTCGCAAACCGGTTTTAGCAAAAATATTTGATAATAATGATATGATATATATAATAATGATGATTGATAATAATAATATTAATATTTAATATTTGATGTAGAGCATTAAACGCTCATCATCAGGCTGAAATTAAAATTAATTAATTCACGTTGAGAGATGTGTTTGTAGATTTCAGCCTAGAACCATCGTTTTCAAAAAATTAACTACTTTTTTCTTCCAGTGAGGTATAAGTCTTATGATCTTGATCACAATTTTAAAGACACTCATGAGATAATACCAGGTAATCAGAAAAAAGAATTTCTACTGTTAATCAACATTTCTAATTACATAGGAGGATTAGGTGTTTACATCACATAGTAACAAGAGATAATATATCACTGTAAAGAAAAAAAAAGTCTTGAACAGTTTACTGTAATTTATCAGAACGTATTCTTCTGGGCTTATTGTATGAATTTCACTTCGGTACTAGGGTAGCTGAGGCATCTTGTAAAATTTACACTGCGTTCAGTGATGAAACAGTAAGTAAGCGCACTGCCAGTTAATGTTGTTCAGTTTATAAGGAACCCATTTGCTCAATGTCCTCCAAAGATTATGTAAGCCAGAATGAATGGTTTCATAGCTTACATTGAACACTAGTAATATTTTATTAATAAGTATAAGTAATATTTTATTTTATAATAGTTTGATTATTCATTATGGCAATGATTTACCTTCTTTTGTCACAAGGAGATATTTGTCTTTTTGAAATGACACCCATATAAACAGAAGGCTTGTTGGTCATTCTGGTACGACTAAGAACAAACAAAAAATTCTAAAATTCAGGGTAAAAATTATTTAGGAGAAGTTATTTAGGCCAAATGTAATGTTTTATTTAACCCAAGGAGTCAAAAATTATGAATTAAACATTAAAAAAAAAATCTTTTAGTTATGTGTTATACTGATAGGTAGGTGTTTTTTTGTACATGAAAAACTCCTTCATTGAGGTAGCAATCTGTTGTTGCAATATTTATTGCAAGCTACAGGAACTGTTATTGGTGTAATTATTATGTTAATATATACTATTTATTGTTGAATTATTCTTTCAGAATAAAACAGCATGGGACGTAGAAAGAGTAAAAGAAAACCTCCGCCTAAAAGGAAAGCAATTGAACCTTTAGATATCCAATTCAATTGTCCTTTTTGCAACCATGAAAAGTCGTGTGAAGTTAAAATGTAATTTTTATTATGAATAATTAAGGGGAAAACTTTGTTTAATTATATATTTCTTCACTAACAGGGACAAAGGGAGAAATTCAGCAAGGATAACATGTCGTGTATGCTTGGAAGATTTTCAAACTACGATAAATTTTTTATCAGAGCCGATTGATGTTTACAATGACTGGATAGACGCTTGTGAGACTGCGAATTAAACCTTTAAAAAGGTTTTATCTACTTACAGTGCACATCGGGAAAAACATTTGGTGTTTTACAGTAGGTTTATTTTGTAAAAACTGTTAATATACCTTGTGCTTATTTAGACAATTGTATAAAAAGAGCTGTAATTTTTTTTTTCGAATTTATTACATTTTTTAGTGTGTGTTAATATCTATATTGTACCTTTATGTGAAATAAATTTATTGATTTTTTTAGTTTTATTTTTATTTAACAAAAAGAGTGCAGTGATCAATATCATCAATTTTAATTTTGTTATATAACTGTTGAAGATGTAATGAAAAATGGTTTTAAAGCATTTTTGAACTAACGAGAACAGGCCCATTAACAATGTTAAAATAATAAGCAAATATAAATAAAGACTTTTCTCTTTCCAGATGTACACATGATTATTTAGTTTATTTGGAAACAGATTGACTCTCTCTCTTTTATTACACCTTCCAGCTTCACATTTCCTATGTAAATAAAGTGAATCGAAACTTAAAAAACAATTGTAAGAATTTTTGAGATTGTCTTTAAAAGTTGTTTTATTTGAATGGAAGTGCAGTATATTAAGTAGGGCTGTTGAACAAGACTGCATCCATGATATTGTAGGTAGTTTTTCATTTAATAATCCTAATAATTCAATTTTTTTTTAAATCCAAGCTATTATATTTCACATGGCAGTTTGTGTTCATTTGTAAAAATGTGTGGTGATCAGTGACCATGTAAACATTAAAGATTACCATGTTTACATGGTGACAGTTATTTAGAAATCGTGAGATGCAGTCTGGTGTGATGTAGGTTTCAGAACATTTTCTTTATCGTGCCAACATTTCGATCTTAATGAGATCATCTTCAGGGCCTGGGATTTACAAACATTGTTTACATATTACAATTACATTTTGGATGTGGAAAAGTGAATTTATACAATGCAAAATATATTTTATTTTGTCTTCTGTGTAATTGTGCCATTCTTGCGTGTCGTGTCGAGAGTGCCAGTGTGACATTGGCACGATAAAGAAAATGTTTTTCTGAAACCTACATCCCACCAGACCGCATCTCACGATTTCTAAATAAATATTTATTTGTAAATTTACATATTTTTTACTTGTTTTCATAATTTATTAGTATATTGTGTGGGCTAAGTGACTGGAAGACAAAACAATCTTTTGCATTGTTATAGTTGAACTTAGGCTAGGCGAAAACGAAAATGAGGACCCTTTGAAATTAAATGGGGAAAAGTTAAATGTGTGAGGCACTCACTTTCTGACATGTTAAAAAAAGTAAATGCTTCACCCTTTTGATTATCATTCAATCTCATTTAAACCATCTTATAAAAGTTTATAAGCTGTAATACCAAGAAAACCTGAATTTCTATGTTAAGTGTGCTGACATGCTCAAACCTGTTGCATATAATTGACTTAAAAGCCAATTCCTGTGTAATGAGTACACCATAATCATCAGCCTGTCATCACATTTAAAACATTACTTTATACAATAACTTACATTACTTGAAATAGGATTAAATTTTCAATAATGTTATTAATATTGGCATTGTCCGATCTCAGAACTTGAATTAACAAGACTGAAGGTTATTCACAAAACAACACCATTAAGAGTCAAATATATATTTTATTACTAAAGTGAAAAAATAATATATATCTATTACTCAGTATTATTAGGTTATATTGTAATACATAAATTTTTGTTCATCTTCAATCAATTTAAATTAAAAAGATTACAAAAAAAAATTGGTTGATGTTTTTATGTGACATAAATGCTACCTACAAAAAATAACATAACTAATTCTAAAGTCAACTTAGTAAATAATACACTTTGCATCACATAGAGTATTTTGATAACAAAATAAAAATAAACTTATCAAAACCAATTTAAAATTTGATTTGGTATGTATAAAAAAGATAAACGTATTGGGGTCAGCAATCTCCAAGTGTTGTGATAACATTTTTTTTAAATTTAAGTAAAACGTGTTACTTAAAAAGTAATAACATAATGTCAGTCAGAGATCAAAATATACTGTAATATCTATCTATATCACAATCTTTTATTAATAATAGTTTAAACTAACCATCCATTTCAGTCAATGTACTCATTGCTGCCATAAAACTGAATCCGATTAAGACAGCAAAATATTGTACTAGGTTAATAAAGCTTGGCTGGTTTTTCCGCCGTTCCCTTGGCAAAATTTCACACATCACGACATAGAGAAGTGTTCCTCCAGCTAAATCCTATAAAAATAAATAAATTAATGATAACAACTGGCCTTTTTGTTGTATGTAATCTTTTACTTGGAGAATAGGCACTAATAAATTGAGGCTTGGCATTTTGTCAGGCTGAAAAACAAATCCCAGAGCGATTCCAGCAGCTGAACCGACAGCAAATACAGACAGCGGAGGCACGATTTTGTATGTTGGTCGGCCATCGGCGATTAATTCAGAACCGAGGCAAAATGCAACAAGTAATTTATGGCAACATACAGCTAGTAAAAGTAATAGGACCTGAAAATTACAGTTTTAATTAATAGTTGCAAAAGAACCACAAATATTTACTTTTAATCAACCAAATATATACACGTTTTGTGATAGAATATAAGTATATATATAGTGCATAATATATTGAATAACATTGAAAACTATTTTAACAGTTTTCATTGTTCTATTGATCAGATACAACCAGCTTCTTCTGAAAGATGTCTATATTTTGTGTCTGTATACTGCAGTATACAATATTTTTTTAGATGGTGTCATAATCTCCATTGTGTTGTTATATTTTAGCCCCACCCACTAAGCATTAATTCATGTAAGGAAGTCAAACAGCTTGTACAATATTGGGAAAATTTTTAAACGAATTATTATTATTATTATTACTGCATGTTATGGGAGCTTGGCAGATTTTTTAACATTATTTGATAAGTCCATTACAGTTCGTGGTCCAATTGACCAATTAACATTTTTCAATTAATTAATATTTATGAAAGGTAATTGAGAAATGTTAATTGGTCAGACGACAAACTGTAATGAATTTAATAATTAAAATGAAGTATACCTTCACGAAAGCTCTCCGTGGCCATTTCATTTGTCGCCGGGAATCAAATAGAGTACACGGCATTTGAAAAATGGCAAAAAGGAGGGAAAATTCGAGAGGTGAGGTTGCGATGGCAAGTTGGTGTCCGAGGACACGATAGCTCAAGTGGTAGAGCAGCGGCGTAGTTAGCTGAAGGTCGTGGGTTCGAATCCCACTCGTGACACTAACTTTTTTATCTCAACCAATACCTTTCATAATATTAACAAATTGAAAAATTATTTTATAAGGTTGCAAAGAAATGTGTGGTGTTTAGAGACTGTTAGCCAATGATTTGGAGATCGTGAGGTGCGGTCTGGTGTGATGTAGGTTTTAGAAAAACCATTTTCTTTATCATGCCATTTACTTTGATTGAATCTAAAATTTTCTAGCATTGTATAAATTCATTTTTTTAATCTAAAAAAAAAATTTCTAGCATTGTATAAATTTTTTTTAATCTAAAATTTTCTAGCATTGTAGATTCATTTTTTGTTTCCAATCTAAAAATCTTTCTAGCATTGTATAAATTCATAATTTTTTTTTCACATCCTACATGTATTTGTAAAACTTAAACAAAGTTTATAAATCCCGACCCCTGAAAATGATCTCAATAAAGATCGAAATGTTGGCATGATAAAGAAACGTTTTTCTAAAACCTAAATCACATCAGACCGCACCCCACGTTCTCCAAATAATCGTTGCAAAGAAAAGTTAAACTACAGCCAAAAGAGTGTATAGACCATCAAGAAGTTGTATTAGTTACCAAGGAACTTTTGAAAAGTATACCAAACATCAGTTAAAAGGGCAGGTGATTTGGATTTAGATTTATACAGGCTCAAATTTGCACATGTACATACCAACATACAAACAAGTGCCAAGTTGAGCCTGTTCGCTTCTTATACTCCACCGGCAATTCCAGATTTTGCTATTTATGGTAACTTGCCAGCAGACCTGCGAATCACCCACCCTGGTCCAGAGGCAGACCGACCTCACCTTATCTTTTCAGCCTCCAAGGTTGGGCTCAAGGGGGGGGTGATGTCATCAGCTAGGTCAATTCAGCACCCAATGCATGCAATTCCAAAACTATTTGTACTCAAGTTCATTCTTATATAAATTCACTCCTATTTACATACCATTCATTCGATTAAGGAGATGTAATACTCAACACTCCTCCATCATCCTTTGTATATATTATAGAAATAACCTAATTAAGAGTCGATGGGGTACTTGATATTCCGCTATCGACCTTCTCACATCACAAATTCAAGCTAACAAATGCATTCACTCCCAACACAAACTAGGTATACAGAACAATTATTACTATATACTAGAATAACCCTGTTTCCCCTACGAATTGGAACAAGAGACCTAAATACGCTCTGCTGTGCTCATCGGGTGACAACCATGCGTGAAAAACAGGTGAAAAGAAACCTTACATTTTGCAAAACCAGAGACCTGGAAAGTTTAGAGTATTTATCTCTTATTAGAACAAATTAAATATTGACAGGGTCAAGTGAACACTTGAAATTTGAAAATATATGTACTAATTGAAACAGGTCTTATCTGTGTATGGATGAGAGTCAGAGGTAAGTAGCTTGTATATATATTATAATTTCCTACCCCTCGTACAGTCGGTTCCACGCCTATGACTAGACCCTCCAACAGCGAATGCAGAGAAAATGCAAAAATAAGACTGAAATTAGAACATTTCAATTCTGGCGGCATCTCTTCCTGAAATATTACGTTATGTTATTTATACGATTTTGTAATACTAAAAATAAATACTTTTCACCATTTCATCCCCATGCAGGTCATCATCCTGTCCTCCATCATGACTAATCGAACCATAGCTTTGTCTTATAGTTTGGTAAGGAAGGCTCTCTTTCAAAAGACAGATAACGGTTAAACATACAATCGTGAATTATTGTGTTTGAATAACAGACACTATTCTAATCAAATGATTGGATTACATAACAAAAAAGCAAATATTCTTTTTGAAATATTTAGATCAAGGTGGGAGTTAACAAACTCTTATGAACTTTTTATTATAAATTGTTTTAGAGGATGTTTAGAAAACCATTGGGAGGGCAAAATTATGTTGAATTGACCGTGAAATCATGTTACATAATACATGGCACTGAAGAAATCGGATAGATTCATAGATATACACATAGCATGTAGATATATAGTTGTGTACAAATTGCATATTGTTAAAATAATTTGTTGAAGAAGTGAATAACGGTCAGGAATAAAGTATTTTGGAAAAACACCTTTTTCATTATTTTGCCAACGTTTTGGCCTTTATTCAGATCATCTTCAGGGCCTGGGTGAATTACAAAACAAATGCTGATTGGAAATGAATAAAGGTAGAAACGTCAGAAAAAAAATGAAAAAGGTGTTTTTCTAAAATACTTTATTCCTGACTGCTCCTCACTACATCAACAAATTATTGAACAACCAGTTGCTAAATAACACACATTGTTAAAATATTTATTTTAAGATGTTTCCATTTATAAATTAATTAATTAGTTCACAAAAATAAAATAATGCTTACCCAGTGAGGATCGTTCAGCTCTCCAGTTTCGTATAAAATTTAATATGACATCCGACAGGTATATGAGCATGAATCCAGAGCAGAATACTATTTCAGCCCATCCATTGAGATTCTTACGAGTATCGGGCAAAATGTGTACAATCGACGTTGAAAGGAGGACACCGCCTCCGAAGCAAAGCAAGGCAGAGAGCAACACAGAATCCCTGTACCTTGTGCCTAGACCTAGAAGGGATGGGAGAACACCGAACAGTATACTGCCTCCAGTGACTAACAATATAGCCAGTAGTTTCAAATCAAACACAGACCACATTTTTGTTCAAAACAAAACGGTCCAATGATAAAACAGTTATACAGAAGAAAGCAAGAAATGTAACGTATAAATATATACAAAACTACAGCAATATTAAATTAACATAGCTCTGGTATGTCTCATAAAAGAGGGTCTGGTAGCTGACTAAACATAAAATAACTAAGGCGAAGAAAAGCCTGCAAGGAACGCCCCAATAAACAATGAGACATTCGACCTTTGTTATATATTGTACAGACAGTATGTGTTATCAACTTATCACACAACCACCAGACCGCATCTCACGATTTCGGAATAATTATCTTTATCACACAAAATTCATGATTATTAAGATCTAATCTTATCTTAAATTAAAATATATTGCAATCGTGTGATATTATCGAATAAACCATCGATAAATAACGATTATCGAAATCTTTATTTTAAAAAGTTATATTTTCCATTTATTTTGTAATTTTCAGCTACAGAGCTCTAATGTAATGTCATCAATAATAATACATTTTATAAAGACTTATGGAGAGAATGCCACCTCATATGAAAACCATATTTGAGCACAGCAACTGATTGTGAGCTCTCTATTATAATTTTGAAGAACTAGGGATCATCTACTGTACAAAGTGGTTTTATTTTATTTTTTGAAATGTATAATGAGATCAGATGTATTAATTACAAATTATATTAAAGGCCATCAATCATTTTGAAACAATAAAATTTTTCCTTTCCAAAATCCTTCTTCAAGACATAGACAGCAGCAATGCCGCCCCTAGCAGAGCCACCCAGACAGAGCAGCAGCTTCTCTTGTGCTAATGAGTGTGCTATTCAAGAGTGAGACATGCGAATGCTCTGGGCATCATTCACACGCCCAGTGTCTAGGTTTCCTTTAACCCACAGAGCGCTGCCCCCAAATTGAAACCATTCATGTCTTATTTAATAAAGCTGCTGATTGCAAAAAATTAAAATGTTCCTCTATATTCCCTGCATTGTCTCAACAAAGAGCATTGTGTCTTCAGTGCTTTATAGTGAACAAGTCAGTTAAAATCAGTTTCACATGAGGGACTAGGCAGTTTCTCATTTAAGTGTCCATGTGCCAGTCAGCAGTGCCCTATTTGCAGTCTGTTCAGTACCCTTTTTGACTTTGATCTCTCTCAATTTATTAATGGATTTTTTTGCCCATTGTTCTTCACATTCTGATATATAAAATGACATCCGACTCTGGAACTGTTTGTGTGTTAACACCTTCCAGAGCTGCTTTGCTAGCAACCTGATCAGCTAATTCTTTTGCTTATATATCTTGACATCAGGGAGCCATAAAAAGCATCTTGTGTCTATCTAGCAACAGCCTGACGTACTTCTTAGACTATGGTATTTAAACCGAAATGATTTTTCAACAGCTGAAATGAGGGTAACAAGTTAGTGCAAATACCCAAGGTGTCTTTGATGCACTCTACACTCTTGTATTGATTATTATTGCAATAAAAATATTCAAGCAAATGGCTGAAATATTTTTGAAGAATATATTGAATAAGAATTATAATATATTATAATGTGTGTGTGTGCGCGTGTGCACGCATGTGTGTGTGTCTGTCTGTCTGTCCATACCTACGCATTTTTCATCTAGTTAAAAAAAAGTGTAATAGTACAAAACAGAAAGAACTAACTAAAACTAGTTATTAATTCCTCTAAATACTGCACATGCATTACTAATACTACAATTATCTTTTAGTCCGTTGAGACTCAACTAAATCTTACTGAGAAGGCGGTTGGTGATAACCTCAAAATGCACTTAAATAAAAAGAATTTATAAACATTGCAAAAGCCTAACTATAGAGCCATTACCGCTTGATAATAGACATTCACAAACTAAAAAAATTGTGAAATTTCTTCTTAAGTCTGTGTCATCCTTGCCTCTTATTATTTGGGTGAATATGATCCCTCTCCATCTGAACCTCAGAGGGGTTTTGATAACCTGAACCTCACCAAGTTTTTGATACGTTGAAACTGGCCTGCTGATCCATCCCACTGGTACTGCCATTTCCTTTTGATCGTTTTGTTTATTGCATTTTCAGCAGCAGAGGGACAGATAAAATGATTATTTCATTCCTTGTACATCATTTATTATGGATTTTCTGTCATTCTCTGCAATAACCATTCAATTTCATATAATATAAAACATAAAACTTGGTACATAGGGCAAACAAATAATATATTTTTTAATGGAAATTATCCTTTACCATTAAATATTTGTTTGTACCTGTGTATTTAACTTTTTTGTATATCTTAATCTATTATAATATGTATTTCTTTTCTTTAATGTCATTGCTTTTCAAGGCCATTCTAGACATCAAAGCAAGATGTCTTTTTCATTCCTTGAAGTATAGAATAGAAAAATTCCATTTGTTGCAGTGATTATGTATAACTGGGGATATGTGATACAATATAGAACAGTATAGAAGAGAAAGAAAATATAAAATATTATATGTGCACTGTATTTTCTTTTATTTGCTGATGAGATCCATATGGAAGTATTTGTATCTGTGTATTTTGCTTTCTTATATCTTAGTCTAATGTTATAATATGTATTTATTTTCTTTTAATATCATTGTTCTTCCTGGCCAGTCTATGATGTATAACAAAGTAAGTTGTCCATTTCATTCCTTTAGGAATATGTATACTGTATTTTCTTTTAAGCGCTGACAACATACATAAGGGAATATTTGTATCTTTTTTTCAGTTTTCTTTGTATATCTTAATTTATACAAATACTGAATATATTTTTCTTTCTTTAAAGCCATTTTTTTCTTAGCCACTCTTTAAGCATACATCAAAACAAGATGCCTATTTTATTCCTTGCCGATATAGAATAGAAAAATTCCATATTTTTAGACTGATTATAACAGGGAGTATATGATGCAACATAAAACAGTATAGAACAGAAATAAAACAAAAAATATTATATATATACTTTATTTTCTTTTAATTGCTTACAAGATACATATGGGAGTGTTTGTATCTGTGTATTTTGGTTTTTTATGTGTCATTGTTTTTCTGACCAATCTGTGACATACATCAAAACAACATGTCCATTTCGTTCCTTTAGGTATATGTATACTGTATTTTCTTTTAATTAAAGAAATAAGTAATTTATTATGGATCGATAGGAAAACAAAAAATAATATTCTATCATTTTTAAATTATGTTTAATTTTTTCTTTGCTTTTTTTTTTTTATCAAGAAACATTCCGTTTAAATGTACTTCATAAACTTTGTAAATGAATTGGATAATTCAGAAAACTTCAATCTTCAATCTTGTTCAATTGAAAAAAGAAGAAAACATAGGCACTTTTCATGTAGACAGTGTAGTTAAATTTTCTTGCATTTATCAAATTGTTTATAATCGAAGTATAAAGTAGAGTATCATCACATGTTAGTGTTATGATCGGTTTTGAATAATGTCAAAAATAAATTGTGTCCATATTTAGTTAGCTTTATATTTTTGAGAGAAAAAATTATCTATTTTTCCCCATTTAGAGAAAAACAACTCCGCCATCACATAATTAGAATAAAGGCCGTATTACATACAACAGAAAGAGAAAGAAAGAGGGAGAGCGAGACAGATGAGAAAAGGAAGACAAATAAAATAAAAATTCGCCACACTTTTCGAGAATAAGAAGCGATTTAATCCCGAATTATCTTTCGGAAACAAACAGACCAAATCACAACAAGAAAATGGACCAAGGAAGGCAAAGTTCACAATTTCCCACCGTGTACCGCGGGGCAGATATTTTCAAATTGTACCCGTGCCATTATCTGTGATGGCGAGACAGACCAAATTTTCCGTATTCAGGCAAATGGTGTTTTCTTCCTTTTCCAACTGACAAGGCATTTCTGAAGGGTGAGCTTCGAAACGACTTTAATAATAAACCAACACAGTACATAGGTAAAGGCCGTCACGGAAGGGAGATAAGAGACGACTCATGGAATCTACAGTAAGTAAATCTCTCAATATTACACAAATAGGTCATCATTTCATTGAATACGGATTCTTTCTAAATAATAGAAATGCATTAGATTATTTTTTTAACTGTTTGTATATTAAGAGGATTTTATCCACCTGTTGGATCGTCCGGTAATTATTTTTCTTGGTTATTGAATTTACCGGTGCGCTTTTAAATCATTCGAGTCTTCGTTGGAGAAGAGCCAAGGTCAACGGTAGGAGCTGGCCGAAGATTTCTAAAGGAAAACCAAATTATTTCTTCAAACGCCGTTCTTTGTAATCAAGTTAATTATTTCCTTTAATATCACGACCATTCCGATTGACATATTAATAAAATAAACTGATCATTTCAAACGTGACGCTATAATCCATGAAACTGTTTTTATTCGGAAAAAATGGTGGAAAACTTTCTTCAAAAGTTAACACACTTCTTTTATCTGTAAAGATTTTTAACAGTTTAAATAAACATAAGGTTGGAACGTGTTACTTTTTCCAACAATGTACAACAAAATATGTTTTAATCTTCTTAGAAAAAAGAATTCAATAAATAGAATTATTTATTTTTCAAAATAATTTGTAATGATCGGTTGTATTTCATTATTTATACAATAACAAATTTAAAATAATAATAATAATATGACAAAATTAATTCAGCATCACAGATCTTCAGGCGATAACCTGCAATTTGCCATTTCAATCCTGCTCTTCGTACTGAAATCTGATTTCTTTTGTATAATCAACAACGACATAAACAGTGTTGGAATTAACTGAATTATTATTTGCAATTAAATTTATTTTATTATTTAAACAAAAAATCCATACTGTTGCAGTATGACGTGCGACAAACATTAGTGCTAATGATTATTTGGAGATTGTGAGATGCGGTCTGGTGGTGTCACGTTCTCCAAATAATTATTAACTAAAGGTCGCTAAACACCACACATTAGTGCTAACTGGTGTATGATCAAAAAAAGAAGAAAAATACTGCCCTGATATTGGCCTTTTAAAGGTCGAAAGCTTGGCAAGTGATTGCAGTTTCTTCTTGTTTAACTGTACACCGGGTAGACATCTTACACTATGCAACATCAGTCGATAACTCTACATAGTCGTTAGTGCAAACGTCTGAATTTTAAAAAAAGTTTTGATTTTACATATTCAAAACAAATTTTAATTAATTTTTTGTTATATTAATAGTCAGAAATGAGAGGAAAGAAGGAAAGTTCAAGTGTTCCATGCCATAAATATTTCACTAATCTGTATGTTTTGGGCTCCTGGCCCATTCTCAGCAGCTCAAATGGGATATTCTCCAATCCAAATCTCTGTAAAAACAAAGAATTGCTAGGTAGAATGTATATAATTAAAAGTTGGAATGTACAATAGACTCTCGTTATTTACGTTTTCATTAATCAGCGGGTGCCTCCCTATTGAGTTTTAGAGGAAAGTGGGATCATGGTAAAGCACATAAAAACAGCAGCATAATTGAATTCTCATTGGGGGGGGGGGACAAAAAAACAGAAAGTGCATTGGTATGCAGATGGAAAAAAATGCTTCAAAGCTTGAAATTCAAGGTGTTTCCTATTATGCGCGTTGCTGCTTGGAACGTATCCCCCCAGATAACAAGAGTCTACTGCATTTCTATTAATATTGTCTGATGTACTGTACTTGGGAGATGACTCATTGGCACTAGTGAGAAAGCCAAGGAGCCTGAAGTTTACAGAATAAGTAAATGTATGGAATACTTAATTTTTTTTCTCATACAACCTTTTCAATAAAATATTTAAAAAACATTGAAAACAAAAAAATTAAATGAAAATCTTGATTTTCCCCCAACTTGTTTTGTGCAAATATCTTACAGTACAATTTCGATAAAATACATTATTATGATAATAGTTCAATCAAATACTCTAAAAGTTTTTTTTTTTCTTTGTTGGTCGTAATATATATTTTTTACCCTGTGAGTTATTTTATTTGTTGCGTTAAATACCTTTTTTTTTATCCACCTGACCGCTTGCATATTTAAATGGTTCATGTGTCCATATTTTTAAATATGTACATTTCATGTTTTCATAATAAAGATTGTTAGTTCAATAATTATAGGTGTATGTTTATTTTTTGGGAATAACAAGAAAATCAAACTTTTCATTTTCTGACCATTTTCTATAATTGTCAAAAACATGAATAGTTGAAATGTTTATGTCTGGAGGAAAGGTATGATGAATAAGAATTTAAATATTGTCAGCTCAATAAAAATATGTTTTCATGCAATGTCACACGCAAAAAAGGTTGTTTAAAACTGTTTCAAGAGAACTAAAAGTTTATTTATTTATTTTTTTATTATAGTTAGTTATTTACATATATTTTATTTGTTAAAATTCGTTTTTTAAAAATATATTTTTAAGGAAGGAAAAAAAACTAAAAGCCATTCAGAGTGGGCAAACATATGTGTTTTATAATTTAAAAAACAATGTTTTTTCCACAAAAAAATTGTGCAATGATTTTGTTTCTGTTGTTATAAAAAAAATTTCTGGCTATAACAGTTCTTAACAAATACACATTTAAAAAATATCTTAATTTAAGCAGCCAGTGCCAAAATAAAATATATTTTGCGTTCATAAAAATACATTTGTATTTTAATACTTTTTAAACATAAATTTTGGAATCAATTAAACATCTTGTCCCTTTATTTTAAATTTAAATTGTGAATATTATCTTTCAGGACTGAAAAGTTTCGACCATCGGGTAGTTAAGTATTTACTGTCAATTTCCGCTTACCATGCTCAACATCGTCTAGTGAGAAATTCAGGGTATTGAAATAACATTTATCTTACATATTAAATTGTTTTATTGCAAAGTAACAATTAATTTATCAAGTTGTACAGGTATACACACTACTCTGGTTATGTACAATGCGATGTATCCTACAACACATGCTGTACACTTAACTTCCCAGGCAACCCTCAATGAAGGTCGACACTTCTCTAGTTCTTCTGGTTTAGACTTGATACACATCATGGACGGAGAGTATGCACAGAGAAAAGAATACTTTTTCCCACCTCACGGTGCCATCAACTTTTCTCACAATGGATCAACCAAACATGTAATGCCTCCTTCACACAACGGAAAAACATATTATAATACTTCTAAAAGAGAAAACTGGAGCTCAAGAAATCAGAACAAACCCAAAAGGTATTTTTCTTTGTTCCTATTTCGTTTCTCTTTTCTTCTTTACATGGTTCTTGGCTTCGTATGTCTTTTCTGAGTTAAGTCTATAGCTCGTTTCTTTGTTTGATAATACTTCACTCTGATAAAAGATCCACAACTTGACAAATATTTTAAACTTCTTACATTATTTTTCTCTTTCTACAAAGGCAATGCCAAACAAAAAACAAAACAAAAAAACAATTGTTACTAGACATTCTTTTGTCAGGTTCTCTTTAAGTAATTAATACTTTGTTAAAGGAGACTATTGTGTTAAAAACTTTTGCACTTTTAATGTTAAACATATTTTTTTTGGCCTATTTGAATTTATGAATTTCAAGAAAATTAATATTGTGTTAATCTAAACCATTAGTTAGTAGTTCACAAAAAAGGTACATACCCAAATTTACTGTCAGCTGATTTCAAATGTTTTTTTATTTACTTATTCAAATTTTAAAACTGTAAACTTGATGTGATAACGCAATCGCTACAACTAGTGGAGGGATTCAATTTTCCTACAATGAAAATAGTTAAGAACTAACCATGTGGAGTGGTCCTGTGGATCAGGGCCTTAATAAGCAACTCAATTTCTGTAAAGTTTAGAAATTCTGACTTATGTAACTAAGATGAAGAACAAAATTCTCAAAAGACTTTGAGGCCATGGTTGAAGATGTACGTAGTTTAAAAAAAATTTAAAAAAATTAAAAAAAAAAAGCTGGCTTTCATTTAACAGCAGCCAATACAAAACATGGCCCTCTACAAGTGTAATATCTTAGAATTGTCTTGATTATAATTTTACAGTTTGAAACTTCCACATTTTTCAGATTTCCTAATTTCCATTAATGATTTATAAGTTAATATTATTCTTATTTGAATGTTGAGGTAACATCTTTTCTATACTGATTACCAGCATTGAATCGTATAGAAAATATACATATATATAAAAAAAAATAAAGTGAATCATTTGTAATTTTAAAACGTACATATTTTATACAGTAATTTATTGCATTTATTTGATTATCATGCACTTAATTTGTTTGAACAAAGACTTTTATATTGTAACAGTTTCGTTCATCATAATATAATCCTGCATTATTTTCAGGTTAAACCATGTTATATCTGCACCATGTATCCCTACTGCTTTAACAGAAGAATCTGGTGAAAATGGTACGTCAAGATCAAACCAAAATCCCTGTTTACAAAATACATTTGCTGATGGCCTTAAAGATGATTCAAGTGACAAGTCAAGCAATAGTGACTGTAAAATTGTCACGTAAGTTAGCATTGTAAATAAATTTTAATAATTTATTAATTATAAAATGTAACCTAGGAGATTAAATGAAATTCAAAATCAGAAGCATACAGTGCATGGAAATAATAGAAATCAGCAACGAAATGAGAGGAGGAATGAAGTGTCTAGTTATCCAAAAAGGCGTATGAACAATTATCCTCGAAGTCCCCCGATGGGGGGGTACAGAACTCGCCGAATGAACAATATAATGATTAATGTCCCATCTCCCTTTCCACCCAAGTACTACATTTATGCAAAATTTCAAGTTGTATACAGTTGCTACCACTTTAGTAATTAGTAATTTTATAAATTTCAGTTCAATGTTTGCACCATTTTATACTGCCCCTGATCGTTTTCTACACAGAGCTCATTTAATGGAAGTTAAACACACACCAGAGGGACTTAACTGTGGATCAATTTGGGACCAAGTAATAAAACTTATGTTTTTTACCTTTCCTTCTAACATGTAAAAAAACTTGAACTTTTTTTTTAAGTGGCTTTTCTTGTTGAATTTTCAGTTAATAATATCTGACTAAGAATACAAAGATATGAGAAAAAGTTTTATTTACAAGTTGTTTAAACAGTTACTGATTATTATTTAGAATAATTGTTGGATAATTATTTAGAACAGAAGTGTGTGGTTTAAAGTAACAACCTTAAGAAAAAACTGCTTGGGTCTAAAAAGTAATATTGCTAATTGGATATGATATATAATTAAATATTGGAAATGAATTACCCATTAAAGAAAATCTCACATTTAAGTGATATTGTATTCCAACAATAACTTAAAATTTTATAAAGATTATATATATAAAACAAGCTAAAGCTTCTTCTGTCACAATATTTGTTATCCATTGAATAAAATTCTTAGAATAATTTTTGTTTATCTTCTAAAACTAGATACGTAGTAAAATGATTTTGAACAATTACAGCTCTCTCAGGCTATTTGGAAAAAATTTATTACAAGTCAACAAACTGAAGAAACTTACAGAAGAAAAATGGGCTTATGGAAATGTCTGTATGTTTATATAAAGGTGAAGATCAAATGTTCGATTGCTATTGCTATTAGAGCAAATAGTGATTTGAAAAAAAAATTTTTTTGTTTTTTGTAGACTTACTTCCCGAAATATGGATTGTATTTAGTTGGCTCAACTATGAGCGGCTTTGGTAGTGAATGCAGTGATGTGGATATGTGCTTACTTATAAGACATGTTGAGGTTGATCAGCGAAGTGAGGCCATTTCTTATCTCAGTGACATTTACAAACTGTTGGAACACTGCGGTAAAATTATTTTTCTAAGATTATATAACAAAAAATTGTAATACAAAGATAAATTTTAGATTTTGTTGAAAAGTTAAAACTTATTCAGGCCAAAGTCCCTCTTTTAAAGTTTCGGGATTGTAAACAAGGTTTACAAGTGGATCTGAATTGCAACAATTCAGTTGGCATTCGAAATACACATCTCTTATATTGTTATGGAAGAAGTAAGTTAGAGCATTCAACAATAACGACATAATGTTAATACTCTATATAAAAGTACTGTTTTCATAGTGGATTGGCGTGTCAAACCTTTAATTGTCATAGTCAAGCTTTGGGCACAATGGCATAATATCAACGATGCTAAAAACATGACAATATCAAGTTACTCCCTTGCTCTAATGGTCATTCATTTTTTACAATGTGAGTAATTATCATGTTTTCCTAAGAGAAACCATTTTAATGAGATGTTTACCATTCAGGCGGAGTGAGTCCTAAAGTTCTTCCTTGCTTGCATTCAATTTATAAAGAAAAATTCAATTCAACTTGTGACATCAGTACAATCGATATCCATGAAGAACTAGAGCCATATTTTTCCAACAACAAACAACCACTAGGAGAATTATTGTTACAATTTTTTCAATATTACGCTTCTTTTGAGTGAGTATTTTTTAACTCTTATGGGTGGAGGGATGACAGGTGTTTTGAGTTTACATAGTTTTATTATCTGTCCCAATATAATTAACCTGAAATTAGATTTAAGCTTGGTGAACCCAACAATTATTCTTTTCCTTTCTTCACCTGTCTAGTGACCTCCATGAAGATTGAAACTCCACAGAAATTAGATTTATTTCCTTATAAAGTATCTAGGGTAAAAGACAAAGACACAATAGGGTGTATAAAAAAAACAAAAAATAGGTTTTATCTAAATAAAATTACATAATATTCAAAATACATCCCAATATGAACCATTGTAGTTGGCTATGTTTCATCCAGTTGCATGATATCTTGCTTTTATGCTAGTACCTCTCTTTTAAATAATTGTCGAAAACCTCTTCCACAATTATTTTGACTTTTGCCAAATTTGAAATTTTGTTCATTTCCAATCATTTTGACCTGACAGACCGAAACATCATGGCTGGACAGAGCACAATGATTGGAAATGACCAAATAATCACAGGTTTATCATCCTGCAGACCTCAAGAAGAAATCCATAATTCTTCAAAATAATTAGTTTTTTTCCCTTCTGGGTAATTAATTGAACCAAATAAAATGGTGGAGCCAGCCAAGTATTTGTCCCATAAAGATTTAATTTTTTGTTGGTTCCTATAGGAAATATTTGACTGAAATTTAAAAAAAGTAATTTTTGTAATGGAGAGCTTAACTACCTGTTGGATGTCATGAACAACGGGACAGAATTACTTTTTTTTCAATTATTCTCAAATAAAAGTCCATGTACTATGTTAGGATTTGAACAAAGATCCAAGCACAGCAAATATGAGAGTTGGACACCCTAATAGCTTGGCCGGCCACTGGTCACACTAGTTAAACTTACATGTAATTAATATATAAAGCATTGAAAAAATATCTGAGCTATGTCCCTATGTGCTATATGGTTTCTCAACACACTTGTTCTGAAAAATTGTAAGATTTCCTGTTGAGGTTTGTGGGGCGCAAGGAACCTGTAATTTTGTTTTCTGATTGTCCTAGAATTTTTATCCTTGATTATTATTTCCTAGAATAGTTATCTTTGATTGTCATGGCAGACAGCAAAGATAGGTAGTCCAGGTTGATCAGAAAAACTAAACTACAAGAGTTTTATGCTTATTATTTTCAACCGATTACATACGTTTGTATTTATGTGGTTAGCATTGTACATTATTATATAACCCTAAGTAAAATCTCTTTTCTAAAACTTCTAACTTTTTTACAAATTTTGAACACACTAGTATTTTCTTACCTTTCAATCATATTTAATATCATTAACAACACAAGATTCAATATCGTTCTCTGTACTCTCCTAGAAAATAAAGATAAGATGGCCATGTTTTAATGTTTGTTTTGAATTTTTCAGCTTTATGCAGTATGCAATATCAGTAAGGTGTGCGTCTATTGTTCCCATTGAGGAATGCAGAAACGTCCGCAGTGTGAAGAATGATCCTCATCATTGGAAGTATTTATGCATTGAAGGTATTATATATTTCCAAATGTATATTGTAGATTTTTTCTTTTTAAAGGACCCAGAATGGCAATAATTTTGGCTTTATAATTGAAGCTAACTTCACTGACTACAAATAAACTTCAAGTTTCTCTTGTTCACACCATATTCAATATGCCATTCACTTATCTTACTGCTTGTCCTAGTGAAAGTGATGACTAGAATGCCTGGCACCTATTACGTTTCATGATTGTTTATTTGTCTTCTTACCAAGCTTGTTACTATTGATTCTAAGGAGGATTGATGCTTAATACGATTCAGGGTCTAAATATTTTTCTGATGTTCTTATTTAGCAATTGTTTTCATTTTCATTGGTTGCTCCCAAGACCAGATGGGTTTGCGTTGTGCAGTCATCCACTAGTTTTACTTTACTATTATTATTTTTTTGTATTTAAAGCTTAGGGCACTATCTTACTCTGTTTAATATGATTTTATCATACTCTTTTACAGTTATCAAAAGCAGGCAATTAATGGCATAATAATTCTGCTTGAAAGAATTTTCCAAGATTTTTTTTTCAAATCTTGAATAATTACAGTATGTCTTAGTTCATTGTGGTATTCGATAATCCTCCAGACTTGCTCCAGTAAAATTTAAAAATAAGGTAAGATGACAGAGTGTGAGAAACTGCATACAAGGAAAAGGCTATGGTACCTGGGAAAGTTATTTGACCTCCATACCATACCCTTGTAAAGAATTTGTATTTATTAAAGGAACGGAAATCTTTCAGGAAATCCATTAGCAGAGCTTGGACACAATAGACAAAAGGGGACAGTCCCTACAACAGTAGGTATTTGACCTATCTAAATCTTTTAGATCCATTGAGTGGGGTAGTTTTATATTCTTTCTCACAATTTATAGGTGGTTTAGTAGCTAATTGTAGGGGTGTTGGATAGTACAAATTGACGAGTATATTTTTTAGCTTTCTTCAGAGTTCTTTTTCAAACATTTTTGTCAGATGCCAGATGTCAGATAGATATATCTCATTTGAATTAATTACATTTTTTTAATGTCATTCTATTTTATTATATTTCAGAGCCATTTGATCTTACAAATACTGCCAAATCTGTATACAACCCGGAAAAGTTCGAACAAATACGCCATCTGATTACTACCACTGCACATACTTTGATGCATACAAGGAATTTGGAATCTATATTTAAATTGAGCAGCCAGACTGGATGACCTAGAAATAACTTGTTGGTTGTATGGAGAAAAAAGGAAAAAGTACAAAAAAATGATAATAAAAAAAAGACAAAAAAAATTTAAACCATCTATGAAGTAGAAAAGCTACAAAATATATAATGAAAAACATTAAAAAAGTTACAAGAAAAGTGATCGATCTGAATGTTGCCAATTGCGGTCGCTTTTGGTTCATATCACCCTCACTTGTCCATGTAAATTTTGAAATTATGAAGACCGATAATTTAATTTTTATACGGTAATGAAAGCAAATAGAAAACCTAAAAATCCAACAACAAAAAAAATATATATATATTAAAAAAAGCAATAAAAAAAAGTAATAATGTAAGTGAAGAAAAGCCGTTTTCTTGACTAATGGAGAACAGTATAAGGAAAATGATGTGTGATCCCTGCCTTAAAATATATTTAGTAAGCGACAAATTGTAAACTGCAGATATTAAATAAATACATTAAAAAGCAGGCTGTTGTTCTTAGGTGTTTATTAATTTAATTCATTAAATTTATTGTGATACTTTCTTACATGTTAGTATCACATGGAATAAAGTGTAATTAATTAAAAATTAGCGTAATATTGTTTGTGATATGCCATATTATTTTGGTGATAATGATAATTGTACATTTTAGTTAATAATTTACTTTATATAAATACTACATGGGCAACCCTTCAAATGTTTTTTCAGTCAAAAAATAAATAAAAATAATTTAAAAAAAGAAATAAAAATATGAAAATTTATTTAAAAAAAAATAAATAAAAAGCAAATTAAAAAAAATAATAATAAAAAACTTTAAAAAAGGCCATTCGAATTAGTCAATTGTATAAGTTGTTTATTTGTGTGTCAATCAGTTTAAATATTGACTCCTAAGTTATTTAAAAACGGATTGTAGTTCATTATCTTTACTGTGTTGTGCTTAGAAGCTAATAAAAAAAAATTCTCCAGTAGAAGAGTCAAAAACTGTAAAATATATTTAATTAGTTATCATGTTTAAACTTAGCAGCAAATGGAATTGTGGTTAACGAGTCTTCTGATATCGCAAATAAATTATTACATGGCCAGTTCTTCTTTTAAATTTTGGCCCATTTCTCGAATCTCAGTTTAGAGGTTCGATCTCCTTTTACCTCAATCTGACTGAAATTTATGGTGGCTTTTCTACAGGGTTAATATGCACGCTGTAAATTTAACTAAAATATTCGTTTGCATGTCTATGAGATTGTATTTGTTAGATTACATGTTCTTAATTTTAGCACCACACCTCGTTTTGTTGACGAATCCTCACAGGGTTAACATAGTCGAAAAAGTTAAATGTTTGGTAACAAAGTTGCAAAAGAAATGAATACAAAAGCAATATTAGACACGAGATCTGTGGAGTGCTGAACCTGTAATTTTGTTGTCTCAGATCATTTTGATATGCCTATCTAAAATCCAATGTTATATTATGGTTGTATTGTGCAAAGAGCCTAAATGCAGGTTCATATACATTCAGATTTCAAGAAAATTAATTAAAGAAAAATAAATCTTTCAGCCTTGCATATAGAAGGGTTTGATTTCAGGATTCAATAGCTTAGGTAATGGCATGCTGTTTGATGTTTAATTGCATTTAAGTTTTCAATTCCATTCCAAAATAATTAAGGATTTATTGGATAAATTACTAAAAAACCAAACCAAAATTAAATTACTATACAAACTTATTGACATGTAAAAAGAATTTCCATACAAAAGAAAAATGTATAAATCACAATCTCATTACAAAAAAAAAAGTTTTTTCTTAACAGTCAAAATAATTTTTCAGTTCAATATATACAGTACTATAATTAGTGACTATAACATTATCCTACAAGAAATGTAAGATGACAATTTATATTGGGCCTAGTCTTCTCCTTCATGACTGTACGGATCTTCTTGTGTGAAGTGGTCACCTTCGATTGGCTCGCGCTGTAAAGAACAATATGATTTATTTATTCTGTTTTAAACACTAGTTTTAATCAAAATATTACCAGGACGTTTTTCCTAGAGGTAATACAATTAAGTGTATACTTTTTACAATTTATATTACCTCCGTCAGTCAATAAAGCAGCAAAAAGATAAAAAATAATAATTATGCATAATAACTATACAATCATTTCTTCTGTACAATTTGATTCCAAGAAAATAAACAGCTATGTTTTGTAGCTTCAACACTTGAATATTTAAAAAATCAAAACCCAAATTTTTGTAGATAATATTTTACAAAACAAAATGTGGGTGTTAGGTGACTAAAAGTTAAATGGATGTAAAAATAAAAGACAATAATAAATTTTCCCAATAAATTTTCCACGGCTTTATTGGTTTTTTTTCCACAAATTATAAACTAGGCTTTATCTAAAATAAAAAATGTACACTAAAATTATTCACACAATAAATTTCAATTTTTATTTATGGTATTATTTCAATTTTTCTCGGCATTTTCTTCCAGTCCCACAGTAACATTAGATGAATATCGCTTGGTACAAGATCAAAACCTTGGTTAAACCAAAATTTCCACCCATTCGGTATCTAAACAATTTGTCATATTTATAATCAGAAACGTTTGAAATTTAAAAAGAAATACATTAGAAGAACTTTTCACATGTATTCTTCAGAATTAATAGCCTGGAAATATTCAAGTAGAGAATTTACTTTATTCTTAAAATGATTAAAATAAAGAAAAGCTTTTATCTCGGCCTATTCTCACTGGGTTTATCAACCAGACACGTTTCACCATCTTCAGACAATCTGGCAAAATGTGCTTGAAATATAAAGCCACTGAGAAAAGCAAAAGAACGAAGACTTCACCACAAGTCTATATGAGAAATAGTCTCTAAGAGAAATGTATATATAAAAAAGTTATTTTTAGCTTTTAGCTGTTAAAACTTAAATTCAACGAATTAGCTACATTTAATAACTGAACAATTTTACATCATACTAGGAAAAAATAAAAAATAAAAATACCTCTACAATTCCAGCATGTAAGGCATAACTAAACATTGCAATCGCCGCAAAGAGAACAGCCAAAAGTTGATTTCTAGTTTTATGTGGAAATTCAGAATCTTTATGCTGCTGAGATTTGGCTTCCTCTTTCCTTTTATTTTCATAATCTGGACAGAGAGAAAAATTTAAAACCACAACATACTTTTTTTTTTTCAATTAAATTACCATAGTAATCTTTAGAGTAATATCTTTGATTTATCCTTGAGACAAAATGGTGAAGATTGGGGCAGGCTTTTAAATGATTCTGAAGCGAAACATTCTGAAGAGGTGCTTTGAGCAGCGGTGCAAGGAATGCAAACATTGTTGCATCAATTGAAGTCGGATGTGCTCCAAACATGAAATCATTATCTCCTAGCCTAACTGATAAAGTCGTTAGACATTTTTGAGCATCACTGTAGACCTGTATTAAAAAAAATAAAATAATAAAATAAAATTATTGTAATACTCTGTATCAAAAATATTTTAAATTAAAGGGGGAGAGGGGATTGCTGATAGCCCAAGGAGTCCAACCTCGGAGGCTGGAGAGATAACATTAGGTTCGACCCCAGAAAACACCCAGGGTTAGTGATTCTCATTGCCTACTGGTAATTTAATGTAAATTACAAAAGTTGGAATTGCCCATAGACATTGAGGAATGATAGACTCAACTCTGTACATGTATGTATGTACGTGTATGTGTATGTCCAGGTTTGAGCTGCTAATCAGTAATTAGTTTAAATTAAAGTTTTAAAGATAAAATTACCTTCGCTTCAATATCTTTATCTAATTCGATGTTTTCATACAATGTTGTGATCATTTCTTGAGCGTTAGTTGCCATTTGTCCTGGATAGTAGAAACTAAATGGAAATGGTATCGCCTTACTATACCATGGTCTAATGACTCCATTACTATTTTTTGCATCTATCCAACTAAAAATTAAAATGGAATAAATAAAATTATGTAGCAATTGGGTTAAAAAAATCACAGTAAAATAGTTTTTGAAATTGTCTGGCAATTGAAATATATGTTAAATTATCATCCACTTTTGTACTCACAAAAAACAAAAATACATTCAATTGTTATTGCCAAGCTTTTGACCTATTTTAAGGTCATAAGGAAAAACAATCTTATATATGTCTACAAATTGAAATAATAGTTTTTATAAACGGTTTAAATATCTTTGAAAACTGGCTCAGTCCCAACATTGCCAAGTACTATTAAGTAAGGGCAGTAACAACTGAATTGTACATACAAGATCCAGATTATTCATGAATTGAAAAAATGAAGATAAGAAAATTATGCCATTTATTTGTCAAACATGTGAAGTATAAGGGTTACCAAATATAAACATGACTGATTTTCTTAAAAATATCAGAGACCCGCCTGAAAGGGGCAACATATAAAAACTCTTGGGACATTCTAGTAGACATAGGAGCATGCTTACACTGCTTCTTTGTCGTTGAAACCCTTGAAACCCCTTCAAGTGCTTCTTTGAGGGATCTAAAAAGATGACAGACTGGACTAACTGGTGTATGTTTCTCATCCTTTACATCCAATTTTTGCCTCATGATGTTAGCTGTGTAAGACGTTTTAGATCCCTCAAAGAAGCACTTGAAGGCCAGGGTTTCAATGACAAAGAAGCAGTGTAAGCATGCTCCTATATCTACTAGAACATCCCAAGAGTTTTTATGATGATGCTATAAACAAATACTAATCTGATGGGCAGGAGAATATGTAATTAAATAAAGTAGAATTTTTTTTAAATGAATATTTGTTACACCCTTGTATTTGTTTTGTCTGGCATTTTTATTGCAGCTATAAATTGATGCCAAAATTATACTTGCCAAACATATTGTAAAGCGGGGTATAGTTTTTCTTTCATTAAACTCGTAAATGCTTCTATTTCACCCTGCTGTTTGTTGGATAAGCCATGGTCGGGATTCGAATCCTGAAAATATGATTGTTTATACAAAAAAACTTTTAAAAGATTTCTCATAGTCAAGAGGTAAACCACTCACACGAGATGTTATGTACTGCACTAGATCCTCGTATTTGGTGATGTTCTTCGTGTTTAAACGTAGGACAGGCAGCTTACCATCCGGCGCCCAGAACGGATTGCTAGTCGCATTCACTTCCAGTTCCAAACCCGAAAATTTAATATAGGTCTGAACATCAAAAAACATGGAATTTTGTCATTAATAGAAATCTATGAAGGGTTGAACATACATCATACCATGAATCTAAGACAGTCCAAGTCGATTGATGGCAAACCCCAATCCCCTTTCCATACGTCTAACTTCAGTTTGGTTCTTGTATTTACACTCATTTCTCACACTAATTTTAAAAATACTTAAAGGAGACAATAAAGCCGTGGAAAATGTAAATTGCTACTTAACTTAAAACAAGTCTGACAAGAAGTAAATTTGAAACCTTCCTCTACTGATAAGAGGAAGGTTGTGCATCTGTTGGTATTTATTTTGTATTTCATATTCTTAAAAAATGTATATGTCTGATTATAATATAAAAGTGAATCAGATTTTCTCGAGTTTATGGTTACAAATAATCCACTTTTGTTAATGGATGAAAATCCAGATTGCCATAAAAATCATTGCGTACTTAATAAAAAAAAAGAATCTTCTGGCTATATGAATTTTTTTTTTTTGAAAATGGGTAAAGTTTAAAAAAACTTGTGATCTTATGAAATATTTCTAGGAGAATTTTATAATAACAAGAACAAAACATTCTTTAGTGTTTTATTAATTGTTAGTCACTAGCTTTTTTCTTTCACCTATTTTATTTTATAGATTCCAAAAGAAATCAATACGTATAAATAATTCATTTACATATGTGGGACAATTCTGTAGAAATAAAAAAAGACCTCCCTGAAAATGTAATGAGTATTTGAACAAACCGCTTACCGTCATATTTGCAATACTATTTATTATTCAATATAAAAAGATCAGTATGGCTATGAGTAAAAAAAAAAAATGGAAAGATATTCTGGCAGAAATTTATTATCACCATGCTGTAAATAAAAATTAAACAATAAATTTATGGCTTTCTAAAAGATGACTAGGAGAATCAAACTACAAATTATTATTTTTTTTAGTTCAATTGATTCCGTAAACCTAAAAGGTTACCAAGCATGAGCATGGCATCGTAACCTTTCTGTTAACTACCTACACTCTACAGCAATTCATGCCAAACATAACCATTCGTGTCAAGTCTTAATCCACGTGATTCTTCAATATTAAAAAAATGGGTAAGAGCAAAAAAGTGAAGCCGTCCCAGAAGATGGCAAAACCCACTCTGGAAGAGCAAATCGCCGATGCCATTCAGCAGAAGCAAAGGCAGAAAACTAGGATCCGAGCAGACGAGGAAGAATCCGTAAGAAATATAGTTAAAATTAAAAATTGAACGAATTTAAAAAAGTTTGTTGTTAAATTTCTACAGTTTGTCGATGCCAGGACTAGTGAAAAAATCCTCAAAGAGGCTAGGAAGCAACAACAGGAGCTTGAAGAAGAAACTATAGAAGGTTCACAATTTTCTGCAGCCAAATTGCACACTCTTGATGGAGAGGATGGTTCAGATGAAGAAGAAGTTTTAGATGAAACTCAGGACTTTTATGAAAATGTTGTAAGTAACATGTTAGCATATAGGTATACAAATTTACAACGGTATAGAATTCCAGCATTGTTTCACCCTTTCTTTTGTCATTTCTGATAAAGGCCTTCCTATCCTTGGTGCTTTGTACTGACGACCTATAATAAGTTAAAATCAGCTTTTATCACCTTCCCTCAGTTCTGCTTGAGTTGAAGGCAGAAAAAATGCATGTTTTTATATATTTTTGTTGTTCATTTCAACAAAACACATATACTGAGGAAGTGATTGAGGTTGTGGTCAAGGTTGGACATACTTCTTAATCAAAAGTCAGTTCTGCCAAGCTTTCGTCTTTATTTGAAGTCATCCTCAATTAAGCCAACAAAGTAATTACAGAACTTACCTTGAGGATGACTTAAAATAAAGTTGAAAACTGGGGGCCGTGGTAGCCAAGTGGTTAAGGCATCAGATTCTCGGCTAGTAGATCCCGCAGTCATAGGTTCTGGACTTTTTTCTGACACTTAAGGGGACTGGTGGCCGCAATTGAATGAAATTGACTTGGCACTCATTAATGGAAGGTGTGGGGCAGGATCAGATCTCAGCGACCCTGAATTGGTCCCAGCCTCCTTCAAAAATGGGTTTCTTTGATGGAAGAACACTGGCACACCAGGGCCTACGATTCACATGCTTGTTGTGAGCTCCTAAAAAATGGACCCATAAGCCGTGCGGCTGCAGTGCTCAGGGGGAACTCCTCCAATTCACAAAACAGTTTTTGTATTAAGAAACATCCCCAACCACGATCACTACATCAGTATAATTACAACTGTTGGTCAATTCTATCAATAATTTATAAAAGTATGTATTTTTGCATAAAAATACAATAAATAAAATTTTAAAAAAAATCTTGATTCTTAAGCGGAAGACTTCTGGGCAGAGGTGTGTGAGTTGAACCAAAAGCAGAAATTTACCAATTTTTTACCCTAATTTTATTTGGTGGTTAGCCAGTTATTTATTTTCCTTCTTGTACTACAACTTTATTTTTTTTAAAAATTCATGCGTTTATTGTTATTGTTTATTTCAGTCATCAAGTCGTCAAAAAAATTTAATTAGTTCTTCGTTTCTTCATTATTGTTGCCTTCTTTTTCTTTTTATAGATGAAAAATTTCTTTTTGGTAAGAATAATTTTGATTTTTTAGAATAAATATAACATTTAAATAAAAATCTGGTTTTGTGACATTTTGGAAATTCTGTGCCATTTTTAAAGCATATTTTATTTGTATTATAAAAACATCATCTTTTTCCAACGCTTCAAAAAGTTAAGCTAAGCATTTTCAAATGTTGTAAAAGATTACAAAGTTTTTATAATCCATTTGAGAAATATCCAACAAAAGAGATGCGAAAAATATATTTTATTTCTTATTTATTTTATTATTTATTTTCCTTCTTGTACGACTTTATTTTTTAAAAAATTCATGCATTTATGCATGTGTTTATTGTTATTGTTTATTTCAGTCAAGTTGTCAAAAATATTTAGTTAGTTCTTCTTTTCTTCATTATTATTGCCTTCTTTTTCTTTTTATATATGAAAAATTTCTTTTTGGTAAGCATAATTTTGATTTTTTAAAAATAAATATAACATTTAAATAAAAATCTGGTTTTGTGACATTTTAGCGATTCTGTGCCATTTTTAAAGCATATTTTATTTGGATTATAAAAACATCATTTTTTTCCAACACTTCAAAAATTTAACCTAAGCATTTTCAAATGTAAGAGGTTACGAAGTTTTTACATCCACCTGAGAAATATCCAACAAAAGAGATGCAAGAACTATATTTTATTTCTTAACATTGAAAAAAACATTTGAAAATATAAAACAACACGGCTACCTATTCAAATAAAAAATAATTTTTTTTAATGCAATTTAAGAAACAAAATATTTTTTAAAAATTTTAAAATAAGGCCTACCAAAAAGGAATTTTTAATTGGATTATTTCTTTTCCTTTCAGTAAACTTGTGACTTTTTAAAATTTAAGCTTGTTATCAATATCTTTTGTGTAAGGTTATAAATGAGGAAGATGAGAAAGCTCTTGAACTATTCATGAACAAAAACCCAGCTCCGCGGTTAACTTTGGCTGACATAATAAAAGAAAAAATCACAGAGAAACAAACAGAATTGCAGTCACAATTTTCCGATAATGCCAGTAAGTTTTGATCACTGCAATTAAAATATTTTTAAAAAAATCTTAAAAAGAAGCTTATTTATTGATGTTACAGGTGTAAATCTTCAGGATGTTGATCCTCGTGTTAAAGCTATGTACGAAGGGGTGCGTGACGTTCTGAAAAAATACCGAGCTGGAAAAGTGCCCAAAGCTTTTAAAATCATACCTAAACTTCGTAACTGGGAACAACTATTATTTATCACTGGTAATATATTTAAATGAAAAAAAAATGAAATATATACTTTTATAACTATTTTGTTAATTTAATGATGAAGCGGACCGGCTGGCCAAATCTGCGGCCTCCGCTGGCATTCCCTGCTCTATTATCTCCCCTAGAGATCTTAGAGCCCACATAAACAGTTACTGCAGGCTCCGTTGGCAAAACAAATACTCCGCCAGCACAAAAGGAAAATTTTATAAATTCATCCAACCTATCATTCCTATCTTCCCTTGGTTCCGATCTTACAATAGTCCTCGCCATTCTCTCACCTCTATAATTCGGCTTCGCCTAAACCACAATTGTCTTCCCTCCCACCTCTATAAAATAAATATCCTAGACTCTCCTTACTGTTCCTGCGACCCCTCGTGCATAGCTGATTCCAACCATATTTTACTAGCCTGTCCCAATACCTCCATCAACCGAGAGTCTCTCTACAACACTCTAATTTCTAATAATATCCCTCTTCCTACCTCAATATCCGTTATACTCTCTTTTACCCGCAATCCCAAAATAATTTCCTCTCTCTCTACACTTCTATCTCAAAATAATATAGTAATATAATATAACAAAAGTATACATTTTAATCTTGAAGTTTAGAGACGGCCAATATGCTAGACCATAAGGACAAAAAAAAAAAAAAACTATTTTGTTTCAGAACCTGAATCATGGTCTGCAGCCAGTGTCTATATGGCTACGAGGATATTTGCATCCAACCTGAAAGAAAAAATGGCTCAACGGTTTTACAACCTTGTCCTTTTACCTAGGATAAGAGATGACATAACTGAATACAAAAGACTAAATTTTCATCTGTATCAGGCATTAAGGAAGGCGTTATTTAAACCCGGAGCATTTATGAAAGGTTTTATTATTCCTCTTTGCGAGGTAAAGTATTTCAACTTTAATGGTTTCTTGCCAGATAATAGTATTGTTTATTAACTAAAAACAACCAATCTTTTAGTCTGGAACATGTACATTGAGAGAAGCAATTATAATTAGCTCTGTTATTGCCAAAAATTCTGTCCCAATGCTCCATTCTGCAGCAACTATTTTGAAGATTGCCGAAATGGATTACACTGGTGCCAATTCGATTTTCCTCAGGGTTTTACTTGACAAAAAATACGCTCTACCATATAGGGTAGTAGATGCAGTTGTTTTTCATTTCTTAAGGTAAATAACAAAATTATAAAAATTGTTTGTGTCATTAATGTACGTTCTTATTTTTAGGTTCCGCAATGAGAAAAGGGAATTGCCAGTGTTGTGGCACCAAGCATTTTTAACGTTTGTTCAGCGGTATAAGAGTGACATAAGCTCCGAACAAAAAGAGGCCTTACTTCAGCTTCTTAAATATCAATTTCATCCAGTAATAACACAGGATATTAGAAGAGAATTGCAATTCTCTAAGTGTAGAGATGTGGAAATTAGTGAGCCTATGGCTGAGTGATGTACAAAGTTACCTGTCTTATGTACAAAATTTTTAATTTTACTGTAAATATATTATACAATGTACTGCACAATTTTTTAAAATACAATGATATATTTAGTTTATATTTAATTGGTTTTTATTGAACTACCTATCTGAAAAGAATGTTTCCTTAACATTTAAAAACATACCAATGTAATACTTTTAGAATATGATAAAAAAAAATCATTCCTTTTTTCGTGTGGAAAGAGTATATTTTTTTAATAACATCTATAATTTGTTCCTTAAACAATGCTTAATTTTTTTTATGACCACATTTTATAATACAATTTTTTTTATTGAATTATATTAAAACATTTAAAAATTTATTAAACATTGTGAGAAATTATCTAATAATATTAAAAAGATTGGTTCGGCCGTTAATCATGTAAGACTTTCAGTGTTTCACCATGTTAAACCACTAAATGTGATGCATATGATCAAAAGAGGGAGAATAGGCTGGCCAAAATGTTTGAAAATGACAAAACTAAAACAAGATGAGACAAATTATCGAGTTTTTGTAGAAGAAATGAATTAAACAGCATTGTACGTCTATAACAATCATTAGTTTCAAATAATATCTCTTTATTTTTCAGTGAGAAAACCAAAAATTGCATGATTGCAAAATTGAAGGGCATAGGTAGAAGTAAAAATTTTTGTATAAATTCAAACACAAAATAATTTAAAGTACATATCTGTTATATGATCTTGTTTAAGTGCTGTCTATTATCTGCTATGTATTAATTAGTACTATCCATGGCGTATAAGACGTTGAAATAAGTGTAAGCTGAATTCATAATCTAAAACAAATGGAATGTTAGTGTTAATAGTTAATAAATTATTATTAATTTTTATCAACTATGCTAATTTATTTTAATTATCTTATCATTTTGTTAAAATAAATTATTTCATTTTGTTTTGTATTATAGTCTGATGTGTATAAGATGAAAATGTAGATTTTATTAAGATTTATCTACCAATTTGTTCGTAACTGATCATTTTAATCTGCCTTTCCTCATTGGGTTCTTGTCCGACACGTTTTGGCATAAACCATCTTCCAACCCAACACTGAAGATTACGATATGTTTAAATGCATCTGACAGACCAAAGTCAAATAAAAATGATAAATAATGTCTTGATTCATCACCCAACGGACCACAAAAATTCCACAATTATTGGCAATGTGTTGTGATTAGTGACCATTAGTCAATGATTATTTAGAAATCGTGAGATGCGGTCTGGTTTGATGTAGGTTTCAGAAAAACATTGTCTTTATCGTGCCAACGTTTCGATCTTTATTGAGATCAACTTCAGGGCCTGGGATTTACAAACATTGTTTAAATTTAACAAATACATGTAGGATGTGGAAAAAAGTGAATTTATACAATGCAAAAAATATTTTTTATATTCAATCAAAGTATTTCTACTCACTCAAAGTGTTTGTTTTCTGTGTAATTGTGCCATTCTTGCGTGTCGTGTTGAGAGAGTCAGTGAGATATTGCTGTTTTATGTTTATATACGTTGGATTTTGAAGGGGTGGGGAAGGAAGTCAGTATAGAAAGACATGTAAATCCCAGGCCCTGAAGATGATCTCAATAAAGATCGAAACGTTGGCACGATAAAGAAAATGTTTTCTGAAACCTACATCGTACCAGATCGCATCTCACGATTTCTGAATAATCATCATTGGCAATATTGGGTTCTGAGGATTTAAAATACCGATTGATGACAAATGATGGTATAGCATAGTGTACAGAGTAAAGTTTGTATTGAATGTTTCTCATACTCAATTAAATTGTCTGCTGTTAAATTGTCAATCAGGCAATTACTACTCGTTGTAGATGAAGATATGATATTTGAGTATTATACTACACTCTTTGAGAGCTATTGTATCCTCTGTTCTCTAACTAGCACACGGTGAGCCTTAATTCATCAATTTGTAAGTAGTTTGGGTAAGTCCAGTTTCAGTTTAATTTCTTCTATGGTTCAGTTGTTCATCCCAAGGCACTTCCTCGTTCCAGAATTTAGTGTTTTACCAATCTTCTTCAAATGCCAATCCAGTCCACATTGTACTGTTAAAATTCAGAAGTTTTTTATTCAGCTTCTTTTGGTGCATTCTGTTGCTGCTTCTTTCCTTCCAAAACACGCTAGAAAGTTATTGGGTTGTGTCCATCCAATGGGTGAATTCCATTGTTTCCTCATTTTCATTCAGTCCTCTAGTCTAAGGCACATTGACAGTGTGAACCCTGATGCCATAAAAGGACTAAAGGCCAATCAATGGTGTAGCAGCTCTTTCTATGCAAAGGCTCTGCTTTCTCGTCTCCCTCTATTCCTACATGTCCTAGGACTCAACAGAAAGAAACTAATTTAGTTTTGCAATTGAACACCATGTTTGAGTTCTGATGGCAGTCTGTTTTCGGACATTATAGCTTATAGTTCGACATTATAGTTCTTTTTTCTTTACCCTTTGTTCAGGTTGAATTGAGTACATTTCTCAATTGCATGGACTTCAGCCTGGAGTGGGTGTACTTTCCCATGGGTTCTGAATATTTGGTTCCAGGACCGAACACTCCTGCTCCGTACCTTCTTGCATTCTATATTCATCATATTACTCTTTATAAATGTATTTTCATTGTAAGATGTTATGCATGTATTACGGTTCATGATTGAGGAGTACTAATTAGATATAATTAATCAAAATAGATATCTTACTTTTGTAAATAAATTCCAATTTATTTCTGTGATTCCACTTGCTTTAATGCTTAACGGTTTTTTTGAACATTCTTGTATAATAAGCATCGATGTTTTGATTCTGTGAGGGCAGTGTATCCACTTTGTTTTGTAAAAAGATGAAAACACTTCATCACTCTAAAAATGTTCATACGGTTACGTTTGTTATACGGTCAATAGTTAACATACATGTTACCAAATGTGAGATGCGTTCTCCTCCTTCACAAATTTTGGCACAAGCAATCGCTTCCATTAATAAAAGCATAATTGATAGCAATTGTGGTGCGATTCTTGTGTCACCCTAAAATGTAATGCATCTATTAAACAAACTTTTTAAAAGACATCAAAATAAAATGTATTAATTAACTAATCCAATATTTTCAAATCATACATACTTTTCAATCTAGTTATAAAATAAAATATTTAAAGATGAATAATTAATTTTACCTTTATCAATGTTAAAAGAGCACATGCTAAAACCAGAGAGAATGTTAGTATTGCCAAAAACATGGGCCATCGTATTATACCATCTAAAATTTTCACAGCTCTGAAATACATTAAAATATGTACATATTTTCAAATGCATTTATACTTTCCTAAATAATTTCCTAATTAATAATGCCTAAATAATGGTTTTACTTACTCTCTAATGACATTGAAATGTTCAAAATTTTGTTTCAGGCACAATTCATACTCGGCTAAGAACAATGGGTTTTTGTAAAGTTTCCTGGAACTATTCGGTGTTTTAAAAGAAGGATATTTTGATTTGCAAATGTGCAATGTCCTGCCTTCAATATTTTCAATATAATGAATAAGAATACGAAGCTGATTGACAACAGAAAATGTGAATTTTATAATAAGTATAATTGATGAACAAACAATAACTACGATTAATCCATCTTCAATTATTTCAAACAATATAAAGCCGATTGTTTGAAAATATGTTTCAATTTTGTATGGTATGTATATCGGTACAGGAAGATTCATGTAAACGCCATTTACATATGAAACATTTAATGTTATGCCTTGGTACATGTCAATTAACGGTTGGCCTATACCAACTGTACCAACAAAAAAAAAATAAATTGTGATAAAAATTATAAGTTGCCTATCAAACTGTTGAACTTCTTTTTTCCACATGTTAACTTTTTTGTATACATAGTTGTTTCCATAATTGTAATAACCTCTTTCATTTATTGTAAGAAATGCAATAAATTGATCTCTATTTAAATTCACTGAAATTAAAATGGCCAGACAAAGTGTGAAACCAATAAAGATATGTAATAAGAGAGCTGTCAGGCTAAATTGGTAATCTTTAAGTAAGTATATCGTATAGCCCATTGTAATTATTATGGCCAACAACATTATTAAAAAAAAAATAAACTGGAGCACTGCTAACCAAAACCATCGTCCTCGAGAGTAAAATACAAGGCCCGATATCTGAAGTAGGTAGTAATACTCTCTCATAGAAAATTGCTCTACTTTCTCATCAAAACCTTCATTGCTGAACAAGTCGAAAATACCCATACTGCAAAAAGAGTACTGTGGTACTCAGACAAAAATGAAATAAAACTGGGAAAAATCCAAAACCACATTAGTGTTTATTTAATACTCCTTTTTATACATTTAATGGCTATGAATTTTACATAAGAAGGGGTACTTTTTTTGTTTTCTATTATTCCCGATAACATCAATTCTGTACAAACAATAATTTTTGACCTTAAATAGCTTTAAACATTAATGTACAATACTTGAAGAGAGATTTTAATATTTACAAAATTAAAAATATATGATAATACATCAATTAAAATCAGATTAACACTGTCAAAAAATAGTTCGTACAAAAGATTTCATATAAACAGTAAAGTGAATTGTAACATATAAACAAGACATTCTCCTGGCATGTAAGTATATCGTTGTAAATAACTACAACTGTTTTGATGATTTTTGAAAGGTACTTACTTTTTAAAGTAAGCTAAATTTTCTGAACATTGATACAGTAAGTAAGTTAGGATTTGCTTTATCTGACACTGAAGTCAGAAAAAAGGTGGTGTTAAATAAAACCTAAATAAAATATATTTTTACGATATAGGTCTTCCTCACCAAACAAATATTGTCTGTATGTCGTTGGAACCAATTTAATGTTTCTCTTTGGTTCAAGAATGTTCAATGGTGCATGAATAGTACAACTTTAACTTTATGATAAGTTTTCTCCATGTTGTATGTGGGGTGATGAACCTGTAATTTGATTGTTACTGTATTGGTCGGCCTATCCTTCAGTTCCAAACAGAATTTAGACAATTTTTGCTGTTGATAATGTGACATCTAAATGTTGTGTGTTGAAACTAAATTGCAAAGGTAAATAAATACCCAGATATTAATATAAGTTTACAACTTCTATTTTCATTTTGTTTATTTATATAAATTTAGTTTTATAAACATAGTAAACTAATAATAATAGTAATAATATTAATGCATACAAAAAATATACTAAATAATTTTGGCAATGATATATTTTTTAAATATTATTTACAATTGAATGATGAAACAAACCACATTAGAAAGAAAGAAAGAAAAAAAGAAAAAACACAGAAAGGAAACGGGAATAAGAATAGGAAGATGGAAGGAAAGATGATTCAATCTTTTTAAAACTATAGTTCCTACTCACAGTAAGTTGTTTTCAATGATCCGGATTTCAAGCTTTAGCTCATCATCAGGTTGAAGGAATTTACATGTCTCGCTTGTGATATGATTAGAACAAAAATTAATAGAGGATAGAGCCGTCGATATATAATGAAGGGATAGGCAATCTGTATTAATGGCTTTTTGGAAATTAATAAGGACTGGGATTTATTATGTTTTAAAAGAATGTTATTACTTGACCGTTGGTTTTGAGAGAATGAAGATCATGGTTGAGCAGAGAGATAGCTTCAAAGGTGTGCTTGTAGGACATTGTAAAGCTGACTGTCATCAGCATAAAGATGAATTTGGAAAATAGTAAAGGTCCAAGAATAGAGCCAAGGTACACCAACTGAAATTAAGAGAGGAGTTACAATGTGAAGCTTTAATTCTCTGAGTTCTTTCAGACAGATAGGAGGAAATAATATTAGCAGCAGTTGAAGAAAATTTTTTAAAAATCCAAAAAATATCTTCTGATTAATTAAGTTTATTTTTATCATGTTACCATATTTAATTTGTTCGAACACTAACCAGACAGAATTGAATAAAGTCTCTTTTCACTAGTTAATGCTTTCTTTACATTTTAATGAAGCTCAATTGAAGAATTTTTTTTAAATAGCCTTATGAACTTTGCATATTAGCCAAGAAGACGTGTATATATAATATATGTATGAGTACTTTTGAAAGGCAAGGGTTACATGAAAAAAGGGCCAGGGTGAAATGAGATATGAGACAGAGATGGTTCACCAAATTTGGATAGGATGATTTTCATTGAAAGATAAAGCATGCTTACAATATGAAACGTTTTAATAAAAAGAACTAGTTTTCTGTGGAGTAAAAAGACTAAGACTAAGAAAAGAACGGAGTCTTGGGTAGACCTTTATAATAGTCACACAGTCATTCCATGTAAGTTTGGAAGTAAACACAATATTAAGATTTTTAACTTTAGTACAACAATTAACAGGGGAGTCGTTGATATAAGGGGGGATAGGCAATCTGATTAATTTTATTAACTGGAAATTAATAAAAACTGGGATGTTAGGAATTAAAATAATGTCATTATTACTATTGATTGAGAGAATGATCATGTTTTAAGACTATTTTTATTTTGTAAATACCATTATGCAAACCACAATTTTTCAAAAAGAATATAAATTTGCATACAAATTTGGGTTCTAGTTAGAAGAAAAACATCAAGGCAAATTTGAACATTTCAACTTGGGCATTTGTACATTTAAATTCACGCGGGAGAAATTTGTATATTATATTTTATAAAATAATAGCAGTATTTTGATATTTCAACAGAAGATTGTACGAAATATTAACTGTTATTTATAAGAAAGTATTTAATTACAAATAATTGCTAAAATTGTACGCAAATTACCTAGAAGATACATAATATTTTGTACATTATTTTATCTTAAAAGTCCGAGATTTAAAAAAATATATATATTTTAATATTTATTTAAAATAGAAAATCTTGTTAAACAATAACTTTGTTTAATAAAGAGAAGATGACGAATAAAAGTTCAACCGGCATTGGATGTTATTCCTAGAGCTTCCTAGAACAGTCGTGGCATTGCAACCTTTTCACGCATCAGTTACTTTCGTAAAAACGTTGTGTCGAGGCTAGGTATTTTATTAACTTTTATCAATTAAATCCTGTAATTAAATAGTTTATTAATATATTTACTTTTGATATACTGATAAATTCTCTCATTAAACTCAACAAATTTAGCAATAACTTTGTTGATTATTTTCCTGTCTAAGGTTAAACTATACTTGTTCGCAGGTCCACTATGTCGCGACATCACGAAATGGCCGTAGGCCTCAACAAAGGCCACAAAACGACCAAAATCCCTGTCGGAAAGTCCAAGGCGGACAAAAAGCATAAATTGAGGCCGTCTCGGTTGAAAGGGGTAAGTGTTTTTTTTCATATTTGACAAATATTCAAAATAAAAAGTACCAAGTTGGATTTCGATTGTTGATTTATTGTAATTTTTGTAGGCACAGACCAAACACTCCAAATTTGTGAGGGATTTGATCCGTGAAGTTTGTGGTCATGCTCCTTACGAGAAGAGAGGGATGGAATTGTTGAAAGTCTCTAAGGACAAGCGAGCCCTGAAATTCTTGAAGAGACGAGTGAGTTTACGTATTTAACAATAATAACACTTGTAGTTTGGTTTTTTCTGATCATAGACTGCCTTCACTCGCTGATTTGGTTTGTCAGATATGTTTCGGTAATTCACCATCTTGATTGGCAAAATGCAAAACAGGCAAGGATAGTGTGTTTTTCTTACCACAAAACTAACATCATGAGCAGGACAAACCCATGATTTCCAGCTCTATACCCTGGTGCTCTAACCGCTTGTGCCATCATGGCATCAACCATACTTTACATAAAAATTGTAAATCAGTTTTGGTTAACTAAAACCAACTAAAAAACATGCAGTAGTTTGGTAAAGTAAAGAGATCAGGGAGGAAGCCATGCAGGTGAATGAACCAACTTGTTTTTCTACTGTTGAGCTTTCGGTCCTGACACAATGCCCTCCTCAGGACTCTTATTTAATTACAATCAATGTTCATTACAGATTACATATATAACAATTATAATAATTCAACAACTTACTTGAAAAACTATTTTTTAAATGGTTGGTTCTTTCACCTGCATGGCTTCATCCCTGATCTCTTTACTATTTATCATGAAGGCTGATACTATACTGAATGATATGCAGTAGTTTGTTAATTCTCTGGGGTCTCTGGTGATTTAACCCATTCAGGATGTCACCATATACTATAAGTGATATCTTGCTCTTTCTTCTCGTGCCATCTAACCCCTGCCACAACTCAATTACTGTGAGTGTGTTCTGGTATCAATTTTATACCGATGTTCAAAGAAGAGAGGTGCCTAAATTTCTACTGGTACAGGACTCCACCTGATTTATTTTAGATCATGCATCAAAAGTGGAAGCATTCGTTTCATTTTTTGACGTGACAACGTCTTATAAATCGGTAACGCTAGGAGGCATTCACAAAAAAGTATGACTCATTGTCCCATTACGATCGGTGTCCTGTTACGCTCGAGCCGAGAGTAATCGATTAAAGCCGAGCGTGCTTAGAGGCATGACTCATCGCTGTATTACGCTCTTGTCTTAGGATACGTTGTCACGAATTTAATGTCCGAGCGCCTTGCGCCCAGACCCCGAGTTTTTTTTTCTTCTTTTTTTTTTCTTTGAGGTGCACCAATTCGGTTCAAAATTTGACAGCACTTTTCTTGAGTATTATAGTTTTTGACGGATGTAAGTCAGTGGAAGGATAAAAATGTATTTAATTGAAAATTTTTCACAAAAAGTATTTATTATATGTATTAAAAACTATTAACAAAAAAATATATATATACATAAATTTCCGATTTCAGTAAACTTTACTTGTTTGTGGGTTATGTACAGAGTTTATTGAAATCGGAAATTTATATATATTTTTTTGTTATTAGTTTTTAATACACAATAAATACTTTTTGTGAAAAATTTTCGATTAAATACATTTGTGTACATATAACATACACACGAGTACAGAGTTGAAAAAATATGTGTAAATAAGAACAACAAAAATGCCAATGTTAAACATATACAATTTAAAATTAAAACTGGGCATTTGACAGAGGTAAAAAGAAAGAAAGTCTGTAGGGTAGATGTGGTATGGAAGAGCTGAGGTGAGAGGTATATAAAAGTAGGACATACCCAATGAGACTAATATTGTAGCCAAATGGGATTGTGAACAGAAGGGAGTGTGAGATGTGATGATGAGGATGGGAAAGGAAGGGTATGTCCATTTACTACTGATGTGTCTGTACAAATCTGTACAGCCCAATCGATACTGTTCGTGTTCAGCTAGAGCTCTTAAAATGCAAAAAAAAAAAAAAAAACCACCAGAACATAACTTGTTACAAAACCTGGGGAGTGTGAATGAAACAACGTCACGAAGGTTAACAGTAAACAATGACACTTTTTTTCTAAATTTCTTGCGCTAAAAATAATAACTTGAACAGCACACTACTTGTATTTACTTTAAACTAAAAGTGAAGGGAATGGAGTGCAATATCACCTGGGAAATGACACCACGTTGACCTAAATGAAACTAAAACCTAGACTGTCTTGTTCACTATTATGATCCACTTAACTGGATCACCAAATAATTTGCCAACTATTCTGGTTCCGCACTACTGAAACGCTGGTTCCACTCTTAAATAGTTGTACTCATATATTGTTGCTATTTCTTAGCTGATAATTAATATATAATAGCTGTGACATACGTATGCATCACATTCATTTATCTGTATGCTTTTTTCCTGATGTTTGCCTTTAAATATTTATTTATGTTGATTTTTATTTTTTCCAGTTGGGCACTCACATCAGGGCCAAAAGGAAGAGGGAAGAACTTAGCAACATCTTGACTCAGATGAGGAAAGCTCATGCCCAACAAAAATAAATAATTCTTATTGTATAAATAAAGGCTATTGTTTTTATGCCTGAAATTTTTCCTTTTCTCCATGTTTTTTCTAAAAATATTGTGAAACTTCCTACAAGAAATTCTAGGCTTGGACCTAAGGTAGAATATGCAACTTTCTAGACATCAGTTTACTCATCATGTTCCTCGGGATAATAGCAGATATTTATTAATGAAATAATAAAACCCAATTATTTCTTAAAAATCTTTATTAAGTAATGGGTGACCTCATTTGAGTGTAGAGTTTAACTAAGCCTTTTTTTTTAACAATATAACATTCTAAATAAATAACTGATATGACGACACAGCCCATCTTTCTAAAAATAGCTAACGTTAACAGGTGCATTTGTAGCATTTATAACTACATAACATTACATTTTTAACTAGTGCATTTTGTATGTGACACTTTAATTATTGCTGATAGAACTAACAGTAACATTTGTTTTTATTAGAAAATTTTAATATATAGGATTTCATTAACATTATGAACAAATCAGCCAATTATTAATTCTAACATTCATTATTAATATAAATTAAGTTTAAAGTGAAGCTGATATAAAAAAAAGGAACAAATGTGAACACTAATTATATATGGAACTAACAACAACCCATCTATCAACTTTAAGTATCAAAATTAAAATAATTTAACAATAAATAGTAAAAAATACGGGATTTAAAAAAATCTATCAGCTAAGCAATAGTCATGGCAATAGTTTCCAAAAGAACCTCTAACAAATCCTTGCAATGATTGTTAACAATCATTTTGTAGCTCAGTGGGTAAAACTGTTTACAGCAAAATATTGTAAAATGTACATAAAATATTGTAAAATGCAAGTTCTACAATAAAACAGTTCATAAACTCTGAAACATAGTACAGCATCAATTTTACATGTGCACGTTAGGATGGAAACTTGTTAATTCAAAATTAACAGTTTTTACACCTCTCTAATTGAAATATATGTAACAATCAATATAATTCAAATAAATAATGACAAGTCCTAGAGATTATAGGAATTTATATAAATTTAATTTGGATAAAAAATAATAAACCAAGGGCTTTTTATTTTTTCCAACTTAAATTTAATTAAAAATTGGACAATTTCTCCAACCTGTCATGAATACATACCACACAGAACCACATTAATATTTTATATCACAAATCTGGAATGACGTTTGGCAATATATTCATTTTTTCGTTGATCAGGACCCAACAATTCAGCCTTATAACATCATCACATACATTAATAAAGGGAGAGCGAGATTATCCACTTGATCAGTTTTCGCCTCGACAAACGAAGACATTGCGATTGCAAAAGTAGGTTTGATAAGATTTGTGCGCGGTACGTACCCTAAAGAAATGGGTTTCAGTTAAAATTTTAAAGTGAAACATCGTGTTAAAGTTTAAAGCGTGTGTCAATACCTATGTGTATAAGTAGTATAACGACAAAAAGCTGTGATAAAAAACATGCAATAGTCCCCTCCTTGGTTTTTCTCGAACCTGTAATTTCAAAATGTCCATTATAACGACATGTATTAAAAATAAAATATGGATAATAAATTTCAATTGATTCGGAAAAAGAAATATACTTTTGAATGGTTGAAGCATGAAAAAACTTAATAAAAAACAACAAAATTTCAACATTTTGTATATTTTCTCAATGTTAAAAATATGTTTTTTATGTAAGGCCTTGTGATGAAAAAGTTTCATGAGAGGGGTTCGAACCCACAACCTTTGGCTCAATTCAGCCGGTTTGAGGCGGCATATTGAGGCGAAGGTCATGGGTTCGAATCCCTCTCATGACACCAACTTTTTCATCTCAACCAAATAAATATATAGAAATAATTAATATGGTCAATTGGACCAACATAAATGGGTTAAAAATATGGTACATATTATGAATAAATTAATTGTTTTATCCCTGATCTTTTCGATATAATTATAATATTAAGGCTGATAATGATCATATCAAGGTAATATATTAAACATTTTTAAAAGAATAATTTCAAAATTAAATTTTTTTTTCCAGAAATAAAATGCATTTGCTTTTAATAGCCCAGGATCACAAAAATGTCATAAAATTGTCAATTTTATTTTAAGAAATACTAATAATGTACAAAATAATAAGGTATACAAAAAATAAATGTTCATGTGTGGTATTTAGTGACCGTTGTTAATTAATGATTATTTGGAAATCGTGAGATGCGGTCTAGTGTGATGTAGGTTAAGAATAACATTTTCTTTAGCGTGCCAATGTTTCGATTTTTATTGAGATCATTTTCAGGGCCTGGGATTTATAAACACTGTTTAAATTATACAAATAGATGTAAGATGTGAAAAAATTAATTTATACAATGATAGAAATTTTAGACTCAAACTATTGAGTACAAATACAATAATGTTCATATAAAAAAAAATCTATTTCTATGCAAACTGGAGTATATTCGCCTTTGTACCGATAAAAGCAGCTATAATATTCAAAGATGATAGAACATCACTTTGTTCAGACATAAAACAAATAATACATTAGAACCATTTTTTGGCGCGAGACTTGTTTTTTTTTTTTTTGTAAGTTAGTTTTTTCAAGGTACGAGGTTTTCAAAGAATTTGTTTACCTGGCCATCTGTTTTTTCCGACCAAGCTGCCACAAATACTAGCTGCGGAATCCCCAATGCCAACTGCAAGAATCCCAGAAAGCAGAGGAAGCAGGTCCGAGTAATTTGGATTTGGATGGATCCAAAGTGGGAAGGAACAGCCAACAAGAAGATATATGGGCGTCAAGGCAAGAGGCCCTTCATCTTTCTCATCGGCGAATTTTAAAAATCCAGACCGAAGGGTTTCACCCAACGGGGGCATTTTGAGAATTCGAATCATCTATTGAGTGAAAATATTAATTGACTTATTTAGAGAAACACTATGGGACGACATGACATACATCCAAAGTGGCAAATATTGCAAAAACTACTCCACTTGCAAGATATATCATACATGGTTTCCAAATCACTGCTGGAACAAATACTAAAATGATGAGGCCATGAAAAATTTTTCTCACAGCAGTCGATGCTTTCTGGTTCGTGTTAATTTGCAACATTACAGCAGCTGCACCTAGTATACAGCAGAACAGCCAAAAAACTACTAACTGGATCTACAAAGCACAAACATTGTAATAACTAAAAAGCATCAGTTGAAAGTAGATTAATTGAAATTACCGCTGTAGTGTCTTCTGTGAACAAATTATAAATCCACACAAGCGGATTTTCTCCGATTGAGAGATACAAAGATGGCAATAGTACAAATGCAAAAACAAACCCAATCAAGCTGTAGAATTTTCCAGGCTGTTCCTTCATATTATGATAATAAGATACAGTGGCTATCACCATTAGGCACAAGTTTCCAAGCTAAAATTAAATATTATAAGCATTCATATAAACGTAACCCTATGACAAAATAGTTGATGTTTAAGTTAAATGCTAAAAAAGTATTTAACCATTTAAATTAACCTGGATCATTGTGGTGGCAACAGAAAAACAGTTCATCTGTGGCTGTACTTCCCTTACTGCAGATGAAAAAATAAATAAGATGAATCCTTGGCAAACCGTTGTGCATTCTCCATAAGTAAAATTTTTTGGGCACAGTTTCATCACTGGCAAAATGGTTTTATGATAAGAGAATATGCTTAAAAACCCAAATAGAATGCTCAAAATTGGCCCTGGAAAGTGATTTCATTTAGTGGTAAAATAGTGGAAAGTGGTTTAATTAATTTAATACACAATTTGTTACTAGAATTTAGAACTGGGAAGTAGTATTTATGCAAAATATGATGTTTATAATTTTTGTCTTTTAAAATTGGAGGAAGCTAATGTGGAGGAAGCTTCAATATGAAAGATTACAACAATCTCTAGCAAACCTGACAGATACTTTTTGATTTACAAAAAAAATTAAATTAAATGTTTAAAAAATTTAAGATTTTTTTTTAAACAAATTTATTTTTAATATGCCTGCCACTCCACCAAGTTCTTTTGACAACAATCTGAAGAGATCCTATCATCGTCAGATCTCGCAAATCAGAAAGCACTTTTGGAGGAATGGAGTAGATAAGCCAAGAAGACATCTCAAATTTCATCATAAGAAATTTCAATATTTCACGATACAGTATTTAAAATTGGTTGTAGATGTAGATGATTAGTGAGGGCGTATTTTATACTGCACCCTTTAAGAGCTATCGTATCCCTCATTCTGTGCTTAAGGCATACTGGTAAGTCCTAGTTCATCAAGGAATTTGATTAGTAGGCCTGGTTTCAGTGGTTGAATTTTTTCTACGGTTACACTGTACATACCAAAGCACTTCTTCTGTGGGCAAGTGTAGCACAACAGTTTGTTAACATGTATTGGTGTTTCCTCTGCTTCTTTACCCACTGGATAGTGGACTCACTGGGTAAGATTATGCCAATCTTCTTCAAATGTCTATTTAGTTTGCAGTGTCCTGTTAAGAATCCTGTTAGGATTTGTAGGGTTTTCCTGCTTCTCTACCTTCTATTACTTCTTTCCTTCCAAAATTGGAATAGGAGGTTCTTGGATTGTTTATGTCCAATGAGTGAGTTCCATTGTTCTCTCATTTTCTTTTTATCTTTCTGTTTGAGGTACTCATTGTCAGTGTGGGTTCCTAAGCCACAAAAGGAAAAGGGTTCGGGTCCTTTCAGAGCAACGGCTATGGTAGAAAATGATTTTATTCATTCTGCTGATGCTGAAGAAATTGTTTTTGTTAAAGGAAGGTAGTGTTCAAAAATCTGTGACATATCATAAGGTTTAAGAAAGAGGTGTGACATTTGACAAACCAATCATTTAGTTTTGATGAAGCTTTGAAGAAGTTAAAATCAGGTAAAAATTTACTAGGTACAAATGGAATCCTGACACCAATAATAACTGACACCGTATAGCAAGTATTTTCTTGCAAGGGTGTGTGTTTTCTTGTTGTCTTCTACTCCCACATGTCCTGGGATCCGGCAGAGGCTGACTTTTTTTAAAAATTGAATAATTAAAATGAAAACATTATTAACTATATGTTTTTATAATTTAATTATTTCTAACACAAAGTATTTAAATAGATAAGGTTTTTAAAGTAAATGTGTTAGTTCAGTTTGAAAACTTATGTGAATAGTAGGACATAGATTGGACAGTACAGGTGTCTGGACCATGAGTGCCGGTACAATTTAAAGTAGAAATTAAAAGTACCTTTTGATGTGAAAATGTACAAAAGTATAGTTGAACTGGTACAGGAAAATATTACAGCTCCAAAGGGAGTTGGCTTCCGATAATAAGCGTTGAACATATCAATGACAGATTGTACTAGGATACCAGTGCAGATACATGCTGCAACTTGGTATTTGAGACTAGATTCGTATTTAATTCCACCAAGGATCACCGCAGAAGGTAGAAGTAGAGAGAGCCAAACACCAGACCCAGCATCTTTCCTGAATGGACAAGATAAATATGTAAAGACTTCTACAAAACATATACAACGTGATTTACCTCGGTTCTATATTATGCTCGGCTAAATTACAACTAATCTGCTTGTTTATGGACGTTAAAAAAGAGTGAGCCATTTGAATTCAGTGGGGAACGTTGGATTTGATGGATGGACAGGTATTTTTGACTTCCTCCTTACATCCCATCTGATGGTACGGATGTCATTTTGCCCGATTTAAGGTCAGATTTGGAAAAAACAGTACCAGTTGGACTTTTGGACTCGGCACTCAGAGTTCAAAGTTTATAAGGTTACTTAACTGTTAAACCGGAATGAACACATTAAACGACCACAGGTTATTTATTTCTCTTGTTGATAGTGTAGTTTCTTTCAAACATTTTCTTTTTAAATAATTGAAATAAATATTTTTTAAACATGACATCTGAATCCAACGTAAAACCCATGAGTTTATCGAAAGGAAATGAATTTGTTGGAACAGGAATTCCTTCACTGGACGCTGTTATAGGTAAATTGTTCTTGTAATACCACGTTTACATTTAACAACGTGCTTTAATAAGTCATATATTTAAAATAATAATAAATACAGATTAATTATAATTAATATTGTTTCACTGTTTTGTTTTCTAGGTGGAGGGTATCCTGTGGGATCACTTGTTCTGATAAGTAAGGTGATCTGTTGGTATTTTAAAAAAAATTTTTGTCAACACTTGTAAACTTATGTGCAGTCTGCAAATAAAATACATCATAAAACATACATAAAATCATAAACACTAATCTGAGTGGGTTTAGATTTGGAGCCTAGCCTGGCCTAGCTGTTGATAGCCTCAACCTCGGTAACAGTACGAATAAGTCTGAAGTCTGACTCTAGAACTAAACATTGCAATCACCACAAAGAGAACGGCCAAAAGTTGGTTTATATTTTTATGTGGAAATTCAGAATCTTAGTGCTGTAGAGATTTGACTTCCTCTTTCCTTTTATTTTCATTATCTGGAGAGAGAAAGCATTTTAAAACTGCAGCAAACTTTTTTTTTCCAATTAAAATACCATAGTTAGTAGTCTTTAGATTAACATCTGATTTATCCTCGAGACAAAATGGTGAAGGCTTTTAACTGATTCTGAAGCGAAACATTCTAAAGGGCTGCTTTGAGCAGCAGTGCAAGGAATCATCACTGCAGTGATCATTATTTCCTAGCCTAAGTGATAAAGTTTTAAAACATTTTTGAGTATCACTATAGACATGTATTTAAAAAAAAAGTTATAATGCTCTATATCAAGAATATTTTAAATTAATGGAGTATAGGACTGAGATTCGATCTCGGACAGACACCCAGGGCTAGTGATTCTTGAGACTTACTGGTAATTTTGTAAATATTCAAAAGTTGAAATAGATAGTGGATTGCAAGAAGTGATAGGCTCAACTCTCTACATGTACGTACGTACGTGTATGTGTCTGTGCAGGTTTGAGCTTATATAAATCAGTAATTAGTTTAAAATAATGTTTTAAAGATAAAATTACCTTTGCTTCAATATCTTTATCTAATTCGATGTTTTCATACGATGTTGTGATCATTTCTTGAGCATTAGTTGCCATTTGTCCTGGATAGTAGAAACTAAATGGAAATGGTATCGCCTTACTATACCATGGTCTAATGACTCCATTACTATTTTTTGTATCTATCCAACTAAAAATTAAAATGGAATAAATAAAATTATGTAGCAATTGGGTTAAAAAAATCACAGTAAAATAGTTTTTGAAATTGTCTGGCA